GGCGCCGTTTTACGCCTATATTAATACTTCTCGTTATATTAACTATTAATTAGTAATATAAAGCTAACCTATATATAGGTATACTTATTAGTTCGACTTTAATTCCGTTTTCCTAATCCTTTATATTTACGTAGTCTTATTAATATTAATTCCTAGTTCTTTTTAAAACTATCGGTTATTAATAGCTATTAGTTTATTAATCCTATCTATACTATTAATATAAATATCCATGTTATATCGTATACTATATCGTCGAGTCGTTACGCTTAGGTATCTTAAAATGCCTCTAGTATAATAAGTTATTAGTATTTATATATTTAATTTATATCGATTAATAGGTTTAAAGGAAAAAAGAAACTATCGTAAGGTCGGTTAGGGTATAATTACTATTAGCCTTTATTCGCCTTTAGTATTAGTAAGGAAGTAACGGGTCGTATAGGTTATCGTAATTTATATTAAGGCGTTCGTACGTTTAATTTATATAGTAGATAGATAATTATAAGGGGGCTGCCTTAATTACTATAACCTTTATTTACTCGTACGAGATATACTATATTATTAGCGGTTCGAGGAAGCGGTTAATATCGAAGGCTAAGTATTATCCCTAATAGCGGTAGTATTACGACGAAAGTTCTCCCGGGTTTTACGGGTTCTTCCGTATAGTAAATAAATAACCATACGAAGGATATCTTAATCGGTATAAACGCGGTTTAATCGTCGTATTATATCGTAGTATCGATAGTTTATTAACGTTATAGGTATTAAGGGCTAAGCGCTATCCTAATAGTTATAGTATCGTTAGAAAAGTTCCCGGGCTTATACGTACCTCCCTATAGTAAATAAATAACCATAAGGCGGGATATTTTATTTAACGTAAAACGCGGGCTACTTCGCGGGTTAAATAACGGCGCCGACGGCGATCGGTATCCTTTAAATCCTAGTAGCGTAATAAAAACTCCGTAGATTAAAGGTTAAAGGGTCGAAAGAGTTATAGGGTAATCGCTACTAAGGAGAAGTAAAGCGTACGCGATACTAGAAACCCGGATAGGTTTACTTAAAGGTATACTTTATCGAAGATTATAATACGTACGATAGTCTAGGATAGATAAATCTAATATCGCTATATTAATCGAAAGGCAAGGAATTTAATGTAGTTATCGTATTTTAGCTATGCCCCTTAGTCGTAGAAATATAGTAATCGCTAGCCCGAAGGTATAAGAGGTAAAAGAAAAAAAGAAGTAAAACGTAAAAGTTACTTATTCGGTTATAGCGATACGACGAAGTAACCTAAGCGCTTATAACTAAAATAAATATATTAATCGGAGAACGACGAATCTAATAATAAAAACGAATCTTTAATTAAGGTAAAAATAATAAAGATAGCAATCTAACTAAGTAATAAATTAAATAATAAGTATGGCATATCCCGCACTTACGGGAGCTATGGTTACTCTATATAGGCATAAGGCCTATCGTAACGTATTACGTAATGCATTAAGAGGGCATGTCTTACCGCACTACTATAATAAGTAAAGGGGAGATACCTAGTTAACCCTCGGAACGCGCCCGCTCCCCTACTATCCTCTTAACTAAGAAAGCTAGGACGAAACTAAGAAGAAGGTAGCCGAAATAAAGAAGGAAAACGCCGATCGGGTTAAATCGGCGAAGGTAAACCGGGCTAAGTTAGCTATAAAGTAATAAAAGGGCTCCCTTATAATATTAAACGAAAAGCTAAAAATACGACGGTAATAGTTAAATAATAACCGGTAGAATAGAGTTTCGCGGTAGTTTTTAAGGAAAGATATTAATCGAGATATACCGTACTACCTTTTTTAATTTAATTATTCCTTACGATATAATTAAACTAAGGAAGCTATAATAATACGGTAAGACATACCTTCTTAATATATTACGTAATACGCTACGATAGGCCTTATACCTATATAAAATAACCATAGCTTCCGTAAGTACGGGATATGCTATGCTTATTATTTAGTTTATTATCTAGCTAAATTACTATCTTTATTATTTTTACCTTAATTAAAGATTCGTTTTTATTATTAGATTCGTCGTTTTCCGATTAATGTATTTATTTTAATTATAAGCGCTTAAGTTACTTCGTCGTACCGTTATAGCCGAATAAGTAACTTTTACGTTTTACCCTTTTTTTTCCCTTACCTTTTATGCCTTCGGGCTAGCGACTACTATATCTTTACGACTAAGGGATATAACTAAGATACGATAACTACATTAAATTCCTTATCTCTCGATTAATATAGCGATATTAGTTTCATCCGTCTTAGACCATCGTACGTACTATAGTCTTCGATAGAGTATACTTTCGAGTGAACATATCCGGGTCTCTAGTATCGCGTACGCTCTGCTCCTTCTTAATAGGTATAGGAAGAATAAGAATAAGGAGCGTCGTTGAAAAAGGCACTAGAACCTGATTTTATTAAACTATATTTTATATAGTAAAATAATACCTATAATTAATTAGTAGCCGGTTATAAAATAGTAGCTAATTAATTAAGAAATAATTACCTTTTCCATGGCTTTTTATATATCATTTATTATTCGACCTTTCTAATTAATAATGTAATAAGTGTCATTCTTACTTATTATAGGCCATATAGGAATATCCGGTACCTATATTATAGTTTCGATACGATATTCGGTATATATTCCAACGCTTTAATAAGAAGAAATTAATTTTAATTTCTCTAGCGTATAATCGACGATAGGATCTTCGTATATTACTTAGACCTATGATCGATTTTAAATTAATTAAGAATTAATCTTTTATAACTTAGGAGTAATACCTATTCTTCTTCTATAGCGTTCTTATATGTTCCGAATCTAATTTCTTATAGCTCTTATAATTCTGAATTAATTCTAGATTAATTATCAGGGTTCGTAATAATATTATTATTTTAAGATAGGTCTAATTCGAAGTTAAGGCTTAGATTTATATCTACATTAGAATTAGATACGAAATCTATATCTAATTAATTAGAAATTAATCCTTAGATATAGATATAAAGAAGAATGAAATATAATACGTTAAGTATTATATGTCTAACCGATTTTAAATCAGTTATTAATCGATTAGCGATTAAAATTAGTATGTAGGTAGGTAATTCGAACTTTCGTAGAAGTTTTAATTTTAAAAAGTTTAAAATTAAAGAGTCTATGGGATATACGAAGAGATATACCCGTAGATCTATCCTATTTAGTTAACAGGGAAAAAGCTCGGTAAAATCGCCTAATCTGGTTAGAGGTTAGGGTAAGGTACTTGGGCTGATCTGAGACCTCATTAAATATTCAACCTGCACCTTCCTACCTACCACACCCCTAGGGTATACGTACCGAAAAGTGGAGTTTTTTCCCAGTTGTAGCTATGCGACTCCGTAGTATAATACGGTTATACCTGGTAGAAAGTACCTAGCGACTTTTGTGATTTTTGGTGGCCCGAGGCCCGTTGGTCAGGTGACATATGGTCACTAATATCACAGCCCTGGAGTCCTAGCGTTGGCCTCCACCTGACTCTTAAAACTCCCTGAACACCCCCCATTTCGTTACGGTAGGGATATCCTATCAGGGCTCAATTCTGCCCTCTACGGAACGACTTGGTCCCCGATCGAGTCCTTAAAACAGCATCCGCCGACAAAACCTCGCGATTTTATCAGAAAGCCATTGCACAACGTCTCACCGAATCATACCAGCCTCCTGCCCGACAGCGTCAAGCCTGATACTGACTGCTTCCTGATAGAGTCGTCATGCAACAATACGTGCCCCCCAGCCCACCCCCCCAACCAGACCTGCGAACAGCAGTTACCGACGCCACCTCTCGTTCGTTACTACAAACTGTACCCTCGAGCGTACTATAGATTGGTGGGAATTCTCCCCCAGCATCTTCTCCGAAACCGGAATCCTCGCTCCGTTTTTCAAACGAGTGAAGCTTGGTCTTCAAAATGCCTACATCCACGAGACGCCTGGATGCAGACCCGGAAATCCCCGCCATCAACAACACTCGTCTCCGCCGCTTCCTAACTCTTCTCGCCCTCAAGACCACCGCGCGGCTCTTTCGTCGACAAGGCGCTTGCATTCCTATCTCGAAGCGCCTACTTGTTAAATCCGATTCCTTTGTCCACTTGGCAGAAGCAGCAACAATGAAATTTATCGCTGACAACACCACCATCCCGGTACCAAAGGTCTGGTGCTCCTTTACACATAATGGCCGCGTATACATCGTGATGGAGAGAATCCAAGGAGATCCTATTCCCAGAGGCTGGGGTTCTCGGTCTAAAGTATCACAGGAAAAGCTCCTAGCGCAGTTGAAGCCTATGATTCAAGAACTACGCTCGCTACAACCTCGTCCTGGGTCGGGGGTGGAGAGCTGCACGGGCGGGTCGTTATTCGATTGCCGTATGCCTCGTCCGAACGGCCGCCGGTTTGGCCCTTTCAAAACTATTCAAGAGTTCCACTTGTGGCTGAGGGGGGGCTTGCAGCCATCGGAAGTCGAAATTCCTAAGCTAGCGACCCAAGAAGATTGGGATGATGTCAAGGACATGGCCAATAAACAAGATGGGCCTTGGCCCCGGCCAGTTTTCACGCATGGCGATTTGAACCCAACCAATATACTTGTCCGAGGCGACGAGGTTGTCGGGATAATCGATTGGGAGTTCTCTGGCTGGTATCCGCATTATTGGGAGTACACGTCAGCGTGGTGCACTCACATCTTACTGACGGAGTGGCAGGATCTGCTTAGCATCTTCCTAGAGCCGTTCCCCGAGGAATTGAGGATGGAGAGGACTAGGCAGAGATGGTGGGGAGAGTTCTAGAGGTATTCATACCGACTCTGAATTCCCTGTTGTTTTAAATACCCGCTTGACTCTTTTGTCTCATTGCTCGGAGATGACAGCATGATTGTTAGGTCCATTTGTCTAACAGCTCTCAGCCTGCCTTCAGCCATCATTCCGAACTTACTCTGATTCGTCCTAAGGCACAATCTCCCTGCCTTCCAACATATCCCACGTAGGCCTCGGCAAGTCAGTCAGTGTAACGTCTCTAAAGCGACCACCCTCCGTCTTTTCCCCCGCATACTGCCTCGCGACAGTTTCAATCTCTCCCCAATCTAGTACTGCTCTACCCACGGCTCTACCGTCCTCCCTTAACGCTCTCAACGCATTTGCGACCCAGGTGCGACCCCTCCAATCAGGGTCATCTTGCACAACAGGCACCTCTCGGAATATATTTGCCAGACGTTCCTCATCTATAATCTTGGCGACGAGAACGCGAACGAGTAGGTTGTTTGTGTTGCGTACATCGGGTAACTCAACCTCCTCGTATACCCAGCCGAGGGCCACAGGGTTTTTGACGTGGTAGTGCATGCCTCTGACGGGGTGTTCGCCTTCGACTTTAGGCCCGACCAGAAAGCCCCAGTGGTACCTGTTCTCGAATTGAAGTGTAAGGATATGGATCCAAGCTCGAGAAATTTAGGAGGTTACGTCACCTGCGCTCTTCATTGTTTCCGACACCACTAGGATAGAGAGCGACGTAAAGGCGTTTCTTGTTAGACACCATCTTTAGTGCTCCGTTGAAATTGTTGTAAATAGGAAGGTAAAGATGGTAGCGGTCCTATGGCATCTCTAATTCGATTAAATGTGAAGAATCCGCGAGCATACGGAGGCCGCGAAGAGATTCTTTATATGTATGAAGCATTTACATGCTTTGGTTCCCTCAATGAGAAAGAGTGGTATTCTTGGGCGCCCAAGGACCACCGAAATCACCAACGAGTATACAGACCAGTCCAATGAGTCCCCTGTAGTTCCTGTTAAAGCGGATCTCGGCTTCCCAAAGATTCTATTCACTCATTTTGAAACGACCATACAGGTTGGGCTGAGGTTTTCCCTTTACTCTAGTTACCACTGCCACTGCTGCTGCCGCACCAACACTACTACCTTAGCCACACCATCATCAACAAAGCTGCATCCACATGGCGCAGTGGTTTAGCGCCTGGCTGTCTACGAACCGTGCATGATGCCGCCACCCCTGTAGAGTCGAATCCTGCTATTACGGAAGCCCATATTGTAGTGGTGCGGTAGGACTAGGCCACGAAGCGTTTTGGATATATATTTATATGGGTCTCGTATTTATATTTTTATCGATCAGATTTAAACCCGTAGATATTAGAACCTATAGTATTTATTTCTTTTTTACTATACTTTCTTAGTTGCCTTTCTTGCTATCTTATTTCTAGCTTTTTTTAGCTACTATTTTACTTAGCCGATTAATTAATTATAAGTATTCATAGCTATAATTTCATTCAATCCATACTAGCCTAGTTATTAATAGTGTAGTGGTGTGGTGAGACTAGGCTACGTAGCATTTCAAATGTATATTTATATAAGCCTCGCACTTATCTTTTTATTAATCAAACTTTGTCCTGTAGACATCAGGTTCTATAGCTATTCACTCATTTTACCATGCCTTCGATCGCCATCTCTCTCTTCTAGCTTTATCCTTCCTAGCTGCCCTTTCAGCTAGCCGATCAGCTAACTACAGCTGTTTACAGCTGTGATGTAGTTTAATCAGCATTGGGCTAGCTGTTAGCAGTTAAGCAGTCCTTGCACGGGTCTCTAACGGCGTGCCCACGCTGCTCATATTTATTATATAAACGTTAAAAAATAAATTAATAAAATCCCGTTTCCTATAGCTAAGTATTTTAAAACCCCCTAACGTTAAGTAAATAACCAACCGTCGAGGTTCTTAAAAAAAACGTCGGCTATGTAATAAGAGAGGAAAAGGGGAAAGAATAATATTCCGTAAGGTTAGTACTCTAACTAGTACTACCCCTCTTCTTCCGCTAGTACCTATTGTTACTCCTCTAACCGTGGTTCCTAACACAATACTACACTAATTATGATGACCCCCTTAAGCTCAGTGGACACCAACCCCACTGTTGCTCGTGTCCCCGAGACGCAGCCTCACAAACCTATCCAGCTGTGTGGATCCATCGCTTCGCACATACCCATCATCCATATCGGACAGGAACCTGTCAATATATTCCCCAGCACCAGAGAGCTGCAGAATATGCGCAATCGCTCTGTGTACTGCGAGAAGCCTACTGGAGGGAGGGTCAATGTTACGGTCGGGGCTGAGACGGAGGGTGCGGATGACAGGCAACGATAGTATCTCATTAACGGGAGTGAGTTCAAATGACTCAATCCTATATGTATGCGGCTCTCGGTCGGCGATCTGGGTGAAGAATGTCTTAAATGTACCAAATCGGCGGTGGTACTCCACCCGTAGAGTCTAAGTGTTAAATGGTCGGTCGATTTCCACGCCTTCGATCAGCCGAGCGACGCCAATGTCGAACATATTAAGGATAGCAAGAGCAGCCTGGCGAGACTATTAACGGATATACATTAGTATCCCAGCTCAAAATGTTGAGCAATGATGCCTACTTCGTAGTCTTCTTGCGGTCGCATTAACGAGTGTGGTATAATGTGCGCGACCTCGAGGTAAGCATATGGGCCAGAGAGTAAATTGCCATCGTCATCTTTAGCATTGGCCACACCCTCAGAACGCATGCGTTTTTCCCCCTCTTCAGCATCAAAAGCGTGCGATATTACACATCTATGGAGATCGCGGACGAGCGTCGTGCCTCGTAAAGCGGCGATACGAGTTGGTGTGGTCGTATAGTCTTGGCAACTTCCCTGAACCATCAGAACGGCCGAGTGGCAAGCTGGTGATGGCTGGGGGGTCTGGTTCGCCGCAGCCTTGACTGAATTGTGATGATTAGCATGACGAATAGACATCTCTATGGTGAGTCACATACGAGGTAAGAAGAAATTATCCATCAGATACTCGGCAAAGCCGATCATATCTTGTCGTAACTCTTCCTCTCCGTCTCCAAAAATGACATCTCCTTCATCGTCGAAATCTAGTCGTATAGATCGAAAAAATGCCTGCAACAACAAGTCTCGAGAGTCTTCTGAGAGCGCATACTCGTAGGTAAGTCGGATAAGTCGAGGTCGATTGTATGAAGCACCCCTGCTCGGTTCTATCTCCGCGTCAACGTCAAAGTGGTTGACTATCTGGTAGAACCTCCGGGAAGCACGATTGCGCTGGTCGCTGGATAGCGAAAGCGGACCAGAAAAATCAAGGATACTCTCGAGGGAGGCTTGGTGCTGATGGAGCGCCATTGTGTGGTAACCTGTATTAGAAGAAAGATTGGGTGAAGAGTCGATCATGTGAAGTCCACAATTTTTCTGTCTAAAATATCTGTCGAACCGCTCCGCTCCCTTACATTAAATTCGATTAAACACAGCCCTACATGAGCTTTGGTGTTTTGAGGTTGTCAACTTCATTTTTTTTCTATTATTAATTTTTTTAACATATACCTACTGTAGCGGTACGGTGGAACTAGGCCACGCGGGCGTTTTGATGAGTATTTATATGGGTCCCGTACTCGTAAGCACACAGAGGCTTGTAGATATCGCAGACCTACTAGGTTATTCACTCGTTTCCCACTATGGCCTTTTAGTCTCCATCTCGTTCTCGTTGCTCCCAGCTACCATTGCAGCTGGCCGATCAACATCTTATAGCTGTTTGCAGCTGCGATCCTGCTTGATCGGCACCGGGCCAGTTGTCAGCAGCTGGGCTGTTCCTGTTTCTATCATGTTCCCCTACAGCGTGCCCACGCTGTTCATCTTCAACACGTAAGAAATGAAAGCCTATTGTTTGTTCGGGGAATATTGAGGTGTAAAGGATATATAAAGTAAATATAAAACTAAAAGTGATAGTCACGATCAGTTAATTCGAGCCAGTTATCTCGAAGGACCCAACCTAGGCCCGGTTTGAAGGTAACAGTAATCGTTGCGCAGGTCTAGGATCGCGATGTGTTGACGTAAAGTCCTAAGAGCGTACTGTACTCCTAGCGGTTTCCTAAGTTATTAGTAGTCCGTAAACTGCGTAAAGTGCCAGGAATCTGTAGATTACGTAGAATACGGCGAATTTATAGGAGTCCGTAGACTGCGTAAAGCACGGAGAGTCTCAGGTTGGAAACAGCGCCTTGAATAGAGAATAGTGTTTCAACGGGCAAAGCCACGAGTCTCACTATATACTAACGCACCAAACTACCGCTACTAGCTAAAACTTCTCAGCGTGTTCATATTATCGTAAAATTTAACGAGCCGATGATTATGATAAGCAGCAGGGCGCATTGCAAGTGATTACAATAACTCGTGGTTTAGTTCCTCCTCTCGTAGGGATGCAGGATTAACCAAGATCTGCCCACTTAGGCCTTCTTGTTCGGGCCCTCGCCGTCGGCGTACTCGGAGTACTCTTTCATGAGGTATCCCATGTCGAACTCTAGGGCTTTGCCGTTTACGATGATGGGCTCGACGTCGAGCATGGTGAAGATCATGCGCGCGGGCTTGTCGCTCGACGTGTTGCGCCAGCGGTGCATGGCCCCGCGGTTGATGGACACGTCCCCCGGGCGAAGCACCCGCTTCTCGCCGCTGTCCACGCTCAGCTCGACCTCGCCCTCGCAAACCGTGCCGATGCCCAATGTCAGCGCGCGGTGCATGTTCGACTCCGTCCCGGGCGCGAAGTCGATCATCCGCACACAGACTCCGTTGGGGACGTGGACGGCAGGCTGGGATGAGGAGCATCGGTCAGTGGACAAAGCCCAACCTTACGGGGAAGAGCTGTCACGAGACTCACCCTGTTTTTGCGGGCGAACTCGAGGTCCGCATTGTCGGTGAGTTGGATGGGGTTGCTGGGGGCGCTGTAGATGATGTTCTGGGCAGCAGCACCGCCTAGCATCTGAGCGCGGTGGTCGCCGTGATCCGTCTAGGAAGTGAAAAGTCAGTATCGGCGATTTTCCAAGTTGAAATATGCGAATGCCGTCCCACCTGTAAGAAGACTCCTTGTCCCTTCTCGTTGTGTCCCGTGATGTACCGGAACGGATCGCGTAGACCCGGGGCCGGAAAGTCTTTGATCGGCCCGGAGGTGGTCATTATGATGGGGATTTGCAAGTGAGATGCCAACGCCCGATTACTGTACTCGGGTGCAGAAGTATGGGCGAATACTGGTAGAGTTTAGGTATGTAGGACAAGTTGGACCAGCAAATGGGAAAAGCTACTCAATAATACGATATAGACAACGACTATTTATGCTCGATAATAGCTAACGCGGAGCCGGAATTCTACTTTCCCTTTTCCGAAGGGGGGGTATTAGATACAGTATCATGGGCAGCAAGATGTACGTGTCATCCAGTATCCCCCCATGCAGATGACGGTCTTAACTTTGATCAATGCGTTCGATGCTAGCAAGGGATACCCGAGAATCATCTCTGATCGGCATGGGCATTATTTTGACAAGTCCATAGCTAACTAAACCGGCAACGTAGGACTACGCGGACGTTCTTATCACGCAGGTGTGCACTGTGGTAGGATCGGATCGGATCGGACACGCACCCTCTTGGAAGGCGTCGGCTACAAACCAAGACATGCTCGGTTGCATGGCGGGAACGACACCTACTAGATGTCGTAGCCACCGTGCCTGGCGTGATTACTTACTTGTAGCAAGCAGCCTTAAGGCCGCAAATGCGGAATGATTCGGTGTGGGCTTATGGTTTGGCTCCAATACGATGCGTGTTGGCTTCACTGCATATATTAACTCGGATAGACTTACGACTTATCAGTGTCGGGAGGATCGGTAAAGTCGCAACTCAAGCGTACAATATTATAATATGCGGTAAGATTCGTACGCAACCCGCTATAGGCAGCGACAGTCGCCGAGATGCATATGCGTAAAGCGGACAGAATAGGATGAAAGGCAAGTGGAGAAACATTACGGATTGTTATTAGGAGGTGGGCTTGGAATCGAGATCGTCGCGATGTTGGCTTCTAGTATGATTATGTACCGAACACGCGTTACTATACCTAAATTTGATGCGGGTAATAATACACAATCTAGGCAGGTTTTGATATGTTTACTCCGTGTCCCATCTTACCACCCCGATACCTATGTTTCACGTAGCTATAGGCACATCCAAAATCACGCTATACCACTTTACCTTCATCAACATCACACCGTGTCTAAGAAAGTGGTCCTCTTAAATCAGCTTTACTGCGATAGCGCTCAGGTTTCCGCGTCCACTAGCCAGGCTGTGTGTGTAACGTCGATTACCTGGCGGGTAAGGTGTAAGCCGCAGGCGCCCACTTACGGACAGCACAAGCAACGCGGGGTGTCGGGGCGGTGAGCCTCAAGTAAGCTACTCTCGATCTAAAGGTAAGCCCGGTAGGAGGGCGGAGCATTTGAGATGTGTTGGCTCCCGTCAGTGACCATGTCTATTAGGTAGGTATTGTAAAGCTCTATCACGGAAACCCTCCGCCGTCGATAATCCTCGGCACTGGAAGCGGCATCTGTAAGATCGGGAGAGAATGCCGGGCAAGGGGCTTTTTGCTAGGATTAGCCCGCGTGGGGCAAGAAGGCCAGACCTCCCTGCGTAATACACTGTAGTATACTCACGCATGTACTACCAACTCCGGCTTACCTTCAGCGGAGGAAGAGTGCGGTCCATCATGGTTAGGAATGTAAGCTGTATCCCACTCCGCTCATGCAGCCTTACTTCTGCTCCGCATTTGCATGATCCACCCTTGAAGGAATATCATGCAAGCTTACAGCGGCAATCTAGAGACACGGCTTGGGAATGCAGCTTATTACGGCGTCTCTGCTGCCGAGCGGTCCACGTACCAGTAAGATGGACATTATCCCGAACCAGAGTACGGTGGCATTGCTCTCCGCACGCAGGGCAATGTGCCCAGATGCAACCGGTACTAACGGGTCGCAGGAATCCCTGGCTCGCATGTGCATATAGATAGATATACCCCCGGGATCTGGGAATGCTGATAAATCTGTATGGGCGTGTCCAAAACACCTGCGGAGACGGCAGTAAGAGCTGGCTAGGCGTACTTGGCCAGCGCCAATGCCGCAGGGCCAAGTGGCTGCGATGCCTGGGTAGGTAGATCTATCTACTTACGTATGTGGCAGCCTTCGAGCATTTCCACCGAGTTGAGGGGTATTGTTGGAGCTGATGGGTGGCCGTGACCGGAGAGCAGCTAGGTATTTATTGTCAGATAGCTCCTCGCTGTGTTTTGGGTAGTTTAATATCTGTAGAACTTCCCTTGTCTGCACCTGATAACACCATTAATAACGGAGCTAAGAGACCTTTATTCCTCGCGGGGTTCAACATGGCCGAGTCCACGGCACCTGTCCCAGAATACTATGTGAGCAGTTTCCCTGCGCCGGGGCTGCGTCAGATCTTTCGACACATCACGCAGAACAATGCCAAAGGCGAGTCTCAGTTTCTCAGTTCAGACCACGGCGAGCATTACCGCCGCATGGTGGACAACCGGGCAGTCGCCAACATCATCTATTCCACTCGAGAAAATCCCGTCGACCTCAACAACAATATAGACGTCCAGAAAGCACATGAGGCAGAGGTTCGTACTTCCAACCACTTAGGCCGTTTGGCGAAGTTCTGCTGAATTCACCAACTATGCTAGCCACCATTCCACTACCCCAGCGGGTCCATAGTCCGCATGATCGACTTTGGCCCCGGCGTAGAGTCGCCGTTTCACCGGGCGATGACCATCGACTACGGCGTGTGCATCGAGGGTGTCTTTGAGCTCACCCTCGACTCCGGCGAGAAGCGTATATTGCGTCCGGGCGATATCTGCGTCCAGCGGGCTACCAACCACAAGTGGAAGAATATTACAGGCAACGGCACGCTTCCGGGGCGGATGCTGTGGGTTCTCCTCGACTGTAAGGAGGTCATAGTGGGCGGGAAGAAGGTGGAGGGCGATCTAGGCGACCTGCATAGCGAATATAAGGGGCGGGGAATCTACTAAGGGCTCTCTCTTCGCACCGGACGGCCGGACGCTCGGTCCATCGCATCGTGGACACTAGAACGCGAGGTAATACTCGCCGTTTCCGGAACCGTCATAGTCGGCATCCGGGCAACTAGGCGTTGCCGAAACACAGGGTGAACTTCTGACGAGCCGGCAACGCGAGCAAAGGAGAACCGGTTCAGCGGTAACAGCTGATATCGGTGTTGTGTAATTATTATGCCTCTTCGGCCCGTGGACCGAATATTACTATGACGGGACCGCCGCATACCAGGTTTAAATGTCGGCCGTGTGATTCGAGTCGGACGCCGAGGAGGAAACAGCAGTGGACGAGGCGACGGAATGGCTAACGATATGAGTGCATTTCCGGTTTCGATGAGACCCCCCGTGAAGCGTAGGTAGACAGGCTCAGGGCGCGTCGTCCCATGGACACAGACATAGGTAATACCTACTAGGCAGATAGGCAAACTGAACCACGAATACGTGAACGGCGCCGGTATGGACAGGGAAAGAAGTAGGTAGGTTACGAAGAAAGGATAACAGGCGGGCACCCATATAATATACTTACGAGTCTATGCTGGGGGGTGCTTTACCTGAACAGAGGGAGATGTCATGTAGGTATCATGGTAGGTAGGTAGGTAGGTATAGGAGCTCCGGTTGCTGAGGTAAGCAACGAAGAGGTGCGAAATAGGAGCAACCTCTACGTAACACCCTTTTAGCTTTCACGATAGTAGCTTAGAACCTATAGAATCAAGCGTTTTCGATCGAGTCTTGTCTGTTAGCTTTATTCCCGAATCTACCCCACCCCCCGGCCGATGGCCTCTCATCTCCAGCAGACGCCATCATCCCGTAATCTGAGCAGCCTCGTGAATACCTCCGAGCACCGCCCCGATACAGAGAGCGTGCTTCGAGAAGAGCCTGGCACTCTATATGTCGATATCCCGGGCTTCGATAAAGCAATTTTCAGAGCGCTTCCTAACCTAGCGGTCGCGTCCAAAGCCGTATTCGAAAAGTATACCGCGGGGACAGATCCGCTCTTTCGCCAAGGCTGGACTAGCTGGCCCGAGGGCGCTGTCGAAAGAGATGCTTAAGCCTGGCTTGACGATCTGACCCAAAAGCTCTTTCAGTAGGCGCCGTACCGCGGATCCGCAGCACCCATACAAAGGCTAGCGGCAGAGCCGAACAAGCCTCTCGGGGGCTCGACGGCGAAGCGGAAACTGGACGTTGGCATCATCTCTCATCCTGAGTCCATAACACGCCGGCCTCGAATCCTGATACCTGGCGAGCTAAAAAAAACAATCGAAACTACAAAAAGAAGGCATAGCAGGGTATCAAAAAGTGCGCATGGGAAGTCTTTACGGCTCAAGATACTCGGTGCTTGGTTTTGGCCTGGACGGGTCGGATAGGTAGGTAGACAAGACTCGGTAGGCGGGGAGGCGGAGAGGTTAGCCAGGCCGGGCGGGTTACACAGACAGCACGCTGTGCGTAGGTAGGCGAACCCTCTGTGGATGTTTCATGCGTGTGGAAATTTGACCGTCTTGGTGGGATCGCTTCGACGCTGTTCGATATCAATACCGACGGGCTTCGGCTCGTTTCGATAATTCTCAGCTTCCTATGGGTGGACGAGAGAGAGTTGGGGTTTGACCCTACTATCATGCTTACCTCTAAGCATGAGCGATATATCGACATAATCCGGGATGGAGTGATCGCCTTGTACCGCGGGCCGAGCGACCGCATGTTGGAAAGCTTACCCGGAAGGACAGCCACCCGTGAGCCTTCTGGTTAAAGATCTGTGGCAGTACCCCGAGCGCGACGAAGAAGGCGACTTACTTCGCGAGGCAACCGAGAAGGGTGTCTGTAACGTAGCCAGATATTACTTCCATTCTAGGTATGCATCCACTACGAGCGACCGGGTGTGCCGAGGGTTGTTCGCAAGTTTGAGAAGTGGAATTGCATGGGTCTAGCGGACCTGAGTGAAGCAAAGCTGGGTATTGTTTCGGAAGAAGCTTTCCCCGCGGCTGTTAGCACTTTACCGAATATTTTCCGCCCTTGATCCCCTGTGTGGATAAGTTACGGAGCGTGGTATTCCCCAGGAGCAAGGCGTGGAGGGTGGAGGATAGAGGAGTGTACTCGTCGATCCTCCGCAATGCCCGGGAGGAGCCAGATGTCTAGCATATGTACCCTTCGTGCTGTAGTCGCAGCACACCATCTAATACTCCCCTCAGACGCGTCGTATTACACCCATATACGAGTGCCCGTGCAATTGAGATTAACAGCTCAAAACCAGTCTAATAGATGCCCTACTCCTACTGGGATACCGTGTTACCCTGATTCAGATGGCTCCCCTGCTTCGGCATCTCCGAAGAGCGACAGTCGTTCTATAGACGACACGGTAATGGCCTAGGCAAGACAGAATTGAATCGATGACGTGACGCGTATAATACACAATTAGGGCGTAATAACGTTATCGCGAGAGATCTACCGCAAGTTTCCCTTGTCGCTATGTAAGCAGTCCTGCTCACTCAATTCTCGGCCAGCCTGAAGGATACTAAGCTATAGACGCGGACGCACTGATGTGGTGGATGTGGTAAGCTGGCTTCTATATAGGTACATTGCTCGGTCGATGGCTAGGATGTGATGCCCCCATTTCAACTCCTCCTCAATTCCCACCCTGGCGCGGTCGATAAGGACCCACTGTGTTGCTATTCAGGAGAACTTATGCCGGAGATCACCTCCAAACGGCAATAGCGAGAAGATAATTGGTTATATGGTGATATTATAGTTGGGATTCTATAAGCTAGACAGACTATCGGGACATGTGTAGCATGGGTAGGGGTAGAGAGCGAATACCCTAACCTACACAGATAGCTCACTACGTTTCGACACATCTTCATAGCTTCAGTAAGCTATCTACTATCCAATCAACCTGAGTGGCAATGTACTCAGAATAGTCCAACTATAGGAGTCGTCATATTTTCATACCTACGTAGTCACCCCGACATATCTACCCAACTCCTACCATCCAAGGAAACCTACGTAAGGATAGCCAGGCTAGTAACCGTTTTCCCCTGGCCCATTAACTCCCATTTCCATATTTTCTTATCTCCCCCCTATATCTGCAATCCTATTTTCGGATCTCCATTGTACCGTAACAGTAGAACGACGGGTCTTTTTCTGAACACACAGCCTTCACTTCCTGACAGCGCAACCAGGAGCGAATAAGCCAACCTTGCCTAACGTTGCGTTGGACGAGTTCACGTGAAACATCCAGGTTCATGGAAACCGACCTTCTGAAAAGCGTCCCCTGATCCGCAACTGCTTTGCTGATAATCGGCGAAGCTCTACACCTCCTTTATGGGGCCCTTGAAGTAGTGTCGAGCACGCACGACGTACCAAACAACGCTGAAAATCACGACTGCACCCCAGACAAGTACACTCCAGTTCGCGTCCTCAGGTGTAGTTGGCGTTATCTGCGGCCAGAACGACCAAAATAAAAGAAGGACGCTGTAGAGGCAAGCGATAACGTTGTTGACAATCCCAAACGGTTCAGGCAGCTTCCACGGGCCCCAAAACAGGTTTTCGGAATTAATAACGTCGGACGCGGCGTAGTACGGTCGGAGGGCCCCGGTGGTGCGGCGCCAGAGAAGGAGACCACACACCAACAGATAGGATGAAAATAGGGCTGCGATCGCCAACGAAAGGAGAGCGTTGAGCGCGATTGTGGAACCGAGAACGATCAGCGAGAGCAGCATAGTAGTGGCCAAAGTAGTCAAGATGGCGTTGACGGGGAGAGAGTTTCTCGTTAGCTACAGACGCAGAGTTAGTCAAACACCAGAGTATGTGAAAGGACGAAATTCTTCGCCGCGTACCTTGACCAAGTGGCTATGGAAGGGGAGGCCTTTATCACGAGAAAACGACCACAGCATACGGGAGGCAGAGGCGTAGACGCCAACACTGCTCGCGATCGCCATGACGAAAACAACACAGGCCATAACGCAGGCTCCAGTGGTCGACTTAACCGAAGAGGAGAAGATCTGGAGGAACGGATAATACATGGTTTCGGCGGCATTCACTGCCGCTTCGACGTCGCTAAGGCAAAACATAAGGGCAAGTGCCATGGCGAAAGCGAGCGACCCGTTGATCAGAATGGTGAAAAGCAGAGCACGAGGCACCACGAGCGCGGCAGACTGTATCTCTTCGGACATGTGGACGGCGCAGTCAGCACCTAATAGGGAGCCCGCAATCCCCGGAAAGCCGACGAAAAAGGACAAGCCCTGCGTCGACCAGCCGCCGTAGTTGAAGAAGGTGGTAAATACGAATTCCGCGTTGTTGTGAGGCGCGAAATAAACCATAGGGATCAGCACGCCGAAAAACCCGGCCAAGTGAAGGATGAGAATGAGGCCTTCAAATTTGGCTATCGCCCGGCTCGTGGTCGAATTCACCAACACGGCGAACAGCATCGTGCCCCAGATGAGCAGCACGGTATGCCATGCCTCTGGCACGTACGACGAATTCGTTGACAGCACTATGATTCCCTGGAGCATGGTCGCGATGATGTAGCCGACAGAGACGGCCAGAGCCTGCCAGGCCAGCGTTGTCATCCAGGCGGTCATGTAGGTGAGGAAAGTGCTGCACGACTCCGGGGCCATCATGGCGACCCAGTGGTCTGAAGAAGACTGTGAGCAGGGACTCGACGGGGTGGAGAGTCTAGAGGCGACTTACATTGCCCTCCAGCTGTAGGCGCCATCGAGGCCAGCTCGCCCAAGGCCATATACACCGATATGAATCCGACCCAATTGATCAAGAACCCCCATATCACACCGGCCGGCCCTCCGTTTAGTAGGCCGGTGATGGACGTGACCAAGATGCCTTCCCAGGACAGCAGGGCCGAGCAGGAAAAGCCGAGGATCGACATGAAGCCGAAGCCACGGTTGAGGAGCGGGCGCTTGCCCAACCGTTGCAGCTGCTCATCGTCGTTGATGGAGCCCCCTATCGTGTAGGGCGGCTTCAGCGTGTTTGCTGCGCCGTTGGGATGAGACGTGGTAACATGGAGCTCAATATGGCTCTTAGAAGGCATGGTTATCGGCATGCCGGAGGCTATGACGAGCGACGCTCGAGGTCGACGAGAACGTGGAAGAAAGGCGGGAAGGGTTGGGCCCTAGACTGTAGAATGGTATCACGGCAGCAGCAGCAAGTGAGACAAAGCTGAATCTAGTTAATCGTACAAGGCAGAAGTCTTCGGACGGATTCGAGGAGTCGATCTAGCTCCAGCTGGGCACGTTCTAGAAGGTCTTCGATCTTAAACCCTCGATCCGCGGGCTGCGTTGCGAGAAATCGCCCATACCATGTCGACAACCAACACGACAATAAGTCTTAGTCATTTCCGAACAACGAGCTGATTGCCATGTGTTCCTCGCCGGCCAAAGGCATCGGTCAATATGTTCCAACGCTTGCGCGATCTCTGGCAAGGAGATCCACGCCACAAACGGATGGGGCTAGGCAATACACCACAAACAGTTATCGAAGCATCGCTTGTTGGCGTGTCCCATCCCCCCTTATCCGTCTTGGGGGGTGTGAGAGGGGGGGGAAGGGAGAGAGTCTTACGCGAATCGAGTCGTCGGCTCACCTTCTGAGGGTGCTTGATTAAGAGGGACCTCGCACGAGCTGTCTGCAAGGGCTGCTCGACTGCCATGGCCCCCTTGCCCGAATACCGCCAACACTCGCCAATCAAGGCAGTCAACCAGAGTGTGGCGTATTGAGCGGCCGCAACTCGACAGCCGGGATCGTCGGTTCATTTCGAGTCAGCACGACCCAAGAACGCAAGCCCCCTCTCGCTTCCCCCCCCAGCCTCACTCCCGTGTGTCCCGTTCTGCACTACCATGCGCACATACTTGCACATGTGTACGTATGCTGGATCGGGCATCGCGGTCGCCCCAGCCGAGGATCCCCGATGCTCCCGGCTTTGTCAGGGTCGTATTTATAAGATACTAGCTAGCCTCTACGTAAAAGTACCTGGAATATTTCGAGCAAGCCTCTGTTAGTCCACCCTTCAAGCCTTTTTAGCACCATATCGTAGACCGCCGCGCCAACCCATGATCTTGGAAGAGTCGGACCGCCTTGGCGATCAACACCAGAACTGGGAATCCCCGCCGCGCTACGCCTGTCTCGGAGGGACGGAGAGACAGACACACCCAGGGCGAAATTCCTGTCGCGAAGTAGGCACTTGGTTTTTTTTTTGGGTTTCTCTTTTAACCCACACCACCTACACGTACTTCTCCCTCCTTATGCACATATATTGTATGTACGTGCCTCGCGCAACCCTGCTTTCTGCCCTTCCGGACCTGGAGAAGGATCCGTTAGGTTGATACTCGCGGCGCAGGTGTCTTCCGATTGAGCCAATTGTACCCACATGCCCACGACATCGTACAGAGCAGATGACACTCCCAGGAAGTTCCAGGTATTATTGCGTGACAACAGCAACCCCATCCGCTCGTCGACACACCAACTCGAGTCGCGAAGGCGGCCTGATAGGCCTATAGGCTCTGTGCTGAAAGGCCGTAACGTGGGTAGACCTAGACAGACTCCTGCGTCCGGCCAGTTCGCGACGTCTCTCTCATTCGGTGTCGTGTGTCGTGTGGGGAGGGGGGAAGGAGGGGACTGGGTAAGCGAGATTTGATCACCAGGTTGCTCGAGTCGAGGGGGCCTTTTTCCCGTGGAGGACTCGCCATAAGAGACGTATTGCCGCCTATTGGAGGTTTCAAAGCTCGGCTTGGTGCTGTCCAGGTTGGGCCACCTCTTTGCCGCGGTCGTGCAACAACTGCATGGTCACACCCGTTAGCGAGCGCCCCTGGCGAGCGAGGCTTTTGGCGTACAGAGGAGTTGGTCCTTGGAAATATCGCAGCGCCAAGCGGCAGGGTGAGCTGCTAATACACCTGGTACTGCCCCTGTTATGCCGCCATGCTACGTAGTATCCATCCATTCCCCCATCCCCGCTAGCCTTTTACGTAGTTCCACATACACTTTCATGGCAACTTAGTTCCCGTCCTGTCGAGGTGGAAGCTCCCGAGATCCCGCTGTCCCTCGCCTTTCCCCTCCTGGATAAGGGGAGAAGAGAGAGGGGGGGAAGTCGGGGATAGCGGCCGGAAGGCAAGAATAGCAGAGCCCTTATACCTACCCAATGAATAACACGGAGAGTAGCTGTGCTATGCTATGCAAATTCCAAGCGTGGTGGCTGGGAATAGATGAAAACGTGTAGCAGGAGCTGGAGGCACTTAAAAGGAGTGAAAATATAGGAAGATCCTCATGAAATACCGAATCCTGCTGACATCAGGACGGTGGGATCCGGATACCATGCGACGAGCAGGCATGGCAGAGACGCGACTGGACGGCAGAGATAAGAAGCTATTCCCCCTGGGAAGAATGGTCTGCCATTTATGAGGCCCCGGAGGCTATGGTACCTACTCTTATCCAATCCCTGCCATTAGGATGCGATCTTATTTACCATAGGCATCCTGTAACGTGTGGTTTCGATGCACCCAACAGGTATTCCGGCTTGACTCATGTCGATCCGAGACAGCATGAATGTACGCAGGTATGGATGTGGACGCGGCCTCCTCAAATAAGCTATCGGGTCCGCTGCTGAGAGAGAGAGAGAGAGAGACCCATGGGGAAGATCTCACTTGAATCTGTGTAAGCGCCGTACGAGACATCGGTTGGCCGGATGGCGTGCGCCCTCCCGTCCTCTTCCCACCTACATCTACATATTTATCCCCCGGACTTGCGCACGGGCACGCGCACGAATCAAGGCCCCTCTCTCTCTACTCCATCTCGGCACTTGAGGGGGCTCTAAAATTGCACATCGTGATCGCATGGCGCAAAACCTTTAATACGCTTCGTTTGCGAGAAAACCCTGCCGCCGCCGCTCTCTGTGCCTTGCCACCGATGTCTGACCCGCCGTCGCTCGTCTAAAATCGATCTTAGGATCCAGTGCTTCTCACGGCCTCGACGTGGACTCGTCGGCGCCTCTCACGATGCTGTCTGCGCTCCGTCGCGCCTCGGCCGAGGCCGCTTCCCCGCTGCCGACGGGGATCGTTGTCACGGACTCGAACCTGAACCCCATCCTACAGATGATCACCTGGCTCTTGCTCGCGTTGACGGCGCTCATGCTCTGCTTTCGGTTCCTGACCAAGTTCTTCCTGAGGACGAACCAACGGTTCGGATGGGAAGAGGTGTTTATCACGTCTGCATTCGTGCGTGAAGCTTGCCTCCCTTCTTCGCCTCTCCCCGCTATGTATAGTTATATAACCTGGTAGCCGGTGGGGTTAACATGCAGGCGTATAATAGCTCTCTGGTGTCGGTGAATCGGTGACGTTCCTCGTCCCGGCGGGAACGATTTTTGGCAAGGATTCGGGGGACATCTCGGGCGCGGAGCTGACAGCAGGCTTGAAGGTATGCTCGGCCAAGCTTCGATGCGATGCGCAGCGGCACACACACTCGCTTACGGAGGCTAATTTTGGATATCAGGTCCAATACGTCGGGGAGCTCCTCTTTATCCTTACCCTCGGGCTTGCGAAGCTCTCGGTCTGCGCCGGCTTCACGGCACTGTCGCTAGACACAGAACACCGCCGCCTCACCTCCATCTTCGCCTCCGTGTCTATAGCATGGACCGTGGTGGCTTTTGTCGGAACTGCTTTCCAGTGTGGTGCTAGCGGGCCGTGGGAGGGGGGGGACCTCCAGTGCCTCGACAAGGTGAGAGAGAGCTAGCTGGCCATGCCACAAGAGGGAGGGAGCAGCGGATGCTAACCAACAACTGATCAGCACGCATTTTTATATTATGTTACTATTTCGAACATCATAACAGACATCGCGCTAATACTGCTCCCGGTGGCCGTGATATTACCCCTGAACATAGACTTCAGGGCGCGAGTCGTCGTCTTGAGTTTCTTCTCCGTAAGAATATTGTTCGTATCACAAGTCCCCCCTATCCCCCCCCCTCTCTGTCGCTCCGGCGATTCTAATACCGGTACGAAGGGCTATCATAGCCACGGCCTTCCAGATGACCTACATCCCCCGCCTCTTCGAAGACAATTTCACGTTGCGGTCCTTTCCGTATTATCTTAGCGCGCAATTCGTCCAATTCGCGAGCATATCCGCCGCTTGCGCCGCGTATCTCTGGCCGTTCCTCCGCTCGTTGCGCAGCGGCCTCTTTGCGGCCGACAAAACCGGCTTCCCGTCCCCGTACGCTTTATCCAAACTGAACAAGGGCGTGCGTAAGGACGCAGATGTTGATATGTCGGCAGGTAACTCCTCGAGGAACAGGGATCGGAGCAACTACATCAAGATCACCACAGACAATACGGTGACTACTTCGACACGAAGTCACGAGTCCAAACCCCACGAACCGATCGGGACAGAGGCGTATATGAAGGGCTGGTAGCAACAAGGAACGGACAGTGGCGTTAAAAAGGATTGGGGATCGGGTTGGCCATTCTGTACTATAATACCCGAGTTGTCGCAGTGGGGATCAATACTCGTGATAGTATGAAATACGACCGAAACAGCAATAGTATCTGCGTTTGTGAGGATGTGCGTGATCCATGATTTTTCTCTATTTTTCGACCGAGCCTCACATACCGATATGTGAACCAAGATATACCCCGATCCTTTCGTTGACCAGTAATAATACCCCTTTCTTTCCCCATACCTGTATCAGCCCTATCGAAAACAGGGACCAACCTCCGATACCATCGCCCCGGGTCTCCCAACTGCCATGAGACAATCAACAACAACCGCACCCCGGGGGGGTGGTTGGCTTAGTCATATCCTAACGTAGCCTGGACATTGCCGTCCACGAAGAGGTTCACATCTTATTCTTGTTGGACGGGAACATCGAGAAAGACGATGAGGCCAGCATCTCGCTTCTCCTCGACCGGGACGTCCTGCAAGACGATGGTGCTCGTATCACGCTTCTCTTCGACTGGGACGTCCTGCAAGACGATGTTGGTCGACTCCCGTTTGTCTGGAACTGTTTAGCCGCACGTCTCAACTGGGTTTCGGCCTGGTAGGTCTGTGTAGGGCCGGATACCTGAGCTAATGGGAGCAGCGAGAGCCGAAAGGCCCATGAAAGCCGCGATGACAATCTCGAAAAGCATGGTCTCGGAAGGAAGTGATGGTGATCTTATAAAGATGCGAAGGGCAAGAGGGAGTGAGGGCGACTTGTTGTGATGCTTCGAATGTCGGTGTGCGAGGTAGTCGAGCAACTTCGTGACGATTCGCAAGGTCTGGAGAGCAGGGCGCCCGAGTGCCTTTATCCTAGAGGAGGTACCACACCAAGTCCCGGATGATCGTCCCATGCTGTCTCAATAAATCTAGGTATACGAATAGCCTTCCCCCCCCTCCTCTTTCTACCCCTCTCCCACCCCGATGACCGCTGGGATCGACCGGTGGCACTGCATAAAGATTGGCGCATGTGATCTCAACAACAACCGGTTTCACCATTGAAAGCCTGGACGTTGCGGTTCGTCTTATGCCGCCAGCCTAAGGACGAGACCGCCTCGGGATCGCTTCATTTGCCTATTCGATGCCGCCAATAGCTCGGCTGCTAGGCGCAACCAAGCGGTGACATGTCGCACCCCTCTGTGCTTCGCAAATCCTTCGAGTTGCTTGCGTTCCAGGGACCAGCGTAGCGCCTCCGATGATACCTACAGAGAAGCTGATGCAATGTTCGGCCCGTCTAAGAGACCAATGGCATGGCACACCATCGTCGGTATATGCCGAATCGTGGCCCGAAGGGGTGTAGCTCGACACCGGTTGTTTAATATTAGCGTCTTGGGCTTGAAGATCCATACACCGGGCCTGGGCGTAGGGCGTAGTTCAACGGGACCCTGAGAGCACGATGAGAGGAGCTTACTATGCGTACGGACTCACCGTGCGTCGATTCCCTGGCATAGCTCACGAGCAGGAACAGGTAGAAAAACTGGACACGTTGTAGGTAACATGTCCGTTACATTGCAATGTCGAGAAATCCCGGCCGAGACTACCGTCGTTACTCTCTGTCTGCTGGGAGGGGGTCGTCGATCCGCCGGGAGAGGAACGAAACCCGAAAAAGAAAAAAAGGCGGCTTTCCCCTCCCCACACGAGCGCACGTACATCCATGGGTAGGTTGCTCGCACACGGCCCTGTACAGCCTACATAAAAGGCCGCAGTGAGCTTATCGTACGGTAGTTGGCGATCTCTGTTCCTGGGCTGGGACCGGGGTTGGTGCAGGGATCTATTGGTGTGTTCCCCGGCTATGGTGTGATGACTTTTCCGTGCCAACCTAGATCACTTACAAGGGAGTTCGTGTGGCCTCGATATAAGACTCATCACCGTGGTTCCGCCTCTACACCGCAGAGAGGGGGGGAATTGAGCCAAAGGAATACAAGAGAAGGCTGGCGCCAAGGATGGCCGACCGTAACGCAGAGGAGACATCTATCAGTTCCATGATCTTATAGCCTACCTTCATCCGTCCCTGGCTCGCATCTAACCATTTATTCTGCTCTCGGATTTTCCCAACCTCGCCCGCCACCATGGAAAAGCACGCTGAGGGTAGTCAAGACTGCCTGCTAGGACCACCGAGCGAATGTGGCGACAACGAACCGGGCGGGATAGGCAGCAGGCACACGTGCTCGGAAAGATCGTGGTTGCGCACCAATGCCATCTCTCTAGCAATATTGTCACTTTTGGTATATATCGCGACCCTACAGACGATCGGACTCTCGTCGAAATGCCCACCATGGAAGGATGATGTCGTCGGCGACGAGCACCTGTGTAAGCCCCCCCCCCCCGGGCCCTGTCCAATTTCTAGTCTGGCTGCTTACCAGAACCAGCATTGCTTCGGGGTGTGGTGAAGTACGAAGTGCGGCCGGAGTGGCTCCAGCCTCAGTACCCGTGGCATCAGGAACCATCTGACGCGCTGGATGCGGTGTGGGATGATTTGTTGTATCGTCAGTGGCACGCTTTACGACCGTACTCACGAACATCTCGCTAAACTGTGCCCAGCCCTCAATGTCAGGATCCGGAAGGACGAGCTGAGCCTCCTAAAGGAAAATACGACGAACCGGGTGCAGATCACGGGGGGGAACGGTGACGACTACGTCGGTGTGATTGGCGTATACCACCACCTCCATTGTCTCAACAACATCCGTCGGCTGTTGAGCTGGGACTACTACGGGCCCAGCATGGCCGGCGAGAAGCACATCGAAGGCTTCTCGGTCGAGCACTCGCGTATTTACCCCACCACCCTGCTCCCCTTGACCCCTTACCCCTTACTCCTTACTCCTTTGCCGGGCTTTACGTCCCGGAAGAGGAAGAATAGGCGAGCTAACGATTCCTCTCGTCACCAGAGCACTGCATCGACACGATCCGCCAGGCGCTGATGTGCCATGCCAATATTGGACTCTATACCTCCGAGTGGGACGAGGAGACACACATGCCGAGCAGGTCGCTGGAGACGAACTCGGTAACGACGTGCGTGCGATGGGACAGCGTGAATGACTGGGCGCGCCAAAGGGCACTCCGACCTGGACAATATAAGTACAAACGGCCGCATTTGCCCTCGTGAGGCGCGTACGGATGGACCGACGGCTAGATAGCGAAAGAGGCCGGGGGGGGGGGATGGGTGGGCGAGGAGTGGAAAGCTGGTGAGGAGTCCCAGCTCACATCCCGCAGTCCCTAGGTGCAGGATAAGCGCACGCCCGTCTATCGTGTATTGCTATTATTGATATCACCTACCTATAATATGCCATCTGCAACGACGATCATCTCGGCCGTTTGCCGTATGTCCCGCGTCGCGGCCTCGTACCTCGCCCGTTGGGTTGTTTGCATTTATTATACGATGTCGCGAGTTACACCACTAGATAACGAGCTCGCTCGACGAGGTGCGACAATGCGGATGTGATATCCCATATTCCTTGCAGGTACTGGGGTGGCTACGTTATAAATAGCCGGCCACGGGACCCATAGCGTGCCATTGATCTCTGGCCCTCGGAACGCTGCCGAAGCGGCGTCGGATTGTATGGTACGCTGGAGGCTATACGTAATGGCTAAACGAGCGGCGTGCGAATCAACGAGCGGTCGAGGGGTAGCAGAGCGGTAGGGCATGCCCATCTGAGGGTCTGAGGGTGTGGATCGTCGACGCCGCTACACAAATAACGGGACCAACTCCCGGCATAGCAAGCTATTTTAAGATTGCATGCGTCTAGTGTCCCCCGCCTTTGCCCAGAGACGAGTCGTCGTCGAGTAGCGATGTGTGAGTATTCTTGCATCGTGCTTCGGGGGGGGAGACAGCAGCCTAGTGTGGTTGGCGTCCGATGGTAGCGATGGTGAACGATGGTAGCGATGGGTTCGTTCCGTGGGGGGCGTCGACGGCAATTGTCAGACATGTAGGTATTGTCGTGGACGTGCGTAGCCGTGCGACAGGGGGAAAAAAAACCAAAAACACAAATACCTACGACTCGCTAAGGCGAGATCATCGTGGTGGTGGTTCATCATGGTGGTGGTCCACCGCAGAGACCTTGGATTGCATCTGGGCTGAATACGGACGGCAGCCGTTGCTCATTGGATGGTCACCCTCCCTATGCAACGCCGTCATGCCTCCCCCTCCCCCTCCCCCTCCGCTCCCCTCCTCTTCCCCCCCCTCCTCTTGTGCCTCTCTCTGTCTCCTTCGCCTTCTCCCCCCCTTCCCTCTCCCTCTCCCCTCTTCTTCCTTCTTCTCCCTCCCTTGCCCGTAGTCATGCGTATCTACACAGGAAGCTGGCCGCCGCACCGTGACCCAGGTGTGAAAGATACCTATGCAATCATCTGTCGCATTCGGCACACGATGTAACTCGGCGCAAGCAAGGGGATGGCATTAATTGGACGGGAATGGGTGGCCGGGAAAAGAAATGTCACACGGCTCGCCAGCCAACCAACACCAGCGTCGAAGACTCGTCGACCCGGAAATACCTGTCACTTAAAGGAGTGTTACTCACTTAATTCCGCCGGTCGAGGTCCCTTTCCCTTGGTCCAATCCCAACCCGCACTGTCACCTTCTCCCGAGCTGCTTTCCCTTTCACGTTGCCACCACACCGCCAGACACTCCATCGCGTGCCCACAGGCGAAGTGCCCTCGGCATCGTAGGAATCTCGCTGCACATTACCCGAACCAGCCAAGTGATCCGCCGGCTGATCTCGAGCAATAACAAGAGAGATTGAACGACGAAAATACACGCACGCACGCACGCACACACATACATACGTACATACGCGCACAACCAAGATGGCAGAATACCCGGTCTCGGAAGGCGAGGTGCCCTTCGACGCCCCCGGCGCCGGAAAGCCCTGCAAGACTTGGTACAAGGTCGTCGGCAGCCTCGGATCGGGCAAGCCGGCCCTCGTCACGCTCCACGGTGGGCCCGGCGCTGGCCACGAATACCTCAAGTCGCTGACGGACATCTACGAGCAGCACGGCATCCCGGTCGTGTTCTACGACCAGATCGGCTGCGGCCGGTCGACCCACCTGCGCGAGAAGAAGGCCGACGCCGGCTTCTGGACGTTCGACCTGTTTATGCGTGAGCTCGACAACCTCGTCGAGCACCTGGGCCTGCGCCAGAGCGGCTTCTACCTGTTCGGGCAGAGCTGGGGCGGCATGCTCGGCGGCCTGTACGCGAGCGGGCGACCGCGCGGCCTCCGGAAGCTGGTAATATCGAGCGGACCCGCCAGCATCCCGCTCCTCGTCGAGGGATTCGGGGCCCTGATCGCCGACTTGCCGCCCGACGTCCGCAAGACTATCGAGGACTGCAACAGCCGCGGCGACTACGAGAGCCACGAGTTCGAAGAGGCTGCCGCCGTCTTCTACAAGCGCCACGTCTGCCGCCTCGACCCGCCGCCCGATGACGTGCAGTGCGCGTTCAAGAACCTCAAGGAGGATCCCACCGCGTACCTGACCTTGTAAGTAGGACGAGGCGCATCCCTACCCTGCCGGCATATAAGCGAGAATGTGAGAAGAGGAGAGAAACACACACACACAGAGAGAAAGAGAGAGAGAGAAGAGGGAAATGAAAGGAGGACGAAGCTTGGTGCTAGACTGCCGGGGTTACTTACTCGCTCGCTCGCTAACTTGTTCCAACAGGCAAGGCCCATCCGAGTTCGTCATCATCGGCTCCTTCAAGGATTGGGAGGGGTACCACAACGCCCACAACATCGAGGTGGAGACGCTGCTCCTCAACGGTCGCTATGATGAGGCCACCGACCTCTGCATGGAGCCTTGGTTCAGAACGATCCCCAAGGTCAAGTGGGTGACGTCCGAGAAAGCGAGCCACATGGGCCACTACGAAGACCGCGAGCGCTACATGAAGGTCTTGGGTTCATTCCTCGTGAGCGGCGCCCCCTGAGGAGGCCTGTCTGGCCTCCTCTCCCTTTGCTCGCAGCGCCGAGTTGACGCGCCTGGTGATTGTCTGTGGGAAGGATTGGTGGAGGATAGAAGGGTGAGACTCTCGTCGAAGACTTCCGGGTCTAGACCAGCTAGTTTTGGGGCCTTAATGGTCTCACCCAAGCCACACGGAGACGTAATCCTGCACTCACGACAGGCTGCTCGACGAGAATAGGACGGTTGTTGCTCGTGGATGCTGAACCGAGAGACGGGATGCGTCATGAATTTCCCGAGCACGGAGAGTATCCATGCCGTTCTAGTACCTAAAAACAAAAACAAAATTTTAGCTAGATGCACCGTGATTCAAGGCAACATGCAGCGTGCTCCCGGCCAATTCACCTTAGCTACGTAAACATGGGTGATGTCAAGGAGGCCTATTGGCCACGACGCCCGACTTCAACTCGGCAATTCACCCTCTAGACTAATAATAATGATAATATCACACCCCGTATCGACAAGGCGTCGAGATTCTCTACCGCCGGAATAATTGATATATCTTCGGAACTCAATGCCCCGGATTTTGCCAGCAACCAGGGGGCTGGAGAGGGGGTGTTAGGTAGAGATCTAGACCCCCCCGAATACCCCTACTCATAGTTAGCGAGAATGATCGCCGAACGAAGGGGGTGGGTGGGGTGGAAAGGAGAAAGGGGAAAGGGGAGAGAAAGGGGCCATAACGCCAGGGGTAGCGCGCCGAGCAAATGGAAGCAACAACGAGATCGTATCATGATCACAATTGTCGATTTCGACTCTTCACCGATTGCCCTTGATTTAGAGACATCTAATCAGCCACAACATCGTGCACAGCGCTTCTGAACCAGCTCCCGGCACCACCACGTGGCAAGGGGTGAACCACCAAGATAGCTTCCAGACCCACTACATACTGTGGTCCGAATAACCTCACAGCGGAGTACCGGCTCGGACAACGCCCGAATCACCTTCCAGCACAATGTTGTTTCGGCAAGCCTGCCTTCGGAGGCGTCTGCTACGTGTGATCGCCGACGTGAGCAGGATCAACGTGTCCGATGCACATCACCGAACGCAGGCCCGCGTCGCGCCGCTGTAGGCCCTCTGGACTTCTCCGAATGTGTAAATATTGGGGGCGGAAGTCGTCGGGTCGCGAACGCACATGTCTAGCGGGAACCGACAAGTGACTCGAGGCCTCGGTAACAAACTGTGCATTGTGCGCGCGATCGACGTCAACACAGACAGCTGCTAGCCGCGGCGGCGACACGGTGTTCGACTCGAGCTGTCGGAATCATCCGACGAGAAACGCGAGGCCCGCGGATACTAGCCAGCCCGCGATGTTGCCGGCGCCGGGAGAGCACCTGCAGAGGCAGCGCGAGACCCCCGCGAACGAAGCATCGCGGGCGCAGCGTCGAGCTGCCGGCGCTGCTTGCGTGATCTCACCTGCTCCGCGCACACCGTTCCCCAGCGCAGTGCCACCCGGGCCAGCCTGCCGGTGGTACGGGCTAAACTTTCCTCCTCTGCCGGTGCGCCCAGCCATTCTCGAGGCGGACGGCGCCAGCGCAACGAGGTGAGCCCCCCCCCCCCCCCCCCCTCCCCACCAGCTAGGCGTCGGGCGGCCTGGCCTGCGCGCGGGACCTCGAATTGGCATGCAGCCCTCGAGGCGAGATCGCGGAGCCACGTCTCCTTCTCTTCTGCCTGCTGACACAGCCAGGTCCCTGAGCGGGCGCGGCCGACGCCGTGCGTAGATCGCCGACGATCAGCTCCTAGGGAGAGGGGGGGGAGTTGGTCCTGGCGATATGCCGTGTCCGTTACAGCCGTCGGGGGGGGCCGCAAGCTAACGGGCGCTCGATGTGCGACGCGACGAGGCCGTCTCTCTACGAGAGGGGATCGTCCAGTTCCGGCGGCGGGGGACAGACTGATCGCCGCGGAACCCGCTGTCCCTGGTGGCCGAGCGCCAACTGCCCTGCGCAGAGTAAGCAGCGCGCCCCGCATTCGCGCGTCGCCGTCGCGGGACCTGTCACCGCGACCCGAGCAGCGGCTGCCAACTCGAATGCAAGATGCCGCGAGAGAGAGGTGGCCCTCGTGACTCGAATGCGTCCCCGCGTCCCAGCATATTACCTGCCTACCTCGCACCGCGCGGCACTGCGATGGAGCGTGCGTTTCTGCGCCAGCGGCACGTAGGTAGCCGAGGCACGCTGTCATTTTTTTCTATTCCCTCGGGCAGCGGACATCTGCTCTGGTCATCAGAATCGGGATGCAAATCCTTGGCCTTCACCGAAAATATGACTTCCTCACGTGCCTGTGTATGTCTGTAGTTTGCCGTTAGAATCATTCGTCTCTGTATGGAATCTCGAGAGGATGCTCGGGAACGTGTATTGCCTGCATCAAGGAGGGCGTTTCAGAATCACGGGAGTTGATTACGTATGAGCTATACTCAGAGGTTATGGCATAAGGGGGGTTCAACAGGTTTTTAGATGCGCCAGGTGACCGGCTGGATTTGGAAGGTTGTATTCGCAACTCGCTCCCGTCTCAGTCGACATCAGGAGAATCTAGGCCTGGCCCCTCAGTTCCCCTCTGTATCTGTATATTGTTCATTCTATTACCATTTACGCCGTCGCTCGGCTCTTCATTGCCGCATTTTGCCTCTGCATTCACACCGCTTTCCAGCTGTTTCTCTTGTTTGACTGGCTTCACCCGCATCTCTACTCTCAAGAGTTCCACTTCGAGGACCGGACGCGCGTCACCCACCTTGGCCTTGAGGCCGTCCTGGTCGACATCGAAATATAACGCCCAAAAGTCGCCCTCCCGAACAACAAAGAAGCCTTCCCAGCCGTTGAACGTTAGTCTGTGATCTTGTCGAGTGCAGTCGAACGGGCCCGGCCAGTTCGCCTGGGCCTGCGGGCGAGTGCCGAACTTAAGCTCGTAGGTGCTTCGGTCGACGTAGATCCAATTCATGATAGGTGGCTCCTCGCAAATTGTCGAAACGAGCCCCGAGTGCTTGGTATCCGGATATGGTAAGAAGTAGCCGGCAAACGGATGGCCGAAGACTTGTTCGTAGTCGGTGCCAGTATCGATGTAGAGCTACATGAGACATCAGTCGGCCTGGCTATATTATTTTCCACAGAACGAGGTTCGAGAAACGCGTGCCTTGTCTCCGGAGAGCACTACTCGCCTGCCCTCGAGGATATGGCTGTATTGACAAGACTTGAGACATCTTAGTATAAGATTATTCTTCCGACTTCTGTGCTCCTTTCTCCTGGCGTCCGACTGAATTTGTCGAATCGCCTCGGACGCGCCTACGACAGCCGAGAAGGCGACGAGAAATGTGAGGGGCTGGGTCATGGTTTCTGCTCTAACTGGGCGTTGCACCGCGCTAGACGAGAGAAACAGGACATGGTGCTCTTATGATGATTCATATTACCTGTGCTCGAGGATAGCCGAGTAGCTGTACCGCGCGTAGCACGCTGGCCTCTTGCATGACCAAGTACGACGGATCCTCCAATAGCCAGTCTGCTCCCTGTCTCGGCTCAAATTCAGTTATCCACAACCGCCCGAATCCGTCCTTGAGGGAATAACATGCGTTGGATCCGTGCACTTGGGGAACCAGCATGTACCCTAGGTGAAAGGCTGAGGGCACGGGGGGAATGTTAGTACGAGGCACTTCCCCCTACCTCGGAGGTCTTCCCGGTGAGTAAGGTCTATATAGATTGGTCTCGAAGGTGAGTTGTCATGCATTTCCGGTGACGAGGTGTAACTGTCCAGACTTAATGCTTCATCTAATCATACGATTGATGGCCGCCCTCGGCATCCTCCACCATCAAAAAACGCATCGGGTCTGGACATCGTTAGTTGAAGAAGAGAGCCGGAGGGTTCGTCGCTCCGGCCATCAAATCTTATGATGTTGACGAACATGCGAGATGCCCTTTGCAGATTCGTGTGACGCTTATTCATGGTCCAGACCTTGAGCGGCAGAGGACAGGTCTGTAGCTCACCGCCCGCTCGGAGAGCTCTTAGCATTTTTAGCCAACGACCTGAGAGAGCTCCTGGGGTTCATAAAGGGTCCCTCGAACCCCTCCCTCACGATGGACCTCCTCCTTCCCTCCGACCCACACGTCCTGGACTCCGAAAAGAAATCCCTACGTGCTCTCAGGCGGCCTCGAGCAGATAGTGATTCCCCGCCTACTGAAGAAACAGATTTCCCTCAGCAACCACGCCCACCGTCTCCTCCCCCGCGCAGGTCATCCTGGGGCTTCGTTCGGTTTCATCTGCCAAGGGAGCCCGAGTCGCCCAATCCTCCGCTGAGGAGAAAGTTGAAGTGGTCGTCCCTCCGATCCCGAGCGGACTCCGCACCCACGCACCACCCGAATCAGGACCTTGAGAGTCCTATCGCCGAAGAACCGGGACAGCAAGTCACTACCATGTCTACCCCGTCGGTGTTGCCCGTCTGTAGGATGAAGGCTCTATGTTGACATCTCGAAGCGCAGCAACCGCCGCTCCCACGGGCGACCAGCCCCTATCCGGCCGAGATGACCGAGACAGCACCGCGAGGCATGGCCTGCCGATGCCAGGGCTCTCCGGCAACGCCAATGGACCCATCGGTGAGCTCCCGCGCCGTGTCCGGCGACTCTCGCCGGCCGGCCGTGTTCAGCAGCAGTCGGGGCTAACTCAAACGGGCCAGGTAACCTCCTCAAGGGCCCCGTCGACGACGCCGGGCGCCTCAAAGACGCGGCGCTACTGGTCGGGGTCAAGCTCGATCTTGAGGCTGAGATACACGCCACAGCTAGGGTCCGTGGTGACATTGTGGTGGGGCTATATTGATACCGAGTTCGGAGACGAGGTGTGGCTCGGGGACAAGGTGAGGGCGGGCTACAAAGCCATCGTCCAGGGCATCGCACTCTACCACCCGTCGGGACGCGGGCACGACTCCGCTGTTGTCGCCTCTATCGTGCTGCACGTCTGGGCTAGCGGGCCGAGGGGTTTCTTGCTTGCGACATTTAGGTGTCTCGCGTTTACGCTCGTTTAGCGGGAGAGGTGGAACCAGTCTCTTGTGTATCGAGAATCGCCATCATCAGCATGGTCGTCAGCATGGTCGTCAGCGTATACGCTGCGCTAGGGTTAGGTACTTGAATTCATACCCCCTGTCGTTCCTTTCGCCTCTATCGGGGTTTCGCGTCGCGTATGCTACTCTGCGAGGGAGGGAGGGAGAGGTAGACGAACTCAATACCACATAGTGTAGGTGTCCGCTCGGGTAGGTAAGTTAACGGTCAAGGAGTCTCCTCCATCGTGCCAGGTGAAGGCAGGAAGAGACGGGGCAGGGAGGTCGACAGTCGCCTCCTCATAGGACCGTTAGCCAGGTACGTTAGATTGAACCTCGACGTCGTCCTAGTCCCCGCTGCGGAGGGGTAGGAGGCGCTGCCATGATGAGGTTAGAACGCACAAAAATAGAAACAAGCTTTGCGTGGATGAGACAGAAAGTGGCGAGATGCTGTCGCGGGATGTCTTTCCTGATGGCACGCGAATTATCCGCAGATATTGCATCTAGGGTAGACTTGCAGACGATCCGGCAACGCCCCGCAAAATGCGTGTGCGCATGTACGCCGTTTGCAATTATCTGACAACATCTCGGTATCGTTGCAGGGATGGTCCACGGCGTACATATCATGGAAGTGCTGACGACTACTCACATAGTATTTCTGTATGTATCACATTTCATTTCTAAGTTTTGTGCGAGAAATAAACACCCCATCTAAATAAAGGGGTTCGTGCAAATGTCGCCCATGGCGGCGGCATCCTAAATTTAGGCGCCTACGGTATTGCGCAGCTAAAATTGTAGGTGTGCATTGTCAACATTGTCAATGCTCCGAATCTGAACCCGCAGTACCCGTTAGGGCACTGTCCTATCGGTTAGCGCATATGCGTAGCGCGCAGTTAGCGGGGTCCCCCCCCCACAGCTGAAAAAAAAGGGAAAAGAGGCAGAAGGAAAGAAAAGGAGGCCCCGATATAATCTAACCTCGAACGAAATCAGGGATGGGCAGCACTTTATGCCACTCTTTCTCCCGTATTGACGCCTTACATATCGCCGCGTGCACTTAGGTATGAAGTGTGGACTCACTCCTATTTCCTAATTTCACGACATGACGACATGGTCCGCGCGCAACCCGCGGGCATGGATGGGCAAAGGTCGCGAGTTTTTGCAACCGCCGTGATCGACAGAGGGCTGCTTGCTCGCCTTACAAAACAGCTCACTTCAGTCACGCCCGCGACGAGGAAATTCGCTCCCCAGGAGGACCCGGCGCGATCCTGCGAATGAGAGGCATCCCGATTCCCGTTTCGTAATGGGCCGAGTTAGCTTGTTGGTCGGTAAGTCAGCCCAGACCGAACGGGCCCGACGCCATGGTTCGATGGCCCCACGCAAGGTCAGACCATCATCACTTCATCGCCCAGCGCGTCCCGGCGCTCAGCTCCAAGACCATCCGGCTGAGTCTTCGTCTTAACCGCGCCGGCTGGTATATAAGCGAATATGGAATTCGGATCGGTGGCCATCGTAGTTGCCGTCTTTCCCATCTCAGCCTCTCTTCCAGCATCGTAGAACGCACCCCTGCCCAAGAAAACCGGGTTTTGTAGTTGGCCTGTCGCGAGCATCGAATCCAAGATCCTTCCGCTCCCAGAATCCGTGCACGGCAACTGATAAAGAGACGGGAAAACATGGGGCCCTCCTCTCGTCCGAGACAACATATCGATCGCAAAGAGCTATACACCAACCTCGAGACACGAATCCAATATCTGCATTCTTTTATCGACTTTAGTTCCAGTACGGACGCAGTCTTGTCCCACTCAAATGGATAGGTTAGCTAACACCGCCACTAGACGACATTGAGGCGCTCATTTCGGGTTCCAAGTACATCAAGCAGCTGATCCCGGCCATCGTAAACATCGTCTACCAGAAGCTGCTGCAGTACGACATCACCGCCCGCGCGCTGGAGACGCGGAGTACGAGCTATGAAGGCCCTGTCGACGACAACCTGAACGAGAACAGCCCGCAGATCCTGCACCGCAAGATGTTCCTGCGCGCATACCTCGCCAAACTGTGTTCCGATCCTAGCACGCTCGAATTCTGGGAGTACCTCGACAAAGTCGGGTGAGTGGCCACGATCCCTTTTTTTATTCCCAGAGCCCCCATTGGTGCGCTCTGTCCTGCGCCGTTCCTCCGGCTAACCGCGACGGTCTAGCATGATGCACACGGGACGGGGACGCGAGCACCCCCTGCACGTGGAGTACGTGCACATCGGGGCGTGCCTGGCCTTCATCCAGGACACGCTGACGGAGGCGCTGCTGTCGCACCCGCGGCTGCGGATGGACAAGAAGATCGCGCTGGTCAAGGCGATCGGCAAGGTCATCTGGGTGCAGAACGACCTGTTCGCCAAGTGGTACGTGCGCGACGGCGACGAGTTCGCCGACGAGATGGAGCAGCAGAGGATCGAGCCCGAGGGCTTCCTACACGGCAAGCGAATACTCGACGACATCGAGGAGGGCCTCCCCGCCGCCGGCACCTGCCCCTTCTCCGGCTTCTCCGCCGGTGCCAAGGCCGAGACTTGCAACGGCTGCGAGAAGGACGGGGAAAAGGAAGGGACCTGCGCCGGGACGTCGGTGGCGGCGGCGACGACAACTCTACCCATACGAGAACACGTCGAGACGCATTGAGCCACGACTGCGCGGCCGACGTGACCGCTGCGCTTCGAGGGGTATTCTTTTGGGAGGAGATTTCGTCTTTCGGTCCGGTGCCTGGGAGTGAGCGCATGAGGCTGGGCCTGAGGACACGGGCATCGATTGATTAGAGCTGGTTCAACAAAGCATCAAGGGAGGCGAAGGGAGCGGCGTCAAGGGAATTTTGTTGCTCGAGTTGGGTTCTCGGGATGCATCACGCATTTATGGACTGTAGGGAACATCATAACTCCTTCTATATATACCTATATACCTATACATATATGAAGATTACAAGAAAGGATCACGGTTAATGCCGACGACTTAGTGCTGGTGACGCACCTCGAGTTAGCGGCGATCGTGGGAAATGCGTCTCAGCACCGGGATGTTTTTCTCTTCGGAGCGACGCGGGATACTCTTCGACGCGAAGCCAGAGGGGTTGATTTAGGTACCTTAGGTGCCAATGGCACATCCGTAGGGTACGTGCCCTGCACGCGGACTCGACGAGTCCTATGACGTAATCAATGGGGAAGAACAGGTATGAGTAAGTATCCAGGTACCTACCCGCATCCCCGCCCCCACTTCGAAAACTTTGAGGGGTAATACTTGGAGGGGTACTCGACGGGTAAAGAGCAACCTCTTTTTGTTATCCAACTTATACCAAAACAAGCCTCGTAGTTGCCTCCTTCCGGTGTCTAGCATTAAGATGGCTTTCCCAGGGCGATATGCCTTGGTGGGTGTGTTAGGGTATGTTTAGGGCACATAATAAGCCACGTTTCTTTTACAATTATCTCACGGCTTACCTATCTTCCATGGCTCCAGTTCACCCACCACTCTGCTCCCACCTTCAACTTTTATCGTTTCTGACTTCGGCACACTTCTATAACCAAACAGCTCGTGATATTGTCCGCAACAATTCCTCTATGACTACCGTTTCCCACCACTACGACGCAACGCGAATTCGACGTCGTGAAGCCACAAATTCCTCCTTAGCCACGGCTTGCCATCTCCCGGAGGGCGATCATGGCCATGCCATCTCTAAGCCGTCCCCGGAGCGCGAATTGCTCGAGGAGTTGAACACGCGGCTCTATGCCGGCACAGAGCCAAGGCAAAATTGCTTCCTAGACCAGGAGAAACTATCCAATCCCATTGGATGGATGTGACAGCGCTACTGACTGTGAGTACTAAAATTCCCACGGTATCAAGTCTCGGACTTTTTCCGTTTCATCAGTGAGCAGCCGAAGGTCGTATTCGCAGCGTCCCACCTCGTCCTATATTAGCTGGGCAAACACATACCAATAGCTCTTTTCGGAACTAACGTCGCAGGAAAGCCAGATACCTCGTACAATGGCCTGCTGTCTGCCCTCCGCCCGTCCCTCTTCCCGCCGACCCGTTTACCTATGGCCAAATGGGGACCTGGTATTGCCAAAACTACCATGGTCCATTCCGAAAATGGCAGCAAAACCCAATCTACGCATCTCGGATTGATCAGGATCAATAGCGACGATGGATCAATCGTCTCCATCCCGAATATCCCGGATGACTAGCCAGGGCTACAACTATGACATGGTAGCTTCACCCCTCACTGAGGGCACATCCCTCTAACTTTCCAATCAGAAATGGCCATCTTAGTATCCTATACTAGCAAAACAGGCACGAGACGCCAGAGGACCTTTCAGCACAAGACACAACCATTTAGCTCACCGTCGCAGCCATCCTAGCAGTCATGCTCAAATACTTATTCTCTTCAACAACCAATGACACTCTCTCTTTTCGAGACCATCAAGCGCGATATCTGCCTCGCGATCGCCCGCAAGGCTTATCACATCCTAGGCTAGGTAATCGTGTTTAGCACAACAATACCGTCAAGACACGCCATGACACTGTCCGTATGGTTGACTGAAACCAGAGATATTCACTTATGACAGCAGGAAAACCCCCATCACAGAATATCTCAATAAGATCGATTTCCCAGCCCATCGTAAGGGCGGTGCTAGACGCCTTCGGACAGGGAATCCTCATGGGCGATACTGATGGAGCAGCGCTCTTTAACCCACTGCCCGTCAGACTACGGGATTTAATGACGTTCGACTCAGAACTGCTCAAAGCCACCTTGTTACGTGGCAATTGAACCAGCCCTTACAAGCCTCTGTGGCCCATCACTCCGTGGCACGCGCGGCGCTGGCTCCTCACCAGCCCGGCATCTTTTACCCCCGGCTTATCGACGCGTCGCCGTACACACCCGGAGCTGTTAGGCGTCTACGTTTTACGCGACACACGTTCTTTGAGAGATTCCAAAAGGGTAAGGGTGAAACCTCCTTCCAAGCGGACGATTTGAAGCATTCATTTAATACCGAAGACACCCTCCCGCTCCACGGTTATGTAGACCAAAAGATCCGCTTGGATAACGAGGCTGGCGATTTCGATTGGCGGTCTAGGATTTGGCGGTTTTACCGACGAAGCCTTAACGAGACGACCTTCGAGATCGGGATCGGAGACGACCGAGATCAGAGACGAGATCGGGAGGCTTGCCCTTATTGTCCGAGTGAAGCTACCATATCACATCATATACAGAGATGTGAGACCTTCGTGGAACGACGGAACGGATAAGTTCCGTTCTGTGGGAGAAGCTAAAATGAAGCCGTCTGCCAAGCTAGGGTTTAATATATGGCCCTCCTAGGTTAGTTAATCGTGTTTAGCTAATCCTTCTTCGTCTGTCCTTCCTTCTCCTGTCACAAGGCTCCAAGGCGGGAACTGTTGTGTGCATCTTCATGATCACTACAAGGATAACCCAGAACGGAAGAGATAAACTTGATGTACACGAGTTAGGTTTTAAGTCCTTCCTTCTTATCTTCCTAGTGTCCCGTTTAGCTTCCGGTCTCTCCTGCATCTCTTGCAGCGGGAACCCTAAAAGAGATTTCTGTGGGACGGCCTGCCAGTGTTATAATCGTTCGGGATCACGACGGACGGATGCTCCTACTCAGGAATGATAAAAGCCAGAGAGGCCAGCCTGTCGAGAGCCGAGCTTGGTGCAAGGAGTGCCAAAGTTTTCGAGTTTCTATTCGCTAAGGAACACCCTCGACTAGTTACCCAGAGCAGCACACAAATCAGCGCAGGAGGAGGGCGTGTTGATATAAGAGGATTGCTGACCGGGAAGGAAGCTAAGCTTCGCAAAACGGAGAACTTTTGGGTGGGAGGAGCGGGATGTTAGGGTGCCTAGCTGAGATAGGCCTTTGTACACAGGATCCTCGCTGTCAGGGATCCCTTTCTTTTAGATAACTTTGGGATCAGGTATTCGTACCGACGACTTATCTAAGCCCGCTAGGGCCAGCCAGCCTTGTTATCCTTTACTTTATTTTCAGCTCTTAGCTTACTCAGCTTTCCTTTTCTCAAACGAACCGGAATAATAAAGTCCCCATTTCAACCACAACGTGCCGATTGTGGTCGTTCGTCATTGGTAGGCCGGGATAGGCGAGATTTAGCAACCGAGGAACTTCCCTGCACGAATGCGGAGGAGGATCTTCTTATAATAGGTATTCGATGCCCCTGTCAACGACGGGTCCCCATTGTCAGAGTATCTAGACCGATTGCTGGGCGGAACCAAGAGTCGTGCCAAGTCCTCTGGTTGTCGTACATCGCAGGCATAATCTGTTCCCCCTCTGACTTGGACCTTGAGGGTGTTCGTTCTCTGTATTACGCTAAAGGTGACCTGAGGCAGACTTCCTCTATTAATACTAATAATACGCACTGAGAACGGATAAGAGAATTGAATAGGTAGCGCTTGAGAGGGGAGATTAAGCAGACCGTTACTACGGCCGTGAGGCCGAAGTCGACGGCCCCGCGTTATGATGTCTTTTATCATATCTATAGGTACATGAAATCCCTTTCATCTCCGTTCCCACTCTATATGTATCAGCCCGAACCCCAACCAATCCAGCAGACCATCCCAGCCACAGAGCACCCCATCCGTAAATGTTATTATAACGAAATCCCACATAGTTGTAGGCCCCTTCGTAACCCATATGCTATGTGATTAGATCCGGAAGCGTCCTTACCAAATAGGACCGCACAGGCCATACCATGAGACATGAGATGAAAGCAACAAGGTTGAAGTACCCGATGTAACCGCACCATGGTCTTCTCGCCCGTCTCTCTATATGCCCTGGTCCAATTTCTGCGCTTCGCACATCTTCGCGTACATCCCATCTTGTTCGATCAGTTCTCCGTGGGTCCCGCTCTCGACGATCCTGCCGCCGTAGAAAACGTATATCTTATTCGCATCGCGTACGGTGGAAAGTCGATGCGCCACGGCGATGGTGATTCGATCCCCCGTTACGGCCGCCTCCATCAAGGCACGCTGCACGATTCGCTCCGACTCGGTATCCAGCGCGCTTGTCGCCTCATCCAGCAATATCACATCCGGTTTCCTCACCAGCGCCCTCGCAATCGCTATTCTCTGTCGCTGCCCTCCCGAAAGCTGACTACCACTGGTACCACAAGGGGTGTTGAGGCCCTCGGGTAGCGAGGATATAAAGTCCCATACATTGGCAGCGCGACATGCCTCTTCGATCTCCGCTTCCGGAGCCGTGTCGGTAACGTCAATATCCATGCCGTGCGATACGTTCTCGCGGATAGTTCCCGGGAACAAGGTCGGCTCCTGTTGTACCAGCGCAATGCTTCTACGGTATAGCAGCGGGTTGAGTGATGGTAGGGGAGCCGAGTCGATGTTTATGGTTCCACTAATGGGATCATAGAATCGTTCCAGTAGAGAGACCATCGTGCTCTTGCCACAGCCCGATGCCCCCACAAAAGCCACGAATTCACCGCGTTGAATCTAGATTTGCTACACGTTAGCATAGTCCTCGTTGCGTCAGATTCAATAAGTTCGCATACAGTCAAAGACACCCCCTTCAGCACTCGATTGCCGGGGGCCAGAGGGTAGGCAAACTGGACATCTTCGAAGTCAAAGGATTTACAACCGTCTGCCGGTCCCTTTTCGCGGTTTTCGTCGGTCTCCCGTACAATTGGCTTGAGTCCTAGCATCCAGAAGTAGTAGTTGGCTGCTTGGTTGGCCTTGGTGAAGCCTTTCAAGGGTGTTATTCAACGGTTCACTCCGAATATCGTCAGGAATTCATCGAGCACTTACTGCTTGCATAAGAGAACAGCTGGCCGGCTGACTGGCCTGAGAAGTAGACTCCCATAAAGGAGACCATGAATTGATCGAAAGTTACGTAACCATCATTGATGAGCTTCGATCCCCACCTGCAATTCTGATTAGTCCGCCATTGCGTCCAAGAAGTGGAAATACGCCGCATTCAAAATATGTGGACTTACCAGAATCCCAAAGCAAGAATAAAGTATTCAATGGACTGAGTGAGTGAGAACCAGATCATCATCCGGAAAAGGGGAGCGGTCGACTTCTTGATGGCCGTATCAAGCTCATCCGTATACCTTTTGAGGACCTTACCCTCGATAGCCAACGAAGAGACGGTACGGATAGCAGTTACAGTCTCAGATGCTACCGAAGAGCTTGCCGAGAATTTCTTGTCCATATCGCTATCCATCTTCGTTTCTACGCGAATACGGGCCCACCCAGCTGCTAGCATGGGTGGGAGCCCGACGAAGACGCCCACAACCGCGACCCTCCAGGAAATAACGAGAGCCAGAATACTACAGGCTAGCACGTTAATAGAGGCCAGGAGCACAAGTGATACATTGAAGCCCATTAGCTCGAGGATAGCTTGCGGGTAGGAATCGAGCCGGCTAGTGAGCGCACCGACCGTATTCTCGGGGCGATCGAAGAAGCGAAGGTCTTGTCGTAGTACGGAATCCAGGAGTTCTTTCCGCATTTTCTTACTCAGGGTCTGATTTCTATCGTTAGAGACTAGAAGGAGAGCCAGAGACTTTTACCAACTTACCTGCGCAATAACATTGGCCGCCCATCCCAGGAGGAAATACGCAGCCATGCCCCCCAGCGCTATCACGAAAAACATCAAGGAAATAAAGTTCCCGCGGGACACCATGTCTGGAGACGTAAAGACATTGACGACGTCACCGAGAAGAACTGCCTGTCCAGGGAAAATGGCAGCTGCCAATCAAGTTAGCATCGGCCTAATCAGAACTACTTCTCCGGGAATTGCTGACTTACCCCCCAAAATGCAACTGACCACAGTGAGGAAGTACCAGAGATTCAATTGGGGCGTGGCCAGGACTAGCTTCATGACGTTCCGAACGATGCCCGACTGTTTGTACATGTCGACATCTTCGCGGTCTTTTAACAGCCGAAGTTGCTGCAACTCGGCCGTTTGAATCTTGCCCAAGGACTGAGCCGGCTTAACGCCTTCGTCCGCGGTCGATTCCATGTCTGAATTCTGCTCCGACTCCCCCTTTACCTCTGTCGGAGAGAGATCTTGCGCCCTAACAAGGCTTGAGTAGACACCCTTTAAAGCGACAAGCTCGTTATGGCGCCCTTGCTCGACGATTCGGCCCTTAGACATGACGACAATGTTGTCGGCATTCCGAATGGTGGCAAGCTTGTGAGCGATAACAATTGTCGTCCGATTCTTCGATGCCCTATCGAGTGCCTGCTGAACAATACCTTCAGCGTGGGGATCAAGGGCACTCGTTGCTTCGTCAAGTAGTAGAATTTTCGGCTCGGATATGATACTTCGGGCGATGGCAATCCTCTGCTTTTGTCCACCTGATAGAAGACCGCCCCTCTCGCCAATTCGCGTATCATATCCCTGAGGAAGTTCCTGGATGAAGTCATGCGCGAAGGCAAGTTTGGCGGCTTCTTCGACACGTTTCATCTGCTCTTCGCGAGAGACCATCTCCCACGGGGTCCCGACCAGGCCGTTTACAATATTATCGAAGACGCTGCCGTTGAAGAGAACTGGTTCCTATTGAGAAGGTCAGCCAACAAGTTGTTAAGGTTTAAAGAGCCGAGCCATAGACACCCTACCTGCTGAACAAGGCGCACGTTTGTCCTCAGCCACATCAGATTTAAGTCGCTTATATTCTTGCCGTCCAGTGTAATAGACCCGGCTGCCGGGTTGTACCACCGTTCCAGCAGCCCGATAATTGTGCTCTTTCCAGATCCACTGGGGCCCTTTTGTCCTATTAGTTTCGCTGAAGAGGAATTTGGAAAGAAAAAAAAAAAGAAACGTACAACCAGAGCCGTGACCTTTCCCGCCGGCACATGCAAGGTAAAGTTATTTAGTACAGTTACGTTTTGGCGCGTAGGGTAGCTAAAGGTAACCCCTTGGAGATCGATGATACCGTCGAGGTTCTCGGGCTTGTCACCTGACTCATCAAATGGGTCGATCTCCGACTTTCTATCCATTAGCGCGAACAGCTCGGAGGCTGCCGTTGCCGCGCGAGTGAAAACCATGAGATGGGGTGCGATGGCTGTGATGATGCTGGCGCCAATCATGACCGAAAACAGTACACTATGCGTTCTTGTTAGCAACAGCCTCCCGCTGCGCACATCCACAGGATGGCCCAAGGAATAGTAGCAATGCCTACGTAAACACGGTACCCAAATCGGGAATTTCGCCGCGATTGATGAAGGATATACCCTGCCAAAATGCTAAGGCCATTCCTCCATACATGACGAAGTGTTCTCCTCCGAGAAGAACACCATAGAGAACGCTCTTCTTCTTGCCGAGATTGAACGCCTTCTGGAGGAAGGCGTCGTACGCCGCAACAACCCTAGGCCGGAGACTGAAGGCCAGTACCGTACGGATACCTCCTAGGGTGGTTTCGGCATAGCTTCCGCTCTGGGCGTATATTTTGAGGATATCTGTTTCGATTCTGGCTTCTCGCGTCGCTGCGGTACCCGCCACTAGAAGTAATGCCGGGACGATACCAATGATGATCAATGTGAGCTTCCAATGGCTCACGAAGGCGACAACGAAGGCGGCGATAAAAGTAGCGATACCCTGAACAAACATTCCAAGTTTCTCCGCGATCCCCGACTGAATCAACTTGCCGTTTGAAGTAGCTTGCATCGAGATCGATCCTCTGGTACCAACGTCGAAGAAGCCTATTTCCTGACTAAAGGCGGCACGGAGGTAGCTATGTCGAATATTACGAACTAAGCGATGGGCGACGTTGGTGAAAAGGGAGGCGTAGATGTAGATACAGACGAATCGCGCAATGCCGATGTATACAAAATAGAGTCTGGAGAGGTAAAACGAGAACACGTCAGAACACACAGAAAATTGGAAGAGAAGGGGAAGGTGTTCGAGCCACGAACGCAGTCTTGCTCACGGCAGCCATGAAGCCGGCCGGTGGGGGCTCGGAGATGGTGAAATCGCCGAGTAGGGTTATGAATTGGCCTAGAACCACGTTGACCAGAGCAAGCGCGGTGCCCGAGGCGATGGCGGCGACGATACCGATGGATTCGAGGATATAGTCTCGTGGCTGACCGAAGGTGAACACCCTCTGCGGTGATGCAGGCCACGTCAGTCAACCGTATCCGGATCAGGAGAGCGTATAGGCTGCGCAGGAACGGATGGACATACGATAAACCCTTTCATCGCCGAACTCTTCCCGGCGCCGTCTGGCTGCCTGCCGTCATCAGTGGAGCCCGGGGAACTCCCACCCACGGGCTTCTCGGGGAGGCCCACGGGGGATCCCATCGCGACAGTGTCAAACGTAGGTAAGAGGAGATCAGCGTAGGGGCGATGTGTTATTGCCGGGATACAAGCTGCCCAGCGGCAAGAGAGGAAAACGAAGGAGAGGGAGGAATTATATTAAGCTACAAGCCCGAAGACCAGCACGGCGACTTATAGCAGAAGCAAGGTAGGTACCTACCCACACGACGCAGGGAGAACGAAGGAGGAAGCTCTATTTTTCCCGTATGAGATCGGAAAACGAGGCCTTAAATACGGCCTGGATGTATGACGGCATCGGATCTATCCGGCAACGCCGCTTCCTCCGACCGCACAGCGAGATGCCGTCGCAGGCAGGCAGGCGCGCCTTGCGGCTGTTAGACGGATGCCAAGACTCCGCCTTGGAGGGCGGGCGCGACACGAGCCAGTCGCGATGCGCGGAGCCACGGAGTCTCCGGGATCCGTGCCAAGACTGGCGGGGCGAAGCTTGACTCGTCCGGCAAGTTGACTCACCTCGCCCAAATCGACAGCCATATCTTGCCAAATCTCAGTCCGCACACCTTTCGCTCCCGTCCTTCTTCGGCCACGGGCTTGCACACCATTCCGTCCACGCCTCTCCTCTACCCAGCGCGCGCTCCAGCACGCACTCCAGCACGCGCTCCGGCACGCGCATCCACTACCCCTCTGCCTGTCCGCCTGTCCGCCTGTCCGCCTGTCAGCCTATCCGCCCGTTCCGCAGACGGGATCCAGACAGGATGGGCCCGCATGATGCGCCGTTCCCTCCCAGCAACGGCCTTCCTAACGACAATCCGATGGATGAAGATGGAGACGACGATAACGCCGCTCACGACAAATCCTCCACCCACTCCGCAGACAAGGACGGCCATGAGATATCTGCCACCGAGAAGCTAGCTGTACGTCAATCAATCCGAGACCGTTCTGGTCGGGGAGGGGGGGCAGAGGGCACCTAACACTAACCCCTGAGCAGTGTGATCGCTGCCGCCAACGAAAGGTACTAGCCCCTGATGGCACCCTCCTTCTGGGTAGCTGCAGGCCCTGTTTTGGAAGCTAACCCAGGGTTCCATCCCGCTACGTAGGTGCGCTGCAACCGAGTGAACCCATGTTTGCATTGCGCCAGAACTGGATCTGTATGTTCCTACACCCTAGGACCTAAGCCCAGGGAGAAGCGGCAGAGAGTCCTGATATCCAGCGCGTAGTGAGTATGGAGTCGTGAGCCACCAGACGGTATTTAGACTGACCGCGTCGATAGCGAGAGTCGGATGGATAGCATTTCCAGGAAGTTGGATGAGCTCAACGAGTTGATGAGCCAGCTGAGCCACACGCAGGGTAGCCAGGTCCCTTTACCCCCGTCATCGTCGTCACTAGCTTGCTCTGTTACCTATCCGTCATCTGCCCTAGCGGGAGTAAGTGTCGGGTCCTCACCAGCCTCAACTCCTGGACCTCCTGTCCACTCGGGGGACGGCAAGGACAATAAGGACAATGACAATACCAAGACGCAATTCGAGGGCGAATCGCCGCTGTTCTCCCATGCCATCTTTGCCACCAAGTTCCTGCAGGATGCCATCGTCAATAACCCCTCGGCCAAGATCTCGCTAGAGATGTCGTCGGTGCTCGACAATCTTCGCGCCGCTGTTGATGTTCAGAAACAACAACCAGGCACCCCCGATCGCCTCTTTCCGCTCGCCAGGCGGATTCCACGAGGCACCAGCATCCGTGATCTGCCCATGCCGCCCATAGAGAAAGCGCTCGCATGTCTGAGAATGGCCAAAGGTATTTTGCCCCATTCCCGCTTAACCGACTCCTCCGCTTGCCTAGCTAGCTATCGAGCTAACTCACCGCCCGAGAATGTCCCCGTGTTGAGTTCTTCTGCCTCGTGGAGTTAGAGTCTATTGGCCAATTCACGGAATACTTCGTCAAGGTTTACTCACCCGGCGCGGTCAGTGATGCCGACTTGATTATCGTCCACGCTGGCCTGTATTGGCTGTTCTGCGAGTGTTCTTGCGTCACCGCAGCCGAAGAAGCTAAGCAGGACCTGGAAGCCCAAGCGCTCTTATGTCGGGAAAACCTGGAGACAGTCTTGTCGATGCTGCCCTTCCACATCCCACCGACGTTGGATTACGCATACGCGATGAGCATGGCCGTAAGCCTCTACCACCCCTTGACGATTCAGTTAGGACTCTGACCAGTGCTTGAAGTCGAACTATGCTCTTCAGAGGTGTAACTTTTCCCTTGCGTGGAATTTCATCTGCTCGGCATCTCGGCTCAGCTACTCGCTCGGCCTTCACGGTGGGATCCCCACGAACCACGAGTCACCAGACACTAGTCGTCGAAGAGCGCGATTGTTTTGGACAATATACGCGACAGACAAGATGTTGTCTCTACGACTCGGTCAGCCTTCCACGATTCGGGACAGCGAGATTGCCTTGCCGCCCATGAGCCAAGCCCAGGCCACCGAATCAATTCCACATATACTTTTGCCCAGCCTCCTCAAACTCTCAGGCTTGCAAGGCCGGGTATACGATGAGATCTATAGTCCTGGGGCACTAAACCAACCTCAAGAAGTCCAGATATTTCGTGCGACGGCCCTTGGGGATGAGTTGAAGAGGATCATGTACACTGATGACAAACTAAAGGTGTGGCGCCATTTTTCCTGATACTTTCACGACTCGTTCTTGATATCGGACCCATTTTCATCGGATGAATCGATGCTAAACCACGGTATTCCCAGGAACAGTACTACGAGGAGAGACGCCGAGTAGTAGGGGATGTCCTGCACGAGCTTTTATGGCATTCCGACAGGTTATCCCAGCTGTCGTTACTAACATTGATCTACCGCGGCATTCCTCCCGCGAAGCCTTCAGGGTCTGCGTTCTGTGAGGAGTGCGTGGCTACGGCTAGAGAGGCGTTGAAAGAACACGAAAGATGCCTCAACATCATTACCAGCAAAAATATGCAATCAATCTTCCTGGAACTATACGTCAATTGGTAATAACCCCCCTCCCTATCCGTTTTCAATACTATGATAGCAGTAGTATTTCTCGGGACATTCACTTGAGCACTCCCGCCGCTAACACCGTCTCACCGCCACTCTAGGGGCCTCCTCCAAGCCCCTTTCACCCCGTTCATCGTCCTTTTCTGTCGCATAATCGAGACGTCGGACCCCTCCGACCTAGGTTGCCTCGGTGCACTAGTCGATACCCTCCAAATGGTTTCCACCTCCACTTCCATCTCCTCTCACTACCCCACCTGTACCAAACAGGTTCGATTGTTCAAGGCGCTTTACGATGTCGCGGTGAAATACATCGAGGTGAGGACGAGCGCAGCTCGCGGAGACATGTTGGAATCTTCTGACATGGACCTGAACACTTACATGAACACAATGGGTATGGGAGTGCTCCAGCCGTCACCGCTCCCAAGTTCTGCATCGGGCTCCCTCGATATGGCAGACAGCGCGGGGAGCGCTGTGGGTGGCATGTCAGGCAATGGGACGAACGTAATGGCTTCAGCTCAGAACCAAATATTTGGGACCTTCGGTATGGAGATGGACCCATCAGGCGCCGAGCTGGGCAACTGGTTCTACCAAAACCACCAAATGATGAGAATGCTAGAAGATACATGATGGTTCTCGAGATAGCCTTCAAAGGAATTTCCTGCCGGATTCAGGAAATGCTCGCTGTATTGTATGACGGGTTTAGAGACGCAAAGGTCGGCCGGCGGGTTGGCAGGGTAATCTAATTTGGCCCTAACTTAACAGGAATACACATCGTAATAGATGTTTGGAAAGGTCAGCCTAAGGGCGACGCGGAATTCCCGCCTTTCAGACGGTTGTGGTGAGGCGGCCTCGCCCCTCTTCGAAAGGGGGCAACGTGGTGCAAAATACGCCAGGTTGCCAGGTTATCCTCAGAACGTGTACGAATCATACGGTATCTCGCGACAAGCTTAAAGTGGCGATGTTATGGTTACTTGTAACTAGTTATATAATCCCTCAGTGGATTGACGGTAGAAACAGCAAAACAGGACACTCATTAGAATCAATACGCTATGATAGTTGTGTTGCTCAATAATGCTTCCCTCTTAAGGCGATTACGAAAGGGCCACCGCGGTTATGAAAGCCCCATGCCATTCTGCCGCACGGTTCGGCGAATCGACGTCCGGCAGCTACAGTTTCAACACTTTACGGTTTTATATCACACTTCTACTTTGGATTACTTGGTAGATCGTCATAGCTAGCCTTTCCCGTAACAACTTGAACAAGTGCCAGTCTGATCCACTCTTCGTCGTCCCTGAAGACCCAGGTATTGATTTGCCCCACGGCGTTCTCCATCTCCAGTTTCTCCTTGTCCGAAAGGGGTTGGTCGTCCGGCAAGAACTCCATATGGTCTCCTTCGTAGGTCATGTCAAACAGACTGTACGCGATTACGTTTGCAAGTTCTCCAATAATACCCATGCGGAACGAACTTCCACGTCGCTCTCGAGCCGCCATACGCACGAAAGTAGCACATGCGACCGGCAGCGGCACCGTCCGTACGGGGAAAGATGGCCAAGGTATGGAGTTAGTGGGAGACGAAATAGGCACAAGCTCATCGACGGCAATGCCTGTCCAGGACAGAGGTAGGAGACCGAGCCTGCGGCGTAGCGGGAAGTTGTTTGAATCATCGTCGACGAGGTAGCGAACCCCTACGCCAGAGAGCTCGGACGTGTACGCCGGACGTAAAGCATTCTCGTCCGCCAGACATAGCCCCAAGCTAGCGGCTATGTCGCAGGCTGTCGGTAGCTGCAGGTCCGGGACGAGGAAGAACAGGTCCTATCGACCATCAGAATGCAGGACCAGAAAGGCGATGCTTCGTTGACTCACTCCATGTGACACGAGGGGATAGCCTAACCGCGCCAAGAGGTTTGTCTCCCACTCGACAAGGAGGATGTCGGAAGCCTCGAAACGATCCCAAAGCTGGGCCAGGCGCTCTGTCATGGCAGTTGTGCGGTTAAGGTGTGTGGATAAGAAGAAGGACGGATGCGAACTTCAAATTGCGAGAGGCAATTATGCTTGATTCAGGAAAGGGGGGGGGCCCATTGGCCTACACTGTTGAAGCATGAATTCACCGGTCGGACATGGGCTTACGTCAGCACACTCGACGGCACAAGGAAGCCCAAGGTCGTGACTGCGCACGAGATTTGGAGGCACTGGACGAATATCAACTACAATCAAGCACGACTTCGGCCGCTAGGTGCCCGAGGGGGCAGAAGTTGAGCGAGGACATGCTCATGACGATGAAGCAGAAGGGATTTACCTATTGCAGAAGGCAAGCGACTTGAGGAGCCGGCCCAGAAGCAGTATTACACTATCAACCTTCTTGTTCATAAGCCACCTAGAGCTTGCCACCCCTGTTTAATCCATGATCTTCCTACGGTCGTCATCCTCCAAGACCGAGACAATGAGATGGACTGTCTCACCATTGCCAGTGTCCTTCCAGTGTCTGACCAAGTCCTTCGTCGTTGTGTACAGTCTTTCCGGCGTAAGGGATGCGTAGCCGGCAAAGTCCACCTTCTCATCGTGCTCCGCCAGCCACCCCAGCAAGAACGTGATATCGGAGAGGTCGGAGTGAAACTTTGCGACCGACCTCGGCCGCGTGCTCCCTATTAACTGTGCACATCGCTTGATCTTGGTCAGGATCAAGAGGCCGGGGTGCAGGACGGGGATCGTTCCTACAGACGTCAGACTTGCGCCTCCTGCAGTCGATGAGCTCTACCGAAAAAAGTACACTTACCGTCATTCGGCCAAATGACGGCCAGTCGGCGGGGAAGACCAAGTTCTCCGATGGGGAGTGTCTCGATTGTAACACGCGAATCCGGGTGATCAGTCGGCGCCGGCGTGAAGAAAAGCTTGGCATGCTGCACAGAGAAGCGCGCATCACTCTCCGTCAGGAGCTGCCTGACGCGGCCTCGCAGCTCGGAAATGTTGGCCACGTCGATCTCGACATCGATGTCGATTGTCGCTCTAGAGTGGCCGAGGGTGGCAACGGCAAAGCCGCCGATGAACGCATGGGCAATCTGGTGCTCGGAGAGAATACTCGACATTGCCGTGGCAGCTATTCTCTGCGCTTCATCCTGCGGAATCATAGTAGGATGATTGAGCTGGAGGGTTGGATTTGGGATTTCGTGAAGGAGGAAGCGTTGTCGTGCACAGGAGAGTTGCTGTAGTAGAGCACCTACTTTGAAAGTAGCTTAGGTACCTGTGGTTCAAACCGAAAACACGTACCTTACCTAAGTACTTATATACGGCAGCTACTCGAGAGGGCCAAAGTACCAGAGCCTCAGGAAACATGAAAACTCGCTTCTTGTGCAGATCTGTACAGGCAAGATAATAGGGCTCGGAGCCTTTCTATTTCGGAACTGGGTTTAACTCAGCACGCCGGAGTATAGAGGCTCAATGTTCAAGCCTGTAATACACGCTTGGTGTAGGCCGATGCGGCAGCCTGTTTTTCCGTCATTATAAGACAAATCAACGCCGTCGATAATTCTACTAGACACGAAATCATCGCCTGTGTCTTAATTCACCGAAAACAGCCTCTTGACCATTCTCGGTGTAAGGGATAGTCCCACTTAACTCCAGGCAAGATTAGATCAAGAAACATGAATTTGATGACCCTGTTTTAGTCCCCTATCGCCACCCTCTCCGTTTATTGCTGTGGGGATGGATTTGCCTTCAGCTTATTGGGGTTTGTTAGGATTGCAAAATAGAAGTTGTGAGGTCCCTGGTAAACCCGAACATTTTCCATGCAACACTCACCCCTCTGACCAGCGGTTCTTAGGATCATAAACCGCACCTTTCTCTGACGCAAAGACGGGGGGCATCAGCGACGTTAGAGATGTCGGATAGGTTAAGAGCAAAGTATGATGTTCATATTTAGGCACAGGAGGCAACAATCAAACTCGGAATATTCAAACGATTTGTGAAGGTACCAGGTAACGAATCCTAACCAGAGGCAAACTCTAAGCAATGGTAGGGTAGAAGAGGAAACAACTTTTGATTCTACAAGTTCATCGCAGACGACTAAGAGCAACGACGAGTCAGTAGTGTATGCCCGATAAAAAAGGGCAATGGATAATGCTCCCTGATTAGGGATGCAGAGGTCTTGATTCCTCTTCTCTAACCTGTATGATATCTATGGCTTTTCTATGCCGGATACGATAAGCTATCACGAGATTCTAAGTACGGTAAATGTATATATAATTGGCCGTCCATCAACATGAGCATGCAAAGGAGACGAAATCAGAAGGGCCGGACTACTTGGCCCACCTCATAACGCCGGGATCCTTGGGGTCCATCTCCACGTACTGGCAGGAGCAAGACGTCTCCCACAAGCTTCCGACGAAGGAGCTTTCATCGCTGTGGTAGAGATCGCCAAGAAGAGGCTTGATAGCCTTCGTGGCTTCTTCTGCATGATAGAACGGGATTCGACTAGGGAGAGTTAGATAGCTAGCTTCGAACAGCAAAAGTTTAGCAGCAAAGGGATATTGCTCACGAGAAAAGATGGTGGACGACATGGGTATCGATGATGCCGTGGAAAATGTGGCGGCCGACGAAGCCAAAGTCACGATCGACAGTCGCGAGCGCCCCTGACACAAATGTCCACCGCTCGCCGTCGTAGTGGGGAACGTCTTGATGCGTGTGGTGGAGATACGTAATGGCAACTATCTTCATGTTAACAAGTCAAGCTATTACCCCAATCGGAGCTATTGAACCCACCCAGCCAGTGGTTGATCCAAAAATACGGAACTCCGTAGAGCAGGAACACGGTCTGCCAGTCCAAGGCCATCGAAGCAAAATAGAGGCCGACGAGAGTGAGGGCGAGGCCAACATCCGAGAGGAAAATATACAAGGCTTCCTGGGGGCGGAAGACTCCGCTGAAAGGGTCAAAATGGCTGCGCCTCCACCATTTGGAGTCCTTGTTCTGAAGGCTGTCATCGCCGGCCGTGGCGTTGATGAGCAGATACACCTGCCAGCCTCCTAGCTGCTGGCCCAATAGGCGAATGAGGTTGATAATGGGCGCGTCCTCCAAAACCTCGGCGTCGACAAAGGAGCTCAAGGCCTTGCCTAGCTTCTCGACGAAGTAAGACGGCGATGTCCTAGGCACGAACGCCATGTCCTTCTGCATATGGCCGGTGAAGCGGTGGTGCCGGGCGTGAGAGAACTTCCACGAGAAGAAGGGCACGAGGAGCGCCGAGTGCAGGACCCAGCCGACGAAATCATTCAGGCGCCGGTGGACCGAGAAGGCTCCGTGGCCGCATTCGTGCGCCAGAATCCAGATGCCGACGCACACGAGGCCTTGCAGAAACCCATACGCAGTCCACAGCAGCGCCCGGTAGACGGGGTCAGCCACCGTCGGGATGTAGGTCAGGGCTCCGTACACGAGCCCAGCAGCCATTGCTACGTCACGGGCAACGTAGGAGAGCGACCTTAGGGTCGAGGGCTCGAAGCAGTGCGCAGGAATAGCCTTCCGAATCGTGTTGATGTCGGGAAACTCCTGCTGCTGCTTCGGCTTAACATTCTGAGATCGGGCGTCAGTATTAGGCCGAGATATGCAATCCTACCGGCGTCACTTACCGCCTTCGCCGGCCGAGACCTCGGCTCGGCTCTCTCGACCTGAGTGACGGTCAACATAGCGACAAGATCTAATTCTTGTCGATAAGAGGGTATAATATCAGCACAGCTGAAGTGGCTATCGCAGGACCAGCGATCTGATAGAATGCCAGAACAATTCGACAGCCTTTCGTCTTGGGGACCTTCGTAGGAGGGGAAGAGAGAGAAACAACCCTACAGCCAAATTATGGACAGCAGGATTTTTTTTTCTTTATCTTCCTCTATGGAAACCGATCTTATCTGGTATTACTAGTCCGGCCAGATCCAGCTAGGTAAAGCCCCTGAAGAGACCACGATTATTTAACGGGCCCAATTACATTCTTACCTATCACCCCCAACCTCTACGCTTGTTGCGGAAGAGGACCGGGGCGAGGGAAATAAAAAAAAGGAGAAAAGTACCTAGGTACCTGAAAAAACTTTTTTTTTCTTTCCCTTGATTTTGTTTGTTTATTCTTTTTCAGCTACTTTCACTTACCTCTCAGTCTGCCCACGAAAGGTTTCTACCTTGCGGGGTTTCTCCATTTCCTCGGTCAGAGAAGTACCTTTTCGATCCTATGTATAGTCGCAAATTCCGCTTGCCCCTATCCTTGTGACTTGCTTACCCACTAGGATACAGGAAGTTGGGGGGGCGCTTCGAGCCCTCAACGAGAAAAAGGGGGTTTGTTTGGCATACCTACCTACTAATAGCGGTTCCTACCAGTTACACGTGGTTCTGGGACACCCATCTTCGTTGGAAGAGGCTCAACGTTCTGCAGGGTCCTCACGATCCCTAAGGGTCCTAGGGTTGTAGGCCTGCAAGCGGGTCTTCCCCCATCAATCCATCCACTGGCTTTTCAGCACAGTTCGTTTACAGGCACGAGTTGGGGGGACCAGGCCCGGTACAGGGCTCATTACAGGGAATTTCCCGTTTTGTCACAGGAGCCGTTGAGCCAACCCTGGTCTAAAGTGCTGGCACGAAGACTTGGCCAATAACTTGGCTCTTGTTATATAATAAGTGGATATCGTATATCCTTGCCATGTAACACTAGGGCGATCGTCAAGATTGAGGGGGTTTAGGAAATTTTCTAAGCGAATCTTCAACACTACGACACTACGTCGTCTTCCCAAGTGTCAAAAAAACAGCAGCGTTGGCCTTGTCTCGGCGGCATGTCCGCAGCCACAAGGGGATTTTCGTTGTCTTCTGCTTTTGTCACACAAATCTCGAATGTGTTATTCTAGTATCAAGTCCTCATTGCCGTCACATATACCTGCGCACAAACCAATGTAAAGCTTTGCCTGGTCGAAAACTCATCTTCGGTAGTAAGCTAAAGCTGGGCAAGGCCAAGCATGACACAATCCCTGTCTTCAAAGATACAAGCACAAGATAGCCCCACGGGGCGGTGAGATACATCCTGGGTACCAAGGATCCTGGGTACCAAGGCATTTAGGAAACACGTCTCAACATGACGATTGCCAACACTGGTTGGCGGTGAGCCACGCACGTAGTACATACATATACATATGGAGATCTCGAGATCAAATACTACGCATCGTAATGCGAATCTACCAATAATACTACGCCATGCATGCTGAATATCGCATCTTCCTGTCCTGAAGTTGGTAGGTTGGGTAGTGCGGCATCGTCCGATGCGCTGGGCACCCATCCCATCGACTAGATGACACTGCGTGCCGTCGTATGTACACACTTCCGTAGACAGAAAGTCCCTCTCTCTGTACATCGAATCTGAGAGGGAGAAGCCGCCTGCCCATTGGCCATCTGGGGGAGTCGAATCCAATACTTTTTGGTGGTGACTCGGCTAGAACGGTGAAACTTCTTGTGTGTTGCTTCAACATATTAGAATAGACTGGAATGACACGCCAGACAAACGAGCACGCACGCACAGACGTGTAGCTTTATAGAAAACTAGACAGTATGAGTAGAGCGTCATGTGGTAAGATATACATTTAGTTACATATCTACCTCCTGAACCCCAAGGGTTGAAAAAGATGATGGGACAGACCAAGCGCCCTAGCTACCTTGTAGCCACCACTGGGTGAGGACCAGACTGGATATTACTCCTTATAACCTTGCTCTCCAGGATCTGGGCCGGGACTAGGTATTTCCTGCTCCGGCTTTCTACAATTCGACTTGAAGCTACTCATGTTTCCTCGCCTACTCATAAGCGGACCACCATACTTTTCTACCCTACCTATACGGCTCGGGCGCCACATGGCCTTAGTCGGGCCCTCTAGCCTCCACCAGCCGGATCCGCCTCTCCGCTTTATCGCCGTTGCCTCCCTCGAATTTTCGACAAAAAACCTGCTGACGGTCAGGTCACATACCCTCAGCCAGGCTCGTGAACACCGCTTCCATCATAGTTGGGGCCGGTTCCAGCTTTCCAGAAGAGCGCTGCCCCACAATCACAAATTCGATGGGAATATGCCGCGAACCAACCAGATCTCCCAGCGCTTCTCGTGTTGTATAGCCGGGCCCGTGCCGCCGCGGAACCGGCTCGTGGCTAAGGGACTTCCAAGGAAATTTTTCGTCTGGCGCGGATCCGGCGCAGCGAAAGGGACAAGCACGCCGGCCTCACTAGTGTCTCTATACCTGAGATACAGAAAATCAGATAGACGATACCCCAAATTTAGAACCAACCCCATTCTAGATTCTTACGAGTCGGTGTCGGTGATCAGAGCCCGGTCGTTTTCCCGCCTGAGCAACTCCCGCATGCAACACGAGCCGAAAATGCATGTGCTTAGTTCGTACATATAGTAGCAACGGAGCCCAGTGATAGTCACGGCCCAGCGGGGTCGTTGGAGGCGAGGCGGGAGGAAATTCTTGCCGCCGCACGCGGTAGATAACAGATTTCCACATACACTCGACACGACGACGACGAAGACGGCACGCGGGTCGTGAAGAGACACCAGTCTCTCGCTGGTCCACGTAGGGAAAGGAGGGCAGAGCGGCCTACACCGTCGACTCGGCTTTTGCACATGTTAGCCAAGCACGGCTGCCCCGCAATATACAACCCTCGCCACCTGCGGCGAGCCTATAGTATACTTACTCCCCACTGCCTTCGGCCTCTCCGCAATGAGGGCTCTTCGACACCATTGCTCCTAGCCTGGCTGGCTCAGGGGTAAACTACCAGTGCCCCCACAGTCGAAGTTCCATGCCGAAATCCCGAAGCTATCCTACGACTAGCACTGCAACCTTTTTCACGTTATCCCAGTTCGTCGTGGAGAAGTGATCCGGCGGCCACACCGTCGGAAACCGTAAGCTGTGTGTGCCACAAATGCGCGACAGTAGCTTTGAAAAGTGCATAGACCTATGGCGCGGCGAATATTTATAGCTAGCACTCCCAAGCTTCGTTCATTCAGCACTCCCCGGCGAGCTAGAGAAACTGGATGATGGTATGAGTCGGGAAATCCACGAGGGAACTGCAAGCATCTACGTTTTCATGTGACAGAACCTTTTCGATTCTAGACTTTGCCTCTCTGTAACCCCAGCCGCTGACTAGGAGCTCGAAGTAGGGACCTACGGCGTTTAAGCAATTGTAAGGAGCCTCATACCGCAGGGGAACTAGACTCGTGTTACCCGGTGTATAGGCCCCTAATTCACTCCCACAACCTCGATTTCTAGATGCCTTATTACTGAAGGTGGGGGGTATTGTGAGGCTAGCAGAGACGAACCATGGCTATTATCTAAAATCGAACAAGGGTCACGAGTATTCGAAAAGACAAGTCACCAGACCCCTATCTTCTACCAACATGCAGCGTTCGAATCTTGACTAGCCTTTATGTAGCTTTCCACGTCCCTGTGCACGTATAAACACGGCGTCCCGTGCCTGAGTACTCAGACGCGCGCCGTCGAAGTCTAGTGGGGGGCTTTAACAAGTTTCGTCTCCTCGGGCACGTCCCTCCGATCGAGCACATATCCGGTCTACCCCGACTAGCCAGCCAGCCGTCGGGGCAAGCAGCCGCTCCTCGGCCGGTTTGGCGCGACCTTCTTCTCGGGTGGGGTAGCGGCTCGCGGGCAGCCGCATTCAGCGGACTCGGACTGCGCCGGGGCTTCGCAGGCACTGAGCGAGGCGGGCCGAACATTGGTGACATGCGTGGGCCCTAATATGTAGAGGATTTTGAAGATGGGCGGGCAGTAGGAGGAAGAGAGCGCATTCGGCGGCGTAAGTAAGCAGCTAATAATACTCGTAGTGCTTAGGGTTCTCCCGTGACATGTGCCTGGGAGATAAGTTGCCTTCAGTCCCTCTAGGATGCACCCCTTTCACATCTCTGCTTAAAGAACCGGCCAAATCTCCTATAATGTGTCTTGGATCGAGTCATTGGGACGTATTTCGTACTACTAGATTTACTAAATCGCCTATCCAAGTCTGCTCATGAGGTTCGTGTCAACCTATTTATTTTCTCAGTCCTGGTCTCGTATGCTATGCTTTCTAAGCGTAACGAGCGCAGAGGGGTATCATAAATAATTTCGGCGCCAACCGCAAAATTTACATTGGTAGGCAAAGTCCAGACGCCTCCATTTCGATCCAATTCGGGCAAGTGGGAGACTTCTCTTCCTCTCAAAATATCCCGATCTCGGCTTTGGGTGGTGTTTTCCCAAGCTCTAGAAGCTGCTTCACGACCCCTCCCAAGCCGGCCATGGCCCCATTACTCCTATGTCCGTCTCCTCGTAGGAATCCCTCCCGTCTACAAGCCTCCGTCGATCGATACTAACGGCTGGCTTGGTAGGCGGGTCGTGAATGTTTCATAGAATGTTGTTTCGCCTCCAGTATCGTGCAGAGAGCTAATGTAAGACGGGGCGGGGATCGGTAGGGGGTACCCACGGCGAAGCTCCAGAGGTATTTCCGTCTTGGATGTCGAGTCGGCGTGTCGCACTACTAATGGATGGATGCGTGGTGCTAGGATCAGATAGGCGCCGGCTGCGGGTTATTGCCAACCGTCTTGTACATCTCCCTAAGCTCGAAAGCCTCGTGGCCGCCCTCGGGCACCTCACCGATGACCCGAGCCGGGTGGCCAGCTACGATGCTGAAGCTGGGTATGACCATATTAGGGGGTACGACGGCGCCATCGAGGATGCGGACGTAATCCTTAACAATCGCGAACTCGCCGACGACGACGTCTCGGCCGATATGCACGTGGCTCCCGATGGTGGCCGCTTGGACGATGGTGCTCTCGCCGATGAAAACGTGATCGCCCAGTCGGAGAGGGAGGTAGGTGTACGATCTGCAGGCAGGTGTCGTCAGCAAGGAGGCAGAGGGGAACCGATGCCTTGGACCAGCGCGTCTGGCGCAACCGACCCTTTATAGATGCGACCCGGCGGGCGCAGAAGACATCCTCTGCTCAGGTAGCAGTAGCGGCCAATGGCGACGGCAGTATTGCTACCCGGGGCAGGGGCAGAACCGGAAGCAGGCTGGGCAGTTCGGGCGAGGTCCCCTCGGATCATGGCTTCGGCTTGGATGACGGTCTTTCCGCCCAGCATGATATGCTGGGTTCCGATCAAGATCGCCTTTCGAGACACCTTGTTGCCGGTATCCTGCGCGCGGAGGAGAGGATGTTAGAGAGGGAGCGGGGGTTGATTGGTTTGTCCGTGGACTGTAGGTATAATTGGAGGATGGCAATTGGGGGTCTGACGTACCGTTTCGATGTACTCTCCCTTGGCTGGCTTCCGCGACATCTTGGATGCTGTCCGGAGAGCTGCGAGCCGCCTGGTCGGAACGAGTTAAAAGAGAAACACCGGGACTGTTGAGGGATGAAGCTTGAACAGCTGAGAGTCCATGTTGACCCGTTATCGGTCCCTTATCGCAGGATTACATAATGCAAATGACTTGTATACGCATACGCATATGTTATTAGCATATGCATATACTCATACTTGTGTAAATATAAGTCGGCAATCTTCAGACTTGTCCTTTGGTTTGTTACACGACACCTAACAGATCCCCTCGTGCCACTAATGTTCATGTTGCCGTCCCTTCTGTCGGTGTTGTCATCGTCATATGAGGCATCATTCTCATTCTAGTTTTGGTCAGCTCGATCCCAACCGTTCCCTCGATGGATTCGGCGAGAAACCGTACCAAACTATACGTACTGCCATTAATACCGACATAGTATCCTGGCAGCGACGTATGTAAGCCATCGGTACCCGTAGAGAGCTGAGATCTGCCAGAATACTAAGGATTCCGGAGCAGATCGGGTCTCTCATTCTCAGGTAAGTATTCCTCCTTGATACTTCTCGCCAATAGCGTTCGATACCGGGCGAGCTTTCGTAGGTTCTATGGCGCGGGCGCGACCATTCACAAACCAGCCCCGTTGGCGGAGAGTGCCCACTGTGGCGTTGATAAGTAGGTATGCAGAAGCCTCGCTCTCTTGTTCTCCGTGCTGAGTATACTAGGTTCCCACCAAGGAGCCATTGAATCTGGCCTGGGTCCATTCACCTCGTATATCTCACCATCTCACATAACTAGGGGCTCACAAACCGAATGTTATGGCGGAGAACGGGGAGTGGAGAGCAGCTGGTACGGGCGTGCCTTGAATTTGAGCCCTGGAGACCTCAACCACCGCCCACCTCAGCCAACAATATTGGGCAAGCCATAACTACAGCTTTAAGTCAGGCCCCAGTAATAATCGGTTCCCAGGAGCTCCAAGGACCTCACACCTCACGCCGGCTCCGCCACCCTCGGCGTTGTGCTTATAGCCGTGGGCCAGAGCGCCGAGACCTACGCCTCTGCTCGAGGACATCAAGGAGACTGACCGAGTACCTGGCTTACTGAGACTATCCCTTCCCTCTCAACAGCAATCCGCTGTTGGACTAGCCAACGTACCCCCGCATTGTTGATATACGCTTAACGTAGTGCTACGTAGGTCTTCTGCGTTGGCGGTAACGGCATGGACTTCGCGCTCGACGTCCTCGTATAGGGCCCCTCAAGGCTGGCCCGGTGGGTGCGCATCATGGTGGTTGTGGCCGCCACCTCCCTAGCGACCGCGTTTCGTGGGCCGGTCGTGGCCGGGCTGTGGCTGATCATCTTGCCCCCGAGCTCGCCGCGTACCGGATCGGTAAGTGAAGGTCCGCCGTCATCATTACGATGATCGTGGTCAGCGACCGCGTTTGAAGTCCTTCGCTGTGATGACGCTCGTCTCGTTCCACCGAAACCGCACGATTGTGGGCGCCTGGGCGGCGTGGTGTTCATCGCTCCGCGTTGTCGGAGCCCGTACTTCCGGAGCCACCGCCTGCAGGTCGTCTTCTCAAGTTGAATCCGAGCAAATCGACAAATCCAGATGCCATGCGTCGAGGTGCTGGACCCCGTTGGCCGAGCCTCTTGTCTGGCGTAAAATTGACCTGTAGACCCGGTACTGTTGTGGTGGCGCCCTGACGCCTAATAGGTACCTAGCTAGGCAGGGTAAGGTAGTAATAATATCTATATTTAGTCCAATGCAATACTCCTCGCGCTGCCGATGTTATTCCAAACCCTTTCCGGCATCGACAGTATCCAATACTCCGTGTAGCATCCACGTAGTGGTAGATAGGTAAGTGTCTTGTACCCATCTCACTTAGACGTTTCTCTCCTAACCACCCCGGAACCCGCGCCTTACTTGCTTCCGCGGCCCCCCGGCACTCGCATACACTCCCCCGCAATAAGCCCAGCTTCATCCACGGCGCCGGGGCGTTGACAGTCGCAGCTAATCCGTATAGGTACAGCCTAACTCTGGTTGGCGGATCATATCGCCTTACGGGGGCGGAGGAGAGGGAAAGTAATACGCATATAGGCATAGGCACGTATCCACACGTACGTATATATTCCTTACCTATGTGCTGGGTACGAAGAGGCATTGCCCAGAGGATGTGATGTTATAGAGGACCGAGTGCCCGTTGGCCGATTCGGCTCCGTCTTTTTCATGCTACCTTATCCTATCCGGAGGATAGTTATAATACGTATAACCCCCTGTTATACTAATTAATTACGGGGTTAAATACCCCTGTAAATAGCCCTGTAAATAACCCTATAAATAACCCTATAAAGGGGTCATTTAGAGGAAACTTTATTTTTACTAGCTAAAAAACGCGCTATGGGTTCCTAAAAATGCGTGTACCTAATAAAAACGGCGGGATAAATGAAGTCTTATAATTTAAAATCCTTACGTATATTTACTAACGCGTTTTCTATCCCTATTTCCTAACCTTTTCTAACGCGTTTTCTACCCTTATTTCCTAACCTTTCCTAACCTATTTTACAGTAACCTTTCCTAACCTTTCCTAACCTATTTTACCGTAACCTTTCCTAACCTTTCCTAACCTATTTTATAGTAACCTTTCCTAATCTTTCCCGACCTATTTTATAGTAACCTTTCTTAACCTTTCCTAACCTATTTTACAGTAACCTTTCCTGATCTTTCCCGACCTATTTTGTAGTAACCTTTCCTGACCTTTCCTAACCTATTTTGCCGTAACCTTTCCTAACCTTTTCTAATCTTTCCTAACCTATTTTATAGTAACCTTTCCTAATCTTTCCCGACCTATTTTACAGTAACCTTTCCTGACCTTTCCTGACCTATTTTATAGTAACCTTTCTTAATCTTTCCCGACCTATTTTATAGTAACCTTTCTTAACCTTTCCTAACCTATTTTATAGTAACCTTTCCTAATCTTTCCTAACCTATTTTATAGTAACCTTTCCTAACCTTTCCTAACCTATTTTACCGTAACCTTTCCTAACCTTTCCTAACCTATTTTACCGTAACCTTTCCTAACCTTTCCTAACCTATTTTATAGTAACCTTTCTTAATCTTTTTTAATCTTTCCTAATCTTTCTTAATCTTTCCTAATCTTTCCTAATCTTTCCTAATCTTTCCTAATCTTTCTTAATCTTTCCTAATCTTTCTTAATCTTTCTTAATCTTTCTTAATCTTTCTTAATCTTAGATTTTAATCCCGTTAAAAATTATATATAATTTCTTACGTTTTCTATGTTTTTTATTATAAATAAAGTTCGTAAACGTAAAAATCGTTATTAAATAAACTAAGTATACTTCTTATATCTCTCTATCCTCCGGATAGGTTATTATTTTTAGCGTAAATGCTAAAAATAAGCCCGAATTATTCTACGAAGCAGAATAATTCGGGTCTTATTTTAATACCACGGCTAACGGCTTATTCGAATCGACCCAGGTGACAACCCAACCTTGATACACATCCCGAATCTAGTCACAGTGTGTACAGTAGGCGATACTTCGTTGACCTACCTACAAGGAGATGGGCTAAAGAACGAAGACTACCAAGTAGCGCTGTTAGGAATCGAACCTATCCTTGGTTAAGTAACCTACTGATCTCAAGGTAGGTAGACATAGGTAGACATGTAGGTATACTACGCGCCTTAGGTGCCTGTCGTTATATAATACCTTAGTGCGTAGGTGCATGCATGTAGGGAGATACATGGGTAAAAAGGGGTCGAGGGACGTCGTTTGAGATATCTGGTTGGTGCTTGGCGGTGCGACTTGGCCTGCCCTATGCCGACGGGACCGCCTACCACGTAGGCAGTCATTACAACCACAATTTCTTAACCATCCCGAGGAAACCCTCGTCAACCTGCCCTGCACTACGGCACCTCAGATTTCATTGCCTGGGCCATTACGCTTGATAGCTATGCCGATCATTACCATCGCCAGACCGGTTCGTGTTCCGGGCAAGGGGCTGAGCAAATATTAATAGACAAGTCGGCTTCATTTCGCTGTTGGTGATCGACTCTAGGTACCCATATCACCTCCTCTTTATATGCCCTCCATACCTACGGCGACGCGCTTGTTGAGGGACACGACGCGAGGACTAATGATACGCACGGCCCAGACGCAAGACGAGATCCTACATTCATACCTACATGCACATACGCGCAGACGAGAGATGCGTAGATCATCGCTTCGACTGGCACATCTGAGCTAGACCGGCTGGCCCTCCCCTCTGTGTCCTAAGCTCGCGACGGGATGAACGAGTCCTGACGATGAAGTGGCGCTCCGGTGACGAGAAATCGCTCAGGACAGAACGGAAGACTAGCAGACATACGCATATTATAGGTAGGCACATCGTCACGATCGATGCTGCGAAGACGACAGGTAAAACTCGGTATGGGCTGGCTAACCTCGCCTAAACGCCTTCCTACTACCCTATTACGTAGGGCCCGAGGGGTACCAGATTGCAGGCCTCAGGAGAAAGGGTGCCAGAGAGGGGGTCGCATCTCCAATCAGATCTCCCGCAATGGCAACGACCCGTCATCCGAGAGTCTAGGATGTGTGGTACTAAGGTATAATGGCGCATCCTAGGTCTAATTCTGTTCGTGTCTAGTATTAGTGAGTATGCCTACTCGCAAGCCCATCACCCCAACGATGCACACAGACAGAAAGATTGACCGGCAAGAGAGGACAAAGCGGTATGAGAGATTTTACCTCGACAAGCCAGGCCTGTCGAGTCATCTCTTACTCCATCCTATGTCACCTTGACACCGCATCTACTACCTACCTATTTACTGCCTCATTCCTACGGGTGGCTTTTCTGCTCGACGAGTTAATAACCCCACTATCCGTTACACCCGACGTACGCAGCCGGTATGCAACGAGTACGCGTGTATCTCGAGCGTGCGTGTGTGTAGGTGCGCTGCCTTTAGCTCCGCAACCGCAGCGAGAGAATCTCGGCATTGCGGTCCAGACTTTTACTGCGCCGGAAGCATCCCTGGCGGTCCGCGAGAAGAACTCTGCTGATGTCCGAACTTGGGGGAATGCATCAATATCGAAACTCCGTTGAAGATAGGCGGCAGGCCCGCTAAGGGATATCCACCTAGCTGCCGTACCCCATGATGATGGAGGCTGTGGAGCCGAACGCGGGGGAGAGATGAGAGTAGTTTGGCGCCCCGTGGGGAATGCTAAGAGGAGCGACAGACCGGGTCGGATCAGATGGGATGGATCCGGCGGCGGGAGTCCCCTGGTCACTTTGGAGCTCGACAGGAGGGTTATAAAAGGATCCTGACTCTTCTGGGGAGCTGTCGCCGTTCCACGATGAACCCCTCCTTGAAGCTCTCAACCTCGACACATCGACATTTCCCTTCTCAATCACCAGCTCCTCGAGTCATAAAGGAGAACTGTGAGCGGAGCTGGAGTGCTGTGTTCCGGGTTTTCTCCCGCTCCGTATAGTCACTTTCTCACTCCCCAAGAGTCAATTACCCACCTGAAACCCGCCTGGGGAACAAGACCATGTCGGACAGCAACGACGAGGAGAAGACGGCTAACACCGAAGAGGAGCAGCGGGAGCATCAGAAAATCCCTTCTATCGAAGAGGAGGCCGTTCGGAATGTCGTTCACATCAAGCTGGGTTGGAGATCATGGGTACGTTGCTAGCTCCTATCCAGCGTGGCGAGTTCTCCGACTTCTATGGCTAACATCGCTCATTAGCTGGTTGTCGCCGTTTGTGCCTTTGCGTGAGTTTCCTTCGGTGCGCTTGCATCAGACCTCGTGTCGACGGCTCTGCTTTCCGGCAGAAGAGGAGGAAGCACGACAGGAGGCAAAGAAAGTTCGCGGCTGGGCAGGCGTTCCGCGTCCAGCTTGCTAACCAACGCGAACAGCAACATGGGTCAGATTTTCGTAGTCGCCGGTGCAGGCTCCGTCATTGCATTCATCGTCCGAGATCTCGGCGGCAGTCCGCTCTCCGGCTGGATTATCCAGGGTCCCCTCCTTATGCAAAGTGTGCTGTCTCCGGTCTTGGGCCGCTTGTCGGACGTGCTCGATCGCAAGTACGTCGCGACGATCCCCCCGCTCATCGCCTTAGTAGGCGCCGTCATCTCAGCCCGCGCCGCCTCCATGTCAGACCTCGCCGGCGGCAGCATCCTCATCGGCGCGACGCTCTGCACTGTTTCCGTCATCCACGCGATCCCCTCCGAGATCTTGCCCCGTAAGAGCGTGCCACCCACCTGAATAGCCGAAGGAAGAGAAGCTGCTGATTATCCCGGTATTCTAGTCAAGTACCGTGCCCTCGCGAACGGTATCCTGGGCGTGGCTGCATCTTGCTCCGGACTGTAGGTAGTGAGCCGACTCCACCGAACCCGCCCAGGGACCATACAGAGGGGAGCTAACCGAGCTTTCCAACAGAATGGCCTATCTCAGCACCGGCGCTCTGACGGCCCTCGCTCCCGACGGCTGGCGTAACATATTCTGGATGCAGGCGGGATTCCACGGCCTCACTACCGTCGGACTCTTCCTCTTCTACTGGCCCCCGAAGAACACCTTATACACGCACATGAAGCTCAAGGATTACTTCTGGGCCTGCGACCCTATCGGGTCCTTCTTTTTCATAAGCAGTACAACGCTTATTCTTCTGGCTCTTAACTGGGCCGGCGGTGCTTACCACTGGTCTGACCCGCACGTCGCAGCCCCCCTCAGCGTAGGACTTGCGATGCTCGTCTGCTTTGGCGTCTACGGTAAGCCAAGTCGAATTCTGTCTCGCTTGTCGGTGTTATGTTTGAGCAAGCTCAGCTGATCTCTCGTGCTCTCTTCTAGAGTGGAAGGGCCGTAGCGATGGTCTTATCGCCCACATTTTCTTTAAGCAAAACGCCAACTTTGCCTATTCCACATTCGCCTTCGTGGTCGAGGGCTGGGTCTTTTATAGTGCTGTCAACTCCGTCATCCCCCAGATCGTGCTGCACCTGGACTTCGCTCCCGATTCCTTTAAGATCGCCGTCCGCCAGCTCAGCTTCCACCTGCCCTTCATGGCCACGGTTGTGTTGGTTACCTGGTACGCGACTCACTTTAAAGATCTTCAAACGCCCCTAATGGTAACATTCACCTCTTTCTTCGCTGTGTAAGTATACCTCGGTCCCTGCTTGCCCGGTCTCGTCGGCGTTTCTTTTTCTCAAGTATCTCTGCCGTCCTCGCTCGTTGACCGGTAGCTAACTCATCCGCCAGATGTATCTGCTACACTCTCATTAAGCCATCCTGGGAACGTATCCAACTCGTGATCAACGTCTTCGCCGGTATCGGCCAAGGAGGTCCTTTGGCTCTCCTCCCGGTGGCCGTCCAGCTTACGGCGCCGCACGCATACCTATCTACAGCGACCGGTCTCTCCTACTCCGCGCGTGCCATCGGCGGTGCTTTCGGCTCCGCGGCGCTTAACGCCATCATCAATGGACGTCTCACGGGCCACTACGCGGCGAACGTCGGCGGTGCTGCCCTCGCAGCCGGCCTGCCGCTGAGCAGCGTTGACGCGATCGCCAAAGCTGCCGACGACGGTCAGTTATACAAGACCACCATCCCCGGAGCGACTGCCGAGATCCTGGCCGCCGCGAATGAGGCGAGCAAGGAGGAGTATGCGCAGGCATACCGACTGGCCTGGGTCAGCGTCATCCCCTTCGTCGTCCTCGCCATCGTCGCCGTCTGGCTCCTCAAGAGCGTGAAGAACATTATGACGGACAAGGTCGAGGCCACCGTCGAGCGCGTTCGGTCCGACGAGGCCAAGAAGGCAGAGGAGGCCTCCTAAATGGCAGAGGTGATGAATGGCTTTTACGGTAGATACGAAGGAAACCTAGGGAGGCAGACAGTTGCGAATCACTCGGCCTTTGGGTTACGATGGAAAAAGCACGGTTATTTCGTTAGACGCTTCGGCTTCGGTTTCGTTAATTATAGACACTAGACAACCGCGTCAACCAGCGCGACCCGTGCCGGACCCAGATGTTACCCCGACGAACCCGGTTCACTGGGTTGAAGTGCCCTCGAGCCTGGAGGGCGACCAAGATCCACCAAATCCCAGACCTCCAAATGCCGACGGACCCTAACCCCGTCGCACGCCGGCCAATGCGTACGTAGGGATTTACTTCAAACCTGCTGTCGCGGCTGGACTACGCGTGCCGTCTGCCTTAAGCGGGTTGGCGCTGAGCGGCGAGGGAGGGGAACACTGGTGCGCGCTGGCGCTGCTCTCGCGTCCTCTCCCTCACTGCCCAACCGAGCCAGCGAAGCCTCCCTTGCCCTCTTTCGGTGGGGCGGCGTTGGCAGGCTAGGTAGGAAGCTCGACTAACACGCCTCGAGCGCGACCGTCGCCTGCCGCACGTCGGATCGCGGCTGGCGCGCTGGCCGTAGAGGGACGTCGCGGGATTCATTAACGGGTTGATGTGAAGAGGAGGGGAGGGGGCTAGGAGCTGCTGTTATCCGGTGCGCTATAGATCTTCATGCGGTGCGTGGATGGATTGACGGTTGAACTATCTCCCGTCTACTCGCCCCCCTTTTCCCGCCAGTCGTCGAGGTCGGGATGTCAGCAGTAGCATGGGAACTTGACATTGAGACGGTGCTTCACGTTCCACTAAGAATAAGTAGCTGCGCCTTCACCCATGAAGTGTAGATTGGAAAGTTTTAGGTTACCTTCCTAGGTTCAACAGTAAGAAAATTCCAGACTGGCGAGGCCGCAGCTTGCATGATAATGAGAAATGGTAACCATTTTTGCCACAACCTTATAGCCCACGTCAGCGTTATTGTGAGAGAGACTTGATCGTTAGCGTGCCAGATACGATGTTGAGGAATGTCAGGAGAATGCTCAAGCCTGGCCTCCCTACTTGAAGACTCAGCTGTGTGCGTGCACACAGGTTTTGAGGCACGCAGTAGAATGAATTTCTTGCTCGACAAGACGCTGCGGAGCCCCGGGAAATGCTCCTCCTCGTCTTATCCTCTTAGGATCAACTTTCCGCAAGCTCGAAGCTGAAATAAGTTTGAAGATAAGGGTGAAATCGTCAATTCAAAATACCAACGCAAAAACCTTACCTCCTTAAACATTTTACCTAGGTAAATACACCGTATTCTTGAAAGGTCCCCCTGCGGCACCTGAGGCACCCAAAACAGTGCCCTGTGATCGGCTGAATTGACGAAAAGTGCGCCCCAGCTAATTGATCGTAAAACGCTGTGTTTAAGCTGTTTCTAGCACCTAGTTTTATTTCCTTTCCATTCATCAGTCAGGTTCAGCTCTCAACGTTTTATATGCCTTAAATATGGATAAGGCAGCGAAGCAACGAAAGTGAACCCTTTGTGGCAATCTCTCGTAGAGCGAAGCCACACAGATCAACGTGCCGCCCCACGCACATGGCCTTGCACAGCCACATCAGCCGCACCGCATCTGATCTGATAAGGCAGAGCCAATCGGACGGGCCTGGCGAGTCCGTCAATGTCGTCACTTGGGACCCTGAATCCGCTCCATCCCTTTCTTCTCCCTCTCCTTCTTCTTCTCCTTTAAACCCCCCCCTTGCCTCCTCGCCCGTCTCAGCGCACACCACTCACCTAATTCTCTCGAACCCCCGCGAGAACCGACTCGTCGCCACGCGCTGGCGCACTGGAGAACGAGAGCCACAAGCCAAAAAAAAGGAAGAAAAAAAAAGGAGGGCAGGACGCGGAGCTCAGGACAGGCAGCCAGACTTCGCGCGCGGCGGTTCGGGATGAGGCATGCTGCTGCTCCGCCGCGCCGCACCCACCCGCCGCCAGCAGCACGGGGCGCGCCGCGGGTGCTGGGGCCCTATGCTCTGGGCCCCTCGCGCCTGGCCGCCGCCGCTCAGCCGCGCCCTGGCCGGCCCCGTCGGCGTCGCGGCGGCAGCGGCGGCGGCGCCGCGCCGGCTCTTCGGCGGCACGGCGGGGCTGCGCGATGAGCAGCACGTCGACGGCGCGCAGAACCACTACGAGGCGCTGCGGCTGCGCCCGGGGGCCACGCCGGCCGAGATCAAGAAGTAAGCGGTGCTCCCCCTTCCCTTTGCTCTCGCCGTTCCCCCCCCCCACTCCCGACCCACGCCGATAGCTAACTCCCCTCCGTCCCCCCCCCCCGCGCGCGCCGCAGGTCTTTCTACGCCCTCTCCAAGGCCCACCACCCGGACCACAACGCGGCGGACCGCCACGGCGCGTCGCGGCGCTTCGTGCGCATCAGCGAGGCGTACTCGGTGCTCTCGATCCCGGCGAAGCGCGCCGACTACGACCGGCTGCACGCGTTCCCGTCGCCGTCCGCGCAGCACCATCCTCACCACCCTCACCACCACCACTCCCACCACCACTCCAAGCCCCCCTCCTACTCGAGCACCGTCGCCGCCGCCACCAACCCCGCCGGCGGCCGCCCCCCCTCCGGCCTCAGCCGCCGCCGCGCCGCCTTCCGCGGCCCCCCGCCCAGCTTCTACCGCAGCGGCGGGTGGGGCGCGCAGGCGGCGAAGCGGCGCGCCGCGCATGAGAGCAGCGGCAGCAGCAGCAGCGCCGGCGCTCCTCCCCCTCCTCCTCCTCCGCCGCCGCCGCCGCCGGGGAGCTCCGCGTCTCCCTTCTCGCCGCCCGACCGCGTCCCGCACTTCGACCGCGAGAGCCACGAGCGCACGGGCCAGAACCAGCAGCGCCGGCGCGCGGCGGCCGCGGCGGCCGCGTCGTCGTCCTCCGCCGCCCGCCCCGCCGCCTCGACCCCCGACGACGACCAGCGCAGCCCCGTCGCCATGTTCTTCGTCGTCGGCGGCGTGCTCGTCCTGAGCACCTTCCTGGGCCCGCTCGTGGCCGGCGACTACCACCGCGAGGGCAGCAGCAGCGGCAGCAGCGCTGGCGCTGGTAGGGCCCCCAGCAGCCGCGGTTCCGGCGCCGACGGCGCCGACCGCCGGAAGCAGAAACCGCAGCAGAAACCGCAGCGTGAGAAACCGCAGGGCAAGACCGCAGGCGGCAGCGGCAGCGGCAGCGGCGAGAGTCCCCCGCCGCCGCCGCCGCCGGAGTGATAGACTCTGAGGGCGCCCTCTCGGGAAACTAGCGAGATGCCGGCCTCGGCAATATGGCCGGCCTAACCAGACGCTTTCTTCTTTTCCTGGCGTAGACACGAACTACAGAACGACCGAGCGACCGAGATAAACATAAGGGGCTCTCTGGCAGGAAGGCGAGCGACGAGAGGGCGTACACCGACAGCCAGAACGGGAACTGTAGTGTCTCGCTCGCGTATTTTCTGTACTAGCTCCGAGACATCGGGCAGATATCGTAGAGATGTCGTATGAGGCGGCACAACTCGGAACGACACGATGGTAGGGGCCGTTAGAGGGACCTTGCAGTATGTTTGTATGTATGTGTGTATGTCCTTACGGTAATCATAGTGCACCATGGGAATGTATGAATTACGGGACGCTGGGCCAGTCGCCCCAAGACGCAGACAGATGACTCCCCCTAGCCCCATATTCATCTTATTAAACCCCCTCTGGCCCCCCACCTCCAGAAAGGGGCGTCGAAATTGAGGATGCATATAAGTGCAATAAGTGCGACCTACTTTCGGGGGAGCATTTCAAAGCGTCGAGAGGCATTTTGTATGTGGAAAAATCAACGACGCTCACCGTACCCTGCCCCTCTATAGGAGGAGGGGGGATATGTGATCGTTAGAAATGACCAAGAGGTAATAGATCACCCTTGTCCCTCATCGTGTTTGACCATCTCGCTATTCACACACTTCGGTGGACCAGTAGAAGACACCTGCTTCTTACGAAAGTTTTGTTTCTTATTATTCTTCATTGCGCCCCTTAGGATTCGGCTTCAGCTTTTCACTGCTTCCGGCACATCTTTAGGTGCTGCTGCTGCTGCTGCTTTTTCTAAGTTGCAAACGGCGATCATTATGATGAAAAAAAGCATTGGGGGGGTATATCGTTGGGATGCAACCCCCGGGGAATATTTTCTTCATCCTACTTCTATCGTCTAGAACGTAAAAAAATTCCGGGGCGGATGTTTAATTGTCATCTGCCTTTCTAGCACGTGAGGTCATAATCTAGCTCTCAAAGGTGAAGCTGGCGCCAACCTAGATGGAATTGTCTCATTAGCTACCGTCGACGAGAGCATATGGATCTTGATATGCCGAACAGGGCTGGGTTTGGTTGGGTGGTGTACTCACCTTGTGGGTGGCTTGCTCGAGCTTCTGGGTATCGAAGGAGGCACCGAGACCCAAGGTGACACCAGGGCGGAGCAGGACGTTGTATGCGATGGCGGCGACGCCACGGTCGTTGATCTTGGCCTGTTGCCTCGTCAGTCGTCTCCTCAAATTGCAGTTAAGCATCCGCCGCTCCCCTCCTTTCCCGCCGAGCGATAGGTATAGTGTACGGACCTTGGCAAAGGAGACAGGGTCTAGGCGGTACTTGCTGGCGACCTCGAGGCCGACAGTGTTGCCGCTCTTGGAGTTCCAGGTGGCCTTGGCGCCGGCTTCGACCTGGCTATTAACTTTGTGGTAATAGCTGGCGGCGAAGATGCTCAGGTTGTCGGTGGCGGTGACGGCGGCGCTGTACTGGGGGGCGAGGTAGCCGACGGCGGCGCTGTAGCCGGTGACGGCAGCCTTCTGGACATCGTAGCCGGCGGAGGCGCCGGCGATGAAGCCCTCGTGGCCGATGACGGCGTCGACGTTGGCGGTGGGGCCCTTGAGCAGATCGAAGAAGGCGCGGCCGTGGAAGGCGGATTGCTTGAAGGTCAGGTTGAGCTTCACGCCCTTCTTCTGGCTGGCTGGCAGGAAGGAGAAGACGGTCTCGGCCTTGAGGCCCTTGGCGAGCGAGTCAGCAAGCTCGACCTTGGTGTCGAGAGCGTTGGCCGTGTTCCAGGTCTGGGTCAGAGTGAGACCTGCGCGTCGGTACATAGTTAGCAATGTTGAGCCGTGCCGACTTAGGACGATGCTGAACTCGAGGGGCCAGACGCGCGGTCCTGGCACCGCGATTCCGGTGAGGGATGATGAAAGCGAAAGCGCGGACGGGCGGACACGCTTGCGGGCGTCCGTCTCGGCGGCTTTCGCGGTGCGGGTGGATTTACCGAGCGACTTGTCCGTGTATTTTCCCTCGATCTATACCAGCAGAGCGACCAATTGTCAGTCTCCAATGCACAGATAGCTGCCCGAACTGTCTCCGTCCGTCCCCATTGAGCTTGCACGCGAGCATCGGCCTCCACTCTCGCAGCTCACTCTAATGAGGTTAGTGGGAGGAGGAGGGGGGAGGACGTACAGCACCGCTAGTGGCCTTCTCGTGGCTGCTCTTGCCGGTGACTTTGAAGGCGACATTGTTGGGGGTGTTGCTCTTGACCTCGATGGTGCCGGACGAGAGGTGGTAGAAGTCCTTGCTCAGCAACTACAAATTGCCGGGTTAGTCGAGTTGCGCGAAGGGGGGGCCGCGATGCGGGAAATTCGCCGTTGGCTGTGCAGCCAAACCCAGCCGAGGTGGGCAGGCTATCGCGGGCCCAAGCGATTGCGGAGGCGGCCAGGGACACTCACGTCATTTGCCGACTTGGAGATATCAGCGAAGGCCGGGACGGACATGTTGGGCTATGCGGACGAGTGGTGCGGCGGGCGGTAGTGGGCGAGAGCGTTGGCGTGAGGGCGGGCCGTAGGGGGAGATGGGGCAGAAATCACGAGGAAAAAAAAAAGTGTGTTGAGGGTTGGGTCTCCAGAGAGGTGTGCGGATTGGGAGAGAAGATGTGTTGTCGCTAAAACTGGGTGGAACGGCGAGATGGAAATTTCCCTCTTCTTTTCCCTGCCCTCTTTTGTATTCTTCTTTTCGTCAGTTGCGCTGCACCTGCCAGCCGGGTCTTTGACAACTACCTCCTCTGACTTGCCGTAGGTACCCACCCACCTATTCACCTACTTCAAGGTACTTCCTCGCCTACCCTCTGCAGCTGCACAACCCCGTCAACGCCGAGGCAAAGACGGACGGCGGCGTGGGTGACCGATGTATACCATGCGTCCCGCCGTGGTACTCCGCCCGTGGCCCCTCATGCTATAAGGTACCTCTGCTCCCGCCCCCGAGGTACATGCCTACATCTACGCAACGCAGGTACCGGAGCCACCTCAGCCCCGAGACCCCCGTCTCCCGTTGCCGACCGGGCTACAGCTCTGCCAGGTGGCGGCGCCCTGTTGATCCCGTCAGGATCCAGGAACAGTCCCCTTTACCCCTCAACACGTGGGAACTGGCTACGCCCGGAGCGGTTTAACCCAAACTACTCCATAGCACCATACCGCGCCACAATGTCACGAAACCAACCAACAAACCGAGAGATCTGAAAGGCGAATCAACCCGGAATTGTTCTCTCTCTTCCCTCCCCCTTCGCCGCCCGGTTCGTCTCGTTCGTCTCCCACTCCCTCCAAGTAGGTAGGTATACAACCAACCGTCAACCGCACATATCCCACACAAGGCCACTCCTAGCTGCTTGAATACAAGAGTCGCACTAGCTGCACGTTGAGAGGCCTCCACCCGACACTGCTGAGAGTTCACTATTATAAAGTAGGCAAGGTCATTGGCGAGGTAGGCATATGTACCTACCTCCCTTCCCTTTTCCTCCCTCGATTCGGCATTGGTGATGGTACTGGTGTGTTTCGGCCCTGCTACATGCTGTCGCCATTTCTAGCTATGATAACCTCTACAATCCCGGGGCCGCCAAGCTCGACCTCGTCTCCCCAGCCAGGCTTAGAGAAAGAGAGAGAGGCCAATCATGACTCGCCGTGCCTGCCGAGAACGTCCCATTTGGCATGGTGCAATCCCATACCCCGACTTACGCGATACCATCTTTAGCACCCGGTCCTCTACGAGGGTATTTCAGATGACCCCAGATTCCGAATTTCCGCCCTGCGCCTCGTCCCAGCTACCCATCCAATCTTCTACAAACACTACTGTTTCATGCCGTATCGTACTTGGCGTTATGCGTAGAGATGGCTCTGCAACTCGCGCGTTAGCGTCTAATGCGTTTCCGAAAGTTCCTCCCCGTGCCCGACTTACCGTCCGCTAGGGTCCGTCTGCTTCGACCAAGTCGGTGTCCAGCGCTCAACCGTCGAAGCGCAGTGCGGGGGGAAGTGCTCGTCAAACATCAAACGGTACCAGTACCTATATTCCGGCGCGCGTGAGCATAGTCTCGTTGCCGAGTCCGTGAACGGAGTAGTAACGGGAAACTTACGCCTCCTTAGTGTCGGGAATGTCGTCTCCCCACTCGGGCTTGGGGTGCTTCATCATCTCATCCGTGACGTGGAGCTCGGCGTTATCCTTGAGGGCGTCGATCCAGCCGTAGCCGACACCGTCCGAGAACTGTTCCTTCTGTCTCCAGAGGATTTCTTCCGGCAGATACGGCTCGGCAGCAGGATCGTCAGATGTGTCGAATGCCTTTCGCAGGATCCACTTCTCGATCCGCTCCTTAGTTATCATCTTCTCCTGCGGGTCGATGTTCATGCAAACTTCGAGAAACTAGGACGATCATGTCAGCAAGGGCAGGACTGGAGATACACTACCCCATCATACCTGCTTGTCGAGGAAGGGCACCCGAGCTTCGAGGCCCCATGCCGAGGTCGACTTGTTGGCTCTCAGGCAATCCGAAAGGTGGAGGTTCTTGACTCGGCGAACCGTCTCCTCGTGGAAGGCCTTCTTGTCCGGAGCAGCATGGAAGTACAAGTAGCCCCCGAAGATCTCGTCGCTCCCTTCACCGCTAAGGACCATCTTGATTCCCATGGCCTTGATTTTTCTCGACAGCAGATACATAGGCGTCGAGGCTCGGATCGTCGTCACGTCGTACGTCTCAAGGTGATAAATAACATCCGACAGGGCGTTGAGGCCCTCCTCAATCGTAAACGTCGTAACGTGGTGTTTCGTACCAAGGAACTTAGCGACCTTGATTGCAGCCTCATTGTCGGGGGAGCCGGGAAGGCCGATGGAGAACGAGTTGAGCTGTGGAAGGTAGGTAATCGTTGAGAGCTCGTTCTCGTCGTCGATACCCACCAACCCCTCTCCCGTATCGGGGTTCTCAGTCAACTCGGTCGCATTTCCGTTGGCCTCCAACGCGGCCTTCTTAAGCCTGAGGGTCTCCCGCTGCGCAATCGACGCCACCAGACTCGAATCCAGACCCCCCGACAACAGCACACCGTAGGGGACTTCGGCCATGAGCCGCTTCCGCACCGATCGCTCGAGCGTCTCGCGGACCAGCTTCAGGTCCAGAGGTGTGTCCGGAACCCTGGAGCCATCCCACCAAGTCGGCTGGAAATACCGCGTCGTCTCGTCAGTCTTGGTGTCGTAGATGTGCCCCGGAGGGAAGGAACGGATTCTGTCGCAAACGGTATGCAGACATTTCAGCTCCGAGGCGAAGTAGCCGGTACCGGGTTCCTTCGAGGACCAGCCTTGGTACAGCGTGGTGATGCCGATGGGGTCCCTCGCCGCGATCGTTCGGTCGAGGTTCTTGTCGTAGAGGACGAACGAGAACATGCCATCGAGGTACTTGGGGGCGTCAAGTCCGTATTCCAGGTACTATAGACGACGGTTGTCAAAGGTTAAAAAAATGGCCATGTCCAGTATTCAGAGAGCGTCCTCACCAAGGGGATAATAACTTCGCAGTCCGAGGCGGTCTTGAAGTGGTAGGGTTTCTTTAGGCTTTTCCGGATCAGTCGATGGTTATATATCTCGCCGTTGACAGCGAGGATGATAGTCTCGTCGGCGTTAGTCAGAGGCTGGGCGCCAGATTCTAGAGTCTCGTCGTCAGCACCACGGCCTTGAGACGCCCAAGTGCACGGAGAGCGTTCAACACGTACCGACGCCAACGATGCTCAGTCGTTCATGGCAGAGAACTGGGTGCGCATTAGTATCAGGGCACATGTATGGTCGATGGGCGTCCCGTACTTGTGTTGTTGCTTATGACGCTGCCGCCTATGAAGCGCAGGGGTAGGTTTACCGGTCAGCACATCTCCGGGTTGCTCTCGACTATGTTCATCGAATGTGACTCACTCCAGTCGGGTCCTCTATGCCGAATTCTGCGGAGACGGAGTCAATTGAAGCTCGCCGTGCCGAATATGGATCATACCTACTGCTTGGCCAGTTTCAGAGCCGTCGGCTTGAATTTCTGGACGTTGGGATGACTGGGAGCAAGCCGACTTGGTCAGTACTGGGAAGATCTCCCCGAGACGGCTGTGGCATTTTCCCGACGGCATATGCGGCCAGCCAGCAACAGAAACCCAATGGACGGTGGTAAATAATCAAAGATCAGAAAATAGGTAGTGGTTGTTGGTGGGGTCGATAGCGAGCGGGCGCAACTACCCCTCCATAGCTGAGCGACTGAGCAACGGCCTAACAACCAGGCCTTGCGCCATCCACGCACCGGCAGAGGGATTGGAGGGGGACTCACCAGTGACAGGCGAATATGCCACACATCGTGCTCGCCGTCGAACGAATTGAAGGGCGCAGAAGGGGGCAGGTGGTACCAGGGCCGTAGATGCGAAGCAGGAGTGGCGATGTAAGTAACCAGAGGCTTTCGTCGCAGGGAAACCAGTCTTGTCTACGGTGCACGCGATAGGTACGATATCAAGACGCGAAAAGTAGGGGAGAAAGTAGAAGAGAGGAAAGGTGTAGGCAGCGCAGTAGGAGTCTGAAGTGGCCCGGTATAGGTGGTGTGTGTAGATATCTAGGTTGATAGGGTAGATGGGAAAAAAAAAGGTGCTTGAGTCACAACCGGAATTGGACAGTGCCTGGGTATGTTACAGAATTGTGGATTTTTCTGGCTTAATCCCCTTATACCCGTTTATTCCTAGCCTAGCGAGTTATCTACTACTAATCCATAGTAGAGGCCGTTCACACGCGACGCTACCGAAGGGCAGACGGAATGGACGTCGATAAGAAGCCATATCTACGTACCTGCACCGGATAACGAAAACTCTCGAACGCCCCGATTTCGGCCTGGAAAACTTAGCCTAGGTGACTGGGCTGGAGATGACTAACTCGCCCCCGATAATTGGGCACCACCCTGTAACTTACCTACCTCTCGCTATCACTCGAGATATAAGATAAGAGAATGAGGACGTTTCCAGTAATCAATGCTAGAAATAACTTCAGCCACGATATCGACCAACCTGTTTGCCTGCTCCCCCTCGAGCACCAGATTGATAAGCGATGATAACGGGCTTGACGTTAGCCTTGGCTCGTCATGTGGCCGTAGATGTCGGATAGGTGCAGTGTCCCCGACTCGATGTTGATTGCGAGGTCTGATAACAGGATTACGTATGCCAACACCGATGGTTGTAAAAGGATCTCGCTGTTATCCTTGCTTGAGAGGTGATAGACGGTAAGCGGGAGGCGCTAGGTAGCTATGCTTGATATGGAGATGGGACGTTCAGGGGAACCTGTCTAGTTTTTTTTCTTTCTCTCTTTTTTTTTTTTGTGAGGCTCGTCCTCGCTATCTTACTTGGCTAGGTGGTGGTTGGAGGTGTCCAACCAATATTCCCGAGATATTCGGGCGTTGCGCGCACGGCAGATAGTGGGGACGTGTTTTCGCGAGTCATGGCGGCTGTGCTTCGTTTAAACGCCCTTGCAGCGCAGCAAATACCGTCCTATCCTCTCGGTCCTAAAAGCCCGACCCTGCCTAGTAGTAACACCAACAAGCATTGCCTTGGCTGGATGCTTATGAAAACCTCGCGTGTAGCCGCGGCCGCCCGTCTCAACTCCGCCCGAGGGCTGTCAAAATGCACAACGCAGTCAAGTCATCCATCCATACTTGGTATCCGTCACCGAAAACTCCAATCCGAAAAAGCACGACGCATCCCTGAATAGAACGCCTCTCGAGGGCCATCGTTCCCCCCGCCTCGGCCGGGTCGATGCACACGAGGAACGCGTCCGCCTTCAGGAGACCGGGTTGTCCTTGACGGTTCGTCGCACGCGTCGCTCATACTCGACTTTGTCACGTTTGAAGAGATTGTACGCTTCGGCTTGGGCAGGCGATTCCGGATTGGGGTTGTCGAGAAGATCCTGGATCCCGAGCGCGATCTGCTTCACCGTAATTGCCGGCTTCCAGCCTTCGTCTTCGTTCAGGATCGAGAGGCAGACGGTGCCGGAAGGATAGACATTGGGATGGAACAGCGGCGGTGTAAATTTGCCTGGGCCTAGAGTCAGCATCGCCTCGATGACCACCTACGATGCAATATCGGACGGTAATGAGGCTTCTATCGACGTACACTTGGGTGGCTTGGTAGGATACTCTGTAAAAGGCACATGTTAGTACCGAATTTCACGCTCTCTCCTCGTAGCTCGTATGCCTCGTCCGAACTCACCGTCGGGAAAGGTCATCGTCAGTTTGAAGAGACCGCCTTCCCACATCGTCCTCTCTTTGCCCGGGATGCCGCACTCCCAGACTTTGAGGTCGAGGACGCCCTGGGCATTCTTCATCGGTCTTGCCCAGAACCCGAACGGGTGGTCTCGCCTCCATTGCTTTCTGCCACACGTTGACGCGTCAGTAGAGGGTACAGCAGGCATAAGCCTGCCGATAAATGTCTCGTGTGTCACAGCCTCGCAGGGTAAGGTATACATACCGTTCCTCTCCGAGGCGCAACTGGCAGAGAGACATCGCGGTTTGTAATCAATTTCGGGTGGGGGTGGAGGATTGTATTTGTTCAGTTGAGGTCTCCCGTTTGTGCGGGCTGGCTGGGAGAGATGATGATGCCTTTCCTCTTGGTACGGGGAGGGAGGCTTGTAGGAAAAGTGGCTGTGGGGGAGGTCGAGACGAACAATAAGAGGTAACCAGAAATAGGCACAGTGTATATCGGTCTTAGGGGGGCAACGACAGCTGAGAAGCTTGAGAAGAGCCGCAGATCGGTATGGACTCCGTCGAAATAGCAATGGAACAAACCCCGGGGAGGAAAAGGAGGAAGAAAGTAAAAGAACAGGATGGGGCCTAAACGTAAGACCTGAGAGAGAAAAGACGAGGTGTGCCAGAAGATGTTGCTCTGATTGCAGGGATTCCAAGAAGAGAGAGAGAGAGAGAGAGATCTTCGCCAGCAAGCCACTAAACTTGACTTACCTAAGGGCACCCTACCGTACTTTCCCACATGCAGATTCTAGAAGGTACCTAGGTACTCAACAGACCTGGGGGGTACTTACCTAACCTACTTAAGGCACTGTACGACCCCATTGTAGGAGGTAGGTATTTGTGCTTAGGGGTAGGCTATTGTACTAGGAATGTCCTGCCTTCAATACGCCGATCTAATATTCCGTTTAGTACGCTTGCAGCCCCGTCTGAGAGATTGACGTGAATTGCATATACCTAGGTACTATTGTGACCTGCCCTGTAACTAACTGCCCACCTCTGGCACCATGTGGGGGCATGCCTACAAGGTAGCCCCAACTTACCTACCTAGATACCTACCTACCTACCTAGCAGCCGGTTCTGGGTTTCTGCATAAAGCTGGTAACAATATCGGTTGCAGAAACGGCAGTTCTCCGTAATGGTGACATTTTTGTTGTCGGGTTGCACAGCTCAAAGGCCTCGGCAAGTTGTGAACACCCGTGAATTACTCAAATTGTAACTCGGTTTCCTGAAAAGGCCGCCTTTGGTCTACAAGCCCATCATCTATTAGGCACCTCTTCAGCCACCCTTTTCCTGGTCCGCAAGGTCGTCCTTATCGTCACTATTTCGTCTTGCTCCCAGAACTACATAATATACGCAAGTCCTGGTCTTGTCCGTATTCCTCCCCCCCTCCATTGTCATCCATCCCACTGGCTTAGATCCCATCTGCCTCAAATTCTTGGCCCTTCGCACCTTATTTTGGGATCCCACCCTCTGACGTTGGTCGACTCGCACAACTCACCAACACACAAAGTCGCGCTTATCTCCAGTGGGCAACGGGGCAAGCGGTGAGGGAGGAATCCCTATATACAACATAATGGAGGCAAACCAGACGGCTGCACCTGCTACTAGCGGTAATCCAACTCAACAGAGCACACCAGCAAAGTCAGAGAAGACCACTGCTTATGTGCCTGAAGTGGATGACGCGCCAGACCCGGATGAGGATGACCTCGACGATTTGGATGACATGCTAGATGACTTCTCACATGTGAACTTGGAGACAAAGGGGCCTGCGGCACCTCCACCAATACCCAAGGCCCCCGCAGCAGCGGCACCTACGGCGAGCGCATCCACGTCTGCCCCGCCAAAGGCATCAGTAGAGACGGAGAATCCTTTGGAGGGACTAGATGATCTCTCTGACGAAGAATTCCAGAAGCAGCTCCAAGCCGGCATGGCGGAACTGATGAATGGCTTGAACGATTCGGTACGTGGTGTTCTCATAGCGAAAGCAATTGTGTTTCTGTTTCTTGACTTTTGGGGGGCCGGCCCAGAGAGCTGATACGTTGCAGCCGGAGATGAAAGCCCAATTCGAGGAAATATTCAAGGGACTTGGAACAGCCCCCGCCTCGGAAGGAACCGGTATCCCCGGGCCGGACCCGGCCCCGCAACCGTCGGGTAAGGCGCCGGCTGCGGGCTTGGGCCAGGATGCATCGTTTCAGGAGACGATCCGCCGGACGATGGCCCGGATGCAAGAATCGGGGGACCAGGCTACGGCGGCGGCGGCGGCCGAGGGCTCCGAGGACGACTTCATCGCCGAGATGCTGAAGGCGATGAAGGACATCCCCGGCGAAGGCGGCAGCGAGGAGGACTTTTCAAAGATGCTCATGGGCATGATGGAGCAGCTCACTAACAAGGAGATCCTGTACGAGCCCATGAAGGAGCTCAACGGTAAGTTCCCCGGCTGGATGGAGAAGAACAAGACTGGCCTGCCGAAAGAGGACCTCAAGCGCTACCAGGACCAGCAGGTATTAGTGGCGGAGATGGTGGCCAAGTTCGAGGAATCGACGTATTCCGACTCCAACGCGGCGGACAGGGAGTACATCGTAGACAGGATGCAAAAGGTGAGTCGATTCACCGACCCGTCGACCCACGATTGGCCAACCGAAGTTGTGTTGTTATATGCTGACTGATGGCACGTTAGATGCAAGCAGCAGGCTCGCCACCCAACGACCTGGTCGGGGACATGCCGTCTGCCAAGGAGGTGCTTGACGGACCTGACGAGGCGTGCGCAACTCAGTGACGTAGAGTACACGAGGGGATTCGGGCTCTTCTAACCAGTTTTACATATCGGGGTTATGCGTCGATTCCGGGGGCCTAGGGGGGAAACCGGAGGGGTTATATACACATACGACGCAATATCACCATAATACCCTACTATAGAAGAACCACAATATACCCACAACGCCACATTCTATGTTCCCTACCGAACTCCTTTATGCCGTTTCCCCCTTGTTCGCCGACAATTGACGAGACACTCTAAATCCCTAGCCCACCAACGATCTTTTATGACAGGTCCATTTCCATCTGCCCCGACGAGGCGAAACCCTGACGACCGGCGTCTGGTTGCGACAGGATGTTTGCGAAGAGGCTGTCGTAGTCTTCGTCGTCAGAGAGCGAAAACGACGGCGACGGCGGCCTCGCCACGGGCTGGGACGGCTCGGTGTCGAGTATGGAGAGCATTGCGTTCAGCTCTTCCTCCTCCTCGAGCGCCATCGCGTCGACCATGGCATCGTCGGGGTATCGGGATGCCTCACGCTGGAGTTCGGAGATGTCTTCTATCTCATCCTCGAACACGATGCCGTCGAGATCGGCATCTTTCTGCTGCCGTCGCTGCCGGTCTAGCATCGACCACTCGAGCTTGAGAGCCTGCCCAAAAAGCACCGCATCAGCACAATTACGAAAGGGGGTAGGACATCTCAACGCGTCAAATCGGAATGGACGGAGGGGAAGTGGCGTCTGTCCGTACCTCTTGATCGCCTCCCCTCCTCAGCCACTTCTTGTCGTCGGCCCGTTGCCGCACATTGCGCAGGAACAGGCTCCGCCGGTTCTCCTGGGCGTTCTCCCGCGGCTGCCTCAGCGGGTTCGGCTTCGCGCTGCGGGAGGCGAACCTAAACTTGGCCGACGGCTCCCTGATCGGGGAGGACTGGGTGTCGGGTCTGGGGAGGGTGTTGGGGTCGCGGGGGGACAGTGGCGGAGAGCTTTGTGACGGCCTGATGGGCGAGGAGGACAGCGGGGAGGGTCGCACGGGACGATGGGGCGACGAGAAGTCGAGATTGAATATCGGCATGGCGGCAAGCATCTCGTCCTGTCGGATGCATACACGGGATATCGGATTCACAGGACGGAAGGATATACGACGTAATTAAGCCGCGTCCAATATGAGGCGTAAGTGTGTAGGTAGGTGTAAGTGGTTTTGGTGTCTTACCAGGAGCTGGTTGCGGGACCCGAGTATTAAAGACGCGGCGCAGACCATGACACAACGCGCACAACGCGATGCTTTGCCAGTGCCCTTAAGCGGGCCCTAACGCGTAAAGCGGTAGGTACATGCCATTTTAATTGAATACCGGCATGTACCTCAGGTACCTCTGTCTTTGTCACCTCGGGTGCCTGGCAGGCGGCGCTTGGCAGGTGGCGCTCTCATCCGGTTAGATGCATACTCCCATCGCGTGTTTACTCATACCTGTTTACCGGTCCAAGCCACATCACCCTCTTGGCTGATCCTCATCACACCACAGTCAGCCGGGGCGGCCCAGCCTCTTCTCCCCGTCTCACTCCCTTTATCCCGTCAACCCCACGCACACAACAAAAAAGACACCCCTACCCCTATGACGCCGAGGTTCACGACGGACTGGGCATCCAACTCCGGCCTATGGGTGAAAAAACGACGGTGAAATTTTATTAGTTCATATTTAGCTCTGAGATCCCAACATAATTCGCGATTGATTCGACGGCTTCCACGTTCACGGGCCAACCTCGACGATATCTCCACTGCGCCAGCCGAAAAATAAAATAAAACAAAATAAAAAGAACAACATGTCTCTATCCTCGCCTAGTTGCTCATAAGGATCCAGTCGACTGAATACTCTAGCTAGCTGTCTATCTATCGGCCCGCCACCAGATTCCGTGCATGTTGGCGCTGCAAATGACTAGATTCAGGTTATCATGAAATGCCTCTCCGTCAACTGGCTTGGCCGCATAGCCAGCAACCGACGAACATGGGCCTGCTCGAATTGTCGCATCCAGCAGCTGCTGCTTGCCCGTGCTAAGACGACACAACATCACCCTCTCGCCCGGCGTTACGCCACCGATTCCTCGCGCTATTCGCGGCGGACCCCTAAGTCTACGAGAACAAGGGTTACTATCTTAACTGCCGCCGCCTCCGCCGCAACCGGCGCCGGCGTGTTGGCCTTTACCGACGAGATCAAATACGGATATGATGCGGTGGAGCGGACGGGCAGAGTTGCTGCCGCCCTGGCGATTTGCATCAACGAGTATGTCTCGACGTGTTGTCATCATCTTCGCTTGCTTCTCCCCAAGGGCGTAGAGAAAAAAAAAAGATGGAGAGAGAAAACTAACATGGCTCTAGCTACCGAACCTCTTTGAACCAACGAGAGGTAACCGACGACGCCGGGGAGCGGGAGGTCATCCTGGACGCATGCCACAAGAGATGCGCGGTGCGAACACTTAAAGTCCTTGAGAAGAACGGGGGGATATTCATCAAGCTGGGGCAGCACCTGGTATCTAACCCTAGGCCCTGACCGTCCCCGTATCGATAACCCAGACGGCTAACCTACGTCGTAGAGCGCGATGACATACCTACTTCCGCGCGAATGGACCGAGACGTTCATACCACTTCAGGACAGGTGCCCCGTATCTTCGTTCGAATCGATCGCCGACATGTTCCGGCTCGACACTGGCGAGGAGCTCTGGGACTACTTCTCTGAATTCGAGAAGAGCCCGATAGGCGCCGCGTCCCTTGCACAGGTGCACCTGGCCACTATAAAGGAGACCGGGCTGAAAGTCGCCGTCAAGGTCCAGCATCCGGGGCTCGCGCAGTGGGCGCCCCTCGACCTCGCGCTGACCAAGTTCACCTTTTCCACCCTGAAGAAGTTCTTCCCGGAATACGACCTCGAGTGGCTCTCGTCCGAGATGGAAATCTCGCTGCCGCAGGAGCTCGACTTCCAGCGCGAAGCCGCCAACGCGATCCACACCCAGGAGTACTTCGCCCAGATCCCCGAGCTGCCGCTGGTGATCCCGGAGGTGATCTGGGCCAAGAAGCGCATCCTGGTGATGGCGAACGAGTCGGGCCGGCGGCTCGACGACCTCGACTACCTCGACGCTAACCACATCGACCGCGACGAGGTGTCGGCGGCGCTGGCCCGCATCTTCAACGAGATGATCTTCGGCCGGGACGCGCCGCTGCACTGCGACCCGCACGGCGGCAACCTGGCGATCCGCAAGGCGGCACCGCGGCGGCGCGGCGGCGCCAACTTCGAGATCATCATCTACGACCACGGGCTGTACCGCGACATCCCGGCGGACCTGCAGCGGGCGTACGCCAAGATGTGGCTCGCGGTGCTCGACGGGGACATGGCGGCGATGCAGCGGCACGCGCAGGCGGTGGCGGGGATCACGGAGGCGCAGTTCCCGCTGTTCGCGAGCGCGATCACGGGGCGCGAGTACGCGGTGGTGCGGTCGTCGATCGTGACGGCGCGGTCGGAGGCGGAGCGGTCGTCGATGGGGCGGTCGCTGCAGGAGGGCCTGCTGTCGGACCTGGTGACGATGCTGGGGCAGGTGCCGCGCGTGGTGCTGCTGATCCTCAAGACGAACGACCTGACGCGCAGCCTGGACGAGAACCTGCGGACGCGCCAGGGCCCGGTGCGGTCCTTCATGATCCTCGCGCGCTACTGCGCCCGCACGGTGCTGCGCGAGCAGGTCGACGAGATCCGCGCCCGGCCCGGCAGCCTGCTGCGCCCGGGCAACGCCCTGCGCTTCGTCGCCGCCTGGCTGGGCTACCTGCGCGTCGAGCTCAAGCTCGAGGCGTTCGAGCTCTGGCTCCGCGTCAAGAGGCTCGTCGGGCTCAGGACGGCATATTACGAACGTGCTACGTTAGGATCATGATAACGACGACCACGAGGATTCGAATATCGCGCAAGCGTTCCCGAAACGAACTCTCCTGCGTCCAATTTTTTTCTGGTTCTCTCTCCCCCCGTCCCCCTCCCCCTCCGACTCCGATAGACATATAGATTCCTCGATAGACAGTCGGCCACCGGCGGTTAGACGCGGGCTGGCCGGCTGATACGTGCAGGTGCACGACGCGCCCTAGGCGGGACGTCGGGTGAGGGTGTACTGTACCGGTAGAAGAACTGGGAAGGAGAGGGGGGAAAAAAGAAAAAGAAGGGGGGAGGAAGAGGGGGGAGAGGGGGAGAGAGAGGCGTGCCGGACCATGTATTAGATGTCTGCCCGAGCGGGGGGGACGACGTCGTCCCTCGGCGGGTATAGTGTAATACCTAATATCAACAATACTGCAGTAGCGTGCGCCCCCCCCCCCCCCCCCCCCCCCCCTTTCCCCCCCCAGCCTCAGCAGAACGCAGGCGGCGCGAAAGTGACCCCCGGCCCACCGCGGCGCCCCGCCTCCGTCTCCGCCATGCCCCCCCGCCCAGCGTCTGGAAGTCAGGCGTGGAGGGGGGGCTTTTCCGCATCGCGGCCGCGCGACGGAGCCGGGACGCGTGAGGCTTTTCTTTCTCGCGCGCGCGCGTGTTTTATGCTCTTCCCCTCTGGGGATTTGGCGGAGTGTTACGGTGGGTCAGCGGGAGACTGTCCTTGGTTCCCCTTTAGTTGCTCGAGAGAGAGAGAGATTGGGTTCTAGTCATTGAAATATCTAGATCTTTTTTTTTTTTTCCCTTTTCAGTTTGGCTTGGCTTTTCACTCGTCGGACAGAGAGGGGGGCCTGCTTGTAGGTCTGTCTGTGTGTGTGCGGTCTTTGAGATGCTTTGCCGGCTCAAGCAAGGTAGAAAACTAGGAATATTTTCTCGAGATAATCCCCGATAGCTCCTATTAATACCCCCGGTTTGATTCTCTATTTGGGTTAGGCAGCCAATCCGGCCCGGCGTTTCTAACTATTGGCCTCTATGGGAAGATCGATATACGTAGACAAGGTGACTGGCGGGTGTTGGGGAGGCTTTTCATCTCGTTGGCTGCGTAACCTGTATAGCAGTTGGTAAGATTGCGATTAGTGGACTCAAAGAAAGCGACTACGAAGATTCACGTGTGAGATAGAGGATGTCGGCACATGAATCACTAAGCATGAATTTCCCATCCCGCCGTACTCTGCTCCTGGTCCAATCGCTCTGCGAGAGAACCCGGGTGGACATGTCGCATATGGGGTTGGCATCATTGGTCCGCCGGCGATCCTTTGTGAGCGGTTCTCCTTAGGCGTTGCCAATGAGAAAGAGAAACATCGCCCCAGCCTCTCATTAGCCCGCAATGCCTAGCAACCTTCTGTTAGGACAAGGCTGAGGGTCCCATGTTTCTCGGTGCGTGTGGAAGTGGCCCGGCGATGAAAATCCAAAACAGAGATTATCATCATCTGTAGTCTTTATCTCTCATCTCTGAATCGCGGCGGTATACTCAACCGGCGTCCACTACTTAGGCCTCAGCTCATCTTGAGCGTCGATTGGTGAAGACTAGGCCAGGTTGACTTACACGCACACTTCCTAGACAGAGGTGACTTAGTCTTGAGCTCACACAAAAGGCAGACCGCGTGTAACGGCAACATGCAACTCGGTCGCGAGCCAGCATACATACGTACAACACCACGGAGTGTATTCAAATACGGAAGAAAGGCATTCTAAACTCTCCTGCCTGACATCTGCGGTGAGACCCTAAACCGTTAGGGGTGCAGATAAGACTGGGTACTGATGTGGCTAATTTGTAGGTATAACAATCCGTCGCAATTCATTGCCCAAAGTTCCTCACCAACGAGGACAATGGGCCAGGCCATACCATGAGACGATTGAAAAAAAAATTTTGAAAAGACAAGATTCCGATGGACGTGCTCCGGTAATATACTAGATGTGTAGCATCGCATTGGGTTATGCATGAGTAACTCGAGTCTTGCTGCGTGTTGCAGCCCCGCGGCCGGGTCGATCATCGGTGGCGTGTATGTGTGCGGGTGGCGTGGTTATGTGGATTTATGTAGTGCCAGTGTGAGTGTGTGTGTTGTTGTGATGATGCAGCAACTCGGACTGCGCGATGCGTCGGTGGATGTGCCCAGTTACGGCGCACTAATTCACCTGAGAAAAATCCAAGTCGTAAAGGGGTATCATGTTTCAATTATCCTCCCTCCAATTTCCGGTAGGCGTTCCGTATACCTCGCCCTCGTCCCTCGTTTCCCCCCATCGTCTTTCCCTTACTACCACTGCATAGAGGGGGCTACTCCTACTTAGGTACTGAGCGTAGCGCCGGCTGGCCTCAGCGACCACCCCACCTCCAACTTGAACTTGACGGCGGGGACGCGGGGCCATGGGCGCTCGAGTCGCTACGGTCGCTGTCCATAGAGCGCTTCTCGGGGAGGGTGGGCGAAGGCGAGCGACGGGAGTACGACGACATGTATGTCGTAGCGGGAGTGATGGTGGCAGCGTTGGTAGCCGGACTGCTCAGCGGGTCGGGGGAGGTCTGGCGCGTCTGGAAGGATTTGTAGATTTGCTTGCACAGGTGTGCAGACATGGTGTAGGTGGGCGACATGCTGGCGCAGGTTGGTGGTGGAGGGGCGAGCAGCACCTCAAGCCAAGTAAAATAATATTGTGGACGGTGACGCGTTCAGGACAGGATACGGGAGAGTTGCTAGGCGCGATACTCGGTCGTGGGTTGGCAGGCGTCGAGGCTGGAGAGAGAGGGGGGAGAGAGAGCAGCAAGGAAGAGCCAAGTATTTAACAGAATAAACGGTCCGCTCTTTTACAAATGCCAGTCAAGCAGGAATATGGCTCGATGGGAAGACTTGGCACCGCAAAAGAATAGAAGAGAGGAGCGACGGTGGTGGGTATATAAATGGAGTAGGTAGGTAGATCAATACACGGGTAGACAAGAGGAGGGTCCAGCACAGGAGTGGGCCTGACGAGATAGGAAGAGACAGGGAGGGAGAAGGGGGAGGAGGAGAAGGGGGGGAGGAAGGGAACGGGAGCAGTCTTGGTCGTAGTATTTAAAGGAATGGCCGATGAGTCTGTAAGCAATGCGGGCTGCTAGCAATTACCCTAGGCAGAGAAGTAAATAGGATCGCAGGGAGGACTCTGACGAGGGTCAGTGACGAGAAGAAGGTCAATCAATGGGCAGAGAGCACGCGGATATGGGACGGGAAGAATGGCTTGGAGGAGAGAAGCAGGGAAACAAATGTGCGATGGCCGATTCGAGAGCCGAGAGGTACGGGACGAGATGGAGGAGTATTAGGCGTCGGCAGCAACTGTAACCCCCCTGGTTTGCGCACCCGACGAGCTCAACAGGGGAGAGAGGTTACAGCGAGTTAGCAGCCTGTCATATGTACCCTACAGGCTTTACAGGCTGCCTCTCAGCACCTGCCTCTCAGCACCTGCCTAGCACCACGGCGACCCCTCTCCCTCCTACCTCCCAGGTAACTAACTGCCCAAAGTGGACTGGCAGGAGGGAGGCACTTTAAGGGACCTGCCAAGCGCAGTACTACCTATATGTATACGCAGTACATAGTGGGTATGTACACGCGTAGGCTAGGTACCCACCCGCCTCCCCGTAGCAGCACCCGTCGAAGGCTTCGTCCGAGGTATCGCAGTACGCGGAGAGGATGTACGTGTATGAGCAGGCGCCCGAAGGGGAGAGAAACCCGGCCGTCCCCGCCCCAGCGAAGGCGCGACCGAGTCAACCCACTCCCCGCCGCTCCCACTCTCCCAAAGCAGCTACGGCGGCGCGCAGCGGCCAATAGGCGGCCGCATAATCTTCATTACACAGCAGAGACACGAACCTTACGTACCTCTGCGCCTACATTATGACCTGATCCGGATCGTACGACTTGCACTACCCACCCGCACCACCTGGAATCGCTCGTCCCGAGCACTCTGCTGTCCTGTCCTGTCCTGTCCTGACCCTGTCCTGACCCTGTCCTGTCCCTCTCTTCGTCTTGCTGCCTTTTTTTCTTCTTCGCCTGGTGACTCCGACCCTAGTTCTTCTCCCCGTCCACGTACTCACACGCTGCAAACGGCATAAGCCCTCGTGAGTCGCACGATGCCCCCCCCAGACGGTGAGCAACGATCGAAATTGGCCAGCCTGAAGCCACGTCTCAACCTCGGGTCTGGTCAGGGCCCTCTAGCAACCCTGAGAGCGTGCGATCACTTAGCTACTGTATGAGTATTCCGTATATGTTTATACTTACCTAGGCACCTAGAGATAAGTAGATTGGTGTCTACGTGTTGCGTTTAGCACTGTCGTATGTACACGTCCCTTACCGACAGCCACTTGTAGGTGGTGGGGTGGTGTGTATTAGCCGCCGCGGCGCGCTTGAGCTCTCTGTTCTGTGTACTCGGTAGAGACGTTAGGTAGTGTCGGCCCCGCCAGCCGGGTTTTCCCAAAGGGGAAGAAGTCCCAGGGAGAAAGACGGGCCCCGCCCGACCCCTGCCGTGGGTTGGAAAGGTCCCTCTTCAACTTCACAGGTGCGCGTACTCAATCAACACACGTGTCTATGGGGAATCGACATCGAAAATAGGGGAAACTCCCCCTGCCTCCCGGCCTACCGAGACTCATATGTCCAGTAACACCATCGAGGAATGGATGATCCGTGGATTCGTGGAACCCACCGCCTGCAGGGCCGACAGCAACAGGTGAGAGAACAGGTGAGAGAGGCCGTCGAATGTCGCGAGGCACAGACATTCGATGCGACGCCCAGGGCAGGTTTACCCGACAGGCGTCTCCCTCTCTCTCCCTCTCCAGCGGACCTACATGATGTATGTCTGGAACGTACGCGAAGGCGTACCTACATCGAGCACGCGAGTATGTCAAGCGTGCATGCGTCTCTATGCCTACGTGTGATATCTCCGCATCGCTCGTCGCGCACGGTATGTGCTAATCAATAGCCACACCTCTCCTTCGACGCTGCCCACCCGCCCAACTCGCACGCCTCCTCCCGGGCTTGGAAGCATATGCTGGGGACGAATTGCCCATATAATAAGGCTTCGCGAAGCCTTCGGTAGTTGAGGCCAGCCTGCCTGTTCTTCCCACCCCCGCAGGCGCAATGATGTCCCGCCTGCCCCGGTAAGTTTAAGCCAGCGTAGGGCCAACCGTAGGGCTCGTCGTCGTCGTCGCGGACCCCTGTCTTGGCTGCGCCAACGTCATCGCACACTAAACTGAAGCCATCCTCAATCGTCACCAGCGACGTCGAGCGCATCCCGATACGGGCTGCCCCGGCTACTACTGCCCCTCTCCGTCTCATAGGCCGACACAGCCTCTCGCTACCCACTACGTATTATAGCGTAGCCGTAGCAGCTTTCCCTCGTGGCAGCTTTCCAGGTTCGAGAGCTTGCGGAGACGGCGCCGTCTGGTTGCTTCTGGTAATCGGTACCAGATTCCCTCCTCCTTACCCAAGGGGCCCGCTACATGCATGTCTGCACCCTACGAGTACTAACTAACCGCATCCTTTGCCGTCCCATCGAACGATGTGACTTCTAACCCTCTCGGTTCGATAAAAGCCTCTGGCCGCATTGTTACCATCTCCGCCCTAGTGTATTCCCTCTCCCCTCTGATGCAATCATTAACCCCGGACGCTATCTCCGGCAACCAGCTAGTATTTTAGGAATAGGAAACTAAAAACACCCGTCAGATGTTAGAGAGCCATCGGTGCCGTCGGCAAAGTTGGGATTTCGTGGTGGGCGTAAAAGTAGAGAGGGGCGATACGATGGAGTCAAAGCTGAAAACGCGATGCCGGCGTTGTCTTGGTCAGAAATAATCCTCATCGGGTCACAATCGACCCATATCTCCTCTGCGAACATGCAAACGGAGAAACTACCACAGCGATCACCTCTATCTGACTCCGACCAGACTACCCATTTGCCTCTCAGCCAATTGTCTCGCATGCGAAAAGTCTTCCTCACTAACCTCTCGAGTCGCCCAGCTACATGCCGCGCCAGCTAGACGAGAAGCCGACCTGGCGAGCTCCGGCCCCGCCTAGCGGGAATTATGCCATGACACCTCTGCATGGTCTCATCGAAACCCAGCCTAGATAGGTACCTAGGTACTACGCTGCGAGGTACCTACCTTAGGTACCGACCTCCACACAAGACTGCTGGCAATCACAACCCGACACGGATACCGAGCTGGGAGGAACACCAGGCTCCGCGATAGCTTCACTTCCTATGCGTTTTCACAATGGCCAATACTGCCAAGACGCAACCACATCCTCTCAAGGTCGGTCCAGTACCCTAGGTACCTAAGTCTACGCGAATTCGGTAGGTAGGTACGTATCGCAAGGACAGTAGGTAGGAGATCAGTAGGTTACTTAACGAAGGATAGGTTCGATTCCTAACAGCGCTATTACTTGGTAGTCTTCGCTATGTTAGCTCATCTGTAGGAGGCTCTACCTAACGTAGAGAGCTACATAGGTACTAACATTGTTCACTGGGAAAATGTCAATTTTACCCCTAAGGAGTGTGTACCTGCTAGAGGTAGCTCTACAAGGCCCGCCTACCTGTCCTGGGCACCTCTAGGTACCTCCCTAGGTTAGGTACCTACCTAGGGTCGATATCCAGCTTTGCCTTAGGTAGGTAACTTATCCGGATTCCGACTACCTCCATAACGAACTTGACGCATCCTTCATAACTGCCTAAACCCGAACTGCACGCAACCGGAAGGCAGCACCTAGGTACTATTTCCACCCTTGAGGAAGGAACAGATAACCCAAGATGAGAGATACCATTATTCGGCGAGAGGTTCTCGGTGCCGTGCTTCTCAACCTTCACTTTGCCAATGTTGAAATGGCCGAGAGGCGTCCGCCCCATTCGGCGTCTTCGGACGCCCCCCTCAACACCGGCTGCTTCCCTTCCTTTCCGCGGTAAGAAATGCGAATTGCATACGCGAATCCCCTTCGCAGGCAACCGCATACGCAGGCCAGCCCCCAGCTGAGGTGGATGCCGAATCAAGAGTCGAGGAATTGCCGTCATGCGCTGTACGCAAGCTCCGGGTAGGCTAGGACGGACGGCTCGAAGACGCCGTCAGTAGATCAAGGAGGGGCGGCGGCCCTCCCCTCGGTACGAAGGTCCTAAAGGGGCTTGCTTTCCTCGCGGAGTGGGCTTCTACTCCCACCCGAACCAGCAATCAACGAGGTCTTCCCCAACCACGCGAGCCCAGAACGAGAGATGTCTCTACGGCGATAGACGGGGACCCTCCGTCAACCTCTTCGGACCCCGACGTCTTCTACGACCGCTTGGGAAAAGTGGACCAAGTCTTTTGTCTTGTACGATCCAAACGTAGTGCTGGATGACACTCCCACCGTTACGAATTGCCGTCACTAGACAGGTTGCCTGCCGTCTTATGACGGGTGACTAGGGCCACCGAGCTTCACCGACGGCTAAGGGTGCCTTTCTGCAGGAGTTAGACGAGATACTGCTTGACTATCGCATCTGCGGTGATTTCCGTGGAGATCAGGATGAGTTTCTAGGGCTCCCTAGCGACTCGGGTGCTCAGACACGCCGTACACAACCTCCCGAAGGCGGCGGTCGTCTCCGTTGGATCCGGTGGTTGGGCTGCTCGGGCTCGGGCTCGGGACCAGAGAATCGCCACGGTTAGACGACGGTACGCCTCACACAATACACGCCGACCTCGCAGATGCGCACTAATGCATACGGGTGGTATACAGCGAACTTTTCGCTGCAGTCGGGATAGTAGTAGTAGTAGTAATTCACGCCCGCAGGGAGGCTATCCCGTGACCTCCCGTAAGGTGCTAAAGGCGTGCTAGGCTAGGGCTAGGTATTTACAGCTCTTGGCTACCTACCTATCTAGCAACTCATATCGTCGCTGCGCGATCCGCGATCCAACCTATATCCTCCCTCCTCCCTGCGAGGGCAGTTCCCAGTACGTCTCTCTGTCCTTGGTCTCTGCCGGCGATATGGCTATATGCTCAGGGCTTAGGAGCTGTCGATCATCTCCACCGACAATTAACCTCTTACTTAGGTTCCCAAGTCCCTGGCCGTGAACGGAATATACTCCAGGTGGACCTCCAAACGGAAACTACCGGATTTACAGATGGAATACATTCACAGTCCAGCGTATCCGGTGACTTCGTCCAGGCACGAACGGGAGACCTTCAGTGTGCTAGACTGGGGCGATAGCTAACTACGTTCCTACACGTGTCACCTACCTCCACTTTTTCCACGGCAGGATAGGGTTAAGACGAGGATGGTTGTTACAAAAGGAGGTCCTAGGTTGTCACATCTATGTTAAGAGATATTCTCAGGGGTACGGCTCGGTCGTAGGGCTATCGGGTTTCGTGTCAGTTCCTGTCAAAGTAACCAATATTCCCGTAAATTACCCCGATTTAATACCGCTTTGCGGATCCGGCTGCCCTATCGAACCGCGAACCTTCACATCCTCGGATGGGAATACGCCAGGTAGTCTTGTTCACGCCCTCATCTCAAGTTCTAGTCGGGGACTGCTAGCCAACCTTTCCGACCTCTGCCAGCGGCCGTGCTACATGTTACGTCGCGACCGCGAAGCCATGGACAAGATCCAAAACCCTCGAAAGCGATAAGAGTCATTAAAGGTTCGTGAGTCTAGGGGAGGAGAGCACTATATATGTTATCACCTAAGGACTCCCACCTATATAAGCCTGTAAAACCCCTGAGGGAAACGTAGGTGTCTACATTTTCATGACATTATATATTTTAAATTACGCCAGCCTCTTCTAGGTAGCCGAATAGCTAAACATGGCCCCTGAGGGTGTGGATGGAGAGGCACAATTCATGATCCTATTCCGTTTCCTCCTTATCTGGTGATGGAACCCGGGTGCGTGTTGCCGGAACAAGCTAAGAAGGAGGTATACCTTCCTAAGGAAACATACCTCATATGTATGAAGAGTGCCCTCCCCATCCCCAGATCTACTTAGAATATCGTCGTATCATATGCCTTTGTATATGCCACGAGACGCCCGATCTCATCGTTCAAGGCCGTTCGCTGGTGGTAGTCTTAGGAATTACGGCGCAGCCCTTTGCCAGACGCCGGAAGGACATTACTGGCTACTCATTTTCTCTTCCGAGACCCCTCATAAACACTAGCACCATTACCGAGGCTGAGACGAATGTCCTGGTCTGGGCCGTTCGAAAGCCTAGTAACTAAAATGCCTGGTTACAGTTTCGTTCACGGGTACACAGCGTCAGCTCGTATTACCCCTCGGGTCGAGGAAGGGTCGCCTCGCAGAAGAGATTTGTTAGCCGAGGGACGGCATGTTCGTCCAAAATTTATCGTGTATTGATAGATTCACTCTAGTAAACAATAGTTGCTACCAAGGTGAGCCTATGATATCCCGCGAGAGATATAGGATAGGGCGTCCCGCGTGGGAATGTAGGACCTCGTGGGACGATCGCTACCGGTCATAAAGCCATCAGGGACGCCTTGAAGAAAGGCAGCACCTCACGCCCTCGAATCTGTTCCCTAGCCGGGTCCGGGATCTATTATGATGACTTGCTATCCGAGCCGCCAACATGTTAACGCGGACGCCTTGTCGCACCTTCATCCGCCTCAGTCGGATGACCGGTGACGGCACCAATCGTGAGGGCGAGACTAGGCCTAGCTCCTGGGTTACCGTGTTATTTGTACCACCCCATACCTTTGCCATCTTCTACATTCCCTACCGCGAAGCTCAGAATAGTGTGACGTGGAAAGCAAACGCATATGCGAGCAATTGCGCCGTCAAAACAGAGAAGTGTGGGCGTTTACATATATACATGTAGTGGCATAGTATAAGGAAGCAGGAGCTACAGGGGCAACTGGCCCCTTTGAACGATCGACTCCGAGAGCTAGAGAAATATCGACGGCGATGAGATCGAGGACCCCAGCACCCACTCCAGGATTGGTAGAGGCTGAAGAGCTAGATACGTTGAGTTCATTATTCGTATACGCTGGCTATCGCGAGAAAAGAGCTGGGAGAGGGCAAGGAGACAGATAGGAGAACATATACATAGAGGTTCTTGTAATTCCTAATTCTCGTCACCGGAGACTACTCAGTTGCGCCGTGAAATGATGACATACGCTGGGGTATGTCGCAGGTATACCCAGCACAATGCTCACAAACAGCCTAGACAGAAGGGAGTTCTAGAAACGTGCTGCCAGGGGGATATCGTCAATAAACATTCCGCACGTCACAACCCTCAAATACAAGTAAGTGCTTGAATTGCCGCGAGACCACGATCTTTAACGGGTGAGATGTACGCCTGGCAGCTACTACGTTGCCTTTCCCCTATGGCCGTCGCCCTGATCAACCACAAAGGGACAAATAGCCGGGCCACAACACGATCCACTGCCGCGGCGAACACCACACGGAACAAGAGTACGGGAGCGAAAGCGGCGTCGAGAGATAGTAATTCGTCTAATATACCGTGTCTGGGCGATGCATGCCCTCCGTAGCTAGCCAGTTCCCTTTCCCTGCCGCGGCCCCGAGGCCGCGCACACGACCACGACATCCCGACGCCTCCCCCACCAGAGCCCGTCCGTCCGCTGTCGGCGCGCCCCGGCGACGCCGCCGGCACAAACTAATAGAGAGAGAGAGAGAAGCAACACAAAACGCCAGACGCCGAGCAGTGCCCGCTAGTGGGAAAGGTGGTGGTGGGGGGGAACTCGGACCGGCCTACGAAGCCGTCCGCAGCCGTCGCTGCGTCCCCATCGCAGCAACAAGTCGAGCCGGGGCCCCCGATGCCTCTTTTTATTAACCCTATGTACGCGCGAACCTGGGACGCGCCGCTCACGTGATTTTCTGCCTTTTCGCGTCGGCGGCGGCCTGGGCGGGGGGGTTGGTCGAGACCTCGGAGAGGGGGGGGCGGGGGTGGGGGTCGGGGGGCGCGGGGGCGGGGCGCTTGACGGTGAGGGGGCGGTACTGGCCGCGGTTGGCGAGGGGGCTGGCGGCGGTGGCGGCGGCGGCGGCGGCGGGGGGCGCGCCGATCTGGCGGGCGTGGTGGAGAGGGGGCCCGGGGCCGGGGCCGGGGGCAGGGTTGCCGACGGCGGCGGAGGCGACGCCAAGGAGCGGGCGGGCGACGGCGTCAGGGCCGGCCAGCGGCTCCCCGTCCCGCTTCACCGGCGCCACGTGCTGCCCGGTCTTGGACACGGGCTTCGACGCGCTGTGGTCGATCCCCGGCGTCTTCCGGATCGACGGGCTCTCCGCGTGCGGGTTGAACAGCTTCAGCCCGGCCTCCGGCAGCAGCGCCGCCCCCGCCGGCGCGTCCTCCGCCAGCTTGCGCACCGAGCGCGCCGAGAAGAAGGATACCTCCTCCGGCACGCCGTTCGGGGGAGGCGTGCTTGTCCGGCCGTGGGCGGCGGCGGGCGGCGCTGGGTGGTTGGGGTGGTTGGGGTGGGTGGGGGTTCTCGCGTGTGGTTGTAGGTTGGGGCGGCCCTGCTGCATGGGTGCGCCTGCGCGCTGAGGCGGCTGGTTCGGCCCGGGGGCGGGCCGCGACGGCGGGGGATTGGGTCGCGACGGCGGCTGCATCGGCCGAGGGGCAGTCTTGGGTGCGTTCGCCGCGCCACCGGCGCTGGCGGGTAAGGTTGGAGGCTTCTCGCCCGAACTCGTCTCGTGAGAGGCCGACAGGACGACTTCGTCGGGGTGCCCGTCCTCGGTGACGCCGAAGTCGGCCATGTCGAAATCGCCGAATTCTTCGTCGAGCGCGTCGGAGACTACACAGGTAAGCTATCAGCATGCCCTGCGGTAGCTGCAGCTGGGACCAAACCTACAATCCGCGCTGGTTTTCTCGGAACTCCGCTCCACGAGGTTCTTGGGGTCGGCCTTCAGCACGACAGGCGTGTCCTTCTTTGCATAGTCGGAATGGCGATGCAGGTTCTCCTCGTTAAACCTGACCGGGCCGACCTTGATCTTGGTGACCTTGGACAGGTAATCCTTGTCGTAGATGCAGTTCCCGAGGACGTTGCCGAAGTTCCGCAGCGTGCGCTTCAAGGCGTCGGTGGTCCCCTCCTTCTTCGCCTTCTCGAAGGCGGCGGCCTTGCCCTTGCAGTTCTCGATGTGGCCGTACCCGATGTCCTCGTGGAACGTGCCGTCGCGCAGCGTGACGCGGACGATGACGGAGAGGCCGAGCGAGACCTTGAAGGTTTGCGGGTGCTCGTCGACGAAGTCGACCTGGATATTCTGGATGCTCGAGGACCAGCCGTTGAAGCCGAATACCTCATTGGCGAGGGCGATGCACTTCTCGGCGGCGATGTAGTGGACCTTTTGGCCGGACGGGCCGCTGCGCGCGGAGAGGTACTCGGGGCCGAGCTGTTTCTCGAGGCGCGCTTGCAGCGTCGCGATTTCGACGGCGGTGAATTCCGAGATACGGGGCTTGGCCTCTTCGAAGGGGTTGACGATACCGCTGTGCTGGTCTCCCGGACTGTGAGCCGACGCAGGGATTGCGGGTTAGCGAAGACGCGCCGAGGGGGAACAGGGGGCATACGCTGGCATGGTGTCGATTTACGAGGGTGGACGGGAAAGCATCGAAGTTGTGAGCATGATAAGCTGAAAACAAAATAAACCGGCTGGTGGAGGTGTGTCGTCCTCGTCCTCGGGCAATGCTGCCTTGTTGCTTGTGGGCTGGGATACGGAACGGGTTGGGACGCGAGAAGAGGCACACGGGTACATGCCCGAGGGCGCTAAGCCGCCGGTTCAGATTACATAAGACGCGTAGGCGGACACCAGGTCACCTGACATGCGCGTTGCAATATCACGTGATGATGGGTACGATAAGACCGGTAAGCACAAACCCCCCTTACTGGCCTACTTTTCTGCGGACAATATGTGCATACCGGATTCTACGGACTGTTGGTGTATCCTGCCTGCGCACAACACTGAAAAGTTGGCTTATTAGGGGAAACCTGTTGATATTCCCCTTCTACATTATCTACTACGTGCTACCTACTACCATTGTACAGCTCTGTGCTTCAACCTGCGAAAGACATGGGTAGGCTTTGTGAGGTGCACGATGGAGATGTAATTTTATGTCCTCACAGCCTTCTGTCACCCAGTGTCTGCTCTCACTAAGTCTAGGTGCCACCGAAGGGAGAAAGACAACGGGCATAACGCGATGAGGCTAAACTCATACCTGCCCATAGATGCCCGCAACATGCTCATAGGATTTTTCCCAATCCGATGGTCCAGCTCCTACCTAGGACTCTAGAGACAGACGCTCTCTAACGTGAAATCGTATGGCGGGCAATTGCCAATATGCGAGAGTCGGACCCTACGTTCGGACGAACGGCGGGAGGCACGAGATGGGAACATGCCAGACAGAAGGCTAACACCAAAGCAAGACGCCACGCCGGAAACATCAGCCAGCATGAGGAACCGGCGCCGAAGAAAAAGACGGCGGGAGAGCTACGCGCTGCCGCGTGAGATCGGACGCCTTGACCACTCAAAGGTAGCCGCTTTGTGTCTGTGACGCAAATCAAATCGTGGAGGCATCGGTTCACGATATTTCTGCTTCCTTCTTCTCCTTCGGTATCTAATACGTAGGAGAATAAGCCAATTTGAAACGATGCGGCTCCTCGGGATAGGAACATACATGCTCCTTAAAACGCGGCTGTCCCGTTCCCGTCATGTCGTGGGCGGATTTTCAGGGGCGTCTCGCAGGTCGCCTTCAGCCCCCAACGGCATGACAACGCCGCATGAAAGTAGGCAAACCCCGTTGTACGGCTGCTGCCAGAACTGAAGCGACCTCTGCATCGAACAAAAATAGTCGACCCGCCAGCCAGCCAGCATCGTATTAATTCACATCTATACCCCACCGCCGTCGTCGTTGTTATCATGGATCCGCCGCCGGCCCCGATCGGGCTGTCGAACTACTAGAACCTCGGCTTGCGCTGTGGGATGTGCTCGATGCCCGACTGCGCGCGTAGTAAGCCCCTTCTGCTGTGCGGCGGGTGCCGCGCCCACGTGTATTGCGGCGCTTTGCCCGCGGCCTACGTGCTCGGCGCCTTACAGGAGTTTAACCTCACCTTTCGCTACGCCCAATACACGTAGTCCGAGTGCCCGGCCGCCCTCGAGGTCGTCAAGGAGTATGCCGGGGTTTAGGACAGGGCGGGAGAGGGGACGTAATACAAGGGAAACAAGAGAAAGAGATAGAAAAAGCTGTTCCTGAGCACGCGAAGCATTTTACCGCGAGTTAATACTACGAGCCTCCAGATGTGTTGCTCTCGTCCCTTTTAGAACCCGATCAGACGTCTCCGTTGCATAGGGAGACGGGGCAAATAAGCGTGTAGCGATGATTAATATATACAGGGCCTAGTTGTATTATATATAAAGGACGGCGAGGTAAGGGAGAAGAAAAACATGGGACGACATCATAACGCGTTACGAGGCTACACGAGGTTACGTATACGGACCCATACATCAAGTCATTATCACCGCAGCGTCGAGCATATATGCTTTCGGGAACCTAACAGCGAAGACCGCCACGCGCGCCTCGGGGCGCTACAACTTAGCCTTCCACACGCTCTCGACGACCTCGCTCTCAGCGAAGGCGTAGACGACGCCGCGGGCGCCCTCGACGGTAGCGCGGACGAGGGCCGCGCCGCCTCTTCCGCCGCCGCCTCTTCGCGCTCGCACCACCTGGCTCCGGACCAGCACGGTGACTTCGGCCTCGCCGCGCGGCGCCACCAGCGGCCGCAGGAAGCGCGTGTTGGTGTAGGCCGAGTAGGACCGCAGCGCCAGGTCGCGGTGCAGGTAGCCGACGCGGCCGCACACCGCGTCCAGCAGCAGCGCCAGCACGCCGCCGTGCGTCGTCCCCGGGATGCCCTGCAGCGCCGGCCCCAGCGTCAGCACGTCCACGTGCACGGGGAAGCGGCTGCTGTCGCCGTCGCCGTCGTCTTCCTCCTCCTCCTCCTCCTCCTCCTCACCCTCCTTCTCCGCGCCTCCTCTCTCTCGCGCGCGCCGCCGCGCCGGCCGCCGCACCGCAGGCAGCACGCCCGGCGCCGCCAGCAGGCTGACGTGCCGCGCGAGCCCGTCGCCCCGCGCGAGGATGCCGCCCAGCACCGGGTCGCGGCCGGGGTGCGCGGACGTAGCGGCGCCGCCGCTCAGGTCCGGCGCGTAGGGCCGCACGCCGGGCCGCGATACGATCTCCGCCACCCACGGTACCGCCGTCAGAAAGTGCGCAAGGTCTGCTGCCGCCGCGGCGTCCGCTGGCGCCCACGCGAGGATGTCGTGGGGCTCCGGCTGCACCATCGCGTTGGGTGTGTGTGGGTGCCCGACGTAGGAGAGAGAGAGAGAGAGAGTATATAGGTGTGTATGTGTCGGTGAGCGTAGCTGGGCAGTCCGGGTGCGGCGTGGATCAATATTCTGAACTGTAGAGGGAGAAGATGGGATGGAGGCGAGAGGAGCGACACGTGTGTCGGCGCGTTCGGCGCGGGCGCGTGCCAAGGAACCGACTGGCCTTTGCGGTTGATGCCCGCCTATGGTAGGTAGGCTAGGTAGACAGGCGGCCGCCTCAACAAAGAATTCTTTCTCCGCCTTTTTGTTTCGGCGAGGGCGCTGTCGGACCCGCGGCGGCGCAGGTATGTGTGGCTTGGGGCCAAGGCCTGCGATATAAACACGTTGACCGGGATGGATCTCTCGATCGACCGGTGTGTGGGCGAGGGGGCGAGGGGGCGAGAGAGAGCCGCCGCCATGGAATGCGCATACGTAAGTGGCCATATAGCCCGGCCACCTTCGTCTATTAGCCCTGGCAGACGCGGGCTGCGGGAACCCCGCCCACGCGATGCTACCCTCTCTCGCCTACCCTTCCTCACCCTGGTCGTGTCTAATATTTTTAGCCCCCCAGGGGCGTTGTCCGCGGACGGTCTCGGCTCTTCGTCCCTGGTCCACGGGGGGTCTGTCTGTCTGCTACCCACCCTCGCGATAAAAGGCCTCACGTACCTACCTAGTTACTAAGCTTGGCCGCCGGTAACCCGCGAGGGAGAGGTCGACGCGCTTCTACAAGACGGGGCTGGTTCTTCTCTGCAGCGGACTGCTAGAGGCCGTTCCCAGACGGCCCTCTCAAACCCGTGGTTTCAGCCGCTCGAGGCGTTTCTAGCTCGGCAACGGCGCCTTCTTCGTCCCCCTCGCGCACTTACTACTACTACTAACCCGCGCGAGACCGATAGAACGGGTGCGATAGACACGGCTCCGATATTTCATAATCGCTTCCCAGCGGTAGATCGACCCGGTTTCTATTCCGCCGGATACCCCCAAACCTCTAGCCGCATCCGTCTGCGACAAGCCTAACGAGCTGACTTACTAGTTAGCCTAAGCTCGCTTGGCTTCGTTGCCTATTGTCCCGATAATGTCTACCGTTCCTACATCACTAAGATTTTCGCTATGCCAGGTCACGACGGGTAGCATTGCCATAACCGCAAGCAAAGAGTTGATGAGAGTCTTGAAAACTAGTCTTTGTGAGTTCTTCATTTCGGATATCTGAATCGTTATCAACTCGCCTCGGCCGAGAGGAAGATCTCAGCGACAAGTGAGGTGGTCATATCACATTACATTCATTCGTAAGTGTCGTAAGAGGTGGTGTGCGAGCGGGACAGGAAAGAGAGAGTATGCGACAGAGAGGAAGAGAAGGGGAAGAAAAAGAGAATGACGTTTCTGGGATATCACAAATCATCTGCCTTTTTTTTCGGTGGTATCTTTCACGCCTCTCAGTCCCCCTCCTCTCTCCGTCCTCGCCCCAGCCAAAGCTTAATGCAAACCAACAATAGATCAAACAATCCCCCACAACTATCATATCGTAACCCACAAGATATGCCATCACGATACACCCCTGTGTGTGTGTCTGCTTGCTGTGCCATGCCATGCCATGCCATACCCAACTCTTGCTTTTTTACCCTTTTCAAGCTTCTCCTCCTCACCTCCTCGATGAAATTTGAATGCCGTCCTTATTGTCCACCCTCCTGCTGGCTTCTCTTTCATTTTTTTCTTTCTCAGATGTCCTTGCGTGATGTGTTTCTAGATGTGAGAGGGAATACACGAAGAATGGGAAGGGGCCCGAAAAGTGCTGATGGGGCTCATGATGTGGTTGAGGTTTGAGGGAGAAGTTGCAACATCAATGTTAGGTTACGCATCCGAGGGGCAGTAATTAAGTAGGTAGTAATATCTAAAAGGGTTGAAGGTGGCCGGAGGCCACTACGCGAACCACCCAGCAGTCGCTTTAACATAGCTGAAACACAGCAGACTCTCGTCCGTTCATTTCTTGACTTTACCTTCGTCGAAATTCACGTGAAACGGCGAAGCCGGCGCCATCACACCAAGGTATGGAGTGCGTTTCTCCTAGAACGTCTCGGACTCTTGGCTGATGACGCTCGATGGGCTGGCTACCGTACCAAATGTGTCTGAGAAGCTCAAGTTAGTGGCATGCTCGCTACGGGAATTGGACGCGGACCAGAGGACTTACCTCGCTTTCGGCGTCTCTCTTCCATCTCCTCGCTGCCTCGGCTCGGGGTCATCGCCCTAGGCCCACTCGGCCTTCGCGCCGGTACTCCTAGAGCACCGCTCAGGTTCCTGTTCTCGAACTTTGGGCTTCCGGAATGATGGCTCCCCGCATGCGTTGCTGTGGCAGTGCCGTAGCCGCTCTCAACGCTGTGGAATGGCAGCGGGCTTTGCTTCTTCTGCAGCTTGCTCACCCTGTCGTACTGAGGTGGCGTGTTCGCAAATGCGGAGTGGTCGTCCAATGGTTCCTTGGGGGGGCGCGGTGGCCCTTGAGGGCTAGGCGATGCCATGTCTTGCCAGTGATAGTCGTCACCTCCGTGACCCGAGTGCATGGCACTGTTATCGCTGTATCGGTTGGTGTTCTGGCCAGCGTAACGCGGTAGTGAGCTGGCCGAGCCAGCCCAGTCTGCCGATTTCGGCGACATTGGAGTGTCATAGTCTTGAGCCGAGGTTTCCAATGCCGTTCTAAACCGTTCCGTCTGGCCCTTCTGAGGCTGTGGGTGCTGCAAGTTTAGCGAGTTGCGATGGGCCCGGTATTTGGGGTCTTCCGGGGTAGCGTAGGTAGCTGGCGCTGCGTTCAGCTGTGGCATTATTGGTGTTTCCGGGACGTAGTCGGGCACTGAGGGTGCCTGAGCAGGATGGAGATCTTGTTCGGAAAAGCCCGACTGCAACTTATCACTCGCATACACGTCCCTGTTTGGGAACTCGTCGTAATGCCCCATATCGGAGGCGGATCGGGAGGGGGGGTGTTGTAAAAACTCCTCCGGAGGGTCCTGCTTTTTAGAGGCCCCGCTGCTACGGAAGACTTTTCCGAGACTAGAGGTTGTGGTTTCAGACCAACGTGAGATTTTCGGGAAGAAGCTAGAAGAGCCTCGGGATTTGTGCTTCTTGCTTTCTTCGGTGCGAGGCGTGTTCTCGTTGCTCACCGAGTAACCTTGCAATTGCGGCTGTTGCTGAGGTGGAGTTCCTACCGGCGCTGACCCGCCTCGGATCCTCTCTCCGCTGGGGGATAGCATCCCTTCGGGCGCGCCATATTGGCTGGCTGGCGGCACGGAGTGGTCGTTGTACTCGCCTTCGTCTTCGGGCACGGTGCTGATCCGATGATCCGAGAACTTGCGCTCGTTACCCAGCTTGTTGGATGCACCACGAGACGGTGGGATCGAGAGATGTCCAGACTGGCTGGCGTGGCTGGCGGTTGATGTCCCAGCATGGCCCTCTGGCTCGTAGCCTCGGTCTTGCTCATACTGAACCTCCGGTTGCATATTGTCGATCGACTGCGCCCGGGTGCTTAACGTGCCCATGGGTCCGACGGTCTGATGCTTGAGGACGTCGACGTCGGTGAGCAATTGCATAAGCATATCCTCGATCCGGCTAAGGTCGGTCGTGCCCTTGGCGCTTAGGCCCTGAAGTGCGCGTCGGAGGAAATTGCGCTTCTTGACGTTCGGATCGTCGGTACCAGCCTGGGAACCGCCCTGGATCGATCGTGCACTACTGCCCGGGAAGGGCCGAGGACCACCTAGGTGACGCTTGACCGTCTTTTCTGTGTTGTCCTTCACCTCGTTGATGATTTGGTCCTCGCTATCTGCCAACATCCTCTTGATATCCTCGAAGGAGTTGCGCATCTCGGCCGCAGACCGGACGAGCGTGACGAGAATCTCGGTGTCTCGAGCGCTGCGTTGCGCATCGCGAACCATGAGCTGCAGAGCAATTAGTGTACATGCACAGACAAACGTGCAGGGGTGCGCTTTTATCGGCGGTGAAGGCTTACATGCTCCATTAGGGCGATGATATCTTTCGACTGGATCCTGTCGATTCCGGTTCCGGTGGCCGGGTCGTAAAGGGGCGTCCCCATCGCCTGTGAGAGACCTGTAAGGTGTCGGGCATCCTTTGGCGCATAGAATGGGTCCCCAGCCGTCGCTAGGTTAGTTTGGCTCAGGACTCCGACATCGTTGCCCTTGGGCCCGTCACGCGCCTCATTTGGCGCGGCAGAGATATAGCCTTCGTCGCCTCCGGGTAGTCCAGGACTACCTGTGTGGAAACCGCCTCGGTAGGCGTCTTGCCCGAAGCCTGTAGCATTTAACATGTTCCCGTCCAGGCCGGGAAGATTTGCGATTGGGCTCGCTCCTTCATACGGATTTGTGACAAGAGTATCTCGCTTACGATCGCATGATGTTCTCTGCCACTCATCCTCCTGATCCTGGCTCGGATGTCGGCTGTGTGAGGTAGCTAGTGCCCCCGCAGCCGCCAGAGTAGCCGCTGCGGCCGCGTCGGAAATCCCAAGACCATGGCTGTTGCCCGGGGTGGTGTTCGCCTTTGGGGTCACTGTCCCGTCATACTTATGGGCAGCCTCGTGAGTCGGTGTCTGTTCCCTCGGCCAGTGGTCTCTGTTTCCCGGGTGAGATCCTCCAAGTGGCCCTTGCACAATTGAGGGTGTCTGTTCGTCGAAGCCGTACCCAATTTCGGGGATGGGATGCTCCAAGTCAGGGGCACCACTAGCTCCCATCCTAGGTTGGTCGTACTCGGAGAGGCGGTCGACGCTGTGACGCGGAGTAACATCCGGCTGGTAACCATCCTTCGCCCGTTCCTTGAACGATTTGTTTCGGGAGACACCCTCGCCGACGAACTCCCCGTCATGAGCCTCGGCGTTCTCGCTCCAGCTCCGCCCCTCGTTCTTTCGCTTGAGCGCCGCGGCCGCGGCCGCCCGTCCGAGAGCGGCACTAGTAATGGCGGACTCGGAGGCGGTGGGAGAGTTCTGGTACTTGGATCGAGGGACCTTCTGGCCGTACTCGTTGATTTCGTACTCGGAGAACTCTCGAGAAGCAACCGAGGGATCGCGCTCTTTGGATGGCGCTGGCGACTGTTCCTGGAGTTGCTGGGCGGCCTCGTGACCTGCCGCCGCTGCGGCGCGCTTAGTGGGACTCATTCCTCTCGAACCAATCCCTCTTGCGCCATCATCGTAGGATAATTGTGAATCACGGTATTCCTGACGCACGCCGGTGGAACCGCTCATGAGAGAAGGGTCGAGCATCGACCCCTCGACCAGAGATGCCACGGCAGACTCGGGGGCAAAGTTCTGATGCACCATCTGCGGGTTACCCCCGATCATATGTACTGCCCGTCCCGAAGTTACTCGGTCAACTTCGCTGTCTTCGGTGTAGGTAGGGCCCCTGTAATTCGAGCTGAGGTTGCTAAACTCGTCAGTCAACCCATGGCTTTGGATGTTGCTAGGGGCCAAATTTGGCGACTGCTGGTCGCGATCGTGGTAGGACGACTTCTCTGGAGACGAGGGCGAGCTTGTGGTATGGACCGTTCTCGAGTCTCTATGAGCATGTATATCGCTTTCCCCCTCTGTGTAGCCCGACACACTCTGAATCGGGCTGAGCCCTCGCCGCTCCTGTTGGTAGGGGACATATCGTAGAGGGGCGGGGACATCTTGGGATCCGTAGAAGGACTGCATGGCTTGTTCATCCTCGTACATGCCAGGCTCGGAGAGCTGGCCCTGTTCTTCGTATTCTTCGTACTCCTCTCCATCGCGGGCAGGATATTGGTTCCCAAACTCGTCGGTTCTATAGTCCTCCCGATACTCCATCAGTCCCTTGCGGGGGAGGGCTTTCAAGTCGCCATGCGATATATTTGCATGATGGGCTCCCAGCCCTTGCAGGGTCTGGGCGGGGGATTGTGTCGGTGTGGGAGTTCTCTGTACGGAATCCCTCAAGGCAACTCCTCTCGTAGCTTCCCTGACTGGCGTCATCTCTTCGCTAGCAGAGTGCGGCCGATCCGTATCTACTGATAATATCGATGTTCGTGTCATGTCCGACGGGTTGACCTCGCTTTGAAGAGGCATGGGCGGCACCACCGCATGCTCGTGATCGTCAAAGCCCTCTCCATACCTATCGCTGTGGTCACGTTTCGGCGTTTCAGCTCGCCTTCTCCTGCGCTGCCTCTTCTCGTCCCCTCTCGATCTCGATCGCAATGCGGCACCTGTGACTACGGCACCTATGGCAGCATCTGCAAGCCTGTCATGGTTGCCACGGTCGCGACGCGGTGTGAGATCATCGTCCTGGGTATCTTCGGTGACAGACACCTGGTCAAGGCTACTTTGAGGCGACAGATCGTTCCTAGCTTCTCTATCTCGTTTGTCCTTTGCCTTGGCCGATTGAGCGGCATCGCCGGACTTCCTCTTCTGTGCGGGAGACGCATCCTCCCGGGACGCTGATGTGAGGCTAGATAACGAATCTCGATCTTTGCCCTGTCGAGATTCCCGCTGGCTTCGTTCCCTCTTGATCGCGTCGAGCTCTGGTAGGATGAGTCGCCGGATGGCGTCTTCGACGGTTTCGAGCAGCTTAGGATTATTTATGGAGACTTTCGACGAGACATGTGTGTCATACGAGCGGTGACTGGCTGTTATTTGTGACGAAAGATTGCTCGAGTCGGCAGCTGAGACCATGGATTCCTTGTGACTCCCTTTCGATCTACGTCTCTCGGGGTCCTTCTCACCAGAGCTACTTGTCCTATTCCTCGATTTGTGCCGTCGTTCTGGCTTGCTTGCCTTCTCAACCGCCTTCTGCATAACGCTTCGATCATGGCTCGAACTGCGGATCTTTCGATGCAGTCTTTCTGACGCAGCAATGGCAGGAACAGACTCGCTTCGCGGGCTTCTGGGCCGTTTTTCGCTTGTGCCACCTGTGCCGCCGGTGCCACCGGTGCCGCCAGACCCGTCTAGAAAGCTGTCGGTAGGAATCGCTGAGATATCCGACATATTTGGGGGCAGATAGGCCGAGGCCTTGCTATCCGCGGCGGGAATCAGCGGACTCGATACCTTTCGGCGGCGATGGGGACGACTCGAGTCGATCTCCACCTCAATCGGGTTGCGGGAGACATTAGACTCCTCTGTCGCGGAGGCGCAGGAATTCATACTTCTCGCGTCTTCGGGGTCTGTCATGTCCAACTCGCTGCGAGTGAAGTGTGGACTCGCGGGCGCTTTCCTCGAATGGGATGTCTTCCGCGAGCTCCTGGTCTCGGTAATCTGGATATGGTCGTTTCTGCCTCGGGTTTTGGAGGGGGTCAGTCGCACGCGGACACTGGGTTTGCGCTCGGTAGAACTCGAGCCAGCGCCCGAGATACCGCTAGTCTTCCCCCCTTCGAAGTACTCGATGAGAAGAGAGGTTTGGGACCGATTGGGCCTGTGACCGCGGGTTTTTATGGTGACAGGCGTTCCGTCGTCGGGAAGGGAATAATGAGATCTATCGTCATCGGCCGGTCTCGAGACGTCGGATGCAGCAACCTCTGTTGGGGTGGTGAGAGACTCTGACTCGGTCTCAGTCGGGGCAGGCAATGGGGGAATCTTTGTCGTGTCGACTCCCATCTTGTTGCTCATGGGTGTCTTGGTCCACCAAGCTGTACGGCCTCACCTCTGCTCGGTTCGGCCGCTTCCACCCTGTCCTGTTGTTGCCCCTGCGGACCTCCCAGCTCAGAAGCGCGTATTCGAGCTGCGCACTCAGGAGCCAACCAGATTTAGCTGGTACGAAGGGAGGATCGGGGAGCCAATGAACTCCCGTCCGCCTGGAGGAAACGTTGATGAGGACGTCGAAAAAAAAAATTTAGGTGTGGATTAATGAATAGGAGTGCGAAAAGGCGAAGAAGCTGGATGGTGCAGGTCAGTATACCGGAGGATCAAAACAATGGCAAGACTGTGCAGAAGTAAGGGAGGAACTATGGACGAATGCAATCGGCCGACGCTGTCGCGGTGATCGCATAGAGCTGGATAGGGTGGCGAGAGAATAGGGAGAGCGGGGGCCGGTATTACTGGACGATGTTGCAAATGCGGTGTTGGTGGTGGCAATGAGGCAGGAAATGGTGAAGCAGTTCGGGTGCAGCTTGAGATGGTCGGTCGGATCCCAGCCCCCTCAATTGCGCCGAGTGACCAGCGCAACCCACCCACGCCGAAAGTCGACGCTAAATTGACACCAGACATGGGATGGCCGCAATTACAAGGCAGAGAGCAGAAGAGCAAGAGCGCTCGATTGACACATACGTACCGACGTGGAAGAAATGGCAATACAGGCGGCACGAGATGCGACGAACGAGTTGAACAGGCTGCGGGATGGGTAGATGGGTGCGCACTCGATCTGTTGTTTTGTTTTGTTCCGGCAGAAGGAAATGCCTCCCTCTCTCTCTCGCCCTCTCACCGTCTCGCACTCTTTGCCGAGAGAGAGCGGTAAATTGGAGAGGGAAAACACCCCCCTCAGCTCCAATCCGGTACAATTCGTGGGCTGTATGGATATGCTGGAGCCACCGGGCCGTGGATAGAGTGCAACAAGCCTCGAGGCTCGCTCGCTCACCCACTCTCGAACGGACGTGGGAGAATTACGAGTCGTGGGGGGGGTGGGAAGAAAAGAAGGGGGGAAAGGGCGATAATAGGCCTGGGAATTTGTTACGATGGTTGTGGAAGGGAGGGAAAAAAGTTGGCAAGCCGTTCAGCAGATGGAGAACAGACCGGGGCTGGAGAGGGGATCCTCCTGCGCTGCGCGGGCGGTAGAGGCAGTATGTCGTATGCAGGTGGGTGGGAGGCGGTGGTCAGTGGTGGTGGTGGTAGTGGTGGTGGTGGTGAGGTTGCTGGGGTGCGAGGGGGAGAGGATTGATGCGTTGGCGGTGCTTGGGGAACCGGACCAATCGCCTCTCAGGAGGGGAGACCCTGACAGGACGGACAGGGCCCGGACCGGCTGCAGCAACAGGGAGAGAGGAGGAGAGGTCGGGATAGGCCAGGCGGCGCCCAGGGTGAGTCGGGCTGACCGGGGCTGTCCTGGAGGAGGAGAGAAGCCAGATGCGACGAGGTTCTGTATCTATTGCACGTCGGCGCCCGCACATCACCTTACTATACTACCTAACTTACTACCATTAACGTCGACATATTATATGCCCACGGCCAGCCCCCAATGCCTTAGGCACCCCTTACCTAGGAGGTATCTAACATCGTGGATGGAACAAGGTCCTTAGGAAGTACCTGCCCACAGGTAGGTTAGGTACCTTAGGTAGGTACTTACCTGCCTTATCTGCCTCCTACTTTAGGTACCTACCTGGTCAGGCAGGTAGGAGGTATCTGGCTGTACCGTGTCCATATAGGTACCTATAGAGAAGTACCTCAGCATGGGGGGAAAAGGGGATACCGATGTATTTACCTACTCCCTACATCGGAGGTGAGGTAGACGGCACAGCAAAAATCTATGAGTATACCTGCCTCCTCACATCCGAGAGTGGTTTTTTTTTTCCCACGAGCGGATATATAATATTATCCTGTCGAGTCTTTTTCATAAACCTGTTTCGCCTGAATTGACACGGATCCATGTGCGACGTAGTAGGGCGTTGCAATGTGCCGCGGACATCGACGCGCATGAATGTGTCGGGTGCTGCTGATGTACCTACCTATTCTACTGGCCTCCGTCTTATCCTCGAACGGCTCAGAGGGGCACATACGGGTGCGTGATGTGACGTGACGTGCAGGCAGCTCACCAGAGCTCTCGGTACCTCTTCTTACAGGAGCTTAATATCCCATCTTCCATCCAAGGTTATGGGTCAAACCGCTGAGCGCCTAAGAATAGCCATATGCCACAGCAAATCGGTGCGTGAGAGGCGGCATAGGTTGGTAGCCATGGCTTTATTTCCTGCCTAGGGAGGCAGTCCCAGACACCCGTATTAGGGCCATGCATCCATCCCGTTGCAAAGTTGAGCCCCATGTGGTTCCCATCCTTCGTAATTGGGCTGTCTTGGATCAAGATGCAGCCCGCGCCATGCCACCTCAGCAGGGTGGGCCAAGGACAGGCTCGATTGACTGACCGCGGGATTCGAGAGAAGGTGTGTCTCCCCGTCTCTTGCGTTTGTTTCTCATTCCCCTCCGCCCCCCCTCTCTCTGTCTTCCCGAACTTCCTCGAAGGGGGATTTTTTTTTTTTCAGGTGCTCTCTGCATTACATCCATGTTGCGCCCGGCCACCCGACATATCTGTGGGAAGAGGCTGGCATCTACCCAGAAATGAATATACCGAGGTATCCCGAGATAACTCGCCTTAGCCTAAGCTAATAACCGGTTAGCTAGAGGTAGCTGAAAGGGACACCACAGATCCGCGTAAAGCTGGAGCTCGCCCAAGCCGATAACAGCTAACCCGGCTGGGTGGGCGCTGTTTGCTGCCCAATATCTTCCCCGTGTCTTGCCTGCCTCTACTTCTTGCATTCTCCATGTCCTTGTTGGGGATAAATTCATGAGATGAGATGGGAGTTGGGCTCAGAACGTAGGCAGCCCCTCGGTCCAGCTAAGCAGACGAGCCCGGTCCCACGAAGTGGCTCCGACTTCTTCGCTGGGCGCTGAGCTTTGACGACCAGGTCGTTCTCTTCGCTGTCTGTGCCACCTTTAGGTCGCGATGGTTCTGGAATGGGACGACGATCCGCACGTTCGAGTGGACCCGGAGGGGGGGAGGACCCGTTTGGATCGAAAAGTTGACCAGCCCCGGCAAGCCCTACGCTGGTTCCGCTACCGAATCTGAGCTACATATGTAGGCATCTGTATGTGTAGGTATATGCCTATGTAGGTAGTCGACGTCCACACCTGGTCCGTGGCCAAGCAGGCAAGTTACGATGCAAAATGAGATGCTGCGGCTGAACACATTGGTTCCGCGAGCAAGTCATCCATCGTGCGTTGCCCCATCTCCCTTGCCCTGCAGATCTCTCCCTCTGGGCCAGCGATCGTGAGCTGCGCGCGGGTAGACTCTGTAAGAGAGGTAGGTAGGTATCTAACACCGACTTCTCTCTTCAACCTTCTCGCCCAATCCTACGCTAAAAGCACCTACGTAACCTACCAGAAGTCGGATCGGAAGGGAGCGTGACGGATATTCTCGATGCCGACCCACGTATATTAGAGGAGGTATCTACCTAACCTAGGTACTGCCTAAGAGAGTCGCATAGACACCCGTTAACATCGCCCAACGCGCCTAGCGGCAATGTCCCTTGTGGGCTTACCATCACTTCTCGAATGCGCCATCCCACTAATACCATTCGACCTAGGTCCGAATTCCTGCGATGCCACTGCATAGGACGGAACCATCTCTCCGGGTTGTGTAGGTACATATTGCGCACTCACACAACACACACACACACGCATATATACACGTACACACATGCACGGATATATAATGCGCGTGCGCGTGCGTGTGCGCCAAGTCCCAATCACGATGAGCAGCACTTCGATGCAGCGTCATCGCCAATTGGATGTTAGGTATCATCTCCCCCCGCGGGACAGTTCCTCTTTCAGCACTCAGTGAAGTGGCCCGAGAGGCATCAGGAGGAAAATGCCCATGTTCGCGGCTAGTTCGTAGCATCGCGGTTGTAGGTAGGTTGTCCAGGCTTGGCCCCGTGGGCTCCCGCGCAGCTGCGGCCACGAGGCATTCTGCGACCGACGAGAGCAGCAGCCAACTGCGTGCGGTCATACAAGTCACCCGAAGTGGCGAGCGAGTACGCGGCCGTCTGGATCTTGAGCAGAGGTCCCCGGGGCTGGTGCTCCCACAGTTGGCGGGCCACTGAGATCGAGGTGCCGTTTTAGAAACCGTGCCGATTCGACTCGTCAAACCACCTGGATTTCAGCTGGACCAATGTGGAGCTATGCTCGTTCGTGATTCGAAACAAGGCTTCGTCGACGCATCCGCCATTTTCGCGCTTTGTTAATACCTACCCACTCATCCACCGTCGTGCGCCTACTCTATGTTCGTAGCTACTGTATCAGATATCGGTAGGCCCAAGACAACACACACACACACACACACACACACACACACACACACAAGCCGGCGCGGCCCGGGTAGGAAAGTGCTCGACATCCCCTGCAATTCCCAACAGCCCCCTTGCTCTGCATCTGGCCGTCGGCTTCGGCATAGGATGAATCAACTGGATGTAAACTGGAAACCGGCCGCGAAGCCCATCGGGATGCATCGTAACGAACGAGCACCAGTATCGTAACGATGCGAGTTTCCAGCGTTCGAGATTGCGCAATCATCTCTCAGATCCGACAGGTTCCTACATTTAGCTACGCAACGAAGGATCATGTCGAGAGATCGCTTTGAGAGGCCATATTGCGTTGCGCATTTCGACCGCCGGGCCTTGGGTCGGGTCGTCCTACACCAGGAGGTAACGCCAATCATGCAGGCGGCCGCGTGGCGTGCCACAGACGTAAATCTCTTCTTTCACGGTTTTCCGAAGGTCTATACCTATGGGCACATATTAAAAATCGTACGGCTACACAGTGAACTGCGAAATGATCCGATCGATTGCTACGCTCCTTATATATCTAACTAAGCTGGGCTATCCGATGCGTGAAAATAATGTTCTCGAGTAACTGTATAGGCATAGGCGCGGGCACGCACTCTATCAACCCGTGGGCCCTACATGTGCGACCGCGAATTAGAACGGCACTCGAGCGCATCCAAGGTTGGGTGGTCTCTCGAGCCCGGTATGGTGCGCAAGTGACAAGGCGAGAGGGGCCGTCTCTATCACTATTATATATGTGGACGAGAGATGACGGTCAGAAACCACCCTTTCCTCTTGATGGCCTTTTCCCGCCCTCGGACGACTTATCACCCCTATTCTTCTTCTGTGCCGACGATTGGGTGTACTCAGCGTGGGCACCGCTCAGTAGCCCTTTAACCACCTGGTTGTCCGTGTAGTGATTGGCGAGGCCACTGCCGAGAACGGACTTGAGCATCCTTACTCTAGCGGACAGGGACCAGGTATCGATGAGGATGGTAATGTTCTGAATTCGTAGCTTTTCTCGGTAACCGTATTCTTGAAAGTCCGCCCGGAAGTCGGTCTTGTTTCCGCCGGTGTGGGGGTTTGTTGCCAGGCGGCGGGCAGTCGAGTACCCGGGACCTTTGCCATGCTGCAGAGAAGTAATGACGCTGTTAAAACTCGTATGAAGATGTCTTCGGTCCTTCTTGGATATCGATTTAGAGGATTCCTTAGTGAGAGCAGCCAGCTGCGAGAGAAGTTGGTCCTGGTCGTAGCGCATGTTCCAGGCTTCCCCCGTCTCGTCCTCATACACGCGTGCGGCCTCTAAGAGTAAGGCGATGTTGGATCCGGCGGCGACCTGGACGTCAACGTCGGTACTGTTAAGCTGTTCCGAAAAAGCCTCCAGCGCGCGTGTGCTCTCTTCTTCGAGGTCGTCGATATTGCTGGCAACAAATCCCCAGGCATCTAGAGCTGCGGCAACCACAGGGCCGCTGTCGCCAGCCTCTATGACGTGCCCGTCGGTCTCAACGATGTCAAGAAGGAATTCCATCAATTCCTCTGCTTCCGCTGTGCCACCACCACCACACATCGTCGCAACGCTCATGGCTCTGATAGCTGCGACCTTGACCGATTCATCGTCCAAGTCCTGGCAGATGCCCTTCAGCGTTGGATACACGCGACCGTATGCCGTCTCGAGCTCTGTCGAGAGGATTGTCACCGTGAGGGCTTTGATAGCGTTGACCGTCTCTAGCGATGTTATGAAACCCCGCGCGGCCTTCAGGAACAAAGGGATGAGGTCGTTGATCTGCTGATTGATCTCGTCGACAGCGGCATTTGGGTGGTGTCGGAGCATGTGCGCGTAGGCTGCGAGTTTGACTTCTCGATCTTGTACGCTGCTGCGCTTCTGATCTAGTAGGTCCACAATGTGGTTATGCAGGGCCTCCGAGCGGGATGCCGGAGGCGTGTCGTCACTGTACTCCGAGTTGGCGACGGAAACGGTCAAGCCATCATCCCAATCGGTATCGCTGGAGTGCTCGTCATCAGAGGGCTGTAGGCTGGGGGCCCGAGAGCCCGCACGGGAACTAGCCGGCGATCCCTGCCCAGACTGCTGGCGAGAGCGAGCCTTTCGAGAGATAGTCTTGTTGCTCTCGAAAACTTTCTTTCGCAAGTCGTGCATTCTTACGGAGCGATATTTGAACGTTGCGAGGTTTTGGAACGAGGTCGAGTCAGTCCGCGGACAGTCGCGGTAGGTAGGAGAGGTTCGTATCAAGTCTTGGATCCTCCGGTACGCGAATAGCAGAGTGACGGGCGGGCAGTTTGCGACTTGAGTTCCATGAGGATGGATCGAGAACCCTCGGATGATTTATTCGAGATGTCAGAGGGGCGGCCTTTCTGAAAGGAAAGACAAACGAAGGGATAGTTCTTAGGAACAATGCAAAGGACGGAGGATTGTGCGAAACGTACGTATGTATGGGGGTGATGAATAAAGAAGATCGATCCCAACAATGCGCCCGTACCAACGTCCGTTATATACTGCGATGTCGTAGTACCGAGGTACCTAGTATCATGATTGGCGTGCGGGACCACAATGACATGGATTCAGCGAGCCAAGAGGAGTCCAATATGTAACTCACTGTGCAGAGATGCCCATCCGGAGCAAGCCGTATTGATTTACGGTTAGCTTCATCGGCTCTACCTATACCTCTTAGTACTACTTGAACACGTACCATACAGGTACCAAAGCCTACCTCCTTAGAAACATAGGTACCCCTTACGTAGGGACATGCCAGGTACTTTTCCGTGCCCCACCAGAAACTGCCGAGTACATATACGGGTACGTTACGTGCTACAGACACTAAGCCACCAAGTTGGAAATCGGTGAATCGGCAAAAGCTGGACCTGTTCGCACGCAAAGGAATCAATCTTATTCATAGAGACGTACGTGTAGGTGAGGCGCATGTAGCGGTAGGATCCAATGGCAAGGTGAGAAACTTTCCCATACTTAACATATGCAGGAACTTTGGTGTTCGATGTCACTGAAACCGTCCAAGGGATCGAGTTTACATAACTGCGGGCACGCATGAGGTCCCAATTCGGAGAAGGACGGCGTCATATGGTCCCTCACGTCATTGGGACGACTTGCTGTGGGGCCACCTCGAACCTGTCTCTCGTTGAACCACAAGTGCCTCTCTCTCCGCTCGTATGTCGGCTGCTAAATAACAGCCCGCTCCGAAGGAGGGAGGCGCTACGATAGTGCGCGGGATATATCGGTAGGAATCTACTGCGGAGTAGTCCGACGTCCGTTTTAGCGCATCGCCAGACCTCGACTCGATCAGGACGAGAGAGGAGAATCTACCTTGGTAGGCTGGCTGCCTTAGGCATCGAACCTTGGCACGCGGGTACCTCCTCAGGAGGTTCACGTAAGAGCATGTAAATGATGGAAGACGTGCATGGCCGCCAGGTATATGTAGAATAAACGTTCACATGCCACGACGCTGTAGCCCACCTCACCTCGATATGCACATATTGTCATTCGCATTTAGCCCCTTGGGGGTGAGTATGAGTACATCTGATGCCGACTTTCCTACATCTACTAGGCGGCAGGTGTGTATGGGCACAGTTGGAGTCATTTGTACCGCACGATATCCTGTGGTGTGTCGGGTATAAGCTACCTGTACTCGAACCACGGATTTGCTGCCGCCGATCTTGATGAGTACCCACTGGATCATCAATAGCTGCACCTAGGTAGGTTACCCACCTAAGGTAGGTAGGTACCTATACCTGGTAGGTTAGGTACTTGCCCTCTAATCTGCCCGGCCGTTGCCGGTAATAGAGTAAATCTTGTCTGTAGTACAGAGGCATATATACCTGTATTTACTACGCCCCTCGTATAAATGTTGCATCTTGGATTACCTCCCATTACACCACGATTGAGGGGTATCCCAGGTAGAGGTATCTAGCGGTTCCAACATGCGGTAGAAAGTACCTGTATCAAAGTATCGGAGGCACACTATCATGTCGTTGTTCGCGGGTATCAGCTGAAGGTTGAGAGTCTGAGGTACCTTACGTAGGTATCCATTCAAGGTAGGATGGACGTCAGTGATTACCTGGTCTGTGACTCAACCCCGCCATCCCACCAATGCAATGTAGGAAGCCCCACTTAGCTGAAGCCGACAGATCCCTGCAATGTCTTATCGTGCCTCGGGCAGGGGAGCTCAAGTGCGCCAGTATCCTCACCTTCCTACGGTATAACGGCGGAAACCTACCTAGGTGGGTATGCTAGCGAGGACGACGCTATTTACTGCGGGAATCAACTGTATGGGATGCTCTCCCGGCGAAAAACCGACGCAGAGCCGGCCTCATTTGAATCCGGTAGGCCGTGAAGGTTTGCGGGTGGCAAATACTGATAGGGCGCTTATCAGGCTATGTGGCAATCGACCCACATAAGCCTTGGGTGGACTCCGCCCCCTCAATTCCTGGTGGGTACACCAGGCTACATAACTACCTACCTATCATGCTGTATGAGTAGGAGGTAGGTAGGCTAGAAAGCAGCGGGAGAGGTATATTAGGTATTTTGTCGAGCTGGCGCCTCGAACACCTTCTTCAAGGTTGGATCTGAAGTAGGTTATGTGGAGGCAGGCAGATGCCTGCCTCTGACATGTCCCGATTCATCCGTGGGTGTGTCAGCGGGGGGGTTCTGCTCATGTACCTTCACCAGAGTCCTGTACCGCACGGCCTTCCTTCCCTCCTCGCCATAGGTGCATACCTTAGGTGCGTTATGCCTATTGACGGTGGTGAATCTTGGTACGTACCCACGTAGCACATTAGGTATCTTGCCGGACACATGCCCAGGACTTCTTCTGCCTAATCCGTACCCGGTCAACTCCTCTCTCCTACACCATCAACCGTTCCGCTTCCTCAACAGCCTCATATTTGTACGTGCAGCGCGACCAGGGCTGCGCGCCGACCATTACCTCGACGAGAGTCATCGGTTGAGTCTCCGTATCCTATCGCCGAGCCCCGACGAGAGCTCCTTTTGGCCGACCGGGGCTGGTTGGGCGAGTGTATTTCCCTCGAGTTGCATGTTCAGGTAGGCAGTCTGGCCCCGCTCACCACCGCACCTCATCTCCCCTCATTACATGCCCTGCTGCTGCCTTCCTAAGTGCATACGGCGGCGCTGCGGCGCTGGTAGCTACCAACCGGGTCCTGCCTGCCAGGTTGCATGGGCCTTCTCAGCGCCCGTTCCCTCCCCTTCTCGCGCTGGCGGAGGTTAGACGTATCTGACACTCCACGTCTCCTCCCCCACCTCCCCTCGTACTTCTCTCACTCTCCCTCCCTCTCTCTCTCCCCTTTTCTCCCGCCCGCCCTGCTTCCTCGACTCTGCTCGGCCAACACCACCGCCTCCGCTCGTCCCTGCGTGGATTTCGTCACCACGTCCTATTTCTCTCCTCCTCTCGCCTATCTCGTCGCTTGAAAAGGCGGCGGTCTCGTGCACCGGATTTCCTGTTCGGATTTCCTGGGACACTGAATGTCCCCCTTGCACTCCTGAGGCTCGACAGCTAATCGTACCTGTGTCGTCAAGCAAAGGCGAACAAAATGGAGGAAGACGCCCCTCCTCCCACCGAGACCGGAGGTATGAATCTAGCTCTCTCTCGTTTCTCACCCGACCATAGTTAGGACCGAGTTAACATGCCTCCCTCTCCCAGTTGTCTTGACCCTTATTTCGCGACCTACTAGCTCTCACACCGTCGACATTCCTGAGCGTCAATTTGTTCTCAGCCGCAAGAACCCCTCCCTATCTATCGGCCGAGCATCCAAGGTCCCCACCAAGGGTTTTGTCGCCGCGGCAGATAACGCCTGGTTCGACAGCCCTGTAATGTCGCGGCGCCACGCCCAATTTATTCTGGACCTTGAGAATGCGCCCAAGGTGAGGTCGTCGTGCTTACTATCTCCGTCTCCCGCATCTGCTGACGGTGTCGTCTAGGCTGTGTTTGTCAAAGATATCGGATCCCTTCACGGCACCTTCCATACCCCCAACGACTTGCTCCGAAAGGAAACGAGACTAGAACCGCAGACGGCTGTGAAGCTGTCCAATGGTGACTGCCTCCGGTTCGGAATCGACGTGTTTAGGTCTAAGGAAACCTATCCTCCATGCTCGGTGAATGTCTACATTATGGAGCAGGAAAATACGCAGTGGGTTGACGACGCTACTCGTAATTTTTCGCTCAACACTGACCACTTCACTAGGCAACAGCTCTTGTCATCGGAAGTCAGCCAGACTACCAACCGCGTCTTCACTGTACCTGATGACGACCTCGATGATGACCTCGATGATGACCTCGATGATGACATTGATGATGAGGATGAAGATGGGGATGGGGCAGACGACAGCGTTATCATGCAGGAGACGCCACCCCAACGCCCTAGTCAAGTTAATCCCCGCCCTGGCATATCAATCGACCTTACTCGGGATGAGATTGACTCGGATGAGGATAACAGATATCCATCCAGTATGATGGCTCGCGTCAATGCCAACCCGGACATAATCGACCTTACCTCGGAACCCGGCCAAGATGCAGACTCCAATTTGGATGTAGCCACGCTTGCCCCGACGGCCACGTCGGTCGTACCCATCGTGCTGGGCCCGCCCGTGAACACTGAATTATCGGAGAAGCCCTCCAGTGCTGATGTCCCGCCCGGTGAGGCTCCTATCCAGTGCGGACATCGAACCTACGAGGAACTCGATGAAGAAATGGGTAACGGAGATATCGAGTTATCTGATTCGGAAGTTGGTTCGTTGCCGACGACCGAAGAATTTGCCACCGATGATACGAGTGATGAGGGAGACTATATGGAAGAGGAGGACGATTCTCTTCTAGATTTGACTAGTGGGGGTTCGGACTGGGACGAAGTTGACGAGAGCCGTATGTAATGTGTCTTTCTTTCCCCTTCGGTGCCTTCGTAGCCTTGGAAAACTAACGACCGTCTATCCTCAGAGCCATTCGCGCCCCACGCTGATAGCGACGATTCTTCGTCCAGCGACGGGACAGATATCCTATCGAACGAAGACTCTCCGGCCCCTGGTTTATCTCCACGTTCCTCGCCTGTTCCACAGACGCCGAAAGAACCTGCCGCCAAAAGCCTCGTGCCCAAAGTTTTTGAAGGCGAGCAGTGTTCGCCCGTTTTTGTCACGCCATCCTTATTTTCGGAACTTGCGGAGCGTAACACGTCGACTTCTCAACCCAGAGAGCCGAGCCCTTCGGATGCTGCGATGTTTCAGAGCCGTCCTGCCCTCACGCGAATCCCAAGTAGCCATAGAGCTCAGGCTCTTGGCGAGAAGTCAGGAAAATATCAGTATTTCGCGGCGAGGGAGAGCAATCGCATGGTTATAGACCAGTTTTCTAACCCACCTGTTTCGGCCATTCGGGAAACACTCTCCAACAACGCAAATCAGCATGCTGCTGGTACGACCTCAGAAACCGTTGCAGGCCCATGGGATGAATTTGATCCATCCACAACGATGCTCACCGGAGAGTCTGCTGATATTACCCACGTTTCGCTGAAAGGTCCACTCCAGACTAGCACCATTACAAGTGACGATCTTAAAACTGCTCCGGTGGTACAAGACTCGGTATGGTCGGCGTCTGGGGAGCGGTTCATCAACAATCCGCGAAACGAAGACCTTGCTTGGGCCTGGCCCGAGAGACCCCAGAGCCCAGAATTAGATATGACCAGTGCATATGCGTTCCAACAAAGCAAGCTGGCAGCCGACAGTAACGCCACCCAGGGTCTCCGCCGGGTCGGCATCCAAGATTTATTGACGCAGGAGCCCAGGGGTCGCCAGGGTGCGTTCACTGGTCTTAATATGAATGACGACGTTTCGGTCCCGACTCATTTTGCTATGGGTACGGGCCCGCTTAACTTGAAGCGGACTTTCGAAGATGCCTTCAGCAATGATGATTCAACCCGACAAGGTGATGCGCGTCTCCGTTTGGATGAAAAGCCGGCTCGGGTGCCCCCAACTCAACAAACACATGATGTGCCCCATGCCGAGGTGGAAGAGGTTCCTGGTGTGTCCGACACACAAGCTACTATCCCAAGCGCTGACATAGCAGTCCTCGACACACCGGTGCCCGACACGGCAGTGCGTCACGTCCCTGTCCCCACGAGACCAATTAATGTCCAGCCCTCCAAGAGGCGTCGGCTGGTCCAAGCAGCGGCCTGTGTTGCCCTCGGCGGTGCTGCTGCATTCACATTCATGGTCTCTACGGCGCCCGCCCTGTAGAGAAGTATTACTACGCTGACCACCCGACCGCGAAAGGTAAATAGACTCGGCGGATTCGGTACAGAGACTCCTCTCAGTTTGTCAACACAAATACGGTATACACTCTCGCAGATGCGTCTTGTGGAGCCGCTCCGGGATACCAAGACCTTCAAATCAATATTTGATTTGGTACAAGTCGTATGAAGATGGAGTCGGAATGGCGTTGCGGTTTCTTTACCCTCGGATGGACCATTAGGCTCGGTACATAGCATTGCATTTGACTATGGGAAGAAGGGAGGGTCCGACGGTTGTGGCCGTCTGGGGACAAGGGCAAGATAAGGGATTCAAGCCTCTGGCCCTTATATTGCCTGTCCCTCCACGCAATCGGGGACTACCGTACTTCGTAGCTTAGCTCAACTTTCATCCCAAGTACTTGTTCACAATGACTTCCCGCATTCTGCTTGACCGTGAAGTTCGCAGTAAGAAGCCACTGGATCTTCACTGCCTCGAACTTGCTTGGCCAACCGACAAAACGTACCTGGCTCAATTTCCCTAGTTGCAATGTGATATATGCACCCCACGGATGCCGCCCAAGCAGATCAGTCTCGTTTAATCTTGTCGCAGATGATGTGGATACGGGATGAAGAGCGTAGGTATTACACGGTAGCGACTATTAGAAACTAGAGCAGTAGACAGGAAAAGGAAATTTGCTTTCACATCCTGGGGGTTTGATATATATCAGATTGTATAAACTTCGCGGGGCGGATTGTGGACCGTCGGGAAAAACTATATACATATTCTTGCTGGGAGGAACTCCAATAGCTTCGGCGTCGTGATCTTTCCGAGGGTCGTCGGCAATATTCACATTTAACAAATGGTCTTCTGGGCATTGCCCTGGATGGACCAGGCGATATTCTGGCCGCATGGGGACTCTCTGACGGTGTTATCGTTCACCGTGAGGCTAATTGAGATGTCGCGGTTGTTCGGGAATTCGCTGCGAGCGGCGAGGCGGACCTCGCCGCCGCCCTGGACGGTGCCGCTGCGGATGGCGACGTTGTAGCAGTTCTCTATGAGGATCGCGTTGTTGCCATTGTTAGCGAGGTCGACGTTTTCGATGACGGCACCGCCGGACTGGGAGACGCAGAAGACGCCGCGCCCGCCGCCGCGCGAGACGACCTTGTCGACGCGGACGTTGGTGTTGTAGGCGCCGTCGGAGGTCTGGCCGTTGTTGTTGGCCATGCGGAAGGTGGCGTAGCCGTTGCCGGCGGCGACGTTGTCGCCGTCGACGAGCTTGACGCGCGCGTTGGTGGTCTTCTGGAGCAGGAGGCCGCACTCGCCGACGTTGCGGGCGATGACCTGGTTGACCTCGAGGCCGTCGATGTTCCAGGTCTCGACGGCGTGGCTGCCGGCGCCGGTGACGCGGACGACGTCGATCTTGACGTTGGCGTTGGCGGCGTTGTCGCGGTCGAAGCGGATGCCGAGGCCGCCGCTGAGGTTCATGGTGATCTGGCCGAGCTCGAGGTTGCGCGTGCCGTAGAAGCGCAGGCCGAAGTACGGGTTGCCGGTCAGGCTGAGGTACGGGATCTTGACGTCCGAGGTGCCGAGCGACTCGATGGCGCCGCGCCCGGACCGGTTGCCGACGTCGATGGTACCGCAGCCCTCGAACGTCTTGCCGCTGCTGATCGTGATCGTGTTGGCGCCGATCGAGCCCGACGCTATGACGGCGACGCGCTGCCCCGAGCTGATCGAGTCCAGCGCGCTTTGGATCGCTGCGCGATAGTCCGACCCCGAGTACACCGTGCTCGACCCCTTTGACGCCGTGTAGGAGCCGCTCGAGCCCGTCACCCGGGCGTCAGGCGTGCCCGAGCCGCACTGCGCGTTGACGGCAGAGGCGAGCGCCAGAACCGCCGCGACGACGAAGAATCGAGCCATGATTGCGTTTCCGTAGCGTTTTTTTTTCCGTTGATGTAGATAGTCAGGACGAACTACTCGGCCATGCTAGCTCCCCACGCCGCCTCGGGGGAAAGCGAGGCGACCTACTCATATTTATGCCATTCCCCCCTGGAGGCCCGGCGGGCATTTGCATCAAGCAACAACCGTCGCACGTACCTCGATCGAGCATAGCATGTTTATTAGAGCACTTGGCACTGCCGACGGAGTAATCGATTCCACGACAGATATTCGGTGCCAATACGCACGATCTTTATCCACCCGGCCCCCTTTCGTGGGAGGGCCCTCGTCGTCTTTCGGCAGGGGTCGGCCGCGCATCGTCCAGGATGGCCCTTGGCGGCGAAAAGGGGCACATAGCTCCGAGGCTACTCCTTAGAGTACGTCGCAATAATTACCGCCCGATCTAGCCTCCGAGGTGAGCAGGGATGCCGACTAAATACCGCCTAATACCGCCCACCGCTGCGACAAATCTGGGGATATCCTAACCGGATCTTGCTACGTATGGCGTACCCGTAGGTAGATGTCGATCACTTTCCCTGTATGTGCGTAATATGCAGGACACGGACTTCCTACACTCCCACCGCTCTTGGAGAGGGAGTTCGGGTAAACTAGAGGCGACATCGCCTAGGGTTGAATGGTAGGCTACTCCCGGCCCTTGTCGGTGTCTTTTCTTTCGGTGCGGCCGTTGGGTGGAGTCGGCCGCCCGGGGCAAGAACGGAGCCGTTAGACGGATCGGCCGGGATAAGACCGTGCTGAGTCAGCGGACACCGCCGGGTTCCTGGAATCGTGCTAGGATCCGCGGAGGGGGACTACGAATATAGGTGTTGCTATTGGACGATTTCGGGATCGAAATAATACATATCCTTGATTGGGAAAATACGAAGACAGAATGGGGCAGGCCAGGACAGGAATGACAAGACAGTTAGTTGACTGTGTAATAGTGATTGGGTAAATTGTCCTTTTGTGTGGACATCTAAGTAGCCTTGAACACAGCCGAGACTCCTTCTTATCCTCTCTATCTGCCGATGTACTGATTCAACCTATGAATTCCAGAGCGACTTAGAACACTAGAGACACCGATCCGTTCGTCTGCTCGGAGACTACCTTCTCGGAGAGATGTCCCTTCTCGCTTCCGCCGTTGGGGGTGGCCTGCCCCTTGACAAAGGGGGCAAGTATGCGGGCCATCGCCTCCGTGATCGGGAAGCGGATGTTTCCGCGCACTCGTTCGTGGTATCTATCCATCATAGGGACATACAGCAGGCCCGCGGACGCAAATCGCAGCAGGTGCGCGGTAGGTTTCTTGTCTAGATACTCGAGACACCGCAAGTATACCCAGCGCAGCTCTCTCTTTAACTGTGCTCTATCCCCAGCTACCGTCTCGGTCTTCTCGCCTTTCAGCACCCCTATGGCCTCCTTCGCCGTGTCTAAACTCAGGCAGTGGGACACCGCCGCCACCTCCAGCACGTCGTCTTCCAGGCCCAGGAACGGGATTCCTTCGGTGTGCAGGAGGAAGGAACCGCAGCCTAGGGTGTTCGCCGTGAAGACCCGGTACTGCGTCATCAGCAGCGTCTTGGACATCAGCAGCGGGCGCAGGCCCGGGTCGACCTTCTCTAGGTACTGGCAGATCGCCTGCCGGCAGAGGCACATCTCGGCGAACTTGACGTGCTCCGGGGATATGCCCTCGGCGAGCAGCCCCTCCCGGCACTCGTCCCACGTGTATCCGAGATACCGGAACGTGCCGTCCATGAAGTCCCGCGGGGGCACCTGGACGTCGTCGGGCAGGGTGGCGAACCCGACGTACATCTCCTTCCAGTAGTGGCTGGGGTGGTGAGCGCCGCCCCACTGGACCCACCAGCAGATGCTGTCGCGCATCGTGTACAGGCTGACCTGGTCGATGTCGGTGTCGCCCTTGTCGCTGGTGATGGCGTAGTCGTCCGGGTGGCTGCCCGGGAAGGTCTCGACGAACTCGTCGATGTGCCGGATCAGCGCCTGCATGTCCTGGCACGTGCAGGGCGGGGCGTAGGCGTCGCCCATCGCGGTGAACAGGGGCATCGCCTCCTCGTCCAGGTACATGCCGCGGCGGATGTTGTCGCTCTTCTTCGCCGGCCGCTTCATCTCGCAGCAGTGCACGTTGTACCGGAACGGAGCGGACCCGGGGACGTAGCCGTCCCCGAAGTACTCCTTGATGGTTTGCCACATTTCCTTCATCTTGGGCGCTGTTTCTTTGGCGAGCTTGACGTCTTTTGGTGTTGGCGGCGGCGGCGCTGGGGACAAGTCAAGGGGGCAGCTAGTGACTGGTAACTGAGTGCCGCCCGTGGTGGTCAGCTAAACCGTACGGCATTATCTCCGAGGGCGGATGATGCGGACGGAGGACCTTATGTGTAATTTGTGTATCATGTTGCCTCTCCTCCTCCGGCTGATTGAGGCCTAGTATCCCTTCTATCGGCACACGACAACATGCCCACCCTCCAGCGAATATTGTGAATTGTCCAGTCTATCACGGCGATAAAAAAGAAGGAGGAGGTTGCGCCGTGGAGTTAAACGGCGGATATATCGGTGAGTTTCCGTGAGGAGGTTCGGGTAGTATTTTCTTCGATTCCATCGTCCGGATATGAGCTGCATCTGAGTAAGCGGTATATTATCGGTATAGACCCGAAACGGCGAACCGCACCCGGCGAAGTATTTGCTGTCCAATAACAGCACGCCTGTTTAGTAGTGGCAGTCAGAGCGTAGGCAGTTAAGGAGATCGGCATCTCATGAACACTCTCACCCACAAGCCACCCCGTCTACACCGATTCGAGGGTTATGTAGGGCCGTGTACGTTGTGTAACGTAACAACAAGTTCCCGCAAGTTTTACGAATAGCCCAGAACTGTTGGCCTTGAGAGTCTCGGCGATCTCCCCAGCGAGCCTGTCTTGAGACAGCATGATGGCTTGTGCTAGGTAGAATCTGTTGAGAGCTGCCGGCGGTCTGCACGGCTTGATGGGGCCTGACTTCGCCTCTCGATGATGGATGAGATGTTGCCGTTGGTGTATTCTGTATTGATGTTAACCGGGCCGCTATTGGTCACCTGGCTCTCCATATTGTCTATAGAACGTGTTACCGTGGTCAGCAAATGGGTGGTTAGGAGCATCAACGCATATTAACTGCCATATTAAGTACACAGTGGTTCGCAAGACGGCTTAAGACGTAGTCTCGGAGTATTGATACATGGCCGTTTCGAGGCATGATTGACTCCCTCGACCAATTGCGCCCGCAGGCCTTCTTAAATAGCGGTCTAACACGCAGAATTTGAAACATCTGCAGTGTCGAAGCCCCTTAGAGCGTTAGTGATGATCTACATAAAGTGCCGTAGTTGGGTCATAAGACTATGGCCGAAGGCCCCTCGGCTTGTCCCGCGCTTCGGCCGGGAACCTTGGGATATCTTTGCATAGCGCCGTCTCACGCCCGCCTTTAGTTCCCTGTATTATCATGGAAACTCCGCCCTCCTTTTCTCCGCTGTTAGTCTGTGGTTCTGCGCAGCTCCTTAAAAACTCCAGACCCGGAGATTTCTGTTACGCACACATCCTGAGTTCTTGTTCCATGGCCTTCATGGTGTTCTGCAGAGCGGTGAGCAAAGATGCTACGTTCTCGGTCCCTAGATTTGGCGGGATAGGGGCGTTGTGAGTAAGTTGTCTCTGCGCCTCCTTCGACGAACCCGGATGCATGCTAGTAGGGCTTGGCGGAGTATTGCTGCTGATAATGCCAAGCTCAGAGATCGGGAACGTCTTTTGCCGGCCTGTACGTTCCCAGACGTGGCGCAAGGCAGCCGAGATAACGTGCAAAGCTCTCCGGATAGCCATGCTAATAACTTCGGCCTTTGCGTCCCCCGTCAGTTCGAAACTGCCGACAGAGACGGCGATCTCCGAGGGGGCGTCCGTGTGGCGGGGGCTGCTCCCGTTGAGCTTCTGGACGAGGGATAGGAGGATCCGAATGCTCAAGGCAAACAAGAGGAACTCCTCGGTCTGGTTATCTTCATTCTGGCACCGATTACATTGCGCGAGGCTTTTCCAAGGGCCCTCGGCCAATTGCACTCCGCGCAAGACTGAGTCGACAGAGGGGCTGTTCAGTTGCGAATGCCTCAGGTCCTCCAGGTGGTAAAGCAACCTCACCAGCTTCTGAAGACACAAGCAATGCGGGGGGTTTAAAGAAGATGCCGCGCATAGCCCCCTGAGATTATTACTAGGGAACACACCACTGCCAGGGCTTGGCAGAGAGGCATCGGTAGTTGGACTGACAGTACCGGTGCCATAGCCACTGTCATACTTTGGGAATTCCAGTGCTTCCGGCCGGTACGGGCCGGATGGCTGGCGGAGTACACCACTTCCGGTCTGAGGGGGGAGAGGATGGTAAGTAAGTGTCGGGCGGGGGGGGGAGAATCATCGTTCATCTGGACGTGCTTACCTCAGTAAGTAGAGCTTGAAGGTTCAAGGTTTCGTCCGCTCTCATCGAGTCAATCAACCTCATGTTGGGATCGAGCATAAGGTCACCGGCGCTATCGGCGACGAGGCTATCAGCGAAAGCAGAATCGAACTCGTGATCGATGTCGAAGTCGGAAGACATGGAGTCGACGGGGGGTGTTAGTTGTTGTTGGTGGTGCTGTTTCTCAAGTTGGTGCTGCCCGGAATCCCACTGAACGACGTCTGCGCCGCTTTTCGCCGCGTCCTTCGGGGACTTATCACTATCCTTGCCGTTTTCTCGCATCAAGGACCGCTTGTTCTTGCTTCCCTTGGGTCGCCCCAGCCGGCTGCCCGGGCTATAGGTACAACGAGTCTGCGACCATTCACAAGTCGAACATGGGTTCCCCCCAGAGCACCGGATCTTGGACTGATGGCACGAATCGCAGGCAGAGCGCAAGCGACCGGTTGTCTTACGAGTCTCGTCACGACCGGCAGGCGGGTCTCGCTCGTTAGGCGGAGTAGATGGGGGAGACTTTCGACTACTATGCGGAAACATCCCTAACGCGGCGTCAACGTCAAGTGACAAGACGTTACGGAGACTATGCAGATATCCGATTAAATTTCGGTGTATTAAAAGGGGGTTGGTTGGCATTGGGTACAGGTCAATTAGAGGTGCCGGCTGCTTGGCGTTAGCCGTGGAACGCGCCCAGATGTTATAAGAAGTGAGACACGGAATCACGCCCCTTTGGTCAGAGCTATGCCTACTTCCCCGCGGGATCGTTCGATGTAGCTGACAAGCAGTAGCAACATCGCCTAACCACTACGCGGTCCGAGCTCGTGTTGACCTGATAAGATGGCTGGTATGTAAAACGCGAATACCTGTGCCACCCACCTCGGCCAGAATGAGTCCAGTCATACTTGCGGCACAGGAGGGATCCCGTCGATGTGATGGGCCAGCCGTCCCCAGTCCCATATCATCGAGGACCCTCGATACGTGAGTGGTTACTAGCGCTTACATATGCACCGTGTTGGTCCTGTCAAAAAGTTGAAATCTGACCGTTTCTCGGCGGTTCAGCCACACGATTGCGTGCCATTTACTTACTACAGGCTCCCCGGTTCGTCTTAGTCAAGGAGAAGGGTGCGCCTCAGTACCATCGCACATCGGCAGCATAGTCGAGAGGGGCCTGCTGCAGGGCCTTATTAATCGTACTAACGGGAATTCAGGTAAGCCGCATTGAGGTGACCCGGTACTGTTACAATACCGTTATGCGGAATACTGGGCTATGTGGCTCAAGCTCATTAGGTTGTGCTCTGTGACGTGTGTCTGTGACGGCTCTGAATCCAGGTTGAGTTCCACGGGGATATTGAGTGTGAACATGTGAGTTTGGCTCGATACGCCTCCGGAACATATGGAACCTGTCGCTCCCGGAAGCGGGTTAGGCATTCAGCGACACCACCACTTGGCTCCCCCAGTATTTTCCGAGATACACTTTGGTCCATCCCCTAAGCTTCTATACGGCCCCGAGCATGCGTCATATTCTGACATCAGGAAGTAGGCGTGAACGGGGACAATAAACAGACAGGCAGCCTTTTGTCAGATCCGTTGGTCCTGGAAAGGGTTTGGGGAAGGTCATGGTGTACTATGCGTGGCCAATGAGGTGTGAAGACGCCCGGATCCCTCAGACCAGGTGGTCTCGCGGAAATATCCCCCATTCAACGCGTAGAGGCTCTGAAAGACGTGATCGGCTCCTCCATTACACCTGAATTTGTTAATTAAGTTCCGTATCACAGCCCGGTCTCAGTCACGGGGAGTTACTCTGCTCTGTAAGCCACTAAGAGGTCTAGATGGTAACGGCTACCTGTATTTTCGCCTTACGGAGTGGCCAGCAGCTCTCCGGGGTAGTATTTTTAATATCGGTAGTGTCAGCTGCCCGTCTGGGCCCTCTCAGGGTCAGGTTTATGCTGAGTCCTGGGACGTCGGGCACTTTCTGATTGGTATTTCTATGCCCCGAAGTGGAAAAAAATAAGACACACGCCGTAAAAACCACCTACCCAGAGAGTAGTGGCGCATAGGAAGCTTATATTATATCTACAGTTGGAATAGAATCAGCTAAGTATTAAAGCAGGTCGTTAGACAGGTGGGAACCAGACCCGGCCCTCCACCATCTGCAAGCTGCAAGTAACTATAATCTCACCCCTAACCCCCACGTCTGGTCGAGAACAACGAGGCCATGCGATCTTCCGCCTGCTCCGTCATCCTAGGCTTCCTAGCCTACACACCAGGCCTGGCACTACTACCGCGCGATAGGCCGGGTCCTGTTCCGTTGCCTAATCGCCTGCTCCACCATTGGCCGAACGGGACCTGGGTGGAAAACATTTCGGTGCGACCCAATGGCAACTTGCTGGTGACGACGTCCACACCCACTGGCTCGGTATTCCACGTTAAGGAGCCGTGGAAGGACGACCCGGAGATCGAGCTCGCGTACGACTTCGACGAGTGGGTGGATAGGCTGATTGGCATCGGCGAGACCACCCCGGACACCTTTGTCGTCGTAGGATCGCGGTTCTACGCTCCCGACGCCGTCTCGTCACCAGTTGAGCGGACCTTCTGCGCTATGGAGCTCGACTACAGCCGCAACCCAGAAAAGCCGACGGCTCGTCTGATTGCTTGGTTCCCCGAAGCTTATCTGCTCCAATCTGTTGCCGCCCTGCCCTGGGACCCCACTACCGTGCTCATCTCAGACCAGTATCTTCTAAAGCCGCGGCAGAATCAGACCGATTGGTCGCCGAGCCCCGGCCAGGTCTGGCGCCTCGACACGCGGACGGGTGAGCATAGTCTCGTCATGACCGACTACGTCGAATTCAACTCCACCGGACTCAAAGGCCCCGATACTGGCATCAACGGGGTCAAGGTCCGAGAAAACTACTTCTATTGGGTTAATCTGGACACTGGGTACGTATACCGGCTGAAGATCGACAAGAAAGGCGTTCCTGTGCCCCCTGGCAAGCCCGAGACGCTGGCTTACTACGACACGTTGTGGGACGACTTCGCCTTCGGCCCGGGCAACAAGGACACCATCTGGGCGACGGGTCGCAACGCTGTGTTCGCCATCTCGCCGAAGGGCGAGGTCGTCTCGGTCGTTGGCGTCGGCACGAGCGACAACCTGACCTTCCCGGGGCCCACTGCGAGTGCGTTCGGCAGGCACAGCAACGACAAGAACATCTTGTACGTTACCGGAAACCTCATCAACTTCCCAGAGAATCCGCTAGATGGCATCCTCGGCGGCTGGATCCGGGCGGTCGACACGACTGGCTTCCACTTTTGAGCTTGACGTCTTATCCCCCACGTTCACACCCTCTCCCCCCTAGCCGGGCAATCCTGCCTCAGCTCCCCTCCAACATACAATCCTTCGGGTGTCGCAGGGAGGTGAGAAGAATGGGAGGAGGAGGAGGAGGGGGGGGGAGGACGTGAGGGAGGAGGGGAGAAAAGAGGGGAGGGGAGGGGGGAGGGGGGAGGAGGGGATGTTGGGAGAAGATAGTACAGAAGACGGAGGATGCGGGGACGGCCGAGAGCGGAGATAATTTCGGCCGACACGTCTCGCTGGCATTTCTTTCGGGACTAAGAGGTAGCTGTCCCGTAGATCCGTCTACGGGCGGTTATGTCTGGTTTTATATACACGAGAATTCATTCATGCGAGATTACATTTATCTAGGTATAGGTATATGAGAATTCATTCATTTGCACTTTGCGGCTTCTGCGACGATGGGTGTATTTGCCGCCACCATTCCCATGCTATCCGTGCTGGTGCACGCAGAGCGAAATACCTGCCCGTAGGTTACAACGCTGCCGACGGCGGTGTTGGGGGACGGCCCCGCCGGGTTTACTGCTAGAGCTAGCCTCGTTTTGCGGGCGCATGTTGGCTGCCTCGGACTTACTTGGCTGACTGGATTCGCTCCACGTCCGATATACCTACGCTACACCCATAATTCAAATCGCCTGCCATCCCTACGCCCCCCCCCGTGCTTTCATCACCCGTAGCTGGAATGAGTTATGCATGTATCCATAACGCGGAGAACCGGGCGAGGGACAAGGCGAGATAGGTAGATAGGTCCAGGCTGTTGTGGTCAGCTACGGGATTACCTCGCCGTTACGTGGTTACGTGGTAGGTAGCATGGTAACATGGTAACATTGTCTATATATGTATGGATGTATATATGTATCGGATGTACAGGTGCCACCCGGCACGCGGCAGGGAGAAAGGGCGAGATACGAAATACAAATGTAGGTAACGAACACAAGCCGCGTCCAAGAGAAATCCCCTGCGCTAGACTGCGAGGCAAGTGCCGGAATGGGTAAAGAGGCAGGTGCCAAGGGACTACCTGGTCCCAATCTAAAAAAGCTTAACTCGACGTGGCTACCTCAGACGGTCTCGGGAAGTGGCATCCCATTCGACGGAGTCCAACTTCGTTTCCCCTCTCCGCCTGAGCCCTCTCTCTTCTCTAACCACGAGAAAGACACGAACAAGAAGAAAAATAAGAAGAAGAGCGACAGGAACGGTACGTGGTGCGAAGACAGGACGAGAAGACGAAAAACGGCACCGTGACGCCTCTAAGCCAGGAAGCCCATCTGCTGCCAGCTCCGGATAAACAATCGGATGAGATCTTCGCTGACGGGGCCCAGCTTGGCTAATGTGGGGGAGTGCTCCCTCGCCTTCGCCGTCCCCATCAGAAGACCGCCGCAGCTCATGCGGATGAAGTTGGTGTCTAGGAAATCCACCAGTAGGTATCCAGGGTTCGCCCCTTCGGGCCCGTTGTCCTCGCGTCGCGGCCAGGTCCGCACGCGCTGCACCCACTCCTGGAACGGGATGATGCTCGAGGGGCCCCGGGGGATGGATAGCGCGTCGGCTAGGATGGCGGTCACCTCAGACCACGGCTGCCGGAGCGGGTTCTCGATGTGGTAGATGGGATGTAGGGCCACCTCGTCCGGCTGCGTCAGGATCTCGATCAGGCCGGCCGCCACGTCGTCGGCTGGCGTCCACCCCATGCTGCCCGGAAGGTCGGGAAGGGCGCTGAGAGTCTGGGACGACTTGATCATGAAGGACACGTGCTCCATGGAGTTCCAGTGGCCGTTGATGGAGCTGCCGGCGATCTGCCCCAGGCGCACGGCCGTGGCGCGGAAGCGTCGAGGGAACCGGTGCAGCGTGGAGTCTAGCATGCGCTCGCATATGTACTTGGCGTCGCCGTATCCGGTCGGGAGGACGCTCTCGATCGGCACGCGCTCCTCCGGCACCACCGGCTTCCCCGTCCAGAGTGGATGGTGGCCGATCGTAGCGATCGAGGACACGAACTCGAACGTCACCAGGCAGTCGCTTGGTCGTCGCAGAGAGATGTCGCGGGCTAGTTCCAGCATGTGTACCATGATGCGTAGCTGTGGTTCAAAGCGCTTGACCGGCCACTTGGAGTGCATGAGCCAGGCGTTGTGTGTTATGTGCGTCACGTCCTCGAGAAGGGATTGGTACTGGTTGTCAGAGAGGCCGAGTTGGGCGGGTTGTCCTAAGTCAGTTTCTAGCACGTCGATCTTGGCTAAGACGTCGGGGGCCAACTCGAGGCCCTTCTTGCGTAACGCCTGGATTTGTCTCTCTCTCGGATCCTGTTTACTTGGTCGGTTTAGGCATACGACGCGCTTAACGTCGCTTCGCAGAGCGGCCGTGGCGACCAGATGCGCACCTAGGCCCCCGGTGGCTCCTGTTATGAGGACGCATTTGGCCTCGGGCCGGTACCGACGGGCTCCCGATTCTCGTGACATCGCTTCGTCGAAGCCCTGCGTCAGCTCGCGCACGTATTTGCTGACGACCTGTTCGCGCGCTTCGCAGTCGGCGGTGGCGCCTTTCTTGGGCAGGTAGCCGAGAGTGGCTACGTTTTCCAATCGTTCGGACCTGACGCGCGGGTTCAAAATACTGTCAGATACTGGGCGAACAGGAGAATAACAAGGAATCAATCAGGCAGCTTGTTTGCTCGAAGCCGAAACGATGTGTATATTCTATACAACATCCATACATGTACGTACAAACGAAAGCCGCGAACCTCCGGCGCGGTAGCATGAATGACACAAGGCCCACCACCCAAGAATACTATCACTTACCGACTAGTTAAGCTGGCGGCGGCCAGTATCAACTTCTCGATCTCGCTCTCCTGCCTTTCGCCAACCGTCCAGTCCACGTGGCCGTAACCGACAGCCTGCAGGTCCTTCTCCCACCTCGACTCGTGTGTCAATGCGTGTCGGCGACCGTCGTCGAATAGCCACCAACCCTCAAAGAGACCGAAGATCAAGTCAACCCAGTAGGGCGTGCGCGTCATTTCGAGCATGAAGAGATACCCGTCTGGGCGGAGGGCTTTGCGCACGTTCGCGGTGCTCACGCATAGGGAGTGTGTTGCGTGGACTGCGTTGCTTGCAAGCACGAAATGCTGTGTGCTCTCCAAGTCCGCGTCAGGTGCTTTCTCGATATCGTGTGCCCGGAACTTCATCCAGGGATATTGCTTGCCCCACTTCTTCCGTGCCGCCGCGACAAAGGACGGAGCCAGATCGGTAAATGTGTATTCGACCGGTATCTGGAGCTGCGCCAGCAGCGGTACGATCCGCTTCGTCGTGCCGCCGGTACCAGCTCCCATCTCCAAGATGCGGAGTGGCTTGCTCTCGCTGAGTCCGTTGGGCCTGGCCCGAAGCTTCTCGGCCAGACGCGTAAAGAAGTCCTCCATCTGCGCATACATAACTCGGTTCAGTGGCCAATCGGCGTAAAAGGCACCGACAAGCTCGCGACCCTCAGTGCTACCGAAGATGAGTTTTACCCCATCCGTCTCGCCCGAGAGCACGCGCTTGAGATTCGCACCGGCATAGTAGGTGAGCTTGTCGGCCGGAGCTTGGTCGGGGTAGCTTCTTGCCATTTCGTCATATATTTCTTTGCTATGCCGTCGCGGGAGAGGAACTGCTGTCCTGGTAATGGTGTCCCCGTCCAGTTTAATTATCTGGGTCTCGGTCTCCAGCATCTCGTACAGGTACGTCACAAAGTGCACATGCTCCTTGCCGTGCGGGATGCGCGAGAGCTGCTGACCTGGCTGGGCGTTGCTGAACCCAGCACCCAGTGCCTCGAAGGCCTCGATCGTAAACGCCACCGTGAGCTCATTTTGAAGCGGCAACGACTCGGCTACGTAGTGAGTCTGCCCCATGGTGGCGATGCGGCTATCAGTCAACTTCTTGGTCTCGTTGAAGGCCTCCATGACCGTTGCAAACGAGAGCTTGAAATCGTCTGACTCCCCATATTCTTCTTTATCCACAATGGACTCAGGGGAGGGCGAGGTGAGGTTCGTAAAGGCGGGGGCACCATCTGACGAAGCCATGCTGGCCGTGTCGGTATCTAGATCTTCATTCGGCTCCTCTGAATCGGGATGTGATTGGACGTCCACACCCATCGCCCCGGCCACGCACTTCATCAGCTCGGGGAAAGTTGTGACGGTGAGGATCTCGGCCTCCGGAAGATGCACCTTGAGAGTCGTTTCGATCTCGTGTACCATCTCCATGCCGGCCAGCGAATCGATACCCAGGTCTGCCAGATCGCTATCGTTCTTGATCTCAGAAATTTCTAGGCCGGTTAGGTCTGCAAGGATGGCCTTCACCTTCAGAAGCAGATCATCCTGGGACGCGCGTTTGCTTGACTTGGGCGCCTTCTGCTCTGCCGCGGGATTTTTAGTAGATGGGGGCGTCGTCGGCTGGTGCACCGATGGGGATGCTTTCGTCTTTTTCTGTACGTCGTCCAATTTCGTCAAGGTTATGGGCGAGGCGAGGGATGGTACGTTTGCTGCCGGACTCTTAGCCAGCCACCCCGGCTCAGTCAGGCGTGTCAGTAGTTTTTCCATGGAGGGTTTCGGAATCTTGACATATGCGACACCGAGGATGACCTCAACCAGGGATCCGTCAGCCGCGTCAAACACAAAGACGTCGGTTAGAGATAACCGATCAGACTGGCGGTGATGCACAGCGAAAGCGTTGAATTCGTTCGAATGCTTTCCAGTAGGGACCGCCCTGATCCATTGGTCGATCCCATTTGCAAGATACACATCACCCCGAGAACGGTCCGTCATGCAATTAATCCAGAGGCCGCCTAGTTGGCAGAAGGTGTCGGAAAGATGAGGGTCAAACCATAGGTCGGGGTCTGAGTTGACGCGGACGACATGGCCCGCAGTCTCGTTCCCACGAGTGACCATCTTCTGTAGGCCACGGAACTCATCGCCGTAGTCGACGATTTCAGAAAATATGCGGTAAATGCTGCGGTTGGCGAGCACCTCGTCGACATCGGTGCCCTGCAGGAGGTCGGTCGCCCGATTATGGCCGAATAACCGCTCGAAACGCACCATCTGACGCCTCAGGGCCGGGTCTTCTGGGCTGCTGAATGAGATCTTGCCGGTGGTGTGCACCATTCGTGCTTGTGACTGAGCTTCGGTGCTATACACCTCAAATCTCCACTCAGAGTCGCCCGAGGCGTTGTTCTTCACATCGATCCACGTCACGCGCGCTGAGTTGGCGCAGATAGGAGACTGGTACTCTACGTCTTGCATTTGAGGCTGCGTCTTCGCCTGATACTCCGGGTGCAGGCTGCCAATGGCGTCAACCACAAACCCAATCTGTATTGTGGCAGGGCATATAGGCGCGGTCTCCATTGTCAGGTGGCCTGAGAGGAGCTTCTTATATTTTTCCGTCGACGTATTTATGCGGAACCGCGCTTCCCTCTGGGTTGCACCGTCCTGGTACCCGAAGAAGGTCAGGAGCCCTTCCGGCTGCTTCTGCTCGATAGCTCCAGCGGTCTCTTCTTCGACTGGTAGAGACTTAGGGATGGCCTTCAGCTCCATCCAATGTCGTGCTTCGGGGTCGAATTGGTAAGGCGGGAGCAGCAAAGGCACAATATCCGCTTGGTGGTTTCTCTGCAATCCGTGATGCGCCCAGTGCTGTACCCGCAGGCCCGTTTTCCAGAGCGACACGGTGGTATCGGTTAACTTATCCCAGGCATCGTCGCAATTTGATATATTAACGCTGTGGAAGGAATACGCGCCCTTCACATTTCCAAGCGCACGGGCAGCCATGGATGTGATGGTTGAGTTAGTCCCGGCTTCGAGGAAGACGCAGGGCGATGAGGCGTACCGCCGCGCGAGACGCTCGACTGCATGGTGGAAATAGACCGGGTTGCGCATATGATCGGCCACAAACTTTGCCGTCAAGTCCACCTCTCCTGCGTTTTCCTTGGCGAACTCAAGCGGTATGACGGGCTTGCGGAATGTTAAGCTCTGAGCACCCTTCTCTAGGCTGTCGACTAACGGATCGACAAGCGCGGAGTGGAAGGCGTTTGTTACATTCAGTCTCTTGGTTCTGAGGGTCTTGGTGGGAAACTTTTCGACTTGGGCAGCGACAGCGTCAATGGCACGAGTCGAGCCCGCAAGGGTGAAACTCCTTGGCCCGTTGTAACAGGCGATACTAGCAGGCTTGTCCGAGTGGTCGCCATTGGCGGCAGCCAGCAGTTGCTCAACGTCGCTTAGGTCTGCTTCGATAGCCATCATGGCGCCCTTATCAGAGCCCCAAGAGTCTCTCACCAAAGTAGCTCGGCGCACGATCATCTTGATGGTATCTTCTAGCGACAAAACTTGCGAGACGCAGAGGGCTGTGAGCTCGCCGAAGCTGTGGCCGACTAACGCCTCCGGCTGAATTCCCGAGTCGATCCAACTGCGCGCACAGGCATATTGCGTAGAGAAGAGCATAATTTGCAGCTGGGCGGTATCCAAAATCGGCTCTCGCTGGAAGATCCCCGGGAAGATGCTCGGGTGGCCTATGGACTGGACCACGGCATCGACGTGGTTGAGGTGCTTGCGTAAGACTGCCACATTATCGTACAATTGACGGTCAAGTCCAACGTAAGTGGAAATTTGGCCTCCGAAGCACAAGATTACAGGCCGTTTCGTCGCCGAAGAAGCCGAGGGTTCTGCCAAAACATTGGAGTCATCGCTCTTCTCAAACGAAGCCAGGTTGCGATCCAGCTCCTCGATGGAACGCGCGGAAAACATCAAGCCCGACTCCAAGGTGCGGTTGCTCTGTCGAGCGACGTTAAAGGAAAGATTGGCAAGCGACGTGTCCCCCCCCGACCTGGAGATATATTTCCGGAATGCCTTCACGTATCGATACAGGCTCTTCTTATCGAAACTGCTGATCCAGAAAGGGTACTTTACATTTGCCGGGATTTGCGACACATTCTGAAGCGCTTTCCCGAGAGACGGCGACTGAGTAACCACGAGCGAGGCGTTCGATCCCGATGCACCGTAATTGTTGATAAGGGCAGCGCGAAAGTCGACGTCCCACGGCTGCACTCGGGTGGGTATGAACATCTGATCAGCGTCTGTGGAATTCAGAGCCGGATTCAGAGTCTTAAAGCTGGCCTGCGGGGGTAGCGTGCCCTTGTTCAGCATGAGGAGGACCTTTATCAAACTGATGATACCGGAAGTACACTCCATATGGCCAACAAGTCCCTTGACTGAGCTGACCATCAAGGGTTGTCCGGAACGGTTTGCGCCACCAAGAACCTTTCGGATACTATCATATTCGGCGGGATCGCCAACGGCGGTACCGGTGCCATGGGCCTCGACCACCGATATCTGCGACGGCTTGATATGTGCTTTAGCCGTCACGGTGCTGAAAAGGTCGCCCAACGAAGGAACGTTGGGGACGAAAATTGGGGTACAGTTTTGATTTTGCTGCACAGCCGTGGCGGCGATAACGCCTAGGATGGGATCCCCATCCGCGACCGCCTTGCTCATCTTCTTCAGGAAGACGGCGCCGACACCCTCACCCCGGCAATAACCGTCCGCCTTGGCGTCAAACGGCTTGCATTGGCCCGTAGGGCTGAGGAAAGACCCTGCTGCTAGGTTCTGGAACCAAGAGGCCGAGGTCATGACGTGCGTTCCGCCTGCGAGCGCCGCCTCGCATTCCCCGGTCAGGATCGACTGGCAGGCTTGATGTACTGCTACTAGCGACGAGCTGCACGCTGTGTCGATGGTGAGCCCTGGGCCAGTCCAGCCAAAAAAGTGTGACACCTTGCCCGCGATGAACCCCTGCAGGTTGCCGGTCGCGGTAAAGGCATTGGCGGCATGACAAGCCACGTTGTTATCGTAATCGCCCAGGCATACGCCTACGTAGCATCCGATCTTCGCATTGCGCTCCGACTCAGCGCCCCGGAAGTAACCACTCTGCTCGACCGCCTGGTAGGCCACCTGGAGAATCTGCCGTTGCTGCGGGTCCATGGTGGCGCTCTCGCGCGCGCTTTTCTTGAAGAAACGGTGATCGAAGTGGTCGTGGTTGTCGAGCAAATTCGCAAACCATTTCCTATTCATATTGGCATCGGAGCTCGTCCGAAACGGCGTGTCGTCGAAGGAGAAGCGGCTGGAAGTGCTGATTTCCCGGTGCTGAGACTCACCCGCCACCAGCAAGTCCCAGAAATCCTCCAAATTGCTAGCTCCGGCGACTCTGCAGGACATGCCCACGACGGCAATGTCGCTGTCTCTCCACAGGCGATCCGGTCGCCGGTCTATTTTACTTCTGACGCGGTCGGAGAGATAGTCTACTTTCAAATTTGGTCGCGAGGTGAGTGACAGGGGTATGCTGCGCTCCGGACCAAAATCGAAAACGTGCACGTTCTCCCCATTCCCCCGCAAGGTAGCAGCGGAGAAGGCGTCAAACCAACGAGGAGGCTGTAGAAGAATGGACCTCAACGCATGAGCGTGCAGCGCGCCCTCTTTCAGCAACGAACCGGCAAGGTCGTTGCCCCGTGTCGGCGTGGCCAGGGAAGCGGCATCTGAGAGTTGAAATTCGCCGCGAAACTCGCAAAAGGTGATGGCTTGCTCGACGAGGGCCGAGTTGCCCGCGAAGTGGAAGCGCCCGTATAGGCCAATTTCGGACGCGCTTAAGCCTGCGGCTTTCAGCCGTCGGGTTAGATCCCCTACGTGTTCGGCGGACGTGGTGATAGTCGCCCGATTCTCGTCAAAATGGACAGAGACGTACGTCTAGGAACGGGTTATTATCACGTCGCAGAAACAATTTTGATGGGCCGCAGGGAAACTGAGGGCTTGGAAAGCGGGAGAGGGGGGGCGACGGGGGGTTGCGATTTACCTCTTCGGAATCCTTCAAAATCTTGATCATCTCCTCTTGCCCTCCGTTCGGGCTCCAAGCTGCGCTTAGCGACCTATAACGGCCCTTGCCCGACAAGGCGTCCTGGTTATCGATCACCAGGCCAACAAGAAGAGCCAGTCTCACGGCGGCGGCGCCGTATCTTCGAAATTCCTCGGCATTGCGCGCGCTCGAGGCAGCAAAGGCGGATAAAAGGCCCGTGCACAAGCCCAGCGTCTGCCTGCGGTGCGAGACCCAGGCGTTCTCGCCGTCGTTTCCGAGGCTCGCCTGCTGTACAAAATCGGCATACAGAGCTAATTGGTTGATGGTTACGAGGGGTATTAGGAGTGCGTTGGGTAGCGGAAAAGGCGTCTCGGGGAGTCGACCTGTGGTGAAAGCATCGCTGAGGTCGGTTACTTGACTGCGGGCCGTGGCCACCGAAGCTTGTAGCCCAGGGATGCCGGATAGAATGGCGTCGCAGTCTCGGGGGAGCGTCCTGACCACGTCGGCGAGCCAGGCGCTCTCGTCGCTCTCTATAACCGCTTTTCGCACTTGCTGGAACGTCGAAGCGTCGAAGGATAATGCAAGCGACCCGAACAGCAGGGTGTCGGGGCCGCTACTCTGGTCTACCATGTTGAATGCCAGGTGGACGTCGTCGGCGACGAACTTCTGTCTCGCTTCGAGGGGGACAAGTGAAGTTCAGAGCATACAGCCTCAACCACAAGCATGCTCGACCGACTGTGCTCCCTGTTATCGTTTCGTCGAATTGGCTCCTTGGCGGAATTACAAGGGGAGTCCCGTCTGTCTACGGTTACTTAAGACTTGTATTGGGCCTATTCAGGGCGGAATGTGGTTGTCCCCCATCGACGGCACCCGCGCGTTCTTTATATTTTCGGTTACTTTCTTCCGATTCTATTTCGGTATATTTTCCATATACTAGCCGTATCCTCCTGCGGCCCCCGTGTCTCCCGCGCGCGCATCCCCCGCCTCTCTCTGCATCATGCTGTTTCTTAGGCACGGACAGGGAACATGAGCCATAAGCTTAGATCCAGCTTCTACTAATCTTCCAACAGCCCCCTGTCTTTCCCGTCTGGGTAAGACGGCCCCGCAGGTTTCTGTCCTCTTTTGTTGACCCGAGCTCAAAGGAGAGGGTGCAGATCCTACCGGAGTACCTAAGTGGTAACGGATTTTCTCTCGCGCGCGCGCAAACGGCTCGCTCTCGCGGTATCTCTCCCACTCTGCTTCTACGCCAAGCATGATCCTCTCGTGGCGTGACATAGCAAATGGGAGCCCGTATGCAGTTAGTCAGGAACCCATATGCCCCCTGTAGTAATGCGGGACGGGTGCGTTGAGCACTGCGAGGCCAGGACCACGTTGCATTGCATACTGCGTGTTATCTAAAAAAGAAGGGATGGGCTTCTGGTACATGCTACGTAACGGGCCATTGTTTGAGGCGCATTCTGTATTATGGCGAGCTCACGTTGGCCCGGAGCGGCTTGGGAGGATCGCCACCGTCGCTGAGTAATCTCTCGTGACTGGGGCTATATGCGGGCTCGAGCTGAGCGCCCGGAGTGGTTCGAGATAGGAGCGCAAACGAGATGCTCCGAGCCGAAGAGGATGATAGCGTCCCGTCAGATCAGATGCGCAGGCGGCCAGCGTGAGAGGGCTTGCGACTGGCCAGTCGAGTGTGCTTCCGAGCCGACAGCCTCTCTCACTGCCCGCCTCTTATCCGGGACGGTGTGTAATGCCGAAGTGGATGGGCCAATGAAACAAAACTCCGGCCTCGCGTAGTAGGATTGCTTGGGGGCTGTTCTCGAAGCCGCCGAGACCTCGACCAGGTGATATGGGGGTTCGCATACGGCTTCTCGTGAGGCGACTCGAAGCAGCTATCATGACTGATAACCCGCGTATCCTCTGGGAACACGAGAGTTAGAAGAAGACGTAGACGAGTCGAGCTTTAGCTAGATCTACCTACGACGCATACTACTCCTCCTCCTCCTACTGCTACCGCGGAGTAGCTAATCGCAAGTCGCCAGCGCCTAAGGCTGAAGGAGATCAACAGTAGCCTCTGGGTTTTCTCCCACCACCCATAATATCTCTCGCCTCCACGTCCCGCAGCTATGGGTGATGCCATTGTGACGACAGCGAAGCCGCCGCAGATCGCGATCGTGGGCGGCGGCATCGTCGGGATCATTCTTGCTCTCGGGCTGACCCGGCAGAACATCCCAGTGCGCGTCTACGAGCAAGCACGCGGGTTCCGAGAGGTCGGTGCCGGCATCGCCTTCTCGGCGTGCGCACGCCGCTGCAGTGAGTGGTTAGAAGTCTTTGGCATCACGCGTGTGACCCTATACATTCACGTCGCATACATCTCTCCGCTCCCTTGCCCCGGTCCCCCCCTGCTTTGCCCTTGGGGGCTATCTCTTGCTCTGGATCTCGAGGAATACGGAATAGGCAACGTTGCCGTTCTTTGATGTCTGCAGCTGACGAAATGGTGCAGTGGAACTCATTAACCCAGCGGTCGTCGACGCTCTAAGACGCTGCGGCGCAGTATCCATATCGGATGACGACGACAGCGACGATTACCTGCGTTGGATTGACGGCTACAACCAACACCTCAAGGACGACCCCACCTACCAGAAGCCGCTATCCCAGATCAGCGGTGGCGGCTTCAGGGGTTGTCGACGAGACCAGTTCCTGGAGGAGCTCGAAATCGACGTTCCTCCCGGCACGATCGAGTTCGGGAAGCGGCTAGAAGGGCTGGAGCAGGCCAAAGACGGGAGGGTCATCCTCAGCTTTGCCGACGGAACCAGGGCCGAGGCCGATGCTGGTAGAGCCGACTCGAGCGTCCTGCTGCTGCATTACCTACGGCTAACCTCATGGCACAGTTATTGGCTGCGACGGCGTCAAGTCCCGCGTCCGCCAGCATCTCTTCGGCACAGACCATGAAGCGTCCCACCCTCAGTACACGCACAAGATAGCGTACCGAGGCCTCGTGCCGATGGATCGCGCGATCGACGTGCTGGGCGACTGGAAGGCGCATAATTTCCACCACCACGTCGGGCCTGGCGCCCACCTCACCCACTATCCGGTAGCCAACCACAAATTCCTCAACGTGGTCGTCTTCCTCTCCGATCCCAACCCGTGGCCCGACTACAACAACATGGTCGCCGAGGGCACTAGAGAAGAAATTGAGATTGCCCTCCGCGGGTGGCACCGTACGGTGCTCGACCTCGTGAAATTGCTCCCAGACAAGATGATCACCTGGGCCCTGTTCGACCTCGGAGAGTTCCCGGTACCGAGATACAACACCAGAAATATATGTCTGGCCGGCGACGCTGCGCATGCGTCCAGCCCCCACCACGGTGCAGGAGCTTGTGCCGGGGTAAGTTGACCATCGTCACAGGCTTGGCCGCGGTATCGTTGCACTAACAATCCTACGCGATGGGCGTACGCATCTACGCAGGTCGAAGACGCGCTGTGTCTCACTGCCCTCCTGGGCCAGGTCTGCGCGACACCGCCGCCCGATGGGGACTACGTACGCGCTCTCGGGGCAGCGTTTGAGACGTTCGACGCCGTCCGGCGCTCGCGCACCCAATGGCTCGTCAACAGCAGCCGACGCGTCTGCGACCTGTACCACCAGTCCGAGTGGGCGGATCCCAGGCGCTGGATCAAGGCCGAGACATGCTTCGAGGAGATCCGCGATCGCTCATACAAGATCTGGCAGTTCGACGCCGACGACATGGTGCAGCGGACCCTGGCGGACTTCGAGAGGAGGTTGGCGAAAGAGAGCAACGGCGGAGTGACTGTGCACTGAGATGAGAAATAAGGATCCTTGGCAACTCATGCCAATGTCACGCTGCGTGTAGCAACATGTACATACATACGTAGGTGGATTCTCCTGCGAGTGCAGCTCGAATCCCTGTACGCTCTTTACTTTGTGACGGTTTTTTTTCTGGTCTCTTCTTCTTACGAGAGAAAAGCCTGTTGTAGAAAGGGGGGGGGGGGGTAACGGAGGGGGAGGGAGGGGGAGGGAGGGGGAGCAGTCAGGCATCTATGTATGTATCGTAGCGCTTGGTATGCACTTGTCTACAAGTTCGCATAACCAACTATACCTTGTCGATAGCATTCCTCTCTATTATTTCGTGCCAGAGCAGCATTCACCATTCCTTACATATACGCACGTACATATGTATGTACGCTAAGCGTACGCAACCCCGGTTCAGATCGGTAGCAACACAGACGGTGAGCCGGCGGTCATTCCAGGGGGGGTGAGCACAAATGCATACCCACCCACACACACAAACGCACACACATACAGAGTGGCTGCCACGACGACGTGCTTGGCAGCGGCCCACGGGGATGTTATCGGTAAATATACCCCTGAGCCAAGCCAACGGGCTGCTTTTTCGTCGTCTCCCTTCTCCCGGTAAGGCAACATGGTCGGTTGGTTGATGCTATAAGACGCTATCAGACAACAATTCTGGACTCGTGTACGCTTCTCATTCGCCGCAGGCAGACGGAATACGCCGCAGAACCAGGCGGGTTGGGTGTGGGGGGGAGGCAAAGAAAAAAAAAAAAATAACCGCCAGCAAGACGGGACGGCAAGTGAGGACTTCTTCTGCTGACCCAACGTCCAACGGAGCTCCCGCTTCACACCACCTCGATGAGGACCCGGAGATCATCGCGGCTGTAGAAGATCAGAGCGCGCGCCGTGCGCAGGTGCAACTCCCCACGGCCGGCTCGTGCCAACCATGCGAACCATTCCACGCGACTCTGCCGTGACGTGACCTCGCGTGGATCCGAGCCCCGACGGTACGACTCTGCGTTGATTTATGCTGCAACGGTAGCTACACATCACAATATGTCTTTCGTATCGCCGCCCTGGTCCATCTGAGAACATCGCGGCCACCCCCCCCTGCGGGTGGAAGTATGTACGTAGTAGCCTAGAAGGAATTCTCTACGTGGTGGTAGTGGTAGTGGTACCCTCCCGCATAGAGAGGTCCCCGCTCGATTGGGGGGGGGGGACTGATGATCTGCACGTATGTATGTGTATGTATGTACAGAGACCTGACCGCATGGAAGAAGAGAGAGAAAAAAAAGAGAAAAAAAAAGAGGCCCTCCCCGTCTGCTGGTGTGGGCCATTATCGCCCGCCTCGACCGAGGGAGACCCTAGAGAGGAGGCATGCTCCCCATACATAGTACATATGTATGCACACAACCTACATATGTAGTCCCTCTCGCATCCTTCCTTGACGACTGCAAAGTAGGCGTGTCATGTATGATTGGGAACTATGAGAAGATAAACGGCTGCAGATTCGTGCATCGGAACCAAGTCCTAGTTGGGTATATATATAGCCAGGTAGTCAGTTGCTCCATCGGTGTCTGTTTCTAAATAGAGCGACGCCGTCGTTCCCCACGGGCCCCAAGAGGCAGGGTAGAGATACAAAACCAAACTTCCTCCCCTCTTCCCGTCCCCACGGTGTCCGTGGGCAGTAGCAATACTCCCGTGCGCGCGACCTGCCCGTTTGATGCCATGTGATTTGACGGGAATCGACGACTGGGGAGATGCCAGCGAGGGAGACGAAGAGGAAAATAATAGGCCGGGGGTATATGGACAGGGGTCAGGGGTGGGACAATCGAGCGCACTACCTATATTGGTCGCAACAGTCTTGGAATATTGAACTAATCCGTTATCCACTTACATATACCTCCCAGGAAACAAGAAGAAGGACAGCGGCCCCCCCTGCCCAGCGCTAGAGCCGATGCGCCTTGGGCCGTCTGGGGAGGCAACAACTTTTGATCTATCTCGGATGCATCTCGAGCCTAGAGCATCTTAGTCCCGGCATGACCTCTGCGATATTCTCGAGTTGCCGAGAGTAGGTCTCGCCAAGCTCGCGGTTCGCACCGAGGATTTCACCGCAGACGGACAACGGTATGGGTAGGAGAGGGTGCAGCTGTGAAGTGCGCGTGAGTGAGAGAGAGAGCAGAGTCTACGTCGAGGAGAGCATCGGAAAGGGGACAGACGAAGAGCAAACAAAAAAAAAATTTACAGGCGTGGGCAGGTAAAATATAGGGGTTCGGTAAGATATATATACCTTCCAGCAATTAAGCCCCGCCATTTTGCCGGCCAGTCGAACGATGTCGTGGCTAGCGAGCGCTAGGCGTCTCACGTAGAAATCCTTGGCGTTGGCGTGCTGGTCGTCCAGCGGGGCGGCGGCGGCGGCGGCGGCGGCGGCAGAGGCCGTGGGGGGGGAGGGCGAGGACAAGGAGGCGAAGGAGGAGGGCGTAGCGCCGCCGTAAGTCGGCTGGTGCAGGCAGAGCAGCACGGCGCGCCACAGCGTGGCGACGAAGAGCTGCATGGGGCACGGGTCGTCGTCGTCGCCGACGCCGCCGTCGAGGCGCAGCGCGTAGTTGCGCGAGAAGACGTCCATGCGGCGGGCGGCGAGCGCGTCGAGCGCCGCGTGCCGGGCCCAGAAGTCGGACGAGCCGCCGCCCTCCTGCTGCCGGTGCAGCACCACGCGGCCGCCCACCGCCGCCGCCACGATGCACTCGACGAAGAGCCCGAACGCCGGCGTCGCGACGCGGCCGGTGCCGTAGTCGGCGGGGGCGGGCGAGATGGCCTCGGCGAGGAGGAGGCCCGGCGCCGCCGCCGCCGACGACGAAGACCCTGGCTGCTGCGGCAGCGGCGGCGCGCTCTGGAAGTCGGCCTCGGGCGCCGGCAGCCGCACGCGCGCGGCGAGCTGCTCGCTGAAGGTGGGCGCGGCGCCGGTGCGCAGGCTGATGAGGCGGTCGAGGCAGAAGGCGAGCCAGAAGACGCGGCGCTTCTGCTCGGCGTCGACGGGGTCGTCGGGGGGGTCGTCGTCGTCGGCGGGGGCAGCGGCGTCGCTGCTGCCGCCGCCACCGCCGTCGCGGCGCAGCAGCAGCCACTGCGGGCAGTTGACGCGGACGAGGGTGAGGGCGCGGCCGGCGGTGAGGCACGCGCGGCGGAAGCCGACGCACATGAACTCGTGGACGGCGAGCAGCAGCCAGGCCTGGGCCTGCTCGACGTCGGCGGACGACGCGAGCTCGGCGTCGCGCGGGTCGAGGTCGGCGGCGCCGCCCTCGAGCGCCGCCCGCGCCCGCCGGTACAGCGCCCCCAGCAGCCCGTGGTAGTTGGCCGACCCGGCCGCCGCGAGCGTCCACACGGCGTACTGCAGCGCCACGTGCGCCGGCCGCCGGTCGGGGCGCCGCCGCCACGCGAGGCACCGCCGCCGGTGGATGATGGGGACCAGGTGGTGGATGCGGTCGAAGTAGAGCTGGTCGCTGGCGAGAGCAGGTCAGCCAAGGCGGCAGGGAGCACAAGGGAGCGGGAGGCGGAGGCGCAGGGGGAGGCGGGTTCTTGGCTCCCCCTCTGCGCCGCGTAAGAAATGTAGCCTACAGGTCTGCCTGCATCAGGCTCGATATGGGGAACTCGTCGGCCGGCACAGCAACCGGGGCGTGCATCAGCTGAGTCATATCGGGGTAGGGGCCCGGCTTGAGGTCGCCCGGCGGGATCACCATCGGGTCGCCGTCGCCGGGCGGCGTCATCGACAGGTCGAGGACCGAGCCCGGGTCTTCGAGGCCGCCGTCGCCGAAGTCCCAGGACAGCTGGATCGGATCCACGTCCGTCATGTCGGGCGAGGTCAGGGCAGGGGACAGCGCCATGGCCGGGGGGAACTGCGGGTGCGGGTGTTGCTGGTGCTGGTGCTCGAGAACGGAGCCTTCGAGGGCGGCTGCGGGCGCCGCGTTAGCAGCGTCGCCGCTCGGCCAGGTGGAGGAGGAGGAGGAGGGCGGCCACTCACAGATGCGCGCTTGCAGGGTCTTGAGATAGCCCCTCCGGGGGCCTCCAGGGCGGCGAGACGCCTGGACCTGGCAGACGGCGCCGGCGGCCTTGCAAGCGCTGCACTGGGGCTGGCCGCGGTCGCACCGCAGTTTGCGGCGGCGGCAGGCCTCGCAGGCGTTGCCAGGCCGCTGGCGCTTCTGCTGCTGCGGCGGCGGCGGCGGCGGCTTCTCGGGCGCGGTCTTGGGCATCTCTCCGGACCTCGGCACTACGGGCGGCGGCATGTCACGTAGCCGAGTGAAGCTGTCACGAAGCGGGTGGCCGTGATGGGGGGAGCTACAGAAGACGCGAGCCCGGGACTACATGCATACGCGGCGACGGAGCTTTCTCCTGGTGCTTCGCCCGCTCGCTCTCGCGCCCTCTTCTCTCTCCCTCGCGCTATCTCGCTGCCACACCCGCTCGCCTTCAACCCCCCTATTGGTCCGGCGTTGGGGGGCTCTTCCTCCTCGCCGCCGGTCTTACTTGGCGTCTACCTATTTGTACGATCAAGACCTGGCCTCGCTTGGCACAGAGGCTGTCACGTTCGAGTCCGAGCCTCCGCGTCCTGGATTATCTGCCCGCGGAAGGGCCCGAGGCCACCGAATTCTGATCGAGGGGGTGTGAGACCGGCCCCACGGGAGTGATTCGGCGAATAAAGTGTGACAGGTCAATTAATCGCCGATTTCTTTTTATTATTTCTCTATTATTTTTCGTTGTTTTTTTTTGGTCTTATGTCCCTGTTTCTCCCCGACCAGAGTCTGATACGGGCTCGGCGGCAGATGGAACATTGGCCGGTGTTTCTTTTCTCCCCTGCTCTCTGTTTCTTCTCCCTCGTTCTCTTGCCAATGGCGTATCGTGAACCGACGTCATGGTGGCTTATCTCGGCTGACACCGCCCGCTCAGGTGCGCGGGCCGGCGAGGAATTCCATCCCCTTCGACGCCAGCGCCCACAGCTGCGCCAGCGCTGACTTTCCGCAGGGGGTAATAAGCCGCAAGGAGCAGGTGGGTAAGTAGCCGACGCCGACTTCTGCGTCACGGGGCTGGCTGTGTGCGCAGATCTGTCCGGGAATCCAGTCGTTTTTTTTTTCGAGACTCGATTCCAACGGGGGGCTGGGAGGCACACGGCATCTATAGCTGAGCAGCGATCGCAGGGAGAGACAGGCAACTAAACGCTGATCTGTTTCGATATTGACGGCGACATTCCGCGATCGCAACGATAGATGGATGTATTCGCACCAACCTCGGCGCGGATCGGAGAGACAGATAGGCAGACGCCTCCTCTTGTCGGATCCGAGGTTGTTAGCGAGCCGAATTGTCTGTGTTGTCCTACCCGGGTCCCTGGCGCTGGGTTCGCTTGTCGCCCGAGTTTTCACCGTCCTTACGAGGGATGCTAATATCTTGTTGTTTTCTGTTAAGGTCTTCCTGGTCGTCGTACTGCTACGACTGAGGATAGTTATAATACGTGAAACCCCCTGTCGTGCTGATCAATTACCGATCAGTGACCCCTGTAAATAGCCCTGTAAACAGCCCTGTAAATTCGGGGGAAACTCTGTACTGATTGGCTGAAAGTCCATATACGCAGGATATTCAAGACAAGATCTACCTATGTATCACTATTTACCCACCTACTAACGTGTTCAATCCCATTTCCTGCCTATTTCCTGCCTATTCTATTCGTATACGGGTCGATCAAGGTCAGTTTTTCGCCGTATAGATTTTGGGCACCTTGTCGGTCAGCCTCCTGTTGTTGACTGGGAACTGCCGCAACGCTTGCCCGTTCACCGGTTACAACGGTTGCCTTTTCACCTGTTAGAGAACCTGTTTATTCGCCTGTAAAAGGAGCCGTATAAAAGATCTTTATTTCGCAATTCTAGGACTTAGATATCCTCCTAATTAATCAGCAGCTCAGGTTCAGGTTTCAACGTTTCGTATGCCTTAGATAACTAGGTAATTACGACGCAACAGGAAGCGAGCCTCGCCAAAACGCACAGCCGAACGATCGAGGTCAGTTTCTCGCCGTTCAATCAAGCGTCAGTTCCTGCTCACCTCTTTCCCCCTAGCCTTCGGAGAGGCCCTATTTTTGGGACGGAAACGTGGAGAAGCGCGGAGTGCTTCAACGTATTTTAACTGCTTTTGGTCACTGCGTGAATTATGTCGTCTGCTGGAGCTCGCACCGTCGTGCTGATCACCGGAGCCAACGGTGGTTTAGGTGAGACGATCATGGTCTGAACTGTGCTGTGCCGCCGGATTGCCTTCTCTGACGCTCTCACCGCCGTAGGCTTCGAAATAGCGAAGGGTCTCTTCCTCCGTCCGCACTCCTATCACATCCTCGTCGGATGCCGCGGGGACCTACGTCGCGCGATCGACGCGATATCTAAACTCCGTCAGATCTCGCCTACCAGCTCGTCGACCGCGGAGCCGCTCTACATCGACCTCTCGTCAGACGAGTCGATCGGTGCAGCCTTCCGGCATGTCCAAGAAAAGATCGGCCACGTCGATATCTTGGTGAACAATGCTGGTACGATCTGCCGCTCCTTCGCCTCCTCGCTTAAGGATTGCGCTTACAATAGAACCGGAACAGGTGCGGATCTGGATACCGCGGTGGCTTCGGGCCATCTGTCGAGACGCGAGGGATGGAATCGAACATACGACACGAATGTGACCGGCACCCATCTTTTTACCGAGACGTTTGCGCCCCTCCTGCTGGCCTCCCGAGCCAAGTCGCCGCGACTCCTGTTCCTCACTAGCGGGCTGTCGTCTGCCACGGAGCATGCCAGCGGCACCAGTCACAAGTACGCGCTGGCGCCCGCCGGGTGGCCCAAGCCCAAGACCCTGTGGTTCCCGTACCGGGTTAGCAAGAGCGGGATGAACATGCTGGCGGCGGAGTGGGCCCGCCTCCTGCACAACGACGGCATCAAGGTCTTTGACCTCTCGCCGGGGTTTCTCAATACGGGGCTGGGAGACAACCGCGCTACCGGAGAGCCGAGAGACAAGGGCGTCTTGGGGGCTATCGACCCAGCGATCGGGGCCGGCTTCTGCGTCGAGGTCATCGAGGGCGTGCGCGACGAGCAGGCGTGGCCAATTAGGGTGATGCGGAAGGACGCAGTGCAGCCGTGGTAGGTAGGATTCGCCCAGGATTCGTACCTGGAGAATCTTCGCCACGTGGGAATAGTAGTAGTATTGAGATAATACGCCGAATCCATTTTCCGTCTCGAGCCTTGGCGTTAATCGCCTAGTTGTCCCCCCCCACCCCCCAGCTCCTAGTTCGTGATGCGTTGATCGACCATTCGGCCCGGCCGGTAAGGCTGGCGAACGGCATGGGGGGTTCCCTGTAGAGCCCTCGTAGTTTCACGTAGATACGGCAGAGGATGTGGCGATCGTCTTACAGTCAGACTCGGCTTGGCTATGCCGGGTCGGAGTCTCTCAGCTGCCGCACGCCCAGCCGCGCCGTGGATACTCCGATGCCGCCCGGTCAGGGGGGGAGGATTCCTGATTCAAAGCTGAGTTCCCAGCGGACGATTGTTATCGAGCCACCTGTAGAGCTGGTGGTCCGATATCGTGACGGACAGCACTCGCTAGCCGCCGATGTAGGTTGTATAAAGCTGAACCTTCGATAGAGACCAAGACCACGTTCATAGCAGGCCAAGCGCGCAGGTCGGCAACCAACCAAGATATTCCACGTGCAGTTATCTCTCCCGCTATCACACGTAGTACGCATACCGGAAGCAGAATGGCTACCAAGGACGAATCCCCGGCCATCCCCACGGTCAACATCGCCCCCTTCTTCGACCCTAACGCCTCCGAAGAGGCCCGCCAGGCGGTCGTCGATGGCGTAAGTAATGCCTGTCACACCTACGGGTTCTTCAACCTTGTCGGTCACGGCATCCCGCTCGAGGTCTTGCGCGAGGCATTCGAAATCAACAAGCGGTTCTTTGCCCTGCCCCAGGAGAAGAAGATGGAGGTGTGGATCAACAAGTCCGTCGGACGCTCGTTCCGGGGCTACGAGCCCCCGGGAATCCAGACCCACCACGAGGGTCTGCTGCCGGACACCAAGGAGGTAAGTCCATATCGGCGGTCTTCGCCTGGTGACCCTGTTCTCCCCTGCTCCGTGACCGCGAAGCTAAGCATCTCGAGCGAAGACGTTCATGGTGGGCCGAGAGGTCCCGGCAGACCACCCCGACTCCGGCTCGTTCTCCACCGGGCCCAACCTCTGGCCCTCGAGCCTGCGCAAGGAGCTGTTCCAGGATCGCATCATGGCCTACCAGGCTAGGATGCTCGAGCTAGTCGGCAAGATCCTCGCCCTCCTAGCTCGCGGCCTCCCGAAGGAGTGGAACTGCCCGACTAACGTGTTCGACTCGCTCCTCGTCGAGCCGTCCATTCCGATGAGGTACCTGCACTACGGCCCCGTGTCGTCTCAGGATCCTCGCCAGTTCGGAGGTAAGCCTGAACCAGCCTCTCCCGCCTCCCGCCCCCTGCCTGCGCGAGCCGTACTGACTGTGTCATCGCGCTTCGCTAGTGGCTGACCACACCGACTTCGGGTGCGTGTCCATCCTCCTGCAGGAGCCCGGCACGACGGGCCTCGAGGTGTTCTACCCGCCGACCGGGACGTGGGTGCCGGTGCCCGTGGCTGAGGACGGCTTCGTCATCAACATGGGCGACATGATGCAGAAGTACACCGGCGGCTACTACCGCAGCAACCGCCACCGCGTCCTCACCAACCGCGACAAGCACCGGCACAGCGTTGCCTTCTTCCTCAACGGCAACCTCAAGCTCAACGCCAAGGCCCTCGACGGCTCTGGCACTGAGACCGTCGTCGGCGACCACATCCGCCAGCGCCTGATCGATACTATGGGCGACACCGGGAAGCTGCTCAAGCGAGAGGTCGCTGCGGCTTAAGGGTGGCCGAGGACATTTTCCGGCAACGTCACAAGTGTATCAATGAAGTGTAGTGTCTAGGCAGAAACGTAGCTAATTGACAAGCTTCGTCACCTCTTACTGGTATCCTACGAAGCCTCCCCCTCGCTCTGTTCGACGGCGGCTATTTTTTCTACCTTTGCCAAGTGTTCATTCTTCGTAAAGTAGAGCTCGATTCGGCCCGCCACAGCGAGTATATAATGGCTAAGGCGAAGCGAGCGGGCATGCGTAGACGCACGTAGTCCCGCCGCCACCCAGGGCGCATCCGTGCCGGCTGGAGAAGCCCGCAGTTGAATTAAGCAACACTCGCATCAGCCCTGATCAGGACCAGGCCCGCCACCATCGGAGGCGTTTTCAGTGCACGCAGGCAACCCCGAACCTACTGATGATACCTATATGCAGGTATCACATTATCGGATCAGGCTGTTGGCCCGGCTGCTAACTAATTAGCGGCAAAACGTCTCGTGGCGGGCGCAGGCGGAGATCGTTGACGCTCCAGGTGCTGATCTGAACGCCGAGCTCGGCCGTAAAGGCTACTACCTACAACATGACAATAGCAGGAAATAACACGGGTTGTACGCGACGACCGATCCCCGGCTGTCGCGTTCGACGGCGTGCTTCGTAGCGCTACAGCCCCCGTTACGATTTCCCCGATATCCCCTTAAGCCTCGGGTTAAAGGGAGATTTGATCGCCTATTAATAGCACCTATATAATGGGTGATTTGCCCCTGTCGTTCAGGCGGCCCCGACGAGTGATCATCTAGTGAGTTAGGGTGTCTCATTAATATCCCGTGAGCCTGGTATCAAGCTCTAGAGAGCGGTAGGGGTTTACCTACAATTATTCCAGAGGGGGTGAGGGGTTATGGTCAAAGGAGGCCTTTTATCTGTGTTCCGCTGGTGACTCGTGGCGTAGGGCATTGGTTAGCTTACCAGCTAATATTACCTAGACAGAGTGTTGGTTATTTTCATTACTGACATGGCCTGTCTTATAGTGCATAACATGCTCATTGGGGTTTCGTTGACAAGTATTAATAGCCCCACCGTCGAACTACACAGGATCACCGTCGAGCTCCTCTGGGACATGATGGCCCGTAAAGGGCCAGTCTTATGTCGGCGATCATTACAACTAAGCTGTCCGGTCAAGCCAACAGGACCGATTACCAGAGAGGCAGACAAGAGCCTCGAGTGCGTGCTCTTCTTTCACTGCAAACGAGATCTGGGCATGTTCCGGTATTTCTACAATTCCACTCTAGGGGTGCTAATAGTTAGATACAACGGCAAACGCATTGTATTGGATGTTATTCTCGCAGCCTTTCTATGTACATATCACCAACTGACAGGAGGCCAGTTTGCCTACGTGCTTCCTACCACCCCCGTCCTTCCCCCTTCCTTCCCCCTTTAATTACCCAACACTGCAACTTCGCGTCTCCTGCGAAGAATTCGCATGACGACGCATCATGACATGGCAGACCTTTCCGCGGCCTCAAACGGCAGAAGCGTGGCCGTTGGCGCGACTGACTCGAATATGCCGAGATTATGTCCGTTACGGCCGCCCTTAACCCCGCTACATGTATCGTCGACAACCCCCTTTTCTTTGACATGTATATTTGCTGGCCAGTAAAGTCGCCGTCGCCTTATCATCAGTTATGTCCGCGCAGCGCTACCCGATCGAGCCTCTGAGATGGTGTGGCGAGTGCCTTCGATATGCCCGCTCCCGTCGGCCGTACCGCGCGCATCTCGGCCCTACCACCTCTGCTCGAACATGAGGGCCGCCAACCTTAAGGCGTTGGTGTCCCTGGTGCGGACTTTTCTTATATTCGCCTGCTCGTCTTACCGGCCATGGCCTCGGGCTGACTATTATCTGGCCGCACCACCTTATCAGCCGTCGGGACTAACCCGATCTTGCGTTTTCGGTCAAGTCGTTTCTTGAATACCTAGGTCAGGCTGACCTTGGCGCCCGCTTTCCGGAGTCATGGCCCACGTATCTGGGGCTGTCGGAGTCCTTAGCACTGGGATCCCCAAGCGCTCAGAGCCAGGACCGGAGGAAGTGGCCGACGGGCCGCAGCTGGACACGCCAGAGCCGATGGAGACAAGATATTCTACGGTTCAGGGACTCGCGCGCGAGTTCTCGCGCAACTCCGCCAGCGAGGGCAAACCCATCTTCGGCAGCGAGGATCCGGACTCCCCCCTGAATCCGCGCGGCGAACGGTTCAACGCGCATGCGTGGGCGAAGAACATCGCGAAGGTCGCGCACGAGAGCGGCCAGGGCTTCCGCCGGGTTGGGCTGTGCTTCCAGAACCTGAGCGTGTTCGGGTACGGCACGCCGACGGATTTCCAGAAGGATGTCGCCAATATCTGGATCGCCGTGCCGGGCATGATCCGCCGGCTCTTCTCCCACTCGGCGGGCCAGACCCGGATCGACATCCTGCGTCAGTTCAACGGGCTGATCCGCCCCGGCGAGATGTGCGTCGTCTTGGGCCCGCCGGGCTCCGGCTGCTCGACCTTCCTTAAGACTATCTCGGGCGATAGGAACGGCATATACGTCAACAAGGGCTCCTACTTCAACTATAACGGCATATCGGATAAGGAGATGCACAGCGCGCACAGGGGCGACGCCATCTACACGGCCGAGGTCGACGTTCATTTCCCAATGTTGACTGTTGGTCAGACGCTGTCTTTCGCAGCGCGCGCGCGTTGCCCCAAGGACCTACCCCAGGGCATCGATCGAGACCAGTATGTTTTCCCGCGTCAAATTTTCCCGTCCTTCTACAACTGACACGGGATGCGATAGCTATTGCGAGCATTTCCGAGACGTCGTCATGGCCATGTATGGGATTAGCCACACGATCCATACGAAGGTGGGGGATGAGTACACGCGAGGGGTCTCGGGGGGAGAGCGCAAACGTGTGACGATCGCCGAGGCGACGTTGTCGAATGCCCCGTTCCAATGCTGGGATAAGTACGTGATTGATGCCACGAGCTCTTCTTTCCTAGCCAACGCTGACTTCGACTCCCAGCTCGACACGAGGTCTTGACTCGGCCAACGCTGTTGAGTTCTGCAAGATCCTGAGACTCCAGTCGGAATTATTCGGCCAGGCGTGTGCCGTGTCGATGTATCAGGCTCCCCAGAGCGCCTACGACCTATTTGATAAAGCGATGGTTATTTACGAGGGCCATCAGATCTACTTTGGGCCGGCGTCCAAAGCAAAGGAATATTTCGTTAATCTCGGGTTTGAATGCCCAGAACGTCAGACGACGCCCGACTTCCTCACGTCGATGACATTCCCAGCAGAGCGTATCCCACGCTCCGATACCAACCCCCCGAGGACCCCCGAAGAGTTCGCAAGCGCTTGGCAGAACAGCCCCGAGTACAGGACCTTACACGATGAAATCGAGGAATATAAGCTGAAGCATCAGATCGACGGCCCCGACGCTGAGACCTTCCGACAGCTAAAGAAAGCCCACCAGTCCAAGGGTCAGCGTCTCAAGTCCCCATATACCCTAACGTATTACCAGCAAGTTCGTCTGTGCATGTGGCGCGGATGGGCGCGATTCAAGGCGGATCCGTGGCAGGCCATTGGGATGATGATCGGGAACACGATTATGGCGCTTATCATGTCATCCCTGTTCTACAACATGCAGCAGGACACGGCATCTTTCTACGGCCGCGCCGTCGTTCTCTTCATGGCGATCTTGTTCAACGCCTTCTCTTCCATCCTCGAGATCCTAACGCTCTATTTGCAGCGGCCTATCGTCGAGAAGCAGGCCCGCTACGCATTCTACCACCCGTCCGCCGAGTCGTACGCTTCTGTCTTGGTCGATCTCCCCATGAAGATCATCGGCGCCATTTCTTTCAATTTAGTATTCTACTTCATGACGAATCTGCATCGCACGCCGGGTAACTTTTTCTTTTACCTGCTGGTGGTATTCTTCATCATCATGGCCATGTCCGGTGTCTTTAGATCTCTGTAAGCCACCTTGACCTTAGAGGATAAAAGGGAATACTAACTGAAGATTTTAGGGCCTCGTTGTCGCGGACGGAACAGCAGGCCATGGTCCCCGCCTCCATTATGTTGCTCGCCCTGCTTATCTTCGCTGGATTCATTGTTCCCGTTGATTACATGTTGTCGTGGTGCCGGTGGATCAATTACCTGAACCCGGTGGCCTACGGCTATGAATCTCTGATGGTCAACGAGTATCACAACCGCAACTTCACCTGTTCGTCCTATATACCTAATTACCCTGGCCTCGATGCCGTTAACGTGGCTTGTAATGCCGTCGGAGCCGTCCCTGGCCAGAATTATGTGAACGGAGACTACTACATCAATACGGCATATAAGTATTACCACAGTCACAAGTGGCGCAATGTGGGGATCATCATCGCGATGATGGTTTTCAACCACATCGTCTACTTCGTTGCCAGCGAGTACGTCACGGCGAGGAAATCCAAGGGCGAGATCCTCGTCTTTCGCCGAGGCTTCGTTCCAAAGCACTCCACTAAGGGCGGCAGCGATGTGGAGAAATCTCTCACGGGGCCCGTCCACGCTGTCCTGGAGAAGCCGACCGAGTATGATTCCGGAAAGGAGGGCGCCTTTCAGGGCTCTACGAGCATCTTCCACTGGCGAAATGTGTGCTATGACATCAAGATCAAGGGGAAGCCCCGTCGCATCCTGGACAACGTCGACGGCTGGGTCAAACCCGGCACTCTCACGGCACTAATGGGCGTTTCTGGGGCCGGTAAAACTACTCTGCTGGATTGCTTGGCCGATCGCCGCGCTGGCGTCGGCGTTCTCACCGGTGAGATGTTGGTGGATGGCAAAATACGTGACGAGAGCTTCCAACGCAAAACCGGGTACGCTCAACAGCAAGACCTGCATCTCGAGACAAGTACCGTACGAGAGGTGAGTGCTCCCAGAAGCTAATCGCCCCCAGGATTTCCCAAAGGACCGGGAAGCTAACCCTGCTAAACAGGCTCTGAAATTTTCTGCTCTTCTTCGACAGCCCCACAATGTGCCGAGGGCAGAAAAGCTGGCCTATGTGGACGAAGTTATCAAGTTGCTTAACATGGAGGAGTACGCCGATGCCGTCGTCGGCGTGTTAGGTGAAGGGCTTAACGTAGAGCAGCGAAAACGCTTAACAATCGGGGTCGAATTAGCAGCTAAACCGCCGTTGTTATTATTCGTTGACGAGCCAACGTCGGGCCTCGATTCGCAGACCAGCTGGGCCGTCTTAGACTTGTTGGAAAAGCTGTCGAAGGCCGGCCAGTCTATCCTTTGCACGATCCATCAACCTTCCGCGATGCTTTTTCAACGCTTTGACCGTTTGCTTCTCTTAGCCGAAGGAGGGAAAACGGTCTATTTCGGTCAGTACTTGTGCAGCTTGTCGAAACCTTCCAACCACGTATCGAGAAATACTAATGCGTATTCGCGACGTAGGCGAGGTGGGCGAAAACTCCGAAACCCTCACCGGTTATTTCGAACGCAACGGCGCCAAACCGTGCCCGCCTGGCGAGAACCCGGCTGAGTGGATGCTAGAGGCTATCGGCGCCGCCCCCGGCAGCTTCTCCGAAACCGACTGGCATCAGACATGGCGTTCTAGCCCAGAGTACCAGGCCGTCCAGGAGGAACTAGCACGGCTTCGGGAGAAGGGAGATGGGCGGCCCTCCGTAGACGAGAAGCAAGACCCCGCCTCGTACCGCGAGTTTGCCGCGCCGCTCTGGGAGCAATTCATCGTCGTGACGCAGCGCATATTTGAGCAGTCCTGGAGAACACCTTCTTACATATACTCCAAGCTTGCTCTCTGCATTTTCACGAGCCTGTTTATCGGCCTGGTCTTCCTCAATGCGCCCCTAACTCGGCAGGGGCTCCAGAACCAGATGTTCGCCATATTCGAGCTGATGAGCATCGTCGGGCAGTTGGTGGACCAGCAGATGCCCAACTTCATCACGCAGCGCAACCTGTACGAAGTCCGCGAGCGACCCGCCAAGACGTACTCCTGGAAGGTCTTCATGGTCAGCCAGATCCTCTCCGAGATCCCCTGGAACTCGGTCGCCTCGGTTTTTATGTGGGCGCTGGTATATTACCCGGTGGGCTTCTATAAGAATGCGGAAGCGGCGGGGCAGGGCACGGAGAGGGGAGGGCTGATGTGGCTCTTGTTCTGGCAGTTCCTCCTCTGGGTGTCCACCTTTGCACACATGTGCGTCTCCTTCGCGGGGTCCGCCGACGAAGCCGGCAACACGTCAAATTTCCTCTTTGTTCTTATCTTCTTCTTCTGCGGTGTGTTGGCCTCGCCGGATCAGATGCCCCGTTTCTGGATTTTCCTCTACCGAGTCTCGCCGTTGTCGTACTGGGTCTCGGCGGTCATGGCGACCGGCCTGGCCAACGTCGACGTGACGTGCGCGCCGAACGAGTTCACGACGTTCGACCCCGTCGACGGCCAGACGTGCGGCCAGTACATGGAGCAGTACATTTCCACGTTCGGCGGCTACCTGCTGAACCCCAACTCGACGACTACGTGCAACTTCTGCACGATCAAGGACACCAACGTGTACCTGGAGCACATTAATTCCGAGTACGACACCAGGTGGCGCAACTTCGGTATTTTATGGGCGTACGTCGCCTTCAACGTCGCCGCCGCTATATTCCTCTACTGGCTCGCTCGGATGCCCAAGGGGAGAAAGCGAGTGTAGGTGAGAAGCGAAGGGCCTGATGTACGATTTAGCACACGATAACATACCTGCCCAGAAGATTGACGAGAGTAATTAGATAGCCTTCAGGTCGGATTTTCAACGGAGCAATACTACCAACACCCCTCATTCTCATTTCGCGGATTTAATCAGCCAGGGGGGAGCCAGGCACAACAGGGAGGAGATGCACAAACGGTGGTGACGCGCAAGAGATAGATAGACTCCCCTCAACGTAGATACAGATAAGACAAACGGCACGCTCCTAGGTGCAAATAGATATCATAAGCGGCACCTGGAAGAGCTGCTCGGGTTATCAAAGGAGAGATATGATCCCGTTCGCACCGAGAAACGCGGGCAAGATATGTGAATGTATTCGCGATGGATTTGTGGTAGTTGTTGTTTAGGTAGAAATATTTGAACCCGTGCGCTGAGAGGGCACGTCCAAGGTACATCGGATACCGTACCTGATGTACCTAATTGGTGGGCTTATGATTACGTAATACGGTCTTAAAAGGGGGCGGGGTAATAATGACGGAGCGATTACACATGAAGCCAATAGCCCCGCTTTCACATCTCCCCCGGTACAACGATTTAACGTGCTTGCAGGAGGTGTCATGCACATCGACTCGTATTGATGGTGTCTTGGGTATATATACGTACGCATCGGTGATGTGGCTATTTTACCGCCGTTATCTGAACGGGCGTACTCGTGTGTGGAAGCGCCTAAAATGGCAAATGAGGAGATCATGATATAAGTTCATAGGTTGGAATGACCGTATTATCTAACCCAGCTCTCTCAAGGCGCGGGGTCCTCACGCTACCGTTCCCGTGCATTCGCTCGCACCAGAGCGGTGTTCTAGCCCCCCCGGTCTGCGAGAATGGCAGTCTGTCTCCTCTTGACCCAGGTGGCTTATTTTGGAGTGAAGACAATATGCAGCGGGGGGACCCAGAGGGTCATCTTCTCCTTTTCCCCGGTCGCGAACGCGACCCCATCTTCTCCCGGCGCGAACACGATGTGGTATCGGAGCGCGATGCAACTTATTAGGATGCGAAGCTGCATCATAGCTAGCTGCTTGCCGACGCAGGCGTACGGGCCTCGCTGGAAAGAAATGTACGCGCTCTTGTCGGGCGAAAGCTTCTCCCATCTCTCGGGCACGAATTCGTCTGCCTTCTCGAAATAGCGAGGATCCCGCTGGACTGCCCAGGTAGGCACCGAGATGACGGTGTCCCCGGGTACGAACACCTCATCGATTTGGAGACCTTCCGGGGGTGTCTGCCGCAAGAAACCGATCGGAGTGGGGGGCCGAAGGCGTAAAGTCTCGTGGATTATGTAGTCCAGATACGGGACTGCCTTGGCCCTGTCGTAAGTCCACTCCTCGTAGCCCCCGGGGAATTCAGTTTCCATGAGATGTTGGATGATTTCATAGACACGGGGGTTCTTAGCCAAATAATAAAGCCTAGAGAGTATGCTTTCAGCAACGGGGTCGCGTGCAGGTGAGACGGGTGTTTACTCAGGGTGGACTAACGCATTTGTAAATGCACTTGCAACAGTGTCGCTTTGCCTTGGGTTAGTTTAGATAACCCAAAGACCAAGAGTCAGATACTAACCTTCCGGCCATGACGAGGATGCGAGAGTCCTCTTGCATCGCAGCCTCGGTCGGGGCACCTGTGTGGTCACGCTGCGCCTTGATAAGCCAAGACATCACGTCGTGAGGTTCGTAATCCTTATCGGCGGATATCGCTGAATCCAACGACCTTCGTTTGAGGTTAAGTTCCTCGCGACACCATCTCGCGAACTTGTCGAATTTCCCGGTGGCACCGGGGACTACCCTCAGCATGTTCATCAGCCACGGTATGGTAGTAAAGAGTCCTGCAATATCCAAAGCCTCGTGCAACCCGGCAACGGCAGGGTGCTCTTCGCCGGTCCTGTGATGCCACGTGTCGATCAGTCTCGACGTCGTTAAGACACGGGAAATAGCATGGAACGGGCTATTCAAGAGGCTTACGATGGATCGATAGCGTGAGTGCATACGAGTAACAGAGTGCCGGTGTTTAACTTACAGTAACATTTGAAAGTCTTTCGAGAATCCTATATCTCCCATGACATCGAAAGAATAAAACATGCCGTATTCGGTCATGTCAACCGGCTTGCCTGTTCCTATACGCGACAGGAGAAGGTCCACCTTAGCTTTCAAGCGGGTTTTATACGTACCCAGGGCTGAGATAGCTGTTACTTCGGGAAACATGCAGGGCGGGTTGTTTCACCGAACGTACCTCGAAATCCAAGCCCTCTATCCCAAGCCCTTCTTCGTAGCCTATGCTTCTCCTTATCGCGGACGCTCTGGACGGAGACCGCGTCGGGATCCCCCGAGTTCTGATCGTACCATGTAGCCTTCTTGCAGACGGATGACGAGCTATAGAGAAGGTTGATGGCCGATTCCCGAATCACGGAGAGTTCCCGTGGGCCGGTACGCACGAAGTCACCATAGCGCTGGTGCAACTTCTGGAGGTGTAGATGGTATTGCATGTTCGTACGTGCGGCTATAGTAAAACTTTTGCGTCCAGAATCAGCCCAGGAACAGGTAAGGATAGGAAGGGATTTCCAGGGCCTTGGTACGAGAAATGGTACATGTATTGGCACAGCGAAGAGTGATGGGTTCTCTCAATCATAAACCACATACTGATAAGCATTCGACAGTCGCGCGGCTGCCGGCCCTGGGAATTTTCTCAGGGGGTGGAAGAAGGCCCGGTATAGTAGCATGCTACCGTAGAAGCCTCCTAGGAAAGCCGCACCAGCCGCCCAGGTATGCAAGATTCCCTTTGTGACACTGAAGCTGGTCGATATCATGTAGCTCATGAAGAGAGACCCGACCAGACCCAGGTAGGCTAGCACCAATCCCCATCCGTAGTTGTCGACCTCAAATGGGCGAATCGTTTGGTGAAAGCACGCGCCTGTCAGGGCCGCGAAGCCCACCGTCACTCGCCACGACGACTCCAACACCGCACCTAGGCTTGTCATGGCAACGATACTCAGTAAGTTCGTAGAAAGGTGAAATCTCTTTCTTCGCCCGAGGAACCCGCCAGGGGAAGGAAAACGCAGAATTAGGATCTACTTTTCGCCTTACTAGGCGAGACCGTTCCTAGGACTAGGTAGGTATATGAATAGCCTTACTCAACCACGTAACACCCTCGACGAGAAATGTCCACAGATATCCCTCAGTACACAGGATAAGCCAACCCCGCCTTCCCCTGCGGTGCTCGGGATGTATTTCCACATCAAATACTCTCCGAAGATTACTCGGCGACTTATTCGCGCGGAAAAAAAGAGAGCGCATTTGATTGGTGTGGGTTTCCGTTTCGACAGCGAGGGGGTTCGATGCGTGGTGCTATTGGATGAGTTTTGTAGGACTTTCGCTCGCCTGGCGCATTTCTCGTTTGGCTTGATCATAATAGCAGAGCCATACAGTGATGATAGTTAAGACACGGCATGGATTGTGTTGCGCAAGAGGTAGGTAAAGTATCAACGATGATTTCACCCTTTGAAGAACGAGTTGCATTGACGTTGAGGCGCGAAAGCGTCGATATGAAAAGAAACGTCGAACCACTCTGCCACCTCGCGTAAAAAACAGGCCCTACGCGTACGAAAAAAAATGATAACAGTTCTAATGATATAACCGTTACCTAGCTTAAAGAAAGTGAAAAAATGTGAAAAGAAAGGATGGGTTTGTTCTCTTGGCCCAGACGATGGATGAAGCCCCAGTTGTTGTCAAGTTCGTAGATGCTTGAAGACCCCGATCTCGTTCTAACCTAAACAGTTCTATAATAAAAGTCGTCCCGGGCCGGGTAATGGAGTAAGGCGGTATTATCATTGGGCATTACAGTCGAGGTGTCGCAATGCTGCGCTCTCAGCCATGATCATTACGAGCGTTGAACATTCGGTAGAATGTGCGCGACCTGTAAATATATATAAATTCAGAACCCAGAACGAAAGACTTAAAAGAGAACCATTCCCATCTTGCTATTATCTATCCATTCGTCCTAAAAGGTAAGCTGAATGAGAGGATCGTTCAATCGCCGTTAGACTCGTTATATCGTATGGGGTTCGTGGTCCTTCCATTCAGAAAAGCTAACTGGCGCGGCCACGGCGTCCTCGTGGGATTTTCAGAAATTGCTCCGCTAGGAATGGCACCAGCTATTTTGCAGAAGGATCCGTATCGCGTCTTACTTCGAACGTCGCCACGGATGGGTTAGGGGTGGCTTCACGACGCCCAAGGTATTGGAACAAGAACACAAGTCAATGACGCGGCAGGGTAGTGACAGGCACGACGGTCCGGGCTGGCGTTAACTAGAAACTTCCGACCAACCGTTAGATTGGGGCTGAAACGAGTAGGTACATCAAATTGCTTCTATTTTGCGCCCCTTATCAGATCGAGTTGATGGCTCTACCGTCACCTCATGCCCCTTACCTTGTTTGGAGCTTTAGCATTACTCTTGAGCGATACCTGGTGCTTACGTCAAGAGGTTAAAGTGCTTATATTTTCCCGTATCTTCATCATATATTATTAGTCCTTGGCCTGTGGTGAAGGCCGTTTTAAGCGTTTCGTTGCCACCTGCATTCTGGGCAGACTGTTGGCTATCATATAGGAAGAGCGTAGGGGGGCTGGAACCGCGACTAAAGAAAGACCACGGCTTCCAATAGCTACCCTAGGTGTCGATTAACTACTAATGGTAGTTATTTAGATGGTGGTGGTCCGTAGCTGGGTGGCCTCTGAAAAAGAGGGGTGGTTAGCTTATCAACATTATTTTCCGACGTTAGAGCAGAACCTTCTTGGTTAATAATGTCGCAGACAGCCATGTCACCATTAGGCAGCATTTACAACTAGTTTCTAAGCTTTGCCACTAAGATTAAGGAATGAAAGTCGTGTACATCGATTGCCGTGAAAGTCTATGGGTTTGCGGGTGGTGAATGAATCGATTATTCCGTGCTTTTCATGGTGCTCCAGTGTCTCGAGTTGCCTCTCCCACACAATCTCCCGTAGCAGATTACTGGGATTATCGCCTTATGGAGACTGGGAGAAATATAAGCGAACGCATTTGACTCTTTGATCAAAGATGGCTGGATGGCGGTGCAGCCATCGCCGACACTAACAGGTTCGGGTCACGTATAAAAACAACCTTCGTTATATGCCTACCTGTCTAAATCGGAAATATGATATATTGATTAAATTATGTCACTGCGAAGAATATATGCCCGTATGGGTTGAGATGAGGGTTTGTCAAGATTCATAGATCCGGAAACGATTATGCCGCTCTACTAGTTCATTATAAGCACTCGTTGGGCAAGACGGACGTCTTTGACAATCTTATGTTCCTGTTCACCCCCCGTCTTCGGTCCAAATCGAACCGTGTTCCAAATCAAAATCGAGTCTCGTTGCGTAGGAGGAAGTCTAGTTTGCCCGAGAGTTTGGACCATCAATTGGTCCGGCGAGACTTCACTTGGTGTAATATCTGCGCCAGTAAAGGAGTACAGGAATGGCAATGGTTTCTCTACACTAGACTTGGTTTATTTCGTTACGTCTGGATTTTGGCTGCTCGTTCTCCTTGCACTAAATAGATGCCGTCCTACTCCGATGAACGCCGGGCCATCTCCCGCAACAACCAAGTGAGTCTCGGTTTGGATGGGTCAAAACTACGAAGGTATTCTCCCTATTCACGCTCAAAGACATCGTGCTTCAGTATCTACCAGCAGAGAGACTAGGACGAGCTATCTGCCGGGAATCATAAACTACGCCGGTTAACCGTATGTTTTCGAAGTGGTATCCTGCGTAATCCTTAGTATTATGTAAGAGGCACTGGCATTCTATGGAGACCCGATGAGCGGTTCCTCTGATACGTCGTTTTACGCTATTACTCAGCCACATCGTCTTGGACACAAGGATTAATAGGGATTTTGCGGATGATCAAATGACCCCGGGGACGTCCTAGTCCCTGAAGCTGATCTGCCCCTTACGCGCCTATATATCAATATATTACTCCGAATAGCAAGGAGGGATAGCCGACTCCGAAGATAATTCCACCGATATAATAACTCCTGCTGGTCTTGTAGCAACTGATCTATCCGCCAGAGAAGGACATACGTCGGACCGATAGGACGTCCGTGTGCCATCCGACATCCGATTCTACTCCGATAGATAGCATCCTTCTCGTAATTCATGCCGGTGTCTGTGTGTCAGCTGGTAGCTGTGTGGCTGGCGGCTGGCGGATCGTGAGACAGCGTTAGCGTGTCTAGCTAAATCTAGACCTTACAGCTGTCTGTCGGCTGTCGCTAGGCTACCGGCTTACTTGGACCCCTGCTGAAACTCCTGAACCCCTTAAACGATGAGATCTACTATAATCCTACGACAAGGACTACAGTGTCTTCTCCGGTGTTGGCGAATCCTACCAGGAGGGTCGAGCGAATTAACCGCTTTCTCGCATCGTTAAATCACGCCAATCGGATTTCGAGCTGGTTCGATTGTCCGTACAAACGAGCTACGCAGGAGCGAGACGGTAGAAGTAGAATTGTCTGCTTGGCCGCGTCTAAACCACGATCACGCCGCGCCGCGAGGCAACACGCGCCCGTCCTCGAGCTCATGCAACGTGTTCGACGCGATTTCTCTGGGCGGGAAATTCCTGCTCCATTCTATTTTCACGCATGAACATGCGAATATCAGGCCATCGGTACCATGTTTTTGAAACGCCGTGCCTGTATAAGGAGCCATGTATAATGAACCATGATAAATACAGCTTGTGCTTGGCAGTTCTACCAAAATATCCCGTATCCAACTTCGGCAAATATTAAATACTACAAGCATCTAAGCCCACTTCTCCTCCCAAAGGGGGAAGGCGGGAGAATAAAAATATTCGAGCGTGGGATGGAATCGTTGCAGTATGCTAGGTAGCCGATCCCACCTCTTCGTCGGCATTGAATATCCTCTGCTTCTAGAACCTCTGGAAGAAAGCTACCTCGGCATCGCGCAACCTTTGACCGGCTTCCACGCTGTAAACTAGGTCGAAACCGTGCGGCACGTCCGGGTAGAAGTCGAAATGCACATCGACATCCGCTTTGGAGAGCCTGTTAGCAAACGCAGCGTCCTCATCCCTGAACAAGTCCAGGTCGCCGACGCTAATGAGGGTAGGCGGCAGTCCTCTCAAGTCCTTGGCCCTAGCTGGCGATGCGTGGTACGGAATGCTGCAGTCAGATTTCCCCTCTGTCCAGGTGCGTTAGTAGCTGACGAGTCCGATTTGCCTCTACTCGATGCCTCCCGGGAAGTAGAAGGGAATGGAGATGGGGATGGGGGGCTTAGCTCACCTCTTATCTTGGAAAGATAGCTGGTCCAGCCGGTGATGTTGTCGTCGAGGGTCCAGGTAAAGGAGGACCACCGCGGGTCGGTCTCGTTCACGTACGTCCTGTCGTCGAGCATGGGATACCGCAGGACCTGGGCGGCGATCGGCGGATTCAACCCCCTATCGCGCGCTAGCAGCGTGAGGCTGGCTGCGAGCCCGCCGCCAGCGCTGGGGCCCAGGACGACGATCCGCGCAGGGTCTATGTTCAAGCTGGCTGCGTTTTCGTGGAGCCACAGCAGCGTCGCGTAGACGTCGTCGATCGCGGCCGGGTACGGGTTCTCAGGGGCGATGCGATAGTGTGTCGCGAAAACCTGGGTCTGGGACTGCGACGCGATGGTGGCAATGAAGGGGCGCTGGACGGCGACGGAACCGGCGATCAACCCTCCCCCAAAAATGTACAAGACAGCTCGGTGAGGCTCGCCCGAGTTATCCTGCTCGACTGCTCTGGGTAGGAAGCGAGCGATCTCGACGGTAGCGCCGTCCGCCGAAGTCGTGGAATGCGTGGTCTCGATCAAGTCCTCCGGGTACGGGAACGTTTGGGAGGCAGCCTCTACGCCCGCGTTACCCTCACGCCGGATCTTGAGGGCCTTCTCCCAGATCTCGGGGCTCATTGGCGGCAGCCCCGGGTTTGCTAGATGGGGCACCGGGAACAGTAGCAGGACTGTAGAAAATAACGTAGTGTACCGCATTGTGAGGGCTCGGTTCGCTTAGCGGGGGTAGGCTCGGTAGAAGAGAGAGGGTTGTTGGCGAAGAGAGAAGGGTTCTGACGGGAGGATTCGACTTAAATAGAGAATCGGCCAGCCAGGCGGAAGTACATGTGTGGAGACGGGAAGTTATTTGGGATAAAGAAATATCGTCAACAATATCCAAATTGGAATTTTTATATTTGGTATTAATACTACTCTACTCCTTAAACCTGGCCCCGCTGTCGTCGATCTTTGAAGACACACAATGTGAGGAACGGGTGCCCCAGTTGGTCATATGAGAGGCTACCATACCTGGGAGGTCGTGCCGTCCGCTAGACCAATATTTGCGGATACTCGAGAGTATGTGTAAGTGATACGATTGTCACATATACCTACGACTGCCCGTACTGCTCAATTCGTCCTTCCGCGGACATGGGGTGGCCTCTAGACCTAATAAGATGAATTACCAGCACAGATACTGCAGTTCCGAGCTTCCCCCTCGTCCTGTCAAGACCCCGGACCTGCGGTGTTAAGGGGCGGGAGGACGAGATGGCAGCGGCGTGCTGTTCACGCTACTCGAGAATAGCAAGTCATGTATGAAATAGGCACCCGCGCGGGTAATCACCATGAGATGTTGTTATGCACGCCGTGTCTAGGTTGATGGACGGCGTATTGTGTACCAATAGACGAGGACAAGACAGCCTTGGCTAGAGAGCCAGCGGTGGTGTGTATACTGTTACGATGCTCCACACCTCCATAAAGCTGTTCGCTATGAAGGCTGTCATAAGAACAGGTTAGAAATTGGTGCCTTTAGGTAGGTAAGCTGATGTTGGAGTATTAATTAACAAGCCTTGGCGTTTGGACTGTAACGCCGTTCAAATAAGTAATTCTAGAGATAAAAGATGGATCTTGTAGTTCTATTAGAAGAGGAACTGGTAAGACAGTAATCTGAGGTATTGTAGCTCTATTGACACAATACCTCACACGCTTCTCATAATACGCCCCGAGAGAATATGTCCGCCTAAGCTCCTGTCTTTGGCAATGCAGATCTGGGTCTACAAAATTTCCACCGTGGTAGCGTTTGGGAACCACGGAGGTTGGATGTCAAATACGATATTCCGTATAATAAATGCGTACAACAAGCACAAGTTTCCGATCGTATCGCCGCCTGCCCGTCCATGCCTACTAGCCAGTGCCTGCCTAGTATTATCACGTAGTGCCTCCTATCCAATAACACCCATTCAGTGCTCACCAGGTTTGTTATACGTTGAATTTCCCGCTCTGTACGCGTAATATTAACAGCAGCCAAGAGCATCAAGGCTGTGCGTTCGTCAAACATACCTAATCGTCCGTGCCAACGAACTCGGTAGGTTTTAAGATTGGGTTGATACCGGGGTGAGCCCACGGAGCCGCATAATAGAGGTGGCGTAATGCTGGTAAAGGGTATCGGAGGGTTTCCCTGACCGCTATTATAAGTTTCCGTGCCCACCCCCGTTCGACATTCCATCTAGACTCGGATCACCCTGTAATATTCCTTCCGAGTACGCACCCTCGTCTGGCACTTAGCACTATCCCCTGATAGGTACGTTATCGTATGTAGGTACATAGGTGTTGATATCTGTATGAGTAAACGGATATGTGGATGGTGAAACAACGCAAGGGAGGCCGGTAGGTAACGGCAAGGCCTCTTCTTCCCCGGACAACCGGCATCTACTGCTAGGTACCTAAGCTCTAATTCGGCGACCGCCCATTGCCTCTAATTACCTAACTCACTCTACTCTTTGAGCACAAGGACCCATGATCGATCGACGGCAGTCGAGGAACGGCTGAAGGGAGTCGACCAAGAATCGCCTTTTCCGGAATTGGCCCCTTTTCGGCCCCCGTAATAACCGTTCCTCCCTCCCTGCGGTCGAGCGGTCGCTTGGTCTGCCTGGGCGCTCACTCTCTAATCAACAACAGCAGCCCCCTATGCATTCCCTGTTCTTGATTAGCGAGGCCTTCACATCCAGACTACAGGGACAGCCCCATTCGACAAAAGGTGTTCATTGCCAGCGCATTCTCTCAAAATCCAGCAGGTCGGAACGTTACTCCAGGGGGGGCGGTCTCCATTTCCACTCTGCCGTCAGCCGAGCAGGCATATCTGCTGACCCCACCCCAGACACGCCATCACGCGTCGGCGCTCAGCTGGAGCTCCCGCACCCGCTTCTCGGCCTCCTGCGCCAGCCCCGGGTCGTACAGCCAGCGCAGCTCGCCGCCGTCGCCGCGTGCGCCTAACGCGAGCAGCACGGCATGGAGCTTGTGGTCGTCCTTGCGCAGCGCGTCCCATCCCGCCGCGTCTAGCTCGGCGAACCGCCGCTGCGACCCGACGAAGAGCCCCGACCAGTCCAGCTTCTGCGGCACGAGCAGGAAGGCGCCCGGCTTCGCCATGACCGTCGCCGGCAGGCTGTAGCCCTCGGGGCTGCGGAGCTCGGACCTCGGCACAACGCTGTTGATGCCGTAAGTGCAGAGGATCGACCGATGGTAGGGATTGGCGCCGTGAAACTTACAGCAAGACTATCGCCAACAGTTGCCACTTCAGAAGGAGCAGCGGCGAACGACTTGATGAGGATGGTTGCACGAGATAGAAGATATAGGACCCCGACATTTAGGTAAAGTAGAATGTGGACGTAAGCGTAATAGCGGCGTGTTGTGGTGGAGGGTACGAAGATGAGAAGGATGCGATAAATGGGTCGTGGATGTGCGTCCGCCGAATGTAAGCGAAGGATAGGCAACAGAAGAGAGGGCGAGGAGAAGATGTACTCTTACTTACCGCCTCGTTTAGAGGTCGACCGCGCTGACTATTACTCCCCAACGTTGCCGAAGTGGACGGTCTCCGGTCCGAAGAGTGAAGAACGCGGCTTGTCTAAACACTCATGTCGGCAGTTTTTTATAGAAGATCTGGTTCCGAGTCCTGTTGCCAGCGTGTAGTGTCAGTTGACGTCTTACATACGTTACTCAACCCGAGTCCACGCGCATGTACGTCTACCTTGGCGAGCTGACACTCGCATCGGCCAGCAAATACCGGCACGTTCGGAAGCGCGCTGCCAAGAAGTGCTATTTGTGTCTATCTTTCCCGTATAGAAGTAGTGGGCATATTATTTGTTGAATTCGGCCTCTCACGCCTACGCCACATGGCATACCACGTGGAACAACTAGCCCAATGCACGCCGTCGGAGTTATTAATGGCCTAAATCGTGAATGGCGGACGATCTCAGCTGGGGTATCGAGGCCTGGCTTACAGAAGTCTAAGTGAGGATCGGATGAATCGTACATACGGGCGAATCGATGACAGACATCCCGTCAGTCTAGAGGCGTGGTAAGCTTACATGTGATAATATTACGGCCAGTTTCAGATCGAATCCGGCTCATCGCGTGGCGAACAACAGCATACCTACTTCTAAGATAGGAAGATGCTAAACCGAACAATGCCAATCTATCATGACTTAATAGGTCTACCAGGCAGGTTTTCGAGTCCACTTTTAGACGGGATGCTCGCAGTCTGCAGCGGTAGTCACGTTGCTCCGTGGGCAATCGTGATGGCGGTCGCGTTACCTACGACGGCGTACAGGCCTCAATATGGATTATCCCGAGGATGTCCGTACAGCGTGAAAATAACACTGTATCTACGAGAACGGAATCTAGTTGGCTTCCACTCTATGTCCTCAACCCCAGGAATAGTAGCGTCAGGACGGACGGGGAGTACAAACTGCCTACCAGTAAAGCAAGCCTGGTTGACGATACCGAATACACCCTTACGGAGGAGAAATACACCGTGGGAGTGTCTTACGTAGGAACCAAGACCAGGGCATCAGCTTCATGACAGGATCGTGGGGAACAGAGGCATTAGTATCGTAGGGAGTCTGTAAGCACTCTCAAGGCGGGGCAACAGCAAAAGTACCAAGATTCCTAATCGGGTATATTCGCAGACTGTCATTCTAACCAGCCACACCGTCGCTACAGTGCCTTTAGGGGCGCGTTCAGTCCCCGCTCTCCAGCCACGGGCCCGCCCAAACAAGACGACGGATCGACACGCGCAACGCGCACCGCGTTTCCCTCTCCCGCACCACTTGCAACGACCCTCCGCATAATCGCAACCCTCGCCCTCGCCGGGCCCTCCCTCACTTCTTCTCCTCCTTAGCCTCCGCCGGCCACTTATGGCGGGAGCCGGGGTGGTCGCTGCGCAGGCGGGGGCCGCGGCCGTCCTGGAAGTAGTTCTCGCGCGTGGTGGCGGCGGCGTAGTCGGCCCAGAAGACGCCGCGGGCGCGCAGCTCGGGCAGCAGCCAGCGGACGACGTCCTCGAAGTCGCCGGGGCAGACGGCGTAGGAGAGGTTGAAGCCGTCGATGCCGGCCTTGTCGACCCAGGCCTGCAGGGTGTCGGCCACCGTCTGCGGCGAGCCGACGGCGCGCGCGTGCGCCCCCCCCACCGCCAGCTCCTCCGCGATCCGCCGCTTCGTCCAGCGCGCCCCCGCCGTCCCCGGTACCGTCGCGCTCCACGACGCGATCAGGCTCTGGATCGCGCCCGGCCCCGCGAACGCGAAGTCCGCGTCGTCCGCCCACCCGTCCAGGTCCACCCCCGTCCACCCGCCGAATAGCGCCATCGCGCCCTCCAGGTCCGCCTGCCGCCGGTACTCGGCGTACTTGGCCTCGGCTAGCGCGTCCGTCTCGTCCACCACCACGAGCATCCCCGCGATCAGCTTGATCGTCGCCGGGTCCCGCCCGCTCTCCCGCGCGAGCCGCCGCACCTCGTCCGCCGTCCGCCGCACCGCCGCCGGCGTCATCCCCGGCAGGAACATGCACTCGGCGTGCCGCGTCGCGAACGCCATCCCCGCGCGGCTCGCCCCCGCCTGGAAGAGGAAGGGCGTCCGCTGGATCGACGGCTCTGTCGTCAGGGGCCCCGCTGACTGGAAGTAGTGTCTGCAACAGAGAGCCGTCCCGCCAGCGGCCCCCTGAGGTCAGGACGAGCAAGGTAGGCTGGAGAGAGGCGAGAGAAGGACGAGAAGAGAAGCAAAATAGGGCGTGTGTGGAGACTTTGGCTTACCCCTCGTGATTGATCTTCCGCACTCGGCCGGGAACGGTGTACTGCTTCGTCTCGGTGTCCATGACGACGGCGTCGTCGTGCCAGGAACCCTCCCACAGCTGGTAAGTGAGGTCGACGAACTCTTCGGCGATGCGGTAGCGCTCGTCGTGCTCGATCTGGGTGGGCAGGCCGAGGTTGCGCGCCGCCGGCTCGAGGTGGCTCGTGACCACGTTCCAGGCGACGCGGCCCTTGGTGAAGTGGTCGAGCGTCGCGAACCGCCGCGCCAGTAGGAACGGGTTCTCGTACGTCGTCGACGCCGTGACGCCGAACGACAGATGCTTCGTCGCCGCCGCCATCGCCGAGACTGCCAGGCTTTTTTTGTTTTTCATCCCGTCAGCGGGTCTTGCATAAGTGAGTCGTTTCCCGTCAACACTTACAAGGGGTCATTCATCGGGAACTGGGCGGCGCCGGGGAGGCTCGGGTCGATGTTGCCATTGCCCTTGTAAACGCCGTAGTGGCTGAGGACATCCGCGATGAACAGGCCGTGGAACTTCCCCTCTTCGAGGATCTTGGCCAGGTTGACCCAATACTCGATATCTTTATACTGCGAGGCATGGTTGCGCGGATGGCTCCAGAGGCCTATTTTTAAGTGTCAGCATCCAGTACCTTTCCTATTCTCTGTCCTTCGTTCTACCACAGCCTGTCGAACCAGCATGCCATACCCGGGGCAAGATGACCAGGGGTGCTCATGGAAAATGCATTTAAGATCCATTGTTTCGGCCGGGGCCCGTCGACCTCGTCGGACATGGTGGCTTTTCGCAGCACGGTGGCGCTGCTGGGTAGCAACACGGTGACGGGCGTCCAAACAGAAAACGCATCCAAGGAGCCCAACTGATCGTGCCAATGACGCCTTGACCGTCAATTTCAGGATCGGAAGTCCACGTCTTCCTGAAATCTGTGTTTTTGTCTTCCTTCTCTCATAGCGGAATTCTGCTTCCTGGCTGATAAGACGGCGGCACGGCAACCCACTCAGGCTATCGCGCTCGCTCCGAATCCGGACATGGCGAAGCCGCCGCGATTCGGATTCCGGTCACGCCATCAATTCGTCTCAAGATGCCATTTCCTCCGTGTCCAATCAGGCCGGATGTGCCGCAGGCGTGTACGATAGGTCGGGACGCCTTCGAACGCTGCCGAGGGCGATCCAACGGTTCGGCAGTCTGTTACCGGCGATAGTCTCGCTTGCAACGATCCGGTACCAGCGCGACGGCACGACGGCAGTGCATGGGCATTTAATGCCCTGGCTTATCGATGAGAGTGCCCTTGGCATAGATACGGAACGTCGATGGTGCCCCAGGTCATATCCCCCTACAAAGATGTAATGTAACCCTTGTAGCTGTAGTACAGATGTGGCGTGGTTGGTGACGCCTTCGCGCAGCGACAATGCGCGGAGATGGGGCGCGAGTGTGGTATCTGAAGGGGGGGGGCCGTAGATCGCTTCCTGCTCTCATAAATACATCAAGGAACATCGTAGCCATCTTGGAGATCTCGATCGGAGTCGCATTGGCTTAACGCCTTCTCACAATGTCTGGCCAAGTGCATCCCCCCTTGCCTCAAGGCGCCGGCTACGGCGTCGTCGTCGGGTTCGGTGTCGCTTTCGCCCTAGGTATGGTATAGCACTTACGGGGCAGTGGGAGTGAGCCTCGATACCGAGAATTCTGATCTGACCCTTGCTGTGTAGGTATGATCTGGGTTACCAAGGCCTTAAAGAAGTCGTTCAATGAAGACAACAAATCCACCGAAACGTATGTCTCCGCTCGTGTCCGATTGTACGCCTATTCAGCCGATAGCTAATACTGGCGGCATCATGCTAGATTCATGGTCGCCAATCGTACCGTCGGCACTGGTCTGACGGCATCGGCGGTGATATCCTCCTGGCTCTACAGCACCGCCCTCCTTGGAGCCTCGCTACTGACCTATAGGTACGGTCTGGCGCTTGGTGTGTGGTGGGGGGCATCGGCCAGCACAATGGTGTGCTTCTTGTCCCTCCTCGCCATCGAGGCCAAGCGCCGGGCGCCCAACGCGCACACCCTGCTGGAACTGATTAGGGTGCGGTACGGGACCTTCGCCCACCTGCTCTGGATCGTGTTCTGTCTCCTGACCAACGTCCTGAACTTCACGGGCATGCTACTGGGGGCCAGCGCTGCTGTCACATCTCTGACCGGGATGGACGTCATTGCCAGCACTTATCTCCTGCCAGTGAGTTGATACATCGCAGGAGTGGGAGGTCTTCCGGGGGGGATGAGATGTCGTTTTACTGCGATCAGCTCACAACAGGGCCGTTCGACTAACGTAGACGTGCTTAGCTCGGTGTGGGCGTTTATACATACTTTGGCGGGCTCCGAGCCACATTCCTCACCGATTTCTTGCATACTTTTATAATCATGATCATTCTGGTCTGGCTGATGATCAAGATTCTCGTAGCTAAGGAGATTGGGTCGATTGGGGCTCTATACGACGCAGTGGTCGCGGCCGACAAGATCCGCCCAGTGGCGGGCAACTTTGAGGGCTCACACCTGACCATGCGGAGTGAGCAATGCCTGTACTTCGGCATCCTTCACGTCATGTATGTCTTGTCTGTGATATTTACGGATGCGGGCACCACTGACCATAAATGTCTCAGATCGAATTTCGGCGCTGTCATCATGGATACTGGGTTCTGGCAAAAAGTAACCATCAACTCCTGTTGTACGACCACCGCCACAGAACACTGACCTGGGAATATAGGGATTCTCTGCGGATGTTGCCGCCGCTGTCCCTGGCTATGTCCTAGGGGGCGTCGCGTCTTTCTCGGTCCCGTGGACCGTGGGAACCTTCGGCGGCCTCGCCGCTGTTGCCCTCGAATCAACCCCTGCTTTTCCCACGTACCCTAGGGTGAGCCAGAAACACGATAACCTCCCACGACATCATAGCTAACACACTCTCGGTAGTTGATGACCACGGAGGAGGTCAGCTCGGGGCTAGTCTTGCCGTACGTTGTGCAGGCGGTTACTGGAGCCGGCGGTGCTGGAGCGTTACTGATCACAATATTCATGGTCAGTGGATACCCATACCCAAGCTCCCCTCGGGATGCTCAATAAATGGGTTGGAGTTCTCATCATGGCGGATGCATAATAGGCTTGCACCTCTGTCGCGTCAGCCCACATGATAGCTATCAGCTCTATCATATCGTTCGATATCTACGGGACGTACATCAACGAGAAAGCTACCGACAAGCAGCTGATTAGGTGGTCGCACATCGGCGTCGTCGTCACGTCTCTCGTAATCCCCTCGCTAGCGACGGCCTTCGATCAGGGCGGCGTTGACATGACCTGGCTGCTCTACGTGGTCGGCAACATCACGAATCCGGGATGTTTCCCAACCATATTTGCCCTCCTATGGAAGGGGCAGACCAAGGCCGCCGCAATCACGGCGCCCATCGTCGGCGTCTGCTGTGCGGTCTCCGTCTGGCTCGGCACCGCGTATGCCTACTTTGGCGAGATCTCCATCGCGTCTACCGGTAGCACGATGCCGTCCCTCTTCGGGTGTGTCACCGCCTTCTTCGTCCCCTTGCCTGTGTCGTTGCTCGTGTCGTTGGCCCGGCCGAGTTCTTTCGAATGGTCCGTGTTCAGACGGCAGATTAAGAAGGTCCGCCAGTCGGAGGGAGAAAAAGCAGAGAACCAGGAGGACCCGGAGTCGTGGTTCACCCCGGAGAGGAAGCAATACATGAAGAAGATGACCAGATGGGCCATATTCTGGACCATATTCACACTCCTGGGGCATTTCTTCCTTTGGCCATTCGCTATGTACGGTGCGAAGATGGTTTTCTCAAAAAGCGTAAGCTTCACCTCTTCCCCTCTCTGTTCATCCATGGGCGGCCCTGAGCTGACACTCATGTGTGTAGTTATTTACAGCATGGATCGTGGTCTCCCTCATTTACCTCTTCTTCACGCTTTTAGTCAGCAACATATATCCCCTATACGATGGCGGTATCCGGAAAATATGGACAGTCGTTACCGGGAGGGCGTCTCGTAAAGGCGAAACCAGTATCGAGGGGCAACTGGAAGCATCGGATGGATCCTCTGACACCCCGCCGGCAAAGCAGGCGAGTGTCGAGACGAAGGTGCTCGAGGCCTGACGGAATACCGGAGAAGGCTGAGTTGTCTTTTGACATTGCATGGTGGACATAGGCTAGATGGTATTATGAATGGTTGGGTATGAAGCCACATGGTAACGAGTTATCCAATGTTCTAGATATATCCATCATAATGGATCGCAACCCCCCCCCCCTCACAGATAGGCTCGATGGGAGAAAGGAGAATAGTAGGTAGAATATAAATCAAACACAGACTTTCTGACGTGTTCCGATATGCGATGGTCAGGGTTAAGTCGAGCCGTAGTCTTCGGCTGGGTTCTTGAAACAGATACAACGTGCGATGCACACCACAGTCGTAGGGAGGACATTCATCCCTCGATCACGGCCAGAGGTTGAGTAGTTTCTGCCAGTGCTTCCTCCGCTAGGGCTTCATCGTCTCGAGCCCCGAAAGACAGACTGGTTGCCCTTAGAGCACCCGCGTCCCGAGCTGGGCCCTCCGGACGAGGTTTGATTGCTGGTCCGCCGCGTACCTCCCGCACTGATGCCGGGAACGCCCAACATTCCGGTCGCGCCACACCAGGTACAGTGTATACGGCTACGTCAGTGTCTATGTCAGCATCGCCTCTTATTGCGAGTCTTCCTACTAGGACAGCAGTGACGTGGAGTAGACATACTCTCTCGGGTTTCCTTTGCAGTTCGGGCACAAGGAAGGCATGTCGCGGTTTGGTCCGAGACCGAATAAAGCTCGATCTTCCTCCGAAGAATAGGGGTTCTGATAGCACCCGTGCGAGCCTTGCATTTGTTGGGCCATGGCTAATAAGGGGGTTTGATCGAGAGAAGTACGTCGGTTTAGGTTGCTTTTACCGTGTGCTGGGATTCATCCTGGGATTCAGTCTCTCAGCGGCGGGAGGCCGTCGCTTATGATTTATATGGATATCAAGAGTGCCACCCCGGTGTGTCAGATAACATTACGGACTCGCCAGACCCAAGATCAAGGGAATCCTAAGTTTCTCAGGGCTCACCGCTTCGTACAAGGCCGTCTAGTCCCACTACACTGCATCTTGAAACCGGCCACAAAGGAATGCTGTGGGGAGCGTGATTGGGCAAGGGAATAGCGTCGAGGCCCTTCCCGATAGCCTTCGAAGCGTTGAGATAGTGGAAGTTTGCGGTATGCCATCCTGGGGTTGGGGCATACTCCAATCGCGTCTTGGAGCTGGGATGTAAAGGCGTGCACCGGCTAAGGCTCGTCATACTCGGAGATTATGTTTCGAGGTTTCCTGGTACCTGACACGAGATCTGCGGATAGCACGAATCGAGATACGGTATTCTCGAGACCGTAACACGTCCCGACTTTTTGCTTCGTTACGGAGCCACGCTCGTAATCCGGTGCTTGTCGGCGCCCCGAGGAACATTCCCGCTCCCGCCACCCCCTTATCCCGTCTGCCCCCCGGATATTTTTAATTATGGTCAACTCGTCGGAAGACGGCCAGCCTCCAACTTCTTGAATGCCCAGTGCAGCCCTAGATTTAGATTCGGCACCCACCCACCCCACTGCGCAGCCCATTTTCGGATAATGGATAAGGAGGATCCCGGGTCTGAGGTAGCTGTATATGCATCCTGTAGCTATCCGAGCCGTATCTTATGGTGACATGCCCCCCGGCAAACCCGCAGAAGCCACGTAGCTGACTAACACACAGTTTGTACCCCCCAAGTCCCGGGAATCATGTTGCATGTGGAGTTTCTCGCGAGCCCGCAAGGGCGGCATCTGATATGACGTTCGCGTGATCGCGAGGTTGTGAAAGGATTCCTAGGTCCAAAGGAATTGTGGGATATCGAATTTGCAAGGGGGGAGGGGGGGTGGAACGAAATCACGGCCCGCGCTCACGAATATACACTCTTCGTTCCGTCACATAGACGCGAACCGGCCAGTTGGACACGAGAATTACGCGTCGGATCCGTCAAAGCCACCAGAATAGTGACGAGGTTGATGGTATCGAGAACGGCGTAAGCGTCATCGCAAAACCGGGGTCTGTGGTGGGAGGAGATCAACCCAGTCACACATTATAATGAATCCCTGGCAGCCTCAGGAGCACCTGGATAGACGCATGCTGCCGTCGATCGCGTGTCTGTTGCCGGTTGAGTAACCTTCGGGTTCAGGAAAAGTGACCTTGGTTCAGCTCTGCAGCTCGTATGGGTACCAGTAGACTGCCCGGCTCGCTTCATCCTCGAAGCGCCGTAAAGTCGCGGCACTGGGATTTCCGCTCATGTTCCCCATGGTAGGCCATGTTACTCTCTGTACTCACCCGCTGGTGGTCCCCTTCCGCTGGAGTATTCAGTATCTGGCTCGGCTGTGTCCCTTGCACGACACGCTTATTCTCACTTCCGGCTGACGCCAGGTCTGATTGGCCCTCAGGCTTGTAATGGATATATCGGACGTCTTCGTTTATCGCAAGGCTAGGGCCGGTAACGGGCATTGCCAAGCCCTAGGTTCATCCGACGACAACGTAGGATGAATGCTCTGCGTGGTGAGCCAGCGCGGACCGGAGAAGCGCCGGCGAAGGGTATGACAGATAAACATCCACCTAGCCCTACCATAGCCCCTTTTTTCCAACCCCCCCAACGGACAGTGATACGAGCTTAAAGTACGCCTGCCTCGGATACACCCTACCCATATCAATTAGAGATTGTTGTTTCTTTACCTAGTTTCACCGGATAGCCGTATCGTGCTCGCTTAGCAGAGCCATTGCTAAGCCGGACTGCGTCGGCTAGAGTAACAGTACGCGAGCCTCAGCTTGTCCTGTACCTGGTCCGGTATGACTTTGCTGTATGTGTACCAGCCGCAAGATCGGGTAGGGAATTGGCGCGCTCATTTGGCATCGTGAATGACTGCGGCCGGCGGGAATTGACCTGTTGATAAGGAGCCGTCCGCTAACACACGTCCGTGCTATCATCGCGTATATCACCCGGTCGAATGGCATTCGGATTAATCAGATACGGAAGCAGGGGCCTTTGAGATGGGTATGCTCAGTTGCGTGAGATGATGGCGATTGTAACCCAACGGCGTTCTCATGTGAAACGCGGGATAAGGAGAGAAGGAAGAAATTGGGCCCAAGGCGGTGCCGTCAACTCGTCCTAACTAATGCGCATACGCGTTATGTGCATTTCCACATACCGGCTACGGGGCTCAGGTAAAATATGAAATAACCCGGAAACCTGCCCTACGCCTTATCGGCTCTCTTTATCGGCCTATCCGCTTATCGACCAGACGGGTGGTGTTCCATAGTGCAGCTTTCTTCCGTCACAACAACAACATCAATATCACCACCAAACTCGACGCCCAATGCGACATCAAATTGTCCCGCCACGCCGTATTCCCCACCGCCATCTATCGGCTTGGCCTGTCATCTTGACGGGCCATCCATGAAGCTACCATGTCCGTCATTCTCTGCACCGGTCAGTCAGCTCCTGCGCGACCCTGGCCCCAATTGCTTAATGTGCTCCCGAGCTAACCTATACTGATTACACAAAGCCGGCTATGACCACACCATCAGGTACGAGAAGGGCTCATATCCTTGGGGAGCTCGAGAGGCGGCGTCGTATAAACACGAAATATAAGGGCCAATGGCTGAGAACGTAATTCCAGATTCTGGGAGGCGCTGTCGGGAATCTGCTCCCGAACCATCCAACATCCGGACTCTCAGGTAAACCGACTATGCATCTCTCCCGACAAGCGATTCCTAGCAGCGGCGGGCCACCACACCGTCAAGCTGTACGACATCAAATCGACAAACCCGAATCCGCTACTCACTTTCGAGGGCCACACCGGGAATGTCACCGGCGTCGCCTTTCACTGTGAGGGTAAGTGGATGGTGACTAGCTCCGAGGATGGCACGGTCAAGATATGGGAGACGCGCAGCGGTACCATCCAGCGCAGCTACTCCCACGGCTCCGCCGCCAACGACGTCGTCATCCACCCCAACCAGGGCGAGATCATTAGCTGCGACCGTGGTGGCAGTGTCCGCGTCTGGGACCTCGCCGAGAACAACTGCTCCCACCAGCTCATCCCCGAGGAGGACGTCTCCGTCACTAGCGTCACCGTCGCCAGCGACGGCTCCCTCCTGTGCGCCGCAAATAACGCTGTTCGTATCCGCGTGTGCGATTTCTCCTAGCCGATTTATCCGACGCTAACTAAGGCTCCCGTCTCGTCACAGGGCAACGTCTTCGTCTGGCAGCTGATCCAGAACCAAAACTACGACCGCACCAACCTCGTCCCCGTAACCCACTTCTCTGCGCACAAGGAGTATATCACGCGGATTCTGCTCTCGCCCGACGTCAAGAAGCTCGCCACCTGCTCCGCCGACCACACTGCCAAGATCTGGGAGGTCACTGTCTCGAGCAATGCGAGCTCGCCGGACGAGACGGCCACCACCACCACCGACAGGTCCGAACTGAGCCCCTCTGCCATCACCGGCTCTACGCCGCTGGGATCTGCAGCGGCCACTATTAACGGCAACGGCACCAGCAGCCCGCAGCAGCACGAGCAGCTCACCGGCAGCAGCTTGGCCGTTGGCGCAGGGCTAGGCCTGGGTCTAGGTCCGATAGGAACCGGGACGGCGGCGCTGAGTCCGGGGCTGGGCCCGGGACCTGGGGAGGCAAAGCCGTTCCCTCTCGAAGCAACGCTGACGGGCCACCAGCGCTGGGTGTGGGACTGCGCCTTTAGTGCCGACTCTGCATACCTGGTGACGGCGTGCTCGGATCACTACGCCCGCCTGTGGGAGCTGCACAGCCAGCAGGTCATCCGCCAGTACAATGGCCACCACCGCGGCGCCGTCTGCGTCGCGCTCAACGACTACTCCGAAATGCGGTGATGGGATAGGCCTGTCTGGCCGGGCAGGTCGGGGACGGAGCGGATACCGGGTTAGGCCCTCGTTTAGGGCGGCAAGCGTCCCATCCTAGCCAACTCCTCTTTTTCTAGCTGTCGAGGGCAAGCAAGCAGATCAACGTCGGACTCGGGAATCCTGCTCTCATCCATCTGGCGGTCTAGATCGTGCGCCCGAAACACTGACCATCATTTCTATATAGCATAGCACAGTAGGTTCCGGCGTTCGGGGAGTTTTCACGCGGGATTTCTTCTTTGCAATTTTTTTCCCCCACCTTTGGCCGATCCATCCTCCCGAGCACTGTATGGGTGGGTTACGATTGCGACGATGTCAAATAGGCGGCAGAGTAGTAAGCAAGCGAGCAAGATGTCCAAAATGATGCGGCCTTGTTGCTTCTGACACCTCGGCTGGGTGCTCGGCCTCCACAAGTTGCCCAGTTCCGCTGAATTGCCATCCTATCTATGACAAAAAACGATGCCATTCAGAGACGGGCACTTTTGGGTTATCTACATGCCAACCAACTCCCTTTTTCTCCCGCAGACGTGTGACCTGATCTGATCCCAGTCCCAACACCGGACCCATACAGATCGCCAGCCCCCTTCCGTCTAAAACCCCCACCCTGTAATCTGACATGTGATATGTGATATGGCCTCTCTGTGTATAGTAGGTAGGCAGTAGGCGCCGCCAACCCCAACACCATATATAACGTGTCCAAGCGGGGAGAGACAAGCAGGAAGAAACAACATTACTCCGGTTCTGCTTCACTAACCCAACCCACAAGCATACCTGCAGGCTGTATGTGCTCGCATGTATATAGGTATATGCATGCACGTAGCAAAAAGAAAAAAGACGACACCCCACCGCGGGTGGATAAGGTATCTACAATACCCTGCCGGCGCCTTTCATTCGAGCCCATCCAGGCGTTGTCGAATACGGGAATACTTCTGTTTTCCGTCTACTCCCCATCCCCCCCTCTCTATGCCTATCGGCCTCTCTAGACTCAGTAGTATACAAAAAGAATTAGTCCCAAGACCGAGACCCGACTCGTACCCCCTATTCGCGTAGACGGTGCCGTGTTTCCTTAGCTACTCCCCGAGATGCCGCGACGACATCCGGCCTCACCACCCGTCGCCCCACCCGTCGTCGTCGTCCGTCTCCTTGGGCTTCGTGTCGACCTTCTTCGCCACGACCGGCTTCGCCGCGGGCCGCGCCGTGAGCGGTTTGCGGCCGGCCGAGCCGCCGCCGCCGCCGCCTTTCCCGTTCGTCGCCTTCGCGGGCGGCTTCCCTAGCCCCTTGGGCAGCGCCTTTCCGCCGGCGGGGCCCTTCCTGTGCGCCTGGGCTGTCAGCCACCCCGCGAAGTCGGGCTCCGACCCGTCGTCGTCGAAGGGCAGCGAGGAGGATGACGCGGGCGGCTTCTCCTTCTTCCGTGACGGCTCGCTGGGCGCGTCGAAGAAGCTATCGGCCCCGTTGTCGTTGCCGCTTCCGTCCTCGTTCATATCTCCCATATCTCCCCACGCGTCGCCGTCGTCGTCCGCCGGCTCGGCGTCTTGGAAGTACGCGTCAGCCGGGGATTTCGACAAGTTGCGCGAGAGTGGTGCGGGAGACGGAGACTTGACCGCCTGGCGGTGGAGCGCCGAGGCTGATGAGGTTGACGAGACCACTCGCCTATTGGGATCGAGCCCTCGGGACGGCGGTGATGTAGGTCTCTGTCCCGCTGATGGCGCGGGTGTGCCATCGGCAGAGCTTTGCATCTGGCCGGACGCGGCCGAGAGCTTGTTGGTAAAGGATGAGATGGCCCAGCCAGCCCATGATGCCGCATCGCTAGGCGCCGGCGTGCTCATGCGTGGACCAGCGGCTTCGGTAGCATGCGGTAGCGGTTGGGCTGTCTCAGGCATCCCGGCTGCTACCTTGCGGATCCTCTGTAGATATACGTCTAATGCTTTACTCGCCTGGTCGCGAACTAATTTCTCTTTATCTATCAAGGACGGGCAGATCGTGGGTAGGATTCGAGATGCGCATTCGTCGTCCGAAAAATACTCGCAAGTAGCCGCTAGCGCCAGAAGTGCGGCGTTCCGAGCGTGCACAAAGGGATCTCGTAGTGATCGCGTAAACGCGGCTATCAATACCTTAGATCTCGACGAGGACCCGAGGTTCTTCGCAATTTTTCCCAAGCATATAGTGGTATTGGTTCTGATGCCAGGTTGCTCGTCGTTTGCCGTCTTGGCCAAATGCCGCAGCAGCTCGCCGTTGATAGTACGATCGGATAATTTGCCGATGATTACGAGAATTGACTTCAACGTCTGCTCCCTGACGACGGGGGCAACGTCCGAGAAGCCAGAGACTATTTGAGGAAATATTTTGTCATTCACCACCTTCTGAGGTAATCTGTCAATCATCAGCGGGAGGTTATCCAAGAGACAGACCCGAATCGCCCTGTCGGGGTTTCCAAATAGCCTGACGACGACGGGCTGCACTCGAGCATCGAAGTCTTCGCTTGTCAACTTGGTAGAGATTTTCATAACAACGCTAAACGCCTTTGGCCCACCACCGCCGAACTCGACCGATTTAAGCAACTCGGGAAGCACTTTGATCTTGAAGAAGTCCTCCGGGAAGTCGTCCGTGAGTTGGCTCAAGTCATCTAGGAATTCCTCTCTCTCGGTTTCCGACTTGACACCTAGGTTGTCAATTCCCTCGGTTAACTTGATCAGGGGCGAATCGAAAAACGCGCCGGATCGCAGCCCCTGCTCGAGGAAGACCCCCACAGTGATCCTCGCTTTGGGGTTCGGGTTGACGAGTCTCTTGTAAGCCGCGTGCATAGTAGGTGGGATGCCCTTTGTCTGCCCCGCTTGGTCGGCGCCCGTAAAGTCACCATTAAATACTTCAAATATTGTGGTTCCGAAATTATACGCATCAACGGCAGAGTGCGGGCCGCGCTTGATCGCGTCCCAGCCCGACCGTGCGAGTTCCGGCGGCGTGTATCTTGCGGATTCTGGCACCAGACTCCCGTACGTGTATATGATGGCCTCGTCATCCTTCACGTTGCTCAGTATCTCGAATCCGCCCAGTTTCCACTCGCCGCTCTCGGAGGTGTATATGGACGCGACGCGCAGGCTGCCGTGGATGGAGGTGCCCTCGTCGTTGATGAACTTGACGGTGCGCGCGACGCTGTATAAGCCCCATTTGATGGTCTCGGGACTCAGACTCTTCCTCTTAACATGCCACCTCAGGGGCACCAGCCTTTCGGTCGCGATGTATATATAGCTATCGGTCTCGACGGTGTCCAGCACTTTGATGACGCCAGGGTGTCGCATCGTGCGTAATTTCTTGAGCGCATTCTTGGCGAGAGGGAGGCGCGCCTTGTTGGCGGCGACGTCGAAGGAGAAGATGCTGCAGTTGGATCCGTCGGCCCGCCGTGTCCCGTTGTAGAGAGTCCATATGGATGCGTCGACGTCGACCTTGTCGCCAAAGGTATAGGGGAAAGGCGGGCCCTGAGCGATGGCGGATGCCACCGCCGACTTGAGGAATTCCATAAATACTGCCTGCCCCCACTTCCCGTCCCGTACGGCTAGGTGGTGATGTTGGCGGCAGCAGAGGAGGAAAAAAGGAGCCGTAGCAACACAAGGAATACCGGCGGGCGCGTATACCAGGCTCTGCGACGGGAATTGTTGTTGGACGGCTGTTTCGTCGAGACGTCGCGTGACTGGCTAGGGACTCGACTTGGTGATATTATTGCATCTTCGTTGGCGTCTAGGTTGGTTGGTTTCGCGGATGCATCGCAGGTGTATCGTGGTTTGGTGAATCGTTTTAGGGATGAGTTGTCCAACTCGTAGGCGCTTCGCTAAAGGGGTGAAGAACGTTACGTGTAGGTGTAGGTACGTAGTAGGTAACGACTGCGTTCTTCGCGCCGGGTGGGTCCTGCCTTTTTTTGGAAGTCCCGGGATCAACCCCGCACTAATCCGTAATGAGGCTAGCCTCACATCTGGGAGGTACCCAAGGTACCTGGGCGGGTGTACACAGATAAGGCACCTTAGGTAATCCGAGAAATGAGGATCTATGTACATAGGTACCTCCTATTCACGGGTCCGCGCTCGATCGTGGGCTAAGGACTCGGTAATATAATATCATTCATCGGATCCATGTAGATCTCCTCTCCCTTGGGAAACCTACACGTCGAACAAGCTACACAGAATACGACGTTATCTATCAGCCTCCTTCTCAACGTCCTCTACTCTTCAACGTCTTTCATCCTCCACATGAAGCCGGCCAGTCCGCCGCATTTATTTATCCCACGGGCTATGTCCGGTCATGGATATCACGGTATCAATTGACTACGGAACTGCCACAAGTGGGCGCGGTATCTATATACTGGTTCGGCCCAGGCGACGGAAGGGACCTAACGACTCTCTCGAGCCCGATCTCATTCCCCGGGCGGCCTATGCGGGGATCTTGAACCCGCCAGTCCTATGCTTCCAGAACCCATCGGGATCGACATCAGCCTGGACCCTCCGGGCGAGCTCCAGCTTCTCGGGTTTCAGCCTCCCGTAGTAATCCTGCGGGTAGAAGCCGTCGTTATAGAAGATAGGCAGATACGCCTCTCGCTGGAGCAAGCCACTCTGCTGGTAGCCTGAGACCATCGCGCCGATGCCTTCATACGTGTCGCGCATCGTCTGGTCGATCTTGGGGAAGTCTGACTTAAAGAGGAAGCTGTAGTCGAGCTCGACAATGATGAGGTTGACGTCGTTGTCTAGATCCAGCATATCGCCACCCTTGGATCGGGCGATCTTTGCGAGCGATTTGGGCACCGGCTGGAGGGCGATGCTGGCAACGACCCCCGGAACCCACTTAGCCGTGTTGCTCACGTTCACCCAGTGATCGTAGAGAGATTGCATGACTTCTAGTCCGTGTTCCTTCTCAGGTACGGGCATCGTCTCCGTTCCGATAGTGTAGACGCTACCCTTCAGAACAGCCCAGTTATTTCCGCTGAGGAGCGCCGAGTATCTCTGGGTCTTGCAGGTATTGAGCGTGGGTCCGGCGGCGAGGAATTTGTCGAACACCCCTGGGGGCGGCGTAGGGCCGTTGTAGTACAGGAAGAAAACCCAGATGTCAACCAGCGTGGCCAGGGTCCGCTCGGCCGTCGCGATAATGGCCGCCTTGTCGTCGGGGTAGTTTTCGGAGAAGTCTCGAATAGCCTCCAGCAGGGCTGCCGTTTTTTCAGGTGTCGCATCGAATACGAGGTTGCCGCCCCAGATGTCTCCTTGACGATAGGCCTTCAACAAGAAAGAGGTGACGATCCCATAGTTGTTCCCACCTCCCTTGAGGGCCATCCAGAGATCGGGATGGTCTTTCTCAGTCACTCTGACAATCGATGAGTTTGCCAGCACCACAGTGTACTCGAGGATCGAGTTGGAAGCCCAGCCGTACTCGGTGCTCATGAAGCTCAACCCATCTATACACAGTTAACTTTTGACCCCCAACGGAGTTCTCTACGCATCCTTACTTCCGAGCAGATAACCTCCAACGCCGACGTTGCCAATCCGTCCGCCGACGACAGTGTAACCAGTCTCATCGAGCTTCTCGCCGACCTCGTCCCACCGATTCCCGGGTCCAACCCTCACGGTCTCCGTAGCAGGGTCGAAGATAATCTCGTTGAGCCTCTTGGTCGAGATCAACGGCCCGCCATCGACACTAGCGAAGTAGTTGTTCGGGTTGTGGCCGCCGGACTTAACGGCGAAGGTCTCGTTATTACCACGGAGGATGGAAACGATGGAAGCAACTTCTTCCGTCGTCTCTGGTTGGAGAATACAGGTCGGCCTGAGGTCTCCGCAGTAGGTGGACCAGTAGTTGCGCTGCTCGTTGCTGAAATCTACTGTCAATCGATTCAGGATGGTGACCGCCGTGTTGGTCTTCACGGTCGTGCAGGTATCCTGGGCGGCAGCATACACGGTAAAAGCACTTGCCCAGGCCAGAGCCCTGATCAGAACCGAACGCGCCATACCGATCGTGAGCGCTTCCTAGGGGAGACTAGGCACTCTGACACTCAGAGCCCGGAAAAGGCTCGTACGAACGGTTGCGAAGGAGAGGTTAGAAGACCCCAGTGCGGAATCTCATGAGACGCCAATGCAGGAACGCCGGTCCCTCTTATCTACCTTGTATAGCCCTCCTCGATATCGTCATGGCTGCTACCGCCCGAGGCCGAGGCGCCAAGGGGAGCAAGACTAGCACATGAGAAAGGAGAACATGACCCCCGAATGAGCGGCGGCACAATGCACCTGCATGTCCTCTCCACGTCAATGCAGCCCAGACACACACGCGAAGCAGGCCTCGACAACCGGCATCCCCTAGGTACCCTACCTACCTACTTCAAGGACCTATCTACCTTGACAGTATCCGAATACGAAGTACGGCAGACACGCCTCGAGCTGGTTTTCGGGATGGGCATGCTACCACGCCAGCAATGACAGCAGGTCGACCGGGGGACGCACCGATGTACATCTCCATAGCACGCGGGCGGCGATGGCAGAAATATCATCACTCTGGTGGGTGGCGTTCTCTTTCCCTCCACAGCCAATCCTGCCCGCCTTAGCGAGATGCCGTACCTTGTAAGTGGCTGCTCGGCCTAGCCTTGACTGCTCTCGATTGGTGCAGGCTGTACCTATGGGCTCGCTAGCGGATGGTTGGAGTTGTCAAATTCCAGACTGAAGACTTCGTGCCCGTCGACGGGCTTGCAAAGCGGCTACCAGGGTGAGGACCCCATGATGTCGATCAACAGCTCCACCAGTGTGTGTGATGGGCTAGACTTGCTATCCACGTTGCCCTTCCTCGAAAGCCCCCACACCCCGGGACCAGGCCGACATCAGATGCGCCCCCCTCTCCCCCACCGGCCAGCTACGATGGTAATAGTATTATCGTGCGAAAACATGCATCCATGAGTTATAATTTCCCCATTCGCCCTGGTTCTCTGGTGCCACACACTGCACTAGGTAACAAATGAACATATCCTCCGCTTACCTGTCCGTCGGTGACCTCGACTGGCCGAGCCGACTCCGTCGATAGCGCGAGTGCTTCCTGGGCGGGGATACCTAGGTGTTACCATATGAGTAGTAAGCGATGGGGAGCGGAGCGGATGGGGCAGAGAAGGAAGAAGAAAGCGGGAAAAAAAAAACGGAAATACGGACTCGCAACAGACGAGGATGAGTCCAGACATAGGTAGGTAAGTCGGGGGAAGAGGGGAGCGGGGACATGGTACGTTAGGCATGTTACATTATTACACTGTACCAGTAATCTGCGCAAACCACCGATGGCAGCGATAGCGATAGTACCTCTGAGAGATCCCATCCGAGCTCCCGGAAGCGGGCCGTCCTCGAACCCACGCGCGACTCTAATTTGCTTATCGAGATCGGCAGGGCACTTCTTGACCGGCCTGGTCAGGCGAGGCGAGGCGAGGCGAGGCTGGGCTGGGCTCGGCATTAGGCTCGAACTTTTGCAATCTTGGTCTTCTACGAACCGTTCTGCAGCGCAGCTTGGGCGGCAGAGTTACCATGGGTGGGAGTGGCAGTGCCCATCGAAAAATAGGTTATTTTTAGGCGAGCTCGTCGGGGTGGGCGATGGAATCGGCTTGGGGTCTGTCGATGACCAGGTCCATTCCCAGTACCCGCTTACCAAGAATTCGTTAACGAATGTCGGCAGAGTGGCGGCTAATTAAGCCACACACACATGCCAACCTCGCGAGAGATAACCTCCCTTTAGCGACCCATTCAGCGTCCGCGCCGAGGACGCAAAGGCGCTGCATCGCAGACAGGTTGCCAGCACCTCTCCTCACGTACCGGTTTCACATCGCGAGACATCTCGAGGCTGCCCGCCATTCACCAATTAGGGCTGGGCACCTTGACGTCACCAGTCCGAGGCCCAGCCAGAGCCAAGGAGAAGGGAAAGTTGCACATGTGCAATATAACATCCTCACGTAATCGCCGCGGAGGTATACCTCGCGAATAGTATACCCCCGTCGAGCCATGTGAAATGTCCATCCTATACATATTAGGCAAGTACCTCGCCGGTACCATCAGCGACCTCTACAAGCCTCATCCCAGGTACGCATCCTAGCCCCCTAGGGATGCCTGCTACATTAGGTGGCGCTCCCCTCCCTACTCATACATACACGTACCTACGTCCTTCCTCCCCCCCTAATCTTGCAAGTTATAGGGGAAGAGACCCGTCTGGCCTTGTTGTTGCCAGCGCCTGCGCGCATGGCGGCGGAGGAGAAGGGGGGGCGAAGGGAGCTTTTCGTCCGCGGCGCGGCGGACAGATCATCTCCCAAATCGGCCGCCTCCAATCTTGCTCCTGTCTTAGCCTACCTCTTTTTTCTTTCCCCTGCCAACGCTGGCTCGTCGTCCTCGAGTTATCCGCCAGACCCCGTCACGCAGTCACGCAGTCACGCAGACGCACCTCGTTCCCGGGCACGTAACATACCGGCCGCCCGCGTGCACCCCTTCCCGCACCGGCCAACCGGGCTGCCCTGCCGGCTAATATCTGCCCGTGTCGAGCTAGGTGAAAAGGGGGGACATCTGCCCATCCCGTCCCCCTTCGTCTTCTTCACCGCCGAAAGACAAAAACCCGCGCCCCGAGACCTGTCGGCCCTGTCCATGCACCGCGTCTCCTGGGACGGTTCGCGTGCGACCGAATTTATACATACCTCACCGCACGTCTGGGGCACCGTGTGTGCGGGAAACAGGTTAGGTATTGCTATGTATAGGCCTACGTAGGTATCTCTATCCGCTTTTCTCTACCTCGCTTCCAGGCTTCTTGTTTTCTCCTGCTTCTGTCCGTGCTCCGATCCTGATTCCCAATCCCGTAGTAATTTCCGCACCTGCTAGCCGGCCCGTCGTCCGTCGTTTTTCCCCATTCCCTTACTTGCTCATTTCATACAATTATTTTCGGATATGTGTTCATTTTCCCTTCTCCCTTTCCCTTTCGGTAGTCGCGTTGTATATCGTACTATAATACTCTCCCGCTCCGGTCCTAGTTCCGGATGACTTTAGTACCCTCGGCGGGCTCGAGGATGAGCCATTGGCACTCGATACCCTCGCGTCGAAAGCGGTCGATGATGCGCTCGGCGATATCCTCGAAGTGGCTCGTCGCCAGAGCTAGTATGGTCGGACCCGCCCCTGACAGACAAACCCCGAGTAGACCTTCCTGCGAGCTTGGCGACATCGACTCCACAATCTCCCCAAGCCCCGGCACCAGCGTCTGCCGGTATTGTTGGTGCAATTTGTCCTGCATCGCCAGATAGATGAGGTCTGGATCTGGCGGCGACTGTCCGAGCGCCACGGGTAGCAGCGCTATTCGCTGGAGATTGAATGTCTAAATAGAAGGAGCGATTAGCAAGCTCGGGCCCGCAGGATACGACGGGAGGAGGAGAAGAGAGAATACTCACAACGTCCTGTCTGGGATACTCCTTCGGCAGCACCTCGCGGGCCTTGGCCGTAGGCACTTGGAAATTGGGCACAATGGCCACGGCCTTGATCTCCTTGGCCCAAGGGAACTTAATATGATGACCGATGCCGTGGGGCGGCTCCGGAGGGCGCTCGCCCGTGTCGAGGCCGCCCGCCGGCGCTGGTAGCACCTCGCTGAGCGGGATCTCGACGCGCGCCACATCCTCAGGTGTCAACGGCTTCAGGTACGTGCCGACAAAGCCGCCGAAGAGGGCCGCACCTACGTTATCGGGGTGGCGTTCTAGAAGGTCAACGAAGTTAGCCCTCGTTCTCGGGTAAGATACCGTGCCCGCGCTTTTAAGTGGGCCGACATGCGGGACATACCGATCATCAGACAAAAGTCGAACAGTCGATCCTCGCTCAGGTGGTCCAAGCCGCCCACCTGCTTTCCGAGCATAACACCAGCGACAACCGCAGCGCCGGACGAACCCAGGCCGCGGCCGAGGGGGATCGGGTTGGCGATGTGGACATGGGTCTCGACGGGAAAGGCACGCTGATCGTGGCACCGGAGCACGTAGAGGGCGACGCGGGTGATGAGGTTGGCGGCCGGGTCGAGGGGCACGTCATCGGACCCTTCGCCCTGGCCCTCGTACGTGATGCGGCAGTTGAGCGGTTGGTCCGAGGTCTTTTTGGTGCGGTCGATGGTCACTCGCAGCTCGAGGTAGATGGACAGGGCCAACCCGATGACGTCGAACCCCGGGCCGATGTTGGCCGACGAGCACGGCGTCCGAATGGTGAAGGACTCGATCCCGGCCATTGTCGCGGTCGCTTCTGCTAGTTTGGCCTGTACGTGGAGAGCAGAAGGTTGCGGAGGGCAGAAGGCGTGCGCGAATGGATGGATGGGAGAGAAGAATGCAAGTAGGCAGGAAGCCTGGATGCCGGGATCGGGATGTGCGTTCCCCGGAGTTGTGTGTGTTCGTGTGCGCGCGCGCCAATAATTAGCCGCTCCAACCGGGTTAGTTGAATGAAGGTAACGGCGCCCGTTGACCAGCGCTGCGAATCCTAGGCTAGGCGGGAGAGAGAGCTTAACGGAGCTAGACGCAACGATTGTCACGATACTGACAACGAATGGAAAAAAAAACACCAGCTCGCGCAACCAATGTTTCGTCAACAAGTAACGACGAGGCCCCGGGGGAACAAGGGAGATAAATGTGCTGAAAGGATGGGAAAATCTCTCTCGCAGGTCCCCGACGACGGAGCTAATGGGGACGGAGGGCTGGGTTGGGGTTGGTCGGGGTGGGTAATGTACCTGATGTGCGACTGGGAGGGCGGGCGGAGTTGGCACCGAGTACCGGGTGTAGCGAGCGCGGCAGCAAGGGACGATCAGGTTCGAATCTGCTTGCGAGCATAAGCACTACGCAATTTTGGGGAGCTCGCTGTCGCAATTGGCAGCGGTGTCTCAGCACGAGCTGCGTACGGCTGCGACGGACGCGGCGACGCAGCACCGCCAAGTCCTGGGTACTTCAGCGTGTAGTAATAGCGGAAGCACAGTCCCTGAGGCCGACGGGCGGGTAGCCTCGCCTCTCGACGGGATTAGCAGCGCTGACGAAACCGCCTGGCGCCCCCCTGATTAGCAGGGGCCCGTGCCAGGAGGTCTCGGTCGGGAAGCCCATACCACGGCCGGGTAATAACGTAGTCAGAAAGGCGTCGCTGACAGCGGGCTCGGCGCAACCAAAACGTGGGAGGATGCGCCAGGATCGAAGACAGACACTTCTTCGACGCCCTGCCTATATCTGGCCGCGATATTCGCTCGCTCGAGCCCAATGATCTGCACATGTGGGCAGATGCAGGTCATCGCCAACCATCAGCCCCGTCGTCCACCCCTTCGTCACTCATCACCATACGTGGGGAACGAGATCTGTCGGGAATCACCACCACATCGCTATATTAGACCGCTATGGAGGCACGTCGCGAAAATCAAGGCTCCGTTCTTCGGCTCGGGACCTTTGATGGAACAGGACAGACATGACGCCGATCCGACTATGTACTTATGCCATCCCAGCTGGTGATCGCTCCCCCAAGCCTCCGCCCGATCCCGTGGACATTTCGAATCACCATCCAAACGATTCCGTCTGCAGCGTGATGATCTCGACCTCGCCAGCCAGAACTCTCTTCTGCGCGATCGACGCCGCGTTTGCCAAGTCCATTCGGAGGCTTTCCGGACCACAACCTATAAAGGCTCACCATCAACACCCTAGGTACCACCACCCTATACTAGGCACAGCATTATAACCATGCCTTGTTGGACTCTGACATACCTAGGAAGAAGACTCGGCGCCCGGTCACGATGGCGGGGTAGAAGGTCCGGCAAAAACGAACGCTGCGTGCTCACCCGTCCCAGCGCCGGCTCTACCACGGCTGTACCAGCGTCGCTCGATCTGCTTTCGGGACCCTGTCGCCTGAGCTCTTCTCCGAATCCGTACTCTCAGCGGCGGATGACCCCGAAGAATGTGTCACGTAGAAGTCTACCTTGATCAGATAGTTCATCGATCATCCATCGCAGCTGGTCGGCAATCTGACCACCCAGATGAGACGGACGATCGACGTCGTCACGGGACCTGCTTCGATGCGCCTCGCGGCGTGCTGCATCCACGGCAAGCAAGCCGAGACGCCGTTGCCACCCGCCACGAGAGTCTGGGACGCGGGCACGTCCTCGATCCGTCAGTCTATCGTGAGGCTCATCAACAAGGACAGAGACTGATCGGCCGTGATCCCCCACCACGTCATGATCGGACATAGACTTGAGCAGGTCAAGAGTCAGCCTACGGCGTGCTCGAATATAGAATATCATCTCATTTGCCTCTGAATCCCACGTGATTCCGGCAGGTGGTTCTTGGGCAAGCTTACAATCGTGAACGGGTGGTTCTCGGGGAGAGAACAAGTGAGGGAGTCCCAGCCGGCAGTGCGCCCAGGCATACGTTGGAAATCTGGCGACGCAAGGATAGCCATCTTCGTGATGCCGGCGGGGAGCGCTCGCAGTCTCGAAGGGAAACCTTGGAACCAGTCGCGGAAGATACCGAAGGTCTGCCACTTGTAAAAGAGGCATGATACGCAAGTGGCGAGCCAGGTGGAAAGCGTCGCGTATAGATAGGCCCACGAGTCCCTCGTATCGTTCGAATGCCAAAACAAGAGGCCGATGTACAAGACGTACATGGGGATGCGAACCCGATAGAAGAAATTCTAAAACCTATGGCGAATTCACGGAATGGGCAGCACGACGTAGCCTACAAGAACACCTAGCGGCGACGTTCCGGTATACTAAGAACTATGATGTCAGCTATGAAAACAACCCAATCCGACTCGGGCCCAACAACGGGGGGGACGTTAGCCCACCTCCATGCCGTCGGGCTTATAATACTGTCTGCGCAGAGCGGCAGGATCGTCATCTCTCAGCAGTTGGATAATGAATAAGACGGCGCGAGCGGTGCCCAGAAACAGAGATGTCACGGTAAGAAAAGCTGACGTTCCCAGAGAAGGAAAGCCGAATCAGTCAGCAGCGCACCCCTTTAGGTGTCGGTAACCGGCCACGCAGATCAGCACCGGCACCTTACGCGCGAACGGCGACTTTGCAGCCGTCGGACTTGCCTCGTGCGCTTTGCGGTTGTGATACCGACGAGAGGGGTAGACGAGCGCGGCAACGCCAATGGCTGCTAGGTAGTACCAGGTGGTGTAGATAATGGCCATACTCGCACTGATGGGCATACGAAATAGCGACCTGGGAGGCTTCGTGGGCGACTTTGAATATGGCACAGGCGTCGCTGCCGCAGCGGGGGGTTGGACAGAGGAAGATCAGTGACGTTGATCGCGTCGGAGCTATCACTCATAGACACGGCCATGGCCATAGACATAATGATATTCGGGCGAGAAGCAGGTGTTAGGAGAGAGCAGTAGGATTCTACTAGTAAATAGGACAGCGAGACGCAAGAGCTGCGGCGAGGTCGCTTCAGCAGGTATACGTATTCGGCTAGGGAGGCATTTTATAGGGGTCAAGCCGAGAGGGCTTGCTAATGGGCGGGGACGATGATGATTTGAGTCGATGCGGTTCCGGGTCTTAATTGGTAACGACGAAGGGCGGAATGGGGGTGAGCAGGAATCGCTCGAGCACGAAACCGGCGTGCCGATCTTGGTCTAGCTATCCTGCAACTATATTCCGCTAAAACGACGAGGGAATGGTTTCTCGCTGGGCAAAGATAGATCTACTGCTAGTGACGGCGGCTCTCGGTTTCGGGTGAAGATAGCAAGAGTAGGCAGGGGAGAGGACGGATGGGAAGTGATGCTAGGCCGTGCGGAGGTTCGGAGGAATGCACGTAGGTATCTTCGCGACGGAGAATCTACGGAGAGCAAGTCGTCACGCAGTAGGTAGTAGTATGCGCTCGAGTTGGGATCAGATGCTGAATAGGGGTCAACTATGCAGGTAGGTAAGTAGAAAAGTCCGATATTGTTATCTCGTACCTACAAGAACATATAGCTAGGGGCACCTGTGCTACTCGGCTGGTCCGCTTCCTGTGATCCTACGATACCAGTTAATAACAGGTAGGTAGTATGAGAATCTTAGGATGCTGCACCGGATGAACCGTTGATCGATTAAAAGGGATAACTAGAAGCTACCGTGAACTGAAGAGCTTATTTATGTACCTACCTAGGTGTGTGCGTTTACGGATCGGATTCACGATAATCCGGGGATCCATAAAACTACAGGTAAGTGCCTATCATATAGGTACCTACCAAGGTACCTAGGCCGGGTGAAAATAGGATAGGCCCGTCGCCGTTCGATTGGACGAAGCAGCTAGCAGGTACCCACAACGTATGGTAAGATGGGAACTGGCTTCCTCGCCTCGCGGGAGAGTAACTGCCTCTATACCGCTCAGAGAAGGAAGGCCCCGCCTCCATCGGGTGAACTACACGTAGGTATTTACGTGTGTGTAACCTTGGAGACTGCCGTCAAAGGTTGGTTGGTTACCCAGGCAGGTGCGACCCCAGTAACCCCGCGGGAGGTCGTGCACACGGGAGATGAGCTAAATAGCGAAGACTACCAAGTAGCGCTATTAGGAATCGAACCTATCCTTCGTTAAGAGGTAGCCTGCTGATCTACGGGATAGCCTCACTAGGCAGTCCTTACGGGCGCTAGGCGATTTAACAGGTACCTACTACCTCCTACCTAGCATTACCTACCAAGCACGTAGGTACCTACCTCCTAGGTACAAGGCAGGTACCTAGGTGCGAAATAGGTAGGTAACGTACCTGGAAAAGAAGAGAAAGAGACAGAGAGAAAATGAAGGAGAGAGGGAGAGAGAGAGAGAGAGAGAGAGAGAGAGGGAGATACAAAAGGTCAACGTGACCCGGTAGACTCTCGTGTAAGTGACGCGAGCCTGGCCGGCGCAAAGTTTGCAGCTTTGGTGTCGGGTCGAGGCAAGGTTCAGCTGAGGCCACAATTGTCGCCTCAACTGCCTCAAACTTGCTCACGCTAAGCTCCCACCATGTGACTCGCGCCTCTGGGCCGCACCTCTCCGCGCCAGAGCCACAGCAGACACCGGCCCTTGCTAGGTAGGTATCTGCTTACCTACGCCGGCGATGGGTCAAGCGTGGTACGATAGCAGGACATGCCGATGACTTGCTTACATTTCTGCGGGTAACTGTGGTTGCTGCACCAGCCCGTCGGTCCGCCAGTCGATTCTATCGGATATACCTATATATATACCTATATATACCTATAGGTATATTCAACACTGCCCGTCTCCCTCGCGCGTGTCGGTAGCTTGCTCCCCTTCCTCGCCAGGCCGTTCACTTTTACGTCACCTCCCCAACGCGCTTTCCAGACGGACAGAACAATAACGACGACAATACTCGGCTGGCACCACGACCGGAGAAGAACTCAGCCGACCCTTTCCTCCTCCCACCCCGCTGCCGCTCCTCCCTACCTCCCAGCAACCCAAGATGGATCACAGTAATCACGATATGGGATCTTCGACCACGGGCATGTCCCCGTCCGCCACGTCGGACATGTCCATGCCGTCAGCTTCGGCTGCTATGTCCATGGGCGGCATGAGCAGCAGCTGCAAAATCTCCGTATGTTCTTGACTACCAAGTATCTAATATCTGCCCGTTCGCGGCAGGCGGTGACGAGAGGCTAACTAGGCGGGATCCTGGGCGAGAATAGATGCTCTGGAACTGGTATACCATCGATACTTGTTTCATTGCCAATACCTGGCACAACGACACCACTGCCAAATTTGCCGGCTCCTGCATCGGCGTCATCCTGCTGACCATGTCCCTCGAGCTCCTCCGCCGATCTGTCAAGGAGTACGACCGCTATCTCATCCGCAAGCATGCTGCTGCCGCTGCCCTCTCGGCTGCTACTGTTACGTCTGTTGCGACATCTGCCAAGGGCAGCGACGACAGCCAGGCCATCCCCTCCGGCCCGGTGCCTGCGCAAGCTCGATCGCCCGGGTACCGACCTACCGTTTTCGAGCAGGCCATCCGTGCTCTGCTACACATGGTCCAGTTTGCCGTTGCCTACTTTGTCATGCTGTGGGTTTGGCATTGAATCCTCGCCTTAGTCTGATCGCAGCTGACATCCACCGACAGTCTTGCCATGTATTATAACGGCTACATCATCATCTGCATCTTCATCGGCGCCTACCTCGGCTCGTTCATCTTCCATTGGGAGCACCTTGATGTCGGGTCAGTGCAGGGAAGGCGAAAGCTGAATTCCCGGGCGAGAATAAAGCGCTAACTTCTCACAGACGCAGTCCAACCAGTGCCACGCAGGAACCTTCGGTGTGCTGCGCATAAGCTCTCGAATTTAATGGTAAAGTCTGATCTCTACGCAAATGTGGTTGGTATTGGCTTATGACCATACCTAGCTATTGACAAGTAGCATGAGCGAGAAAGCCGACAAGGGTTACTAACGGCACTAGATCCAGAAAAAAAAACACTCTTAAAAGTAGCATTTGGGGATTGCCTCACGGTTGTGTAGTGGCAATTGTAACAGGAAGTGAAACTGGTGTGAATCGTTGGTCGATCAACTATATTGCGGGGTAATTTTATGAATGCAATGAGAGAAGAACTAAATACGGACCACTTAGAGATTTCACCAGTACCATCAGAATGACTATTACATTGATCGAAGCCCCCGACTGCGCTATTGTTCCCACTCGCGTATTGTTCAGCATGGTACCACACAAATATTTACATCATTTGTATGGGGTGACAATGGCAATTGTGACGAAGATAATGGGGGAGTTGAGCATTGGGGGAAAGACACTAAGTACGTAAGGTCTGTAGATAGGGCCCAGTGGTAGGGGGAAGACAGCGGAAGTTGAGCTTCCCGCGTCATAGGTACGTCCATCATATATACGTCTGCTACGCCACCTACATCCAGCAATTTGTACTTGCTACCACATACCAGCGCACGCGTATATTCGCCCCCTTTTCACGCGCATTTCCTGCCCCCCCCTCACCTCGGGGCCCGATCAAAGCTGCGCCCTCCTCCTTACGGCGGCAGCGCGCGGCGCTCAGGCGGCCTTGCGGGCGACGATGACGGCCTCGCGGGCGTCCTCCTCGTAGAAGACGAGGTCGACGACGGCGAGGCCGGCGTCGGCGAGGAGGCGGCGCCAGGCGGCCTCGGTGCGCGCCTCGGCGTTGAGCATGGCCAGCATGGCGAGGTCGAGCTGGGCCTCCCAGCGGTGCGCGCCGCGGTCCGGCAGCACCAGCTCGTCGACCAGCAGCAGCGACGACGCGCCCATCGCGTCCCGCACGTGGCCCAGGATCGCGCGCGCGTCCGCGTCCGGCCAGTCTGCTCGGCGGGGGAAGGTTGGGTCGGTTAGTCTGTGTGCGTGCGTGGGGGGCATGCGGCGGAGAGAAGGGGTAGAGGGCGAGCGAGCGCGAGCAGCTCGGGGAAGACTCACTGCGGAGAACGCTCCGGAAGTAGTACGATGCGGCGCCTGCACGCGGGGGGAGATGTCCCGAGTTAGCAAAGATCGCCACGGAGACGCGGGGAAGAACGGAAAAGAGAGAGAAAAGAACTTGCCCTTGATCGGCTGCTCCTTGAGGAAGTCGATCCCCAGGGCCTCGATCCCGTCCTCGAGCTCGGCGCTCGCCACCACCTCCTCGAGGTCCTCGAGCACGATGCGGCCTTGCAGGTGGGGGGCGCGCTTCCTGAGAGCCTAGTTGTCCACCACCGTGGTCAGCCTGTTCCGCCTCTGAAAGACAGGAGAGAGAGAGAGGAGGGCAGCGGACCTTGCACTGGTGGCCGACGCCGCCGCCGATGTCCACGAAGGCGACGGGGGCGGGGTCGGCGGCAGCAACGGCGGCGAGGGCGCGCGCGATGGCGGCGACGACGCGGCCGCCGCCGTCGTCGAGCCAGGAGCGCACGCCGGTGCGGTGGGCGCCCATGAACACGTTGAAGCTGCGCGCGTGCTCGGGGCGCGCGCGCAGCCACGCGAAGAAGCTGCCCGCGTCCGGCGCCAGCCCGTTGCCCAGCGCGAACGCCGTGTCCGTGCTGGCGTCCGCCGCCGCCGGCGCCCGGTACGCGTGCCGCCGCAGGAACGCCGGCAGCGCCACGAACGCCGCGAAGCAGTTGTCGACCCTGGCGTGCGCTCGTTAGCGGCCGCGCCTCGAGCAAGAAGGCAAGGATTGGGTAAAAGGGGGGAGGGGAGAATGTGGGGTTGGCAATACGCCCCGCCGTGCTGGTGTGGGGATCAGTAGGTACCGCGGTACATAGGTAGGGCGGTGGCGCTGCTAGGTAGGTAAAACAAAGCAAAACAGAGGGGAAGCTAAGGCGGAGCATCCCGCCCGTCCCGTCCCGTCCCGCCACAACGGCGCGCTTGGACGACGTGGAGGACGAACAACCTCTGTCTCTCCTCCCTGTCCGTCCCGTGTCTAACATTCTTTTCTCACTCACATGTGGCACACGCCGGCGCTCTGGCCCGTCCCGCACAGGTTATCACCGAGGTGGCTCGCGGCCCAGCGGCCCGCGCCGACCTCGCGCACGAAGCCGAACGACGCCAGGTACCGCAGCACGCGCGCTAGCAGCTTCGCGTCGGGGGCCTTGCCGGAGCCGCGCGTGAGCTCCTCCGTTGTCAGCGGCGTGTCCGCGCTCCGTGCCAGCTGCCCGAACACGTCAAGGTCAACGGCGATGCGGGCCGCGGGCAGCTCGAGGGCCTGCGGCGAGGGGAGAAAATGTTAGCCGGGTTGGATTGGAGATGGGGGCCTGACAGGGAGGCGACAAGACTGATACTTTTCAAAGTATCTACGTTGCTCTAGGGACGAAGCCTTCGAGCAGGAGTGAAGCTGCTTACATTATACAGGATTCGTTGGGAAGCCTCCGCGGGCGTCTCTAGCTCAGGGACTAACTTCTGAACGACCGCGAGTAGTCTCTTCCGAAGCTGGTCGTCCGCGTCGATGGCTGCTGGTATGCCGGACGGATGCGCAGCTAGGCCCTCGAGGAGCGAAACGGCACTGCTTAGCTTTACTTCCTGCGTCATTCTAGGATCTGCGGCGAGAGCTACGTATTTGGCCGAAAGCGTTAGGTCTGTAGGGGGTCTGGTAGGAGACTGGGTGTGCCTGATCAGTCACTGGTTCGCTCACGGGCCCTTGGAGGTCGCTGATGTCGCTTCGAACGATGTTATGACCCGTCTTCCCTCGTCTTTCCGGATGAAGTCCTGTTTAAATACCAACTAGCGCTGCTCTGGGCCGTCTCCCTCTTCGGCATTGCTAAGTGAATCTGGCTACCGGCAAGGAGGCTCGCGCACAGCACGCCGACGCGCATGGGGCTACGATCGTGCGTTGCGGATGCCGAAGGGTTACGTTGAGGCCCATCAGGAACGGGGGTATTTTCCAGCGTTCCGTAGTCAAGAACTAGGAAGACGTGCATGGTGGATTAGCGGGGACTAAGGGACCAGGAAGGTCGCAGGCGATTGGTGACCGCGACAAACCCTCGGGACCGACGACACGGTAAGAACCTTACGTGGCAGTGAAGGAGCCGGTCTCCAGCTCTTGGCTCCATGCTAGGAGTTGTGTTGAGTGGTATGGCTCTTAGGAGATCTCATGCTTGGAATATGCTGTTGGTGCAGGAGCTGCGGGCTAATATGGTAGTACGGGGGTCTCTTCAGCTCGCCTCGAGTTCCTGCAAGTCAGGTTCTGCAGCGGTATATTCACAGATTTCCCTATCGGTCTTACAAGAGATAACAAGGCTCTAACCCGGGGTCTGCTATTCCGTGAGCATTAACCCCTTTCCCGAGAAATGAGACGAGAATGCCTCCTAACAATGCATAGAAATGGTCGGGATACGGCTGTGGAAACTCGAGAGGTCACGGCAAGGAGCTCCCCACTTAGAGGCTACCAAGTACAGTTCTGGGTGACAGTAAGCCCTCGCTTTCCTTTATCGACCGCAACGCCGAACGGCTATTAAGATAACCTGACATGACTGAAATCCATAGGGCCATCCACTTGGAGCTATACACGCAACAGTGCTCTAGTCGGGCGGGTGATTCGTCGAAGGTTCGCCGCGAGAGAGGAAGCCTCGCGTTATCAGTTTACGTCTAATACCTCGGGAACGCGGAAGGCTCTCCTACTAGGCGGACGGAGGCTAGGTCGCGTTGGCTGCTGTGCCTACTTCAATGGGTACGGGAGAGTTGACATCAGGTTATCTACTTACTAGCAACCTATCCAACGTTGGCATCGTCGAACATGTCGTGGAGGCTTCAAGTTCGCATCATGCCACGCCCACGGAAGCTACCGGCCGCGTAAGCTTCCATCACATCCGGTAAGGCCCGTCCAGCTTTGGGACGATATATCACATAACTACCGGTAAGCCCCAGTTAATACCGCTCGTGCACGGGTTATTAGTCAATCTCTATTCTAACTCTTGCTCCCCCCGTCACCGCATCGCCTCTAATCGTTAAAAAAGATTATTACAGCCATTGCCGTATTACTTCCCCTCCCCCCAATAAGCATGGCCTCATACACGCAAAGGCGTCAGACTCGGGCGGACTTGGAGACGACGTACGACCGGAACGCAAGCTTGATTGGCGACGCTCTCCGCGCCACCGCCGCGGGTCCTGACACGTACGGGATCAGCCCTTATAAGCCTACATACTACAAGTCGTAGAAAGTAGGCGTCTACGTTTCACGCGACAGACCCGGTATATCACGAGTCAGTCCTGGACTATACAACCGAGCTCGATACGGGACGTATCATGTAAGATTTTACGAAAACGAGTTCCAACACTCCTCTTCTGCCGTCCTAATGGTCGCGCCGATTGATCGTCTACAACCTATATGGAAGGGCGCCGGTCCAAGACCCCGATCCAATTTCCTCGACCAGCGAGACTCTCATTGTGCCTAGGTGAGCTCTCACCGCCCCAGTTGAATCCCGCGCATCTCCGTCTGGTACCCACTGAGGCTAATACTGCGCACTTGTCGCTGGGACTTTTGAGTGGTTTTCTGTTCAAAAGGAGGCGAAAGGCGCGGCGGATCCCCGCGCTGCAATAGCTGCCGTCGTCAACTTGTCCACGGCTTAATACTCCTGAGAGCATGATATGGTTACTTTTCGATACTAACTCTACCGTGACTCTCAGTTATTGCCATAGGAAGACAGCCCCCAGATGACGCAACGCTCACTCCTAGAACCCCGCCGAAAAACGGCGGACCGGGCAAGAAACGCCACCGGTGTCCACGGGTAATACATCCCCAATTGTTGGCCCAAGTGGCGTGCTAGGGACCAACCGGAAAGCCGAAGCCGCGTGACGTGTACGCATTCTACCGAACGCCCAATACTGCTTCGTTTACTGACGCCCAAATGTAGTGTAATGAGCGAGAAGGCTATAGAGGCATCTTCGCCGGGACGCCAGACCCAGAGGCGGCACGTATTTTCCCATACGCCACATCCGCGTACAAGAACTCTAGCAGCCTTAACCAAATACTTTAAATATTCTGGGGCCCAGAGGCGGTCCACTCGTGGTCCCGTTTATACCAGGATATGACGGTATTAAAGTCACCCTGCAACCTCCTCTACGGTACACTAATATTAATACGTACCCGATAAACCGGCTCAGAAATTTGATTTTTTGCTCACCGCGTTAAGTTAAAATACAATTTCTACCCTTTCTAGAATTGAACTTAATATACTGGGGCTTTGTTTACATAGGGGAATTTAGTTATGGTTCGTTATAAGTTTCATATTCATAATTTCCAGCCAGAAATTATTGATTGTTGATTAGCGGGCAAATCTATAAATTCCAGGTATGTGTGCCCCCCTAATAATAGAGTTCGTCTACGTATCGAAAGGTAGGCACGTTAGAAAAAAAGCTAAGAGAATGGATCTATATCGGCGGGTACCGACGATTACTACTAATAAAGTAACTATATTAAAGCGAAACGGCGCGGGCACGGTGTTGGAAATACGGGATAAGGAACATAGCTACAGCTGCTGTTAGCGACTGACCCAGGTGCCGATCAATAGGATAAGCAGCCGCAAGGGCGGGAAGACAGCTATATCTAATGATCGGCTAGCTATAAACGGCAGCTAAGTTAGGATACCGCTCTACGGACCACCCCTTTACGGACTACCGCGTTTAGACCTACGAACGCGTTTTTTAACGCGATACCGTTACTTAAATAACCTATAATTTCTCGATTAGTTTTAATCCTTCGTAACTTATCTTATTATTAACTTATTCTTAAATTCTTTTTAATTCTCGTAATGCCTTTAAAAAATACCTAAATCTAGGCGAACGCCGCTATACGTATGGTTTTATACGGTACGAGTATCCGTTAAGCTACCCTTAGAATCTATACCTTTCGTTCCTACCTAATGCGCCGTATAGCTAATAAACCGATAAAAGAGGAGCTTAATAAGGATCGTTAGGCTTTATTACTTATTTAAGAAGCCGAATTAGTTCGTTAGGCTATCGGGTAGGCTAAGTTAAGCTTCGCGCTAGCGTTTACGTAGTTTAAGTTCATGGCCTAGTACTTATTAAACGCCGACGGCGGCTCTCGAAAGCTAGGAAAGCATTAGCATTATCGTTTTCTAGCTCGAAACCCGGAGGTTAGGTCGTTTAAAGCTACGGTCGTCGATTATAAGTAGATTAAAAGCGCTACGACGGTAAATATTAACATTTTTTTCGATAGGTTAAAGGCTCTTTAGTTAATAACTATTCCTAACGAACGCTTCTTTAACGTTAATAAAATAAGCATCGCTAAAAGCGTTACCGGGAATCATTAGGTAATTATAGATATTAATACCTAAAGGATACTTAAGAAAGGCGTCGAAAAAGGCTAATAGATTATTACTTTTAAGTATATAGGTTACGGCGGAAGGCTTCTTCTTCCCGTAATACTTTTTAGGGGTACCGACGTTTAAGCGTAATAATTTCCTAACGATACTCGCGAATTATAAGAGGATTAGCGGTTTCGGGTATTACCTAAAGGATAAACTAGTAACGTTATTACGTTATATTAGCTCTAAGATATCTTTATTTCTTATATTCGGGCCCGTTTCGGTAATATATAAGTAGTTTTAATTTACGACGGCTACGAATCGTATACTAACGACGACTTCCTTTAACGCTATCTTTAGAATAAGATATAGTTCGTTTTTTATTAGTCTTACTATAGTTACGTCGTTTAGGTTTTAAACGTAGGAGTATTCGGGTTATTAAAAAGAAAGTTAAAAAACTTTATCAGGGAGAGTTAAAACGTAGCTCTTAGTTTATACCTATCGAAAACGGATATTTTAAAGGTATACCGATTAACTAAGATCTAATCGATAACTTCGCGAAACATTAAGAACGCCTAAAAAACCTTTGGGATTATTCTACGGGATCGTAAGAAGCCTCTTTCGTCGAAATTCGTAGTTTTAAAGGATAAGGATATCCCTTAAATATAATCGGAGTTATCGGAGTCGGTTACGCGACCTAAAATATCTAATTTTACGACATTATTAGTTCTAGAGTATATTAAAACGCCTTTTAACGGTTAGGAATTACGGAATGCCTTTCGAAAAGAGATACTTACTACGGTTAGGTCCGAAATCCCGGCTTTAAAGCTATTAATTCGGAAGGCTAGTAGTAGCTAGGATCGTAACTAAGGTAAAATAACGGCTCTGGAGATATAGGTTAAATATACGGTAGTAAAAAACGAAAGGAGTACTCCTAAGACCCGTCGGAAGGTCCTCCCGGCGCTAGGTAAGCGCTTCGTACGTATAGCTAATATACGGCGAGTAAAAAGGTCGTTAAAAAGGAAGATCGTATATAAAGACGAGGCAAGCGACGAGGAGGTACCTAACGAATAGGAAACGGCGTAAGAACCGGCTAAAAACGAGGGATCGTAAGCGGAGGACTATATTAGGGTAGCAACGCCGTAATCGGAAGGTTTTAATTAATTTTAATGGTCTAAATAGCTTTAATTACTTACGTAGTAGTAGTAATAGTAAGGATTTTTTAGGTAGTCCGCGAAGGGGTGGTCCGTAGAGGGGGGGTCTAGCTTAGGGCGAACATTACCAACGCCGAACCGGAAATCTCACGAAACAGCATAACCCCTCATGTCACATGGCTCTTTTCCCGTCTTACCGTAGCCTGCTTCGGGATCAAGTTCCGGCAGAGACTAGCGAGAAAGCATGACGGTGGACGGCTAGCAAAATGGATGTCCGAGCCTTTACGAGTTTCCTGTTGGTGTTGGATAATTATAATAAGGGGTATATCCATGTTATCACGTAGGCATGCACCCCTAGTAGGAACCACCTAGCTTACCTAAGCTAGCTAAGCACTACTATATATACCTATAGATCGCTCCATACTCTCTAGTAGCTTTCCTTCTTTTCTTGTTAGTTAATATATATCTTCTTACCCTTATTCCATTACTTTCTTTACGAAT